TCTACTTCGGTTGGACGATGGCTTGCATACAGACCGCAGCTGGAATGAGGTTTGCGAGGAGGGCCGGGGTAGTAGCAAGGAAGCATTGAAAATCTTGCGAGTCGCATGTTCTTCTTTGGGTCCTCTCTGCCGGCGTCCGTCTTCCCGGGTACCTACCTACCTGGGAACACTACTATGTGCGTTTATGTATTGTATGTGCCTAACCTTACGAAGCGCCCTGCTGCATGCTGCCCAGCCACTCATCAGCAAGGGCCCAGCGGGGTCCCCTGGCGTCATCAGCCGGGCAACCCCCCCAAGGGGATTCGATGTGGCGCTGGTATCGGTGGGGGTTGCTTTCACCACCCCCTCCCTCTCTTATTCCCATGTAAAAGCAAATAACCGGCAAGGCGGGAGCGACCCAAGATATGCGCGCATCGCACATCATGTGTCGCATGCAGCAAGCCTCTTTTCCTTCGTAACCAGAAGACGGGCTTGACGCCACACCTGCCTGACCGCCATTTCGTGTCTGTTCCTCCCACCCCTCCCACTCTCTTTCAACTCTTTGGCTGGTTGATTGTGCCTAGTTGCCTGCTCTCTCTAGCCTGTCTGCCTGCTTGCCTGACCGCCTGTCTCTGACTGCACGCCGACCCTTGGATAGGATCCAGACCCAATTCTGGCGGCAATCCCATCCAGGGACTCCCTTACTCCTATTTATTGCTCTCTCTCACTCTAACAATAGACGCCGAAAGGAGAAGGTAGGTAGCCGGGTACTTCACTGCCCGGCAGGAGCAAACACCAACTCGGAGTTAGTCGGAATCCCTCGTTCAGCTCTTCTTCAAGGGTGCCTCTTTTTTTTAAGAGGAGAACAGAAAGCGAAGTCCATTCCAGGGCCCGACCATCCGACCCTTGTCTCGCTTGCCCTGTAAGTCATTGATCGGATTGGGCTCTTCTCGCTTCGCCTCGCTCTTCCATCCATCCCACTTTTTTTTTTCGCGCGCGCGATGGAAAAAGGAACCGACTACCTGGGTACGGGAAGGGAACGGCTATCATAGTCAATGTCGAGGAAAAAGAGTGGGGAAGCATGAAGGTAGCCGCCGTGAGTCGCACACATGCATACATCTGCCAGGGAATTTCCAGTGTGTGTGTGTGTGTCTCAATGTGGGCCTTGGGCAGGCACACGTCGGTGACTTTGCTTATTGTTTGTTGGTCCAGGACACATGCAAAGTACCGCTATGTATTGCCGGTTGCCGGCCGGCGTGTTTCTAATCTCTCGGGCAGAAAGAAGAAAGTCTCGCATTACTTTCTTTTCTTCCGGGCCTTTCTGCTTGTCAGGTGGAGCCATGTGACGACTGTGGAGATGACCTCTACCACACTCTCGCAGATTGCGATGAGCGAAGGACAGGTCACAGGGCGCGCGGGAAGGCGAGGGGAAATGCCGGTGTGGAGAAGGAAAAAGCGGGCGGCTGAGGACGGAACAGCCGTCTTGCCGGGTGGAGGAAGACGCCCCTGTTTGGCTGGGTCTGGCGGCTCGGTACGAGGAGATTCGATGCTTAGTGTGTCTTTCCCTGGCTGTGGGCGGTTCGAAGATATGGAGATGAGATGAGACGATGGGGGGCCGCACCGTACCCGCTACGCTGGAGCCCCTCGGCTGGATTCGAGGGCCGAGTACTAGTCCATCCGCCAGAAAAAATAAACCATGAGAAACACCAGTGCCTCGATTAGGAAAGAGTTGCGATCAAAGGACAGGTCGAATTTCCATCTAGGTTGAGCAGATAGCGTCGCCTGAGCAAAATGAACGCCAGCAATGCCTATATACAACTCCGCGCTCCATGATCTTGCGATCCTCTTCTTCCTTTGCTGCAGCGAGAAAAAAAATACCAAAAACCAACGCCGGTAGTGCTGTGTCGTGGTCATTTCTCTTTGTTGAAAACGCCCCTCGGAGCTAGCCCCGCACGCCCAAGAACATTCATGCCTCATTTACAGCCACCCTTCTGCCTCTAGTGCAAGCCGTTGGTCCCGTTGGACCCACCCTGCTTGACCAGCCAGCTGAGCAAGTCAACCTTGGTGACGACAGCCACCGCCTTCATGTGACCCTGGTCATCCTTCTCCGTGACTACCGCCGCGCTGTTCCACTCGAAGAAGCGGCTGAGCGCGTTCAGACGCGTGTCTCTGGTGATCTCGACGAACTTCCTTCTCTTGGTAGCCTTGTCCTTATCCTCGCCCAACACGAGATTATCCTTGCCCTGGACCCCCAGATCCGAAGGATCGCTGACTGTCTCCGACAGCTTTCGGAAATCGAACATGACGTCCGAGACAGGCGACTGGGGTGAGGCACGGCCGCTGCTGATGTAAGAGAGTAGGTTTCCAAGAGTGACGAGGCCGACCAGGCGATTGCCCTTGCTCGTGGCAACGGGGAGCTGGTCAAAGCCCTTGTCGCGCATAGTCTCGATAGCCTCGGCGCAGGGAGACTCGGCCGCGACGGTCATGACGGGCTTCAGGCGGAGCGAACGGATAGTAGCACCCTTGTACGGATCCTTCGCGCTGGTCAGAGTGGGAGAGAGCGGCGCCGCCAGGCTCTCCGCAGGCGTAGGAGGCAGCAGATCATTGGCGGCGAGCCAGTCGTCGTCAGCGAACTGTCACTCCAGTTAGTTCGGCGTCACGCATATGGGCCTCTAGCTCTACATACCTTGCTCAGATAGCTCCGGATGCTATCGGGGAGCACGACGACGACGACGTCATCCTTTCCGAGTCCCAAGTCCTTGACAGCCTTGACCATGGCAGCCATTGCGCTGCCACTGCTGCCACCGCACAAAATACCCTCTTCGGCAATCAGGCGTCTCGCGAACTGGAAGGATTCTACGTCGTCGGTCTTGTACCAAGTATCGACACCCTTCTGGTCCAGAACGTCGGGAATGAAGTCATAGCCGATACCCTCAACCTTGTAGGGCTGGTTCTTCTTCTCCTCATTCAAGCTCTCAGGCAGAGCAAGAATACTTCCATGCGGATCAGCCGCAATGATCTTGACGTCCGGCTTGTGCTTCCTCAGGCCCCTTGCAATGCCGGTAATTGTGCCTCCAGTTCCGGCGCCAGCCACCAGGGCAGTGATTTTGCCATTCGTCTGGGTCCAGATCTCCTCGGCAGTGCCGTACTCGTGGGCAAGCGGGTTGTCGACGTTGCTGTACTGGTCCAGGATGTGGGCGTTGGGCAGCTCCTTCTCGAGCCTCCTGGCCACGCCGATGTGGCTCTCGGGAGAGTCCCAGGCGGCGGCGGTCGGGGTACGGATGATCTCGGCGTTGAGGGCGCGCAGGACGGAGACCTTCTCGGCCGACATCTTCTCGGGCAGAGTGATGATGGTGCGGTAGCCCTTGACGGCGCCGACCAGGGCCAGGCCAATGCCCGTGTTGCCGCTGGTAGGCTCGATGAGGGTGTCGCCGGGCTTGATGCGACCGCTGCGCTCGGCCTCCTCAATCATGCGCAGGGCGATGCGGTCCTTCACGCTACCGCCGGCATTGAACATCTCGAGCTTTGCGTAGACGGTGGCGTCGATGCCGAGACTTTGGGGGATCTTGTTCAGGCGCACCATTGGCGTGTTCCCGATCTGCTGGGTGATGGTGTCGAGCACGACGGGCGGGATGCCCGGCTTGGTAGTGGAGGCCATGGTTTCTGCGGGCTGTGGTGAGGGTGCTTGGGGAGAGGAGGGGATGGTGGAGGGGAAGGAGACATCATGGTGGGACGATCACGGAAATCTTTGTCATTCACACGAAGCCGCGTCTAAGCGCGTTCTCGGCGCGCTGCAAATTTCGAATTACGACATCGCTCCTCGGCCTTGCCTCATCGCCAACAGGCCACTCTGTGAAGATTCTCATGGACATCAGCAGGTAGTATCGCCATATCGGATGAACTGGTGATGGGAGATCCTCAGGGAACGCTGATCTGCCGCTGACGCCATTGCGGACCCGCTTGCCAAACTCGGCATCTTTCGCCGGCAAGAAAGTCGTTGCCGCCTCTCTTTTCTGTTGCCGAGACGCCAGACAATTCGTCTCTCTTACTGCATTCTGCAGTATTGTGCGTGCAATCCTTCAATTCGGGCCGTAGCATGGCTATGCTCAAAGTTTTCACTCCCGCTTCATCTATATGTCCCAACTCATTCCTCGCAAGTCAAGTCTTCGACCAGCTCTTATCAAACTCGCGTCGGATAAGGTGTCGGCCTCTGAAAATGGCATTGTGACAACCAAGGCTGAGATGAATTGGTTTGGATCAAACGAACTGGCCAAGTGGACCCCAGTGGCAGCGGTATCTATACATCCTATCTTGGAAGCGCGGCATGCCCGCCCCCTGCAGCTCGGCGGGCCGAATAATAAACCCTACTACAAGCAATCGTGCCCTTTCATGCAGTACCTACGTTCGGCTTCATGAAACCAGATGGTTGAATCCTAAATTGATGAAGCCAGGTGTAGGAAGGACGAATCTGGTCCATCGTCCCCCCTCTGTGGATCACTTCTCTCCGTTATATTATCTGTACAGCTCAGAAGCTGTGGAGGACTTAAAGTTTTGATCCACCCGCTGATCTGCATCATGGGTTGCGTTGTACCTGGCAAATCTCATCAAGTTATAATCAAGCATGGAATTATCTGAACGCTGATTGGTGTCCATCCAGCCGGTTATAACGTCCACTTCAGCTCCGGGTTGTCCCATATCCGATGTTCCCCGGGGAGTAAAACTACTGAAGTCTACCTATATTCTCAATGTTGGCAATCTGCAGCCTCTCTTACCATCGCTTGCAATGTCCCGGGGGCGCCGCTAAGGAGATCAACATTTCAGAAGTTTCGCTTCTTACCTGCCCCCTCCCCCCACTTTGGGTTTTGGTTCGGAGAGCCTCCTCGTTTTTCGGCCCTGCCTTCCCTTCTTGTAATTTCTGCTAGACGTCTCTTGTGCCATTTGCCACGGCTCTGCCGTTGGCCTCATGATTGTGCCTTCCTCATACACAGGTCTTCCATCCTCATATCCTCGTTCATGCATGCTTACCCAATTTTAGCGGTGCCCCCACTGTTCCCAAAAGAATGGATTCCAAGATTCGCAAAAAGGGCCTCCATCTCACGCTCATGTTCCTCAGCATCCTCATACGGATCCCAAACCTGGCTCGCCGCACCGTCACTCTCCTTGAGCTTCTGATCCAGCATCTTGCCCCAAAAGAGCTCGAAGAACGGCCTCGTGGCGTGCGCCAGCACCAAGTCCTTCTTCAGCGGCTTCGTCTTGGCGCTGTACATGCCCAAGGAGTGCTCGAACATGGGCCCCATCTCGAACTGGCAGAAGCGGCACAGGGCCTCGACGTGCAGCGGGTGCAGCGGCTTCTGGTCGGCGCGCACGGCGAGCACGCTGCCGACGTCGTGCTGCCACGGCGGCGGGGCCCAGCCCCAGGCGGCTCCCGCCGTCTCGTCGTCGCGGCAGGCGAGGTGCAGGAAGGTGGCGGGCTGGTTGACGTAAGGGTGGCCGCGGGTCGTCGCTTTCGCCCACGCCGAGCTGGCCGGGTACTTGCGCGTGAGCAGCGCGATGCCGACGCGGGCGGCGATCTCGGACGTGTCGTGGTCGACGCCGACGAAGATGGGGTGCGTGCCCGGCACCTCGACCTCCTGGAAGGCCGGCAGCCCGAAGGCGTCCTGGTCGCCCTGGCAGTTGATCTTGACGCCCTTGACCTTCTTGTTGCTGTTGCCGTCGGGGCGACAGGCTCCGTCCGTTTCGTGGTTGAGGTAGGTGACGAGGTAGTCGACGAGGTGGCGGAAGTCGTTGAGGTCGAGGTCGCGGCTCACCGTCTGGTCCAGCCCAAGCCCATGCATCCCGTACGCCAGTATTGGACCACGCCAGTCGAAGATGTTGCCGCGCCGGGCCGGCAGCGACTGGATGGCCTGGTTGGGCTGCGAGCCGTCCTTGAGGAACGCGTCTCGGTAGGCGATGCGGATCGTGTTGGACAGCTCGCGCTTCAGCACCGTGTTGTACTGGATCTGGCTCTCCGCCCCCATCTCGCCCAGGTGTTGCTCGCTGTCGGCCATCTGGAAGCGGGAACCGAAGCCGTGGCCGTAGTCGACCTCGTCGTCATCGTGCCACGAGAAGTGCACCCATACGAGCTTGGGCTTGCGATCGTCCTGAGGGAAGAAGATGCCGAGCTTGTGCTCGTGGCTGGGTCGAACCGAGCGGTTGAGTGATGAGTAGGCGCGGCATAGGAGCTTGTGGGTTTGATGGTCGGCGGCCTGGCAGTCCTTCGAGCAGTACTTGCTGCAGTGGCAACGTGCACAGCTGCTCGCCGCTGGCTTGTTGCACGTTAAACACAACTCCTTGGGGCCATCCATTTTGCCGAGTCGCAGGCGAAGGAATATCGAAGTAGAGCAGAGGTGGATATATCCTCAGCCTCGGAACGCTTATCCTGACAAAGAGAAGAGGCCCTATGAGCGCGGATCGACGATGGTCAGCACGGCGACTTTTAAGTCTTGTCATGTTAAGAGGGCGTTGAAGCAATCATTTCAACAAGGATCTCATGGTATCTGACGTACACTCACCTTGGACAGCTACCGTTACTTAAACAGTTCTCATGTGCGGTAGCTGTCTGCTGTATCACTTTGCAAGAGACTTTCGTGTAACAGACGCGGCTGACTGAACTTGACGGACGCCACGCCAAGTACATGATTATCCCCTTGCGGTAGTACCAACAGCTCCTGTGTCTGTCGTCACTCTTTGACTCCCTAACGTTAAACGCAGCTCTTCAGTAAAATTCCCAAGGCACTGGCGACTGGCCAAACTCAGTGCAGAAAAGCGGGGAAAGTTCCAGAGTATGCATAAGCTTCCGGATCAGTGGACACCGCTGACCCGCTGCAGTCATCCATAAGCCAATCGGTTTAGCGCTACGGCTGTTCACAGAGCAATAAAGTCAGTGAAACGCGTACGCTCACCCGGCCACTCGCTGGAAATTTCCCAAGCGGGTGAAAACTTCGAAGTTGCTGATTTTAATGGCCTCCTCTGGCGCACCACGGTACTTGGAGCAGATCGACGACTGCCACCGTAATCAAATTTGTTACTCCCCGAGAGCGCCAACAAAATATTGACCAAGTATCAAACGCTCTTGAGCAATTTTGATCGAGTAAAAGGTTGAGAACGAAGTGCGCATTGTCCGAATGCCGGTTTATTGTGGTGGAGTATCCCTGACCAGTCCGGCAAGCCGAAAGGGGTGATACGCTTCTATGCTGGGCGGCCGACTGCCTGCGTTGACGGGCAGTGTCCACTGTTTTGGCGTTAAGAGGCACAGAACACTTATAAGAAAATTTGTCAACTGAGTGTATGCTAGCCATCATCATTAGTCTAGACAATGATACGCTTGCCGGCTTGCTCGAAGTGTACCCAAAGACCCATTTGTTTTACCCTGAAATTCCCCCACGCCCCTGGTATCACTGTACGCACGAACTACATCCGCCACAAGAAGAGAAAGAGAAGCATTTGAATAGGAAGTGACACGAAATGAATCCGATGTGAAAACGCCAGAGATCGCAAAGAGACTCGTCAATCGGAGGCGGGATTGAAAAGGGATTAGGGGCTGAGAAGGGGGATCTTGGTCGTGACGGGGTCGTTATCGTCAATCCGAGAAAACGGTTGATGGTCCAAGCCCCATCTAGAGGCAAGGAAACATCGGTTGTTTCGAGGAAAACGAGAAAATCAAAAGGCCGTGAAAACAGTACAGCTCGCAATAATGAAAAGTGCCGCGAGCGGAAATGGCCGGCAATAGTACCCGAGATGCTGTGGATCGCAGGCGCATCGTACCGTCCGTGTCCGCGCGAGGAGAATTTGTGCGCGAGAGGTCTTGTCGCAGTGCCTCTTAACAGGATGTTGAGGTCATAATATGTACCACATGTGATCCTTTTCTTTTTTGTCGCTGTCCGCATGTTCTTCTGCCTCCTCACCGAGGTCTCGAAGGAGTCAATCTTCAACCATTAAGCTGCTTCTTTCATTTTGCAAGCTTCTCCTCTCGCGCAAACTACCAGTTCGGCTGCTGAAAAACAATAAGCAAATTAGAAACCGGTTCCCTTTTGGAAAAGTGTTTTGGTGAAGTTGTAAAAAGGGAAAATGTTGCTGGACCGTTGAAAGTCGTTGCAAAAAAAGTTGTTTGTCGAAGAAGAGAATGTCGGACGGGTGATTGTCGAGGAAGGTTGTCCTTACGTGTATCCGGGAGGACTTCCCTGGGCCCCGTTGGCTCCGTGAAGCTTGCTCTCCATCAGGTGAAGAGTGGCAGGGAAATACGGTTCGACGCCGAAGTTGCGTAGGTAAGCAGCCGTCTTCTCGATACGCTTGATCTCGCGCTGAACCGGCCAGTCTTCGCCTTCGTCGAAGCGGCGGCGAACGACTTCGACCATGGCTTGGTCGAGACGGCCATAGAAGTCGCGCCGAGCGGCGATATCCTCGGCATCACCGGTGTCCAAGCCACCGTGAGCGTTGAGGTTGCCGCCCAGCTTCAGGATCAGGTCGAAGGCGTAGCGCGGACCGGTGCGAAGCGAAGCAAGGCGCGCGATGTCCGGAAGGAACTTGGCCATGGCCGAGGCGAAGTGGGAGGCGGAGATGCTGTCGTTCAGGTCATCCTGCAAACGATGAAGATCGAAGTTGACAATGGTGATCTTGCGGTCAAGCTGCGCGTTGAGAGTACCGGCAGCGGCAGGGTCGTCGCGATCCATCTGCTTCGCGATGCTAGGAGGAACATCTGCGGTCTATTAGCACGGTTGAAGGCGGCCGTCGCGGAAAGGAAGCGGTTGATCGTACCAGGGCGCAGGCCCCTCTTGTCAATCCAAGAGTGCACCTCGGCTCTCTGCTGCTCCAGCGTCTCGATCCAGGCATTGAGCTCTGCGATCTGACCTTCCAGCTGGTCGATGCGCTCGGTGTAGGGCCTGACGGCCTCGTTGAAGGCGCGCGTGAGCAGGTCGGGAGCGCCGAGGGAGGGCTCGGAAGGCTTCATGTGCATGCCGCCGCTCATGGGCATGCCCATGCCGCCGTGCGACGGGTCCATGGAGGGCATGGCGTTGTGGCCGCCGCTCATAGTGCGCTGGGGTGAGAAGGGTTCCTGGGGGCCGCTCTGGCGCGGATACATCTGCGTCTCCTTCTCGATCGGGGCGATGGGCTCGTGACTGCCGTTGACGGGAGCAGCGGAGTCGCGGCGCGAGGAGGGCGGGCGCTCGTACTTCTCAAAAGTCTTGTTGGTGGGCGAGTCAGTTTCCTCAAGGTAAGAGTTGGCCCTCGAGCGGCGCTTGAAGAACATAGTGCGGAAACAAGAAAGCGAGAGCGTGGAGCCGAGCGGGTGAGGAATTGGCTTTATTGCGGGCTGACGAGCGGTCGCAATCGTGCCGGTGGTGCGGAGGGAGCCGAACAGGTTTGGCTCCGCGGTACGAGGTGGTTGGGGGGTGATCTATGGGGGATAATGCGATGGCAGGAAAAGCTGGTGGTGGTGGTGATGGTGGAGCGATAGCGCGAATATTATGGCGCGGCGGTGGCTGGGGAGAGGGCGTCAACACCGCGACGGCCAAGCACAAACACGGCGGCTGCGGATGCGAGGGGCCGCCGGTCAGAAGCGCTGCAATTGGCGCGGAACAGCAGGCGACTGCAGCGAGCGACTGAAATCTAGCAGAACGAGAGTACGAGGAGAACAGCGTCCAAGAGGAGCACCGAGCGGGGGAGCTGTGGGCGGAGCTTTGGGCGCGCGGGCTCGGCCGCTTCAGCCCAGCCATGCCGCTCAACACGAAGATTATCGGGGCTTGCGGGCCCAGCGCTCCCTGAACCTCCGGCTCGCGAATACACTTCGGACTCGTGCGACCCGCTCAAACTGGGCGCTAATGCACTTGCTCCTTTCCGTAGCGCCCATGTACACCAGCATCCTTGTCGCTGTCCCGCTGCCTCTCCAGAGATCGCCGCAACAGTTCGGCGCCGCAATCCATGTGGGTTCGCAAGGGGAGCGGTTCGTCGCTGCATTTCCCTATCTGCCCGGTCCGTTGGCGCAGGCTCTCGTATTTCTGGAAGACCTAGCAGCGATCGTCTCTTGCCTGCATCCCGTTGCCGCAGAAAACGATTTGTGTGACGACGACGTTGGCTTTAAGAGGACCACGAATCTCGACATCCACTGCCGTCTCTGCCTATCATTTACCCCGATGACGCCTTTCTGCTTGAACTTCCGTAGCAACGAGAACAGTTGTGCCAGTACGTCTGCTTCCTGGATATCCGGGACTTACTGAATCATGCATGCATGAGATAACATTTGCCGGTACGGACGTCTAATTACTGTCACTAGCCGCCCAATCTTCTGCCAATGCGAACCAACTTTACCAATCCACCTGGATCCGAACGCCTGCCCAATGCCCGTAATGTTTCTGTCTAAACCGACATCTTCATAGCAATCGTCTTGTGCGGGTCATAGCCCTTGACCTCGATATCACTGACAGCCCATCCATCAATGCTACCGCCCTTTTCCCTCTTGATTGAAAGCTCCGGGAAGTCTCGTGGCTCTCGCTCCAGCTGCACCTTCAGCGCATCGACGTGGTCGAGGTAGACGTGCGCGTCACCCATGGTATGCGTCAGCGTCCCGGGGGTCAGGTCACAGACGTGCGCTAGCATGTGCGTGAGAAGAGCATACGACGCAATGTTGAAAGGGACGCCGAGACCCATGTCGCAAGACCGCTGATAAAGCAGGCAGTGCAGCACCCCGCGCTCCTTCTCCTGTCTTTCCTTCTCCTCGCCATGCTCGCCCCTCTTTGCGCGCGGGAAGCTCACGTAGAATTGTGCAAACATGTGGCAAGGGGGCAGGGCCATCTTCTTCAGGTCTGCCGGATTCCATGCGCTCATGATGATGCGGCGGTCATACGGCTTGTTCTTCAGCTTGTCGATGACATCGGCCAACTGGTCAACACCTTGGCCCGTATAGTCTGTCTTCGCATCCACATACTCTGCTCCGAAGTGTCGCCACTGGAAGCCATATACCGGGCCCAGGTCGCCCTCTTCGCGGTGAGACAGTCCCACGCTGTCAAGGAACTCGCGCGATCCGTTTCCGTCCCAGATTTTTATGCCAGCCTCCGACAATGGTTTAGATGAGGTGGTGCCAGCGACGAACCAGAGAAGTTCAGCAATAACTGCACGCAGAAATACGCGCTTCGTAGTGAGAAGGGGGAGGACTGGTGTCGCTTCTTCTCCCGGGTTCGACGAAGGACGAGAAAGAGAGAATTTCAGCTGCGGAGGCGCAAAGATGGAGTATGTGCCCGTTCCAGTACGGTCAGGACGATGTTCGCCATTTTCGAGAATGTCGCGGATCAAATCGAGGTACTGGTACTCTTCATGTCGAATAGACAAGCCTGAAGCAGGCTTCGCGGGCGTCTTTAGCGAGGAAGGCGGGTTTTCGGGGGCGATGACGGTTTCTACAGCGCCGGGAGACATTGCGACGATATTGGAACTACCCTGGCGGAGATAGCGAAAGAAAAAAAAGCGATTGCGGTGAAAGTAGTGTGTGGGAAGACGCGCGCTGAAAACGCGCTTCCAGAGGGACGCGACGCGCCGTGATCGGCGCTTGCCAAGTTCCGACGTCTTCTGCGGTTGCCGAGGCCGTCGATCAAAAGTAAACAGTCGCTGCCCGAAGGCTCACGACTCATCACCCACACTGCCCCTGCAGCACTCTCCATATATCGGAAACGGGCGGCCGGAACGAGTACCGCTGTGTGCTAGAACTATGCGTGACGACAATTCCCTCAACCGTTTGCTCGCCGTCTTGCGGGAGCGCCGCATACCCTTGACCCGCGATGACGTGCAGTGGGCCTTCGAATCGGTCAAAACGCAACACGACGCTGCCTCGTGGGTGGAAGAATATCTACAGTCAGACACCCTCTTGAGCAAAGAGGAGCTCGACCTGTAAGACGCCAAAACTTGAATATGAATGCATAATTAATGCCTATCAAGGTACGAAGCCTTGTGCGCACAAGACGAAGCGGTCAAGGACCGTGTGGACGCGCCAGAGATCCAGCCCTTCCAAGATGAAGAAATCCGGGCTGCCATCGAAGCTTTGGAGGCTTCCACTACTGCTATTGATCAGCAGACCAAAACCCTCGAGGTTCAGATGGATGCGCTCCTTGAGCTTCGCACGCAGAATGCAGAGCCGAGCAATGCGATTCGAAGAAAGCTCGACGACCGCAGGCGGAAAAACGCCTCAGAAAAAGGCCAGTTGGACTTTGACGTAAGCGGAAAAGTCTATTTGAGCAACCCGGGGAATTTGCTGACATTAAGCAGATAGATGGACTGTCAGATGCCATTAATGACCGTGTCTCGTCTTCTCAAAAGCAGGCCAAGTCTGCAGCATCTACTTTGACATCCGTGGTCAACGACCGCTTTACTTCTGATGATCGCATGCTTTCCGCAGTCTCGAAGCTTTCTTCGAAGCTCGAGCTGCCCTCCGAGGAACAATTTGATTCCCAAGCTATCGACCAGTGGTGCGCATCACTAGTGTCGTTCAGAGCGGCCACTATTAGAGCACGGGTTGATCGTATCTTCCATGAAACCCTCTTAATTGACGATGGTTCAAACGAAGGGGAACGACCCGAGGAGGAAGCTTTAGCCGAGAAAGAGGCGCTCAAAGAAGAGCTCGAGACGCTGCACGCTGAGATTACTTCCGTTGCTCAGATGGGTGTTGAGCAGGAACTGCACAGACCGATCGTCCAGACCCTCGAACAGGGTCAGGGCCAGCAAAAGCGTCTACAAACACGCTGGCTCGACTATGTAAGCTTCACATTCGTATCTGCCCGTGCAGTTCCGTCTCTAATCGAAATACCCAGATCCTCGCCTCATTGGAATATATGACCAATCGCCTCAACCACCTTACAATGCATGCCGCCGATTTACGTGCCTGTACCACCGCTCTAGCCGAAATCAGCGCACTCTTCTCTACGACCATGCCCCCTCCGCCCGCGCCTCGCTCTTCGCCTTACAAGCAGGCCGCAGCCGCCCGCGCTCGCGCCAAGAGCAATGCTTCTATGCCTGTCCAGCTTAGTGCGGCGACACAGCAGCTCCTCCGACAGCTGGACATCGTACTTCCCCCCGCTGCAAAGACTCCGCCGCTCCAGGCTCTTGCTCAAGCAGTTATGGACCGCCAGATCCGCCTTCTCGCGCACATTGACTCGAGTCAGAATGCAGCAGTGCAAAGCATTAGCGAAGCCGTGAGTTCGGGCGCAGTTGAAGTGCAGGAGATGCTGGCAGCGCTATACGCGAACTCTGAGTATGGAACTGTGGAGGTAACGAAGAAAGAGGTGGAAGAAGGATTGAAGGCGATCGAGAGGGGTATCGGAGAGGTGAGCAGTATCATGCCTGAGCTACAGGAGAAGATGGATGTGGCTGGGGGAGATGCGAAGTCAAAAAGGAGGGAGAGGGCATTTATTGGAAGATGGGGGAATCCAGATGAGTAGAGTGGCTGAAACAGCAGAGCACAAGTGTGTTTGTGTGGATTATCTCCTCGGCCGGCTTGATCCACCGGCACGTCCACCGGCACGCCCACTACGTAGTACTGTATTGTAGCTTTGTGATTGGTAGGAACGTGTGTGAGTAAGAAATCTAGATTATTCATCTCTCGATTAAAAAGACGCTAAACTTGAAAAAGTAATTGGTGGGCGTGCTGGTGGACGTGCCGGTGGATCAAGCCGGCCGAGGAGATAAATTTATAGAAGAGTATTGACTGCTCTGAACGGGGTTATTCAACTAATTTATATCTTCCAAATCTGAATTTCGAAGCTCTGAGAGAATACGCAATGAGCGCGTAGTAGAATAAACATGCGTTTCCGTCACTGCGAGCGGCAACTGCAAACAAAGAAAATTCAATTTCTGTATGATCCACCGCACTCCAACTCTAGAGCATGACGCAGAATTCAATGCGAAATTATAATACACTAACTAGCAACAGCCACTATATCATAGCTCCTTACCATACCTCGACCGGATCAGAAGAGACTTCTTAGGATATACCTGATTTTACCCTATCAAGCTTCCAATTGATCTCTGGTGGCGCCTTAACTTGATAAAGGTGCGGGAATCTAGCTCCCGTGGCGCTCTCAGTCGTCTCAGCCGGGACAAGAGTTGTGGGAGTACTATAATCTCCCGGGCAATGCTAAGAAGTGGGTTCGCTTTTGCGCCAGAGAGTGTTCTTGGGATATATGTGCTTCAAAGAATTTGGGTTGTATTAGTTGTTTATCTGGTGTGATTAAGCTAAAGGGGTGAAGCTATGTAAGAGAAAGGTGGTACCGCCAGCAAAAGGCATCGACGCGGCTACCGTGAAATGCCCATTGATAGTACCTTGAGTAAATTTGTCCTCCAAATGCAGATGAGTTTTTCCATGATCTGGTATCACGGAAGTGCATCCAATGTTGCAAATTTGCAAAGAGATGCCCACTACCCAAACGCATCAAACCAAAACCAAGCATTGATCCGCTGTTCTTTTCTCTCTTCTCTGAACAGTCCCACCCAGCCAAGCCATAGCCTTTACGCCATGGACTTGACGACCCTCTTTTCCTTCTCGACCCACTTCTGCTGCTCGCGCACCAGCATGTCGTAGAAGCCGCGGTCCCAGCCAGTGCACTGCAAGTACTCCCACCACAGCCTTAGACCGGGCGGATCCGCAGCATCCTCCTTGGCGAACGCCTGGAGGACCTTCTCTTTGGTAAGCTTTCCGACTTTCTTCCTGGCCAACTCTTCCCACTCCCTCAGATCACGTACGTGCCGACCAATCTCCTGCCTGACAACGTCGTCCTCGGCACCCTGGAGGCCCGGCAAGTGACCCTCGTACTCCGGCTTTGGCACGAAGGCCTTCATCAAGGCCTCCGTGACCCAGCTAGGACGTGCGACATCTGCGAGCTGCTCGGCCCAGTACATCTTCACGGCGTCCGGCACTTGTTCAACCTGCCTGTCATAGTCGAGCTTGTCCGAGAAGCGCAGCTGGCTGTACATTCCCATGTAGAGGTACTCTTTGCGACCGCCGACTTCGTCACCATCGCTCTCAAGCTTGTGCCTCTTTGCCCAGTCCGATGCTGCAACGAACACTGGCACGTTGTCGAAGGCAGCGGCCGCCTCGTCGCCATCAACGTCCTCGGGATTTTCCGGGTTGAAGAATGCGGTCAACTTGGCACCATGGGCAGCGGGCGAGCGTGGGAGATAAGGGTCAGTCGAGGCATCCAGAAGGTAATAGGTTCGGGATGGCATAATGCTGACGCCTTCGGCCACTGGATGATAGTAGAAGCCCGGGCTCCAGACCTTTCCGAGGAGAAACTTTCGGATGAAGTCCCAAGAGAAGGTCTGCATGGTAGAGGGCGAAGGAATAGTCGAGGTGATCGCGTCGTCCAGTGGGCGCAAGCTGCGGATTGCTAAGGGCTGCCAATTGCCAGCCGAGGACATGTGGACAAACGACAGGTCCTCAGTAGACGGAATCGGTGTGTCTGGGTTCACCGGAGGGGACTTGGGATCACTGTCGTTAGTGTCATCCTTCGAGTCTAGAAACCCATCCGGCTTTGCACCAAAGACACCGCTGAAACAAATGTTTAGTAAGAAATCCGCATTGTTATATATCGGGGACATACTTGGGTGGCTGCACTGCAGGTGCGGTAGACAGGCCACTGCCGTTCCGGTTGGGCGTGTTAGGCGGGCTGGGAGGGCCCTCAACTTGCTTCATGGCGTTGGCAGACGACTTGGCCATCAATGCGCCGAGAAAGCCACTGGATTTCTGAAGCCGCTCGCGAGTGGCATTCACCTCGGTGAGGTCGAACGTCTTGGATGGCTGGAAGGCGCCGACTGTGACAGTCCATCCGCCCTGTTTTAGCATCTCCATGTCCTTACGCAAGGACAAGATCTCCTCGTTGAAGAAGCTGGTAAGCTGGTGGAGGTCCGATGCAAATACCGTGACTTGCTGATTTCCATCTTCTTGGTGGTGATGAGGAACCACGGCAGCCATTGTCTCAACGTTTTCATGGGTGAGAGCAGTAGACGTAGGGGAAGTGATGGAATGCAGCTGAGGCTTGAAATCGCCGGCAGCAGGGTTGAAAGTGCTACCGGACGAACGTGCGATGGGCCGCGAGTGAGGTGCGTGCGCGCTCTGCAACATCCCGCCACGAGGAGGAATGTTTCTGTTATATGGCATGCTGCAAGTCGGGTATGAGAGCCTCGGGCATGGTTAGCGACAGTCTTGGTTTGAGAGGAGGAAAAGTTGAGGTGAAGTGTTTACAAACTTTGTGACAGTAGACTGCGTCTGTCTGCCGGGACGACAACTGCTGTGTTGGCGACAGCAGCAAACGTTTGGGTACTCCGGAAGATACTGTAAGTGGAGCAAGCAAAGTGGAAAGGTTAGACGGAAGTCGTAGATGTAGAAGGTTGGAGGAGCAGATGCTGGTGGTCCTTATTTTATGTTCTTGCTGGACCCTGGATGCGAATGCTTCCACGAGGTCGCATCCTATTGTGCAACTGCCTATTGTGCAGCTGCCGTAACGATATGATCATCTGAACAGGAAAGTGGGATAGGGCACGCAGTGTGCTCAAAGGTCCATTCTGTTCCGCCAATGTGTCAGCCACGCCAGGATGAGCAGCGGATTGAACTACCGATGCTCATTCCCCATGTTTCGCAGCGAGATGGTTTACGGGGTTGTCCGTCCAAATGCAATTATTAGAGATATCTGATCGTGGAAGAGAATGTCAAATGTATTGTTTGATGCATCTGGAATGCTTGAAGGATGTCTGGCCGTCTAGATGGTTCATTGCGCTGAATTGTGGATGAAAGACAGCCTTGATAAGCTCAACGCCGAATAAGGTGTGATATGAGCGGAGGGCATCCTCTACGTCACCCCCAGACTTTAATATCAAAGGGACTTTGAGCAAAGGAAATTCGTCAAACACATTAGCAATATTGTCCAGGCTAGATCCGAAGAGATTTTAATCCAAGCGTCCCTTGTTATTTGCCAAAGAGAGCCATGGATACAACCCGCTTCGGCATGCACTCGGGCTGCAAACATGCCCTACTATGATAAGATAAGATTGGCTCTCGGATCAGAACTTTCAGCGCGAGCTGTGCGTTCAAGACACCGGATCGGAGGAGGTGGATGAGGTTGTCGGACGGGATAATGGCCGAGCCCCTTTTCAGCGTGTTACACGAGGCGCACAGCAAGGGAGTGTGGTGTGCGGCGAGTGGGTGGAGGAAGGTCAGGAGACCCGCGGCGGAGGCTGGGCGGTGTAGGACGGCAGGACCCTGAGAGATGACGCGCGCGCTCGCTCGAGGTGCTTTCGCACCACGCTCGGACGCTGAGATTGCTGGCCGCCAGCCCAATTCTTCCAACTCTCCAATGCAACCCTCCCGCCTCTGCCGCCTCGCAAATCTGTCTCACCCTGCCATTTGACCAGACCTTCATTTTTTCCGTTCCACTATGCCGCCGGCAAAAGCTCGCCCTCACGATCCCGACGCGCGCTCTGACGCCCCCACGAAGGACAAGCACTCGGCCGCCTCCCACACCTCCCACGCGCGCGGTCGCAGGACTGGCGGGCCCGCCCATCTTACGAACGGAAGCCATCTGAAAGAAGTGCTCTCTGCCGCCGCCGATGCGACAAATGCAGCAAATCGTAATGGTGGACAGACCGCCCACACTGGCTCAACTGGAGGAGTAAGCTTCGCCCTCCTACCCCCGGCTCTTCCCATCCCGCCCAAGTCCAGCTTGCTCACGCATCCCCGGTGCATCGCGCAGATCTCCTGGGTATCCGAAGACCTTTCCCTGCTCCAGGACTACCGTTCGTCGCACCGCCTCGAAGCGCCGTCTGCCTTCAAAAATCCCTTAGGCCACGCGATCCTAGGGAGAGGCATCGGCAAGTACTCGCCCACGATGGTGCGCAAGAAGAACGAACGACGCATATCGAAGGAGCAACTGGCCACAGCAGTGCGCAAAAACTTCAACGCTCTCGCTGTGAGCGAGTCTGAGGTTATTGTGGACCTCCTTTACAAGGTGAAAATGCAGGGTACGTGCCCTTGGCACAGCGCAAGGCTTGCTCAGAAGACGCGAAGGACATCTTCTAACGACACCCATCAGACAAAACGTTCCGCTTGCGATTCCCTCCCCCACGCACGCGGTAGCCTCATCCGCCCGACACGTTACACGGCGCGACCGCTTGCTACATTCGAAACACACTCGGCACCCAGGAATTGGGCCATGCATCTGGCATAATCGGCGTTCATTTTCATACATACTCGGTCCATACGAAATCATTGGCGTTATTAAGGGAGGATACCCTCAGGTTATAGGCGATCTAGAGACTCGACAGCGTTGGAGTTCTCGCATCCTATCTGCGACTGCACGGGCTCGCACTCGGTTTTTTTTTTTTGGGCTATGGTATATTCGGTTGGCTATTCATTGGGATCACGAAGATAATGGAACGGGATGTGCATTAATAGACTCAGCATCACTATCAGCGCGTGGCGTCTTCGCGACGGGGAACAAGCCGACGCGCGCGCGCACGCACGCGCGTTTGCATCGGCGATGACGGCAGACGCGCAGGCGTGCCGCTGCGCCGTATCTTCCAAATACCACAGCATTTTGAACCTCGCTTTGGGGCGTCTGATGCGATGATAGATGCGAACATGAGAATGCAGCCATCAGAATGGAGCAATTGGCCATGCTCGAGTGGGTTGGCCAAGCTCGCGACAGCCATTGCCGTCATCGCGGGTAGCATCGCTATGACCGACCGGCATTCTCGAAGGATCCGGCCCGATGTGATTGGCTGGTCCGCTCGACGAGACCCGAACCTTCGTCCAAATTTCTATCGCATCAACACCACTGCTGCTGCTCTCCGCCCTGTGTCATAAATCAACTATTATCTTTGCACATCAACAATGAGTCTCGCAGCCCCGAGGGCAGCCGTCAAGAACGTGCTGCCTGCGCGCATAGCAACCGCCTCCGCACCCCAGCGGCGCCGACTCTCCAGCGCAGCTCCATCGTTGCCAGCATGGCGTCGTTCGGCACTTCAATGCGATCGGATAGGTCGGAAAAGTAGTCAAAGAAGGGTAAGGATGCCTTTTGTACGCCCTGAAAGCACCTGCTGATTGCCTTTTCCGCCCAGCTCTTCCACGCCACCGCAATCCATCTCGCAACGAAAGACCCGTACTCAGTTCTCGGCGTCGACAAGAACGCATCCGCATCGGAGATCAAGAAGGCATACTATGGCCTCGCGAAGAAGTACCACCCGGACACGAACAAGGACGCCGGCGCCAAAGACAAGTTCGCCGAAGCGCAGTCCGCGTACGAGCTGCTGTCGGATGCGGAGAAGAAGAAAGCCTACGACACGTACGGCTCGGCCGCATTCGACGGCGGTGCCAGTGGCTTTGGCGGCGCGGGTGCTGGGCCTGGTGGGCCCGGCGGTAGCCCGTTCGGCGGCTTCGGCTTCGGTGGAGGCGCTGGCGGATTTGGCGCTGACTTCAACTTTGAAGATATTTTCGGAGCGTTTGCAGGAGCAGGAGCTAGGAGGGGTGGACGCGCGCGTGGCGCGCGGGGTCCTTTCCAAGAGGAGATCCTCGTGGGCGATAACATCGAGGTGCAGACGAACATCAGTTTCATGGATGCGGCGAAGGGCACGACCAAGGAGATTTTCATCACCCCATTGGTTCAGTGCAATAGCTGCAAGGGTTCAGGCTTGAAGAAGGGCACGAAGAAATCGAATTGCCAGGTTTGCCAGGGTTCAGGCCAGAGAGTCATAAACATGGGCGGTTTCCACATGGCGACGGCTTGTACGGCATGTGGCGGAGCGGGCGTTTCAGTTCCTCATGGCTCGGAGTGCTCGACTTGCGATGGAGCGGGAGCGGTGAGGGACAGAAAGACGGTGACGGTGGACATCCCGGGAGGAGTGGAGGATGGCATGAGGTTGCGCGTTTCCGGAGAAGGCGATGCACCAGTCAGTGGCGGTACGGTATCAGACAAACCGCGGACTCAAAACGGTGATCTGTACGTCTTTATCAGGGTGGCGGCCGATCCCAAGTTTCAGCGCAGCGGCTCCGACGTCCTGTACACGGCTACCGTACCACTCACGACGGCTGTTCTCGGCGGAGAAATCCGGATTCCCACACTGGATGGAGATGTCAAGGTCAAGGTTCCCACCGGCACGGGCACCGGCGACAAAATCACTCTTGGCGGCATGGGCATGAAAAAGCTGAACAGTCGGAAGGGCATGAAGGGTGATCTGCGTGTGGAGTTCAAGGTCCAAATGCCGAAGTACCTAAGCGCCAACCAGCGGACTATCCTGGAAATGCTCGCGGACGAGATGGGTGACCAGAATGCTAAGAGAGTCATGAACCTTGGGAGCATGAACCAGGAGACGAAGGACAAGATTGACGAGGTGGAGAAGAACAAGCACCGGAACGAGGGATTCCTCAAGAGCGCATGGCACAACCTGACGGGTCAGCATAAGGAGCTGGACAAGGATTCGAAGGACAACAAATCGGACGACGAGCAGAAGAAGGCATCCGGCTCGGGCTGAGCGGACTCAGTCCTTCTCCAGCTGGAGCCATATGTGGAGTCGAAGCTCATGTCCGAATGCGTTCGTAAAAATTCCGACTGTACATTTGCGTCCGGAAAGTTCCTTTGACTGGCTGGGGGCACGAAGCCATCTGGTTGCGACAGCTGCTATGGGGGTGATGGCACGCGATGCGTCCTATTGGCCGTTGCGATGCCGGACGTGGTCGGTCTTTGGCGTTTAGCAGCGTTTTACGCGCGGGCGGGTGTGGATGGCGCGCAGAGCATTTTCAAGGCATATCTACGGCGTTTCAAGTGGCCTTGAGCGGCAATGGGCAGAAAATTTTGGGCTAGACTGTGTACATGTAGTATAATAGAGACATCTCTCCTCAAGGGTTGTGATTGGGCGGACGGTGCTGAGATTGGCGATTTGGTAAGCTGCTGGCCAGGGCGGCCCGGACCGCAGCAGCAGAAGGGCGCGTAATTCGGGAGCCGATATGCATGCGGGCTTGACGAGGTCAAGCAATGAGACGAAGGCGCGCATCTCGGGGCGGCAACCACTTCGCAGTCACAGCGAAGCTTAATCGACGATTCGGGCCGGCAGCGCTTATGACGCTACGGGCGGTGAGCTGCAATTGGCCGGGCGATGCGGGCCGCTTTGGAGACCTCCGCCGTGGGTGGCTTAGGCATCGCGACGGCCGCCCGCTGTGACTGCAATGCGTGTGTGGGCGCGTACGGCTGTAAGTGGGATGGTCGGGAGAGCCTCAATGCAAGCGCCAGACTCTAGACTCAGCCATCCGCCTGCACTTTGATTCGCGTAGCTCTTTCTTCACCGACACTGAAGCCGCCGGCCAGCGTTTCCCCACAGCGAGTCGAGACGGAACGTCAGCCAGGCAGGCGCGCTTGACTACTGGCACCATCCCGACCTGCGACGCAGCCACCCGAGCGAGCCCCATCCCGGCTCCACGAGCTGGACATAATACGCTCTGTCGACAGACATCGCATCATTGCTCACCCAGCGCTGCCTGGCCCGGAGAACACGCAAGCCACGACTAAGCCCAACACCACGACCGAGGCACACCCGCCCGCCTCCGCCCAAGCCGCCCAAATCAGCACCTGCATGCCCGCCGCGAGCTAGCGAGCACTGCTGCCAAAGACACCCCAAGCACGGGCGAGCTGCATCGCCGCCCGTCCACCACCCCGCCCAACATGACCGTCTTCGCGCCCATGCTGTCCTGTCCGCTCAAGCAGACCAACGAGATCGACTGGGTCACCCCATTGAAGCAGTACATCCGCCAGACCTACGGCGACGATCCGGAGCGTTATTCGGAAGAATGCGCGACCCTCAACAGGCTGCGCCAGGACATGCGCGGGGCTGGCAAGGATAGCGCCGCGGGGAGAGACCTGCTGTACCGATACTACGGCCAGCTGGAGCTTCTGGACTTGCGCTTCCCAGTCGATGAAAATCATATCAAGATATCATTCACTTGGTACGTCGGCCTCAGGCTTCGCTGACAGCCCCTACGCACAGCTGACATTCCTCTTCCACCCGCAGGTTTGATGCCTTCACCCACAAGCCCACCTCGCAATACTCGCTCGCGTATGAGAAGGCCTCGATCATCTTTAACATATCCGCCGTCCTCTCTTGTCACGCCGCCCACCAGAACCGCCACGAGGATGTGGGCCTCAAGACCGCCTACCACTCCTTCCAGGCTTCAGCCGGCATGTTCACCTACATCAACGAGAACTTCCTGCACGCGCCGTCCACGGATCTGAGCAGAGATACGGTCAAGACATTGATAGCTATAATGCTGGCGCAGGGCCAGGAAGTCTTCTTGGAAAAGCAGATTGAAGATGGCAAGAAGGTCGGCATGCTGGCCAAGCTGGCCAGTCAGGCCTCGTTTCTCTATACGCAAGCAACCGAGGGAGTGCAGGACAATGTGACCAGGGGCATCTTTGAGAAGGTCTGGTTGCTGGTGGTGCAGGTCAAGGCCAACTACATGGCGTCGCTGGCTCAATACTACCAGGCCCTGGCCGACAATGACGCTAATTCCCACGGAGTCGCCATTTGCAGGCTTCATTCTGCAGAGCAACAGGCGAAGGATGCGAACAGGATTGCGAATGCCTTCCCCTCGAGCGTTCCGGCCACTTCAAATCTGAGCTCTGAGACTGGTGGTATTCTCATAGACATGACGAAGCGGCATCTCGTGAATGTTCAGGAGCGTATCGAGGAGTTCACCAAGGATAACGACTTTATCTACCACCAGCCTGTTCCCTCTGAGGCCACTCTGTCCCCCATTCCCAAACTGCCTGCTGCGAAGGCCATCCCTGTTAGCGAACTTTACCAGGGCCAGGACATCCAGAGGATAATAGGTCCCGACATTTTCCAGAAGATTGTTCCCATTTCGGTAACGGAGCAGGCCAGTTTGTATGACGAGGAGAAAGCAAAGCTGATAAGAGCTGAGGCCGAGCGCGTGGAAACGGCCAACGATGAGATGGCGGCGAGTCTGGATTACCTCAAGCTGCCGGACAGTTTGAACATTCTGAAGGGCGGTATGGATCAGGAGATGACAGTTGACGATGACTTCCGGAAATGGTGCGAAGAATTGGCTGGCCATGCTCCCTTCACTACCGCCTTTGACCAGTTGAGCACGGAAAAGTCGTCGATCACAGCGATCCTTGATACAGCTTCGAAACAGCTGGATATGGAAGAGAGCGTGTGCGAGAAGATGCGGTCCAAATACGGCGCCGACTGGACGCAACAACCGAGTGCGCGCTTAACGGCAACGCTCCGAAGTGATATCAAGAACTACAAGACCGCCATCGAAGAAGCAAGCATCAGCGATGCGGCTCTCTACAGCACATTCCGCCAATACGAGTCGGATTTCGATGAAATGCGTTCCGCTGGAGAGACTGACGAGGCGGATGTGCTCTACCAGCGGGCGATGATCAAAGCTGGTGCAGCTCGTGGCAAAGGCAGGAGTAGTCCTGGTACCGAGGGCAACCTATTGGACGACGACTTCGAGGGTGGGCCGAGTGTCACGGAGCAAATTTCAGCCGTTGAGGAGCTTCTAAGGAAGCTGAATTTGATCAAGCGTGAAAGGCAGCAAGTGCTGAAAGACCTCAAGGAGAAGGTGAGCTGAACCCTCCGTTTGACCAACAGACCTTGTCTAATACACTCTAGGTCCACAACGACGACATCTCGAATGTCCTCATTCTCAACAAGAAGCAGATCTCTAACCAGGAGAACCAGCTCTTCAAGGCCGAGCTTGAGAAGTTCCGCCCTCATCAAAACCGGATCCTACAGGCCAATCACAAGCAATCCTCGCTTATGAAGCAGCTCACGCAGACCTACGGTGATCTTTTGCAAGACAAGCGCGTGCGGTCAGAGCAAAGCAAATACGAAGCATTCTCTAGACAGAGGAGCTCTGTCATTAGCAAATACCGCAAGATCTACCAGGCTTTCAACGACCTGATCTCTGGTCTCATGAGGGCGCAGGCGTTTTACTCTGACATGAAGGAGACTGTCGAGAGCTTGCAGCAGAATGTCGAAAGTTTTGTCAACAATAGAAGGGCTGAGGGTGGGCAGCTCCTTGGTTCGATTGAGAACAGAAAAGCATCAGGAAGTAGCGAACAAGCGGACCGGGAACGTGAGCGGATGCAGCAACTTATGGAGCGTATGTCGGTAGAACCGTCACGGTCGCCCGTCTCGCAACACGAGCGGACAAATTCCCGTCCTTCCCCGTTACAGCAGACCACAGCATACCAAACTCCCTACAACCCGGCCAGCTCACCACCAGTAACACCGCGTTACCCGCCCGTCACTGCTGCAGCCCCATCAGGAGGCCCTTACGGCGTACAATCCCCGCCCGGGCACCACCAATCATACCAGCCGCAACCCCCAACGAATGGCAATGCCGCGCCTTACCAACCGCAGCCCCCTCGCCGGGAATCATACCAACGCGAATATAACCCCAATAACTACGGACAGATGTCGCCGCCACCGACACAGCAGTACTTCTCTCAAAGCCAGTACGGCGGCTACCAGCCCCAAGCTGGCGGTAGCCAGTTGCCTCCAGGCTACATTCCGCCGCCTCCGCCGCCGGGTCCCCCGCCAAGTCATCAAAGCGTCGACTACTCTGGATTGACTGGCAGTGGTGCTGCGTATCCCAGCGGTCCAGGTGGATATGCAGCGGGTGGATACAGGGCACAAAGCATGGGCCAAGGGCAGCCGCAGCAGCAAGCCAGTGCAGCGGATCCGTGGGCGGGGTTGAGCGCATGGAAATGAGCGGGGAAGTAGATGCAGGGGGTGAATTTACTTATTGCGTGAAAAGTTCCGTGTCCGCAACGACAAGGTGAAGAAACGGGCATAAGGGAGGGCACATGAGTGGTCTCTTTCGTCTGTATCAAGCATTTCGTTTATTCTTAGCTTAAGTGAGACTACAGTTGAAATATAGCACATCCGCATTGCTTATGTCATGCTGAAAGTGAAGGTCACGCATTAACATCAAGAGTTCAAACGAGTGTCCATTATGTCTGGAAGTGTTTGCTAATGAGCGGCTTCAGTCCCCAACTGCGAGTTCGGCTTTCTGCAGACATTTCCGACCATTTCCCACAAAAACCCTCTTCCGTGCAGCCCCTATACCCTCACTGACAAGGTGTGATGCTCAAGTTGCAAGCAAGACCGACTGAAAGCTTATCAGTGTGATGAGTGCTGCAATATTCTGACATTCTTTGATCGTCCTCAAAGCCCTTTATCACATGTTTAATTAGCACTGTTCGGTAGCATACGGTCCAACTCTTCCACCAAGCCGATGAAAATTGCAGAACCATCACTTACAGATGACGTTCTTCGCCGTGGTAGGAGTCTGTGCAGTAGCTTCCTGGATAGACCTGCAGCAGGTCCAGCAGTCCTAGAAGAGAGTTCTTTCGTCAGCAAAGTGGCTTTGCCTCCTTCGCACAGGAGTTGGGATCGTCCACTCACTCCGAACTGTTTCGACTCCTGTTTTGCAACTTTCTGTTAGCAATCCGTTTCTCTTGGCTTTTTATCCGTAGGTTTGAAGGGGTAGGGAAGTCAGATGTTTGTTTGGTTTGGGTGAGGAGTAAGAGGGAATGTGGGAGAGCAGCGGGGACGAGGAAGAAGTGTACTGCTTTCTGCTTACCCAGTTTTCGGGGCATTGGAGATCTTCGGTAGCACACAGCCGCCAGCAGATCTGGGGCGTGTCGTCGTCGAACGGCATCTGGCGGCGCGGGGAGCACAGGCCGGTGGCGGCGAAGAGGGCGAGGGCAACAGTGGCGTACTTCATGGTGATAATGAGAAGGGATTTATATAGCAAGGCTTGCGTGTTCGTGTAGTTCTGATGGTGCCAGTGGGCTTGATGATGGCGTGATGGTGGTGGATTTGGATGCCTTTATATACCCTTTGCTGTCTCGCCGCTGAGCGCTTGCCGATGGTTCAAAGCAAGGTTGGCACTCTCGATCGTGGAGGTAGATCTCGGCTAATGCATCTAGATATTCCCCTCTGCATGGGCGCGTAGTGTGGTGGTTGAGTTCATTGCGGGGGCGTTTGTGCGACGTAAGGTTGGTTGGAGTAAGGATCACCCATTGCCCGGGATCTTGGATGGATTTGTGGAGTCCGTTCTGCATTGCCTCTGCACATGCATGCGATTAGGTGCGTTCCCGCCAACCGGTCAGTCCATGCTGGGGATGTGCACATGGAGGACATCAGATACTTCTAGACCCTGTCTTGTTTGCTTGCTGCAAAAATGTTGAAATTCAGGCATCGCTGTCAATTGCATTTGCAGCAAGTTTGGCCAATTCCCGGGCTCTTGGGGGAACCCAACTTCAGGCGGAAACGGAAGGTGGGTGGATGAGTCGGCTACCTGCAGCTCGTATCTCATAGCAAGCGGAGAGAAGCTCCGCTCGGTCTGACGTAGTAACTAGAATTGGTGGTGTGTATCGCAGCCTTTGCATGCATAGTGGCTGCAGTGTGCATCGGAAGCTTGACGTCGCACAAGATGCCCGCCGTGCATACCCGCAACCGAGATCTACACTAGCGTACGTGGGAGCCAGTGCAAGTTCAAGTGACTAAGTCTGAATCACGGACGGTATTGTAGGAGAAGGGAAAAGCAATGGTAGGGATTTGGATCCAATTCTGGCTCCTTATTAGCATTGATGGAGAATCACAGTTCTAGCAAAGCGCTAAGAGTACGAACAAAACATCTAGAAGCATCTTGGAAGACCGCATATACGAGATTCTCGAGCGGGGTATAGCAGTCTCTTCACAGCACTGTCTGCACATACACATATCCTCCTCATTCGTCCACGTCCTCAGCGCCACTGTGGAGCATTACATCACGTTCAATATAATGCACTCAAGTGGATCTCACGTTGAGCATTCCTTGCATAGAAAGCGGTTCCCTTTCCCACGTATTGTTGTGTCACCATTCACGATATGCCAGCTAATGCTAGCTACAGGACTACAATAGCTTTCTGGTAATTCCACCAATCCTTTAGCTGTTGCCACATGAGACAATGTTGCCGTTTAACCGGTCAATATTTCCTTAATGGGCTCAACATTGTCTTGTCTGTGATCAAGCCCGAGGGGTATTCAACCTCAACCAGAAGAATTGGGGTTGATGTTGGCAAGTGTAACGACGAAGGCTTGTCGTTTTGTGCCATTGAACCTTGGTAGCGGCTCGGACTCTCCGCATGGAAAATCGGAATCCAAGAGACATAGATCGCTCACCTCAGATCAATGCACGAAGGCTCTCCCATTGTACCGCTAGCATCTGCTAAACGGAGAAATTCGTTCGGTTCCCCTCCCGCCGATGTAAGCGGAGGCTTGAGACGACCTGCATAGACTAACTGCGGACAATCCGGTGCATCCTGCTGGGCAGCGCTGAACCAACTGGTCGTTGATGCGTGCCGAGCACCCGCCTTAGCGTATGGCGATACAGATGCACCCCACTTGCTAGTGACGGGGAATTTCCCAGTTTCATTGAGTCCGGTGTGTAGTACGCAGTGTGGTTGCTGCCATAGGACGCTTTCGTAGGATACTGCTGCAGTCATGGTTTGCGAGTGTTGTGTCAAGTGGCTTGCACTTGGCTCAGATCCTGGAGACTATTCCACCGGGGAGAATTGCCTCCCAGATCGACGGTAGGCCGCGAATGTGACATGCATTCTGGTCAACTGTTTGGAGAAAAGATCCCGACTCTAGCGAGAGCGCGAGAGCGCGAGAGAGAACGAAAAGAAGATTTCAAAATAGTAAACTTCTAAGTCATACTATGGAACTGCTCCTAGTGAGCTTACGGGAATTTGCGATAGACTGTAAACGCTACCAGAGATGACTGTCGGATGAAATATCTGCGGATGTCCACCTCGCCTGCGTTGGCATACATGTCATGAACAGGCATGACTACACTTGATCCTTGCTGTATGCTTCCGCACAATCTCTCGGTTCTCTCCCATGCCTGTGTTAGGTTAAGGAAAAGCGAATTTGATATATGACACACTCGAGCGGGGCTAGGCGAGCACGCATAGTGCAAACCACCCGTGACTCCAGGACGAGGGCACTCCGAGATCGAGCTTCACTAGGCGTCCCACCATGGCCTTGATTAACCATGTGATAATGGCTTTGGCTTACGAGATATTTAGTTATCAATTCGATCTACATTTCCGGAGTCAACTATCCAGATTCCCCAATATCTTGTTCCGCATGCCGAGGAGGTGTAGAAAACACTACTATACGACATGCCAATAGCCAGAGACCCCTCGCCCGTAGTGAGCAACCACCTCCTCCGCGATGAGACGTGCCGAGAGACGGCCGCCAATAACGGAAACAGACGCTCTGTTCTTCGCCCCAAAATAAAAAGTGAGCAAAAGGGAACTTTTTAACCTCCACTCCACCCCATGACAAATGATCCAAAAGAGAATGGATGAAGAAGAAAAGATTATTCCACGCCAAACACGCCTGCATGCCAGTTTTCAATAGCAGAATCCACCATTATCAAAAAGAGAACCCTACCCCGCATTTCCCCTATCGCCTGTCATGGATGACCAATTCAACCAACAATCGCCTTCTTTTTGTGCTCCAACCGGTAATGCTTCTCAAGCTCGTACCCCAGAAAAGGCCATGTCCTCCAGTTCATCTCTACAGAAATCTTCTTTTTCCCATCAATCCTAAAGCACTCCTCCCCATCTTTTACCTCAGCACCATCTCGATCCTGGCCCTCAAGTCGACCGCCAAGCCCATCCACTCTCTCTCCAAGCATCCGCTCTCCTCGACCACGCGCAGCAGCTCCTGCACCATCGCCGCGTTCTCCACTCCGCCAAAAGCATATCCACCGCCGCGCGTGCTCTCGTTGAACCACGCGTCCACAACGTGCACCAGGTCGTGCGCGATCCACTTGCGCTGTCGTCCCACGAAGGGCGCCTCGTTGTTGTAAAACACGCTCTCCAGCACCGCCACTATCTGGTCGTGCGCCACCATCAGGTCCAGGAACACGTCCACCACCCACGTCTGTGGGCCCACGCCGCGCTGGTGCGTGAACGCGTACGTCTCGAGCAGGGGTAGGACGGTCGGGATGTTGAAGGTCGTATCCGACAGGTGCAGGCGGGCGCCGAGCTCGCGTACCGTCTCCGCCACCACTTCCCACGGCCGCTGGTTCTGGAGCGTGGCGGCCTCGTGTGTCTGCTCGAGGAGGTTCTGCCAAGTTGCCCGGATGTTAGAGAGATCGCGGTGATCGGCGACCTGGTAGATCAGAAGGCAAAGGTCGTAGTAACCAGCCTGGTCGGCAAAGTTACCGTAGAGCTGTGACATATGGTCAGAATTGACTTTGGTCAGAGTAGAAACGTGTCGAAGACTTACATCATCCAAAGGCAGGATCTGCCCGTTCAAACTCCTGATGATCTCCGGCTTTCTTTCAGGAGAAAGGCGACGTTCCCCCTTCATCCGGTCTAGGATGTCGCTCTGAATGTTAGCAAGATCAAGTAGATCTGTGGCTTCCCTCAAGAGCTCTTGCCGCGATTGTCTCGACATCGGGACGTCGCCCAGACCTGTCAAGCGCGTCGAGGCGTTCGTCTTGGCTTGACTGAGATAGCGAATGCGATGCTCGAGCGACAAGTCAAATCCGCTCTTAGCAAGCTGGAGCTGAACTTCTGCAGCGTCGAAAAAGCGGTGGTGGTGTGCGTAGTATCTGCACATCAGATCGGCATGTCTGGCCTCCTCGACCGACTTCCGCTTCAGATAGCTGATGACGTAGTGAGAGGTAATTTCCAGCAAGCGGTCGCTCCAGCCCTGTTCCAGGTACCAGTCGAAGAGGTCGTTCTGGAAAACTTCATCTTCAGAGTTGTTGATCTCGTCGTAAGCCTCCAACTTTCTCTTGTAGGTAGGAGTGATTTGGCCGTCGATCGTTTCGGGCTCCGTTTGCGCTGCGGTATCTACAGCGATGATGATTTTATGGACCAGATTGTAGCAGGCCTTGCGAGACTCGAACTCCTTCCTTCTCGGATCCTGCAAGGTATGAGCCTTTGCTAATGGATGGGTTGCGATGGAAAATCTTACATTAGGAAGCATGTTGTCCTTGATGAAGCCAAGGGCCTTGTTTCCACGATCTAGTTGCTGAGCAACCTTTAGGGTGAGACGAATTGCACCTGTCTGTGTCAGTCTATCCGGCGTTACGCATACAATGGATGGCTCAACTTACCAGCAAAGAAAGACATGGCAATGTATTGCTCGATTGCGCCTTGCAGGTGCTCCATAGACAAACTAGAGGCAACCTTCTGGAACAGATTCAAGCTATCGTTGAGCAGCTGACGTCCAGTTTCAGAGTGTGCACCGGCATCCTGAGCCTTTCTGAGCTTCTCCTGGGCCTTGAAGATGACGACATCGTCGGCGCTGCAGAAACTGCCACACCTCCTTCTGAGGGCTTCAGCGACAGTATCGACGTTCGAGCCCTTCTCGATGTTGCGGTTGACGATGGCCTTGACCAACTCCTTGGCCAAGTCTCTGCCTTCCTTGACAGCGAACAAGTTCTCAAAGGTCAGCTGGCGGACTTTGCCTCTGACGTCCTCAGGGAGAGAGAGAACAATCTCGTCGACTTTTTCGTCGAACAGAACCAGAACAAACGAGATGCCCTCGATGACGTTCGTAAGGAGCTTGACAATGGAGTTCATGGCGCGGTGTTCGCCACGCAGAGCAATCTCCTCCTGTGGAGTCGCCACCCGGCCAAGAGCCTCCGGGCCGGCCAAACCTTCGATGAAGCTTTTGTTGGTCTCCAGGAATTCTTGGAGGTGGGTGAGATCACGCTGGATGCTCTGGAGCTTCGCCAGCTCAATGGTGGGCGTGACTTCGAAGCCACCTGCGGCACTCACGCCTTCGTTCAAGATGGGAACCTTCCACACGGAACGAAGGAGACGGGCGATGTAAAGAGCCACACCGTCGTGACGGGGCGAGGGGCGAACGTTGTCCAAGCGATCAGCGTTGTTGTCCAGCTGCAGGTTCTCGTTGTACGTCGGCTTGCCACCATACTCGATGAATGCCTTGCGAGCAAACTCCAGGGTATCATTGTCTGTCAATTTAGCCACCCGGTAATCGTGCGTAACGTCCGAAGCCTGACCGCACGCCACAGCAAGCGCAGTCGCACACGTCTCGCTCCGTCCATACACTCGCACAAAGTTCTTGATTTCCGCCTCGAGACCGTCCTCACCACCACCGGATTTGATAGCAGCCGCGAATACGTCTACGAGTCTGCGACGTCGAATCGTGTGCACACCAGTGTTGGTCAAGATGGCGAATTCGCTTGTAGCCTTGTCAAACTGAACCGCAAGCTCGTTACCAAAGCCAAGCGGCGTGCCTGTAGCGCCGAACGGCTCCGTGACCAATCCAACGTCCTGCATGTTGCTGCCAAGCGGGATCCACTGGCCCTTCTCGTAGAACCTCGGAATTTGCGCCGGTTCAGCGGGTCTTGCAATCCTTCCAGAGTCCGGAGAAGATAGGAAAAGCTTTTCAGCTTGCGAAACTTCATCCCTAACGAAGCAAAGGAAGTAACCGGGCGCGAAGCGTGCGGCCTTGGTTGTGACGGTCAAGTTGCGGGAGTTGGTATCAATGGAGGTCACCTGGTAGCCACCGATTTGCTGGACAGGAGGTGCTTGATTCGCGGGGTCGTTGGTCTTGCCTGGAGGAAACTTGACGTGGTGAACTTGCATGCTGCTCGGCGCGCTCGTGACATCGGTGGAATAGAAGCCGCCGGAGGTGGCGCTAAGGAAAATGCGGCATCCCGTGTTCGTCGTCGCCATGAGGTTCAGTCTCGAGGCCTCGGTAGCCGAGATGGGCGTGAGCGAAGCCAACTGCGTCTGGGAAGTGATGAGTTCGGAAGCAGCAACCATGTGACCGATTTGTGTCCTGATTGTTGCAAAGTTCCTAGTAATTACACAGTCCAGCGAAGCCATGTTCTTCATGTGGAAGACGCGTATCGCAGATAGGCTTGAGAGAGTGTAGAGAAGGTTGCGGCTGTCGTCCACCACCATTTGGACCACGTACTCCTTGGATGCTGGTTGGACGAGGCCAATAACGGGTTTAAGCATCGCCGCGCCGAACGAAAGCTTGAGGGAGTTATTGACGTAGTTAATCATGGACTTGTTAACGTGGTTGACGGTACCGCATTTGCTGCCGAACCATCTCTCTTCCTGCTGGTACGTGAGCTCGTACACGTCGTCCGTGACCTCTCCACCAAAGAAGATCCTGCCCGACTTTGCAGAGCCCTCAATACACCTGACACCAATGCCCCGTATCGATGCCCGCATGTTTGTCTGGTACAGTGCAACCTCGTTGACACCCTCCGGAGTCTTTTTATACGCGACGCCGATCAGGATCATCTCTGTAGTCGTGGCAACGACGAGAAGGTGCGTAATCGCGTCGACGAAGACTTTTGCGCGCGGCTTAACCAGTTTCACGGCGGTGATGATGTTCGGCTGGTCCTCGAAGCCGATGAGGTCGGGATTCGGGAGCGTGTAGTCCCAAAGGTACAGCGCATTATCTATGACGACCCACGCGTGGCCAAGCTCGGCAAACAAACCCATCATGGTCGAAACTTGAGCCTCGTTGTACTGCTCGAATATGCGGTCAGGGATGTTGTACGTCTTGACCTGTTGAAAGGGTGCCAACGCGTTGCTCTTGGGGATGTCATAGTCGGACGATATGCCCTCTGTCAAGCCTGTCAGCCCAAATACCAGGAGGCGCGTAGATACAGGCAGACTTACGCGTTATGTAGCTGTCCAAATCCGGGTATCTCGCTTCCTGCGTCAACGTATCGTTGACAGTCCTTGCAGCGCGCTCAATGGGCTGAATCTCTGGTTGCTGCTGCTGGACTGCAGGGGCGGGTGGGGCAGGCGCAGGCGCAGGCACGAGCGGCTGCTGGAGTTGCTGTGGAGGATTTACAGGTGCCGTGTTGACGCGGAAAACGGGCTGAGCTGGGCGCACTCCCGGGCCAGGCGTCATCATGAAAGCGCCGGGAAGCGGGCGCTGTGGTGTCGCGGGATTCATGTTTGCGCGCGGGCGCGTCGAGGACGCGATGCAGGCGACGGGATCTGAGATATTAAGAGGTCGCCAGACGGCGGAGCTGAAGCAGTCGGGGCGGGCGCAATGGCTGGTCTATGAACATTCATACAAAAGGTGCCGGCAGAAGAAGGATTTGAAGCGGGGCAGAGGTCGGGGCGCGGCGCGTGAAGAGGAGGCTGGGCTGTCGGCGACAGGAGCTGGGCTGTCGGACAACTTTGGTGTTGTCGCGACTTCACCAGAAGAGAGCTCCACGACAAAAGCTTGGCATGATCGGCGGCGCGCGCCAGAGCTCAAGGTGACCTGCACTTTTTGCGTCTCAGCTTCCCGCACCTTCACCCAAGGCCAATTGTTCCGATCACAATTCACCAAAACTTCTTGAGGTGCGAGCCCTTGTAGGAGATTCTTGAGTTATTCGCTGGCGGCAATTAATACAGCTATAGACAAACACGCGCCCGCTACCAACCATCATGTCATTCTCCCTCTCTGCGCATCTGCGCCCTGCGCGCCTCTGCTTCCGCTGCATGCGTGCTTTCGTCCGCCCCTCTTCCACCGCCGCCTCGCCCTCGCCGATTCTCTCCCGTCTCCGTGAAGACATGAAGACGGCCATGCGCGCCAAGGACTCGGCCCGGCTTACCGTCGTTCGCAGCGTCCTGAACGACATCACGAATGCTTCCAAGACCGACAAGCCCATCTCTGATGACATGCTCCTGCGCTCTCTGCTGCTGAAGAAGATCAACCAGTCCAAGGATGCCGCGCAGCAGTTCCGCGACGCCAAGCGCGAGGACTTGGCGGAGAAGGAAGATAGCAGCGCGAACGTGATGAAGGATTACGTCAGTGAGATCGAGGAGGCAGCTGGAGGTGTCGTGGCTGCGGATGAGCTGCAGCGCGCCGTCAAAGAGACGATTGAGAACTGGCAGGACGGAAAGCCTGTTGTTGGCAAGGTTCTTGCAAAGATCACCGGAGCCGGCGGCGTGCTTGACGGTCGGCTGGTGGAGAAGAGTGATCTCGTCAAGGCTATCAAGGAGGCATTGCCCAAATAAGCTCTTCCGAGAATGAGCAAACCATGCACGCATTTGACGAGTGCCTGCACTGGTGCGCTTCTTCACTGCAAGGCGTTAAGGAGCGGTTTGCTGTACGAATTAAGGTACAGTATTCAACTGTACAATGAATGTATTATACTACAAAACGGACGATACCCCGCTCTTTAATGAATGTAAAAGCTGAGCCTGCCAGAGCTTTCTCTAATCTAAAGGAATGAAACAGGTATGGATGGTAGGAAACTGTTCCCAATCTCTCAACCCATGGAATTAATAATACGTATAAAATGAGCGGAAATCTTATGTGTACTTTTGATTCAGGAAATGAGGCTGGTCTCGCTCTTCAGCAGAATGAGTGCCAATCTTTTTGAGGCTGCGCCACAGGCCCTGCTTATTCGAAGCGTACTTACTCTTAAGACGACCAGTGAACGGGTACGGGCGACTTCTGGTAGCCAGAATCGAAACCTCCAGAGCTCGAGCCACCTTGAGCAGAGTTAACGGGCAAGCGGGGACGAGGCGGCCCAAAATCTCCAGGTCTGTATGAATCAACGTGCTCGTGAATACCGGGCGGGAAGTCGTCGATATATGGCTTCGGTGGGCCCGGACGCCATCTGGGTGGCTCGGGATGAGGGCAATCGAACCCGAAACACGGCCTCGGGGGTGGCGGTGGCGGTGGGGGACGAGGGCAGTCGAACCCGAAACACGGCCTCGGGGGTGGCGGTGGCGGTGGGGGACGAGGGCAATCGAATCCGAAACACGGCCTCGGGCGTGGAGGCGGCGGCGGCGGCGGAGGTGGAGGCGGAGGTGGAGGCGGAGGCGGAGGCGGAGGCGGTGGCGGAGGAAGGCAATCGAAGCACGGCTTAGGCTTAGGGGGTGGAGGCGGAGGTGGAGGTGGAGGTGGAGGCGGAGGAGGGCAGTTGACGCACGGCTTCGGGGGTGGAGGTGGCGGAGGCGGAGGGGGCGGAGGCGGAGGAGGGCAGTTGATACAAGGCGGCGGCGGTGGCGGAGGAGGAGGAGGCGGCGGAGGGCAGTTAACGCATGGCGGTGGCGGCGGCGGCGGCGGCGGTGGTGGTGGGGGGCAGGGATTGATACAAGGCGGCTTGCACTCTTTCGGCGGGGTGCACTTGCAGTCTTTGCAAGGTTGCGGTTGAATGGTGGGCTTGTTACTCTGCGAGGTGGTGCTCCGCAACGTCGTTGGCCTGCTCGTCGTTGATCTGCTCGTCGTTGACCTGCTCGTCGGTGACCTGCTCGTCGTAGACCTGCTCGTAGTTCTAGTACTGGTCCTAGTCCTAGAAGTAGGGCGAATACTGGTCGTTCTAGTACTGGTCCTGGTCCTAGAAGTCGTATGACTGTTTGTCGTTCTAGTATTAGTCCTGGTCCTAGAAGTCGTACGACTGCTTGTGGTAGAACTGCTCGTCGTTCCAGTGCTACTGCTCGTGGTACTAGTAGAAGTTCCTGTAACGGTCGAACTGGAAGTCGAGCTAGAAGTCGAGCTAGAAGTCGAACTAGAGGTCGAACTAGAAGTCGACGTCGAAGTCGAAGTAGATGTCCCAGTGTCAGTAGCGGCTACTCCATCGAGCGTCGTTGAGTCTTGAGGTGCTCGACGCTGAATTGGAGGACCCTGTTGGGGCTGAACAGGATGGCCTTGCTGAACAGGATGGCCTTGCTGAGCAGGAGGGCCTTGCTGAGCAGGAGGGCCTTGCTGAGCAGGAGGGCCTTGCTGAAGAGGTTGGCCTTGTTGAAGAGGTTGGCCTTGCTGAAGAGGCTGGCCTTGCGGAGGTTGAAAGGGTAGGCCTTGCCGAGAAGGGCCATTACCGCCACCGCAGTGTGGGTGAGGGTTGGGACGACCGCAAGGGCTTGTTTGAAATTGCTGGCATGAAGACCTTTTGGCATAAACTTTCTCGCACGTCTGGCCCTGCTGAGGGTAGAGGTAGATCTCGGCCTCGAAAACGGCATGACTGTAGCAAGCATAGTAGCCGTCGGTATGGCCACCCCAAGAAATGTACACACTGTCTCTGATCGACCAGGAAGAAGAGGCTGATTTATTTAGTGCAATTCAAGAAAGGTAATGCGGATGGATTTACTAACCTTGGACGCTTCTCCCACACGAGAGCTTCTGAACATCTTGACCCCAGCCACATGAATAGCCCAATCCGTCGGTTACAGTGCCAGCAGCTTCATTGTAGTGGAATGAACCATACGACCACCCCTGTACGCTCTTGATGGTGAAGCAGCTTCCACCGTCCCAGCCTCCAGGGAGCGCTGCTGCAGACACAGCGCCCGCAAAAGCGAAAGGCACAAGACCAACTCTCATAGCAACGACCGTAGAAGAGATGATATCGATACTGAAGAACAAGCCATACCAACGAATATTTATCCTTTGTATTGTGCAGCAAGGAGACGGCAACCATTGCCATTAGCTTTGCTAGCTTCTCCGCAACGACAAGATATCCCTCTACCAGTGTAGAAAATTGCTCAAACCTTATAACCGTGGAAAGGATGCTCTTAGCATGGCAATCATCAGGAGAGATGGGGTGTGTAGGTGCTTCATCTACATGACTGTCCAGCAGTACATTGCAATGAAGAGAGCCGAGGAACAGAGCAGCGGGAAGAACTGGCAAGACTCGCATGGGAAGGAGACTCCGGTGCGATGAGTCCATATTGGGCCATTACATGGTAAGTAAGACGTTTTCCGAGGAGGCTCCACGGGCCGTGCCGACATTGGCGGGCAGCTTCCGGTGATCGGGCCCAAGAAATGGAAGCAACGCCACATCCCTTCCCGGCCATGATGGTACCGGTCTGTGAAGGCGGTAATGCTTCCAGATCACATGAGATCGGATTATAGAACGAGGGGCGGTTACTTCTCGGAAGCTGCCACGAAGTGGGCGGGGAAAGGCGAACCGCCCTGATGACGCAGGTAACCATGCTTCTTCGGAGGACCTAAGAAGACTCCACGCCCTCGACATCTGTAACCCCTTCGCAAGCTCCCTGTGAGATGGATTCCGGCATGCGGGGTTCCTTGTGGTACGTTCTTTCGCCTCTAGCACCGTCTAGACCCAGGCTATTTCTCCCATTTGTCGCGCTCTCTTCTCCCTCACATGAAATCCGTACACTCTTTCTCCGCTTTGATTTGCGCATCAACTTCTGATGTCCGCTCCAATGACACGCACACTGTCTCGTCAATGGACGGCGCATCCCACTCTTGATCTGACCAGTCTTGCTGGACCGCCTATCAACGGAGGAGCGAGATGTACTTACTGTACCTGCAGGACGGTTTCGCGGCGGCAACCTGCATCCATCGCCACGCCAGAGGGTCCAGGCATCAGGCGTCTGCAGATACGGACGCCCTTATGTCTGTCTCAGCAACCGGCATGCGTTGGTAGGGTGGGGACGCAGTGGGCGCGGCGAGTGTGGTGACCTGTCGTTTCGGTGAGGCGGCGGCGGGCCACTGCGTCATGTCCAGACAGCTGCTGTCGTGGGCCACTCTGGGATAGCCATGCGTGCGAGAGGGCGCCTTTGCCCGAAACAAACCGCAGTGAGCCCATCTCCGAGCCGTGCAGCGGAGATTGATGTTGGCTCGGCTTGCTCACCGGCCTCGACAGGGCTCTGTTTGTGCCCAACGGCGCGCGAGAGCGAACATGTCGGCAGCGGGCAGAGAGCAGCGTGCACGTTCGCGCCCGACGGGATTGGGACGACGCAGTGGGCAGCGACTGGCCGGCTGCCAATCCTGTCGCACATCCCTCCACGATGGGCAGCAGCGTCATACTTACTGGCCCGTGCGTCGATCACCGAAGTCCATCAGCACTCCCCCAGCCACCTCGAGCCCTTCCGCATTGCCGCGCGGACGTTTGGGCTATTGTTCTCGTGCCGACTGATATACCTCGTCGCCGCGCTTCCCCGACGCCTCTCCAGCAACCGAACCCTCTCCACCGCCCTTCGGGGCCCCAGTTGTTAAGATCCAAGTCTACTAAACACCCCCGCCTCTGCTGCCAACTTTCCGCCCACCCCGGATATCTTGCACTCTCACCCTCACCACACCATGGCTTTTGGCTACCGCTCTTCCACCGGAGCTCTCGATCGTTTCGACGATTATGAGCCTCCGCCACGCCGTCCCGAGCGCTGGGACCGCGAGAAGTTCGAGCGCATGAGCCGTCGTCCGCCCCACGACGATCGCGAAACGTTCCGCTGGGTGGAGCGTGAGCGCGACGACTACCCTCCCCGTCCTCCTAGGTCGAGGCCCGACGTTGCCCTCGAGGACCGCATTGACGCCAGAAGTTCCCGCGGCCGCTTCGACGAGCGAGACCGCTTCTATGACGATGATATCATCGACCGCCGCGGCCCAGGTCGCCGCCCGGAATTCCTCGACCGCGAGGAGCCGTCGCCTGCGGAGATAGCTAGCCGCGCCCTCGCACCATACCGCCGCAAAACCGTCACTGAGAGGGACTTGAGCCCGCCCGCTCGCCGTCCAGCTCGCCCAGCAATGCTCCGCCGGCAATCGTCGCTCGACACCTTCGACCGCCGCCCGCTTCGGCGCCACGAGGAAAGAGAAGAATGGCGACCACCAACAAATATCGACATTCCTCTGCCCATTCGTCGTAGATCTCCGTCTCGTCGTCGTCGCTCACCTCCCCGGGATCGCTACAGGGAGGATGACTTTGAGGAGATCAGGTACAGAGACGCTGAGCCGGATTACCGTGAGGACTACAGAGAGGTTGAGATTCGAAGAGAGAAAAGCCGTGCGCGGAAGTCTCACCGCAGCGACCGGAGTGAACGCAGCGAGAGCAGATACAGGGCTCCATCCAAGGCACCATCTAGGGCCCCGTCCAGAGCCCCGTCTAGCAAGAGCTCAAGCTCCAGCTTCGAGGAGATTAGAGAGGTCTCGCCGTCTCAGTTACCCGGCAAGAAGGGTAAGACGAGGATGCCCAAGCGCCTCGTCCACAAGAGTGCCATCATTCAGCTCGGTTATCCGTTCGAAGAGGAGGTGAGGCATGAGAGTGCTGCTTCTCCTTCGGTTATGCTGACTAGGTGATAGGAGGACTTTCTCATCGTCAAGCGCGCTCTTGAGAAGCCGCAAATTGACGAAGTCATCAAGATCAGTGAAACCTACAAGGCTGAGGACAACAGTAAGCTGAATTCACTTTTCACCGTCGATTGGCGTCTGACCGAATTGCCAGAACGCACAACCTACCGCTACGAAGAGGAGAAGATGGTCGATGTCCCTATGCCACCACCCCCACCTTCTGTACACGGGACTCAAATTATCGAGGTGCCCCCACCACCACCGCCGCCAATGTCCAGCCACGAGCCTGTCATTGTAGCTCCTCCACCGCCTCCTCCGTCGTCGCACCATACCCATCAAACTCACTACTCTCATCATTCTCACCACAGCCCTCCGCCCCCACCGCGCTCTGTGCGGACTGTATCACCGCCCAGGCGCGAGATCTATGAGGAGCGCATCGAAGAGTCCAACCACATCGGCGGACCTTTGACTGTTGTGGTGCCAGAGAGGCGAAGTGACCGTGAGATCAAGGACGAGATCCGGCGACTGGAGAACGAGAGGAGAGCGCTGCAACTCGAACGGCGGGCTGATGAGCTCCGTCTTGCGCCAACCGAGTATCGGGAAACCGAGTATGAAATCATTGAGGAACGGCCGCGCGAGCGAAACGTGATCCGCGTTGACAAGGATCGAAAGGGTAGGTTGGCCCTGGTCCGATCGTCTCATTGAGGAACTGGATTGATGGATTGGTGGAAACAGTGAGGTCTCGCTCCAGGCCGCCCAACCCGAAACTTGTCGCCGCCATGATGTCGACGCTCACTTGAACCCGTCACTCCACAATCACTAGGTTCAAGCGGGGCCCATCTGGACGGCTTTTCTTTTCACATGAATTCCGAGATTGGTCACTGGTATGACGGTTTCGGGAAGCTTTTAGTTACGGCCCTTTTCATTGCATGCGCCAGAATGCGCCTGGATACGGCTGAGCGTTTCATTATTCCCAGGTTGAAGAGAAATGTGTTGCAAATTTGGGGTGGCCATTTTCTTTTCCCCGAAATACCATAGATGGCAAACACATATTATTAACGACGAGAGAACTGAATGACCACAAATGCATCATGTTGCGTGCGGCAAGTGCTTCAGGCGAGCCGTAAATGCACCTGCTACCTGTTCGAGATCGGAGTAATTCTGGAAATTGTTTGTGCCCAGAGTAAATAATTAGAGCCCAAAGATAGCTAGTACTGAGGTTGGGTTCATCAAGGCCAGATCGCCGTTCTCTTTCTTCATGCGGAAGCAGACCCACGTTTGCTGAGCGGGCAACTCGGACCGGCCCACGACCCCAGACTTCGTCGCGCCCAGCTTTGCGACGACAGCTCACAACGTATACTTGAAGCGCATGACAGAGCCCTCTCTCCACTTACACAAGTTAATTGTGCCCTGGAATTGCCGCGACGGGGAACGATTCGCCTGCAACATGACTCCTTAATACCACCCCGCCACCTGCGACTCCATATCGAACGCCGCAACCCACGACCCGCGCACCTCCAAAGTACGATACGAGAGCCTGCCACCGCATGACACCTTATTACAGCCACTATGCCGATATGCATTGAGTGCAGATATCCTCTGCGGACGCTCTACACTACCTACAGCAAAGCCGACGATCGCGCCTTAGGGAAAGGCGTCCGGCTGACACAATGTCCGCGATGCAAGCGGTTCGGAGACAAATACGTCGAGCATGATTTTGTCGTGCTGTTCATCGACCTCGTCTTGATCAAGCCGCAGGTATGCCATAACGCTGCAATTGTCGTCGAGATATTCGCAGCCAGGGTGCATGTGGTTGCTAATTGATGTGGTTGTTAGGTATATCGCCATTTGCTCTTCAACCGTTTGGGCAGGGAGGATGATCGGTTTGATGTAAGTAAATTCATACAGCTTTGGTATTTTGAAGAAAGAATGGCCACTGACACATGGCGCTTCTATAGCCCTCCATCATTCGGCTCGGCATCCTACTACTCCTTTTTGACGTCTACTTAACGTGGGCCCGCATCGAGAAAGCCGCGCCGCAGCCTTTCTCTGGGGATAATGCTTTACTTGGCCAGGGAACCGTCGCCGAACCCCCCTCGGTGCTGTCCACACAGCCGCTGGTCCTCCAATACATTTTCTTCCTCGGTCTCTGCACCGCGCAGACACTGGCATTCCACCTACCTATTCGTCTTCTATGCTCGCATCCTCCACGGATATGGCTTCCAACGTTCCTGGCCAAACGTTTCCGCTCCTCTAACAGCAGTAGCAGCGTCACACCGCCCTACTTCGCTATCCCCAATCACCCACCTCCCACAACGACCACCATCACGCCCTCCGCCTCCGGAACCACGACCCCAACCGCCTCCATCTCCTCTACAGCCTCCACCAACGCCTCCTCCACCGCACCAGCACTGGCACCTACATCCGCATCCACCATCACCACCACCACCCAACCCACCTCGACGCCTTCCACAACGATGACGACGACGACAACGGCAACCACGACAACCCACACCAGCACCAGCACCAGCACGAACAACAACAACACCAACACGAACACGATCCCCCTCCTCCCGCCCTACCCGCACCCCACGCCGCTCAGCACCGCCCTGCTCGTCTCGTCGTGCACCAAGCTCTTCCCGCTGCTGCTCATCATCTGGGACTACGACCTGCCGTCGTCGGCCTCGGCCGTGTCCTGGGCCGTCATCGTCAACAACGTGGCCGCGCTCGAGATCCTCATGGACTGCGGCTACCTGCGCGCGGGCCTGCTGGTCGGCGTCGGCGCTGCCGTGCGCGCCGTCGTCGGCGAGCTCGTGCTGGCGAGCGTGGGGCTGAGGGGCAGCGCCGCCGGGCTGGGCGCCGGCGACAGCCAGGTGGGGTGGAGGTGGTTGTTCGGAGGTGGGTGAATTGGCGATGAAGAAGACGAAAGTAATTGAAAGGTAGTGGTTTTTTGTTTCTTTCGAGCAGTGGATGATTTATAGATTATACCCGTATATCTTATCTAATTCATAGACAAGGCCATGGGGTAATGAGCTACCCCGGCCAGCAGTATTAAGCAGCATTTGCACTTGAGCAGCTTGATCTATCGTTACTGCGCGTTTCATTCCGATGATCACGTGTGGTCACAGTTGAATTTATGCATAAAAGAAGAATGTACAGCTCCCGGAACCAGAGAACGCCCCAAAAACAAACCAATATCCCAGCTTTCGCTAAAGGATTTCCCACCGATAGTTCTCAAGCTCATAGCTCCACGCCTTCCCTTGCACAAAGTGTAAAGCCTCTTCCATGCTTCTATGCTTGTCGTACATGAGGCGGTACTCGTGGTGCTTCGTCGTGGGACATCTCCCCGCCATTGTTCGAAAAAAGAGAGAACATGTCTGTCCTCTCAAAACAAGACGTTGTGGCCCTCGCCACCCTCAGGCCGCAAATCAGACCTCCGCGGGTTGATGAGCGGGTGCCACTGCGCGAGGAAGGTGATGGCCCACATCAGGTAGCAAGACCAGGCCGAGAGGATGAGCGAGGAGCGCCATACTCTGCAGGAATCGTCAGCAGCTTTCTTCTCGTGAATAGTGTGTTTGGGGGAAGGGCGAAGGCGGTGAGCTTTTTTTGGAACAAAGCCTTGTGATCGAGCGAACGGGTGAGTTTAGGTACGGAGAGACTCGGAGGCGGGGCTGGGAAGGATCAAGCGGAGTGCATCGAGCGAAACTAGCCCAGGCCGACGGCGGTATCGTCGTGACGCTCGTTGTTCTCGAACGGTCCGTTGCTAGAATCCTCGTGCGTCCTCGCCAGTTCTGCGATCCTTCGCGAGCGGCGGAGTTGACCACCGGAGTGCTGAGCGGACATCGGCCATTTCCGAACGCATGCACCTGACGAACAGCAATCCAGCCGCTCTCCGTCCATGCCACATGTCCCAGACTCGCAGAGAAAGCTCCGGTTCCCTTAGATGGCTCCTGGTCCCACGGTATGTGATGATCGGAAGTGATAAGGAAGAAAGACGTGTACTGACGTTTGGTTCTCGCCCTTGGGGCTAGCAAACCACGAGACGGCTGAGAAAGCAACGATGAAAATGAGGCCGATGATCAAGCTCCAACTGCGGAGAGCAAAGTCCGTGTTAGCAGAACCATCCCTTTACTTGCACATCTTTTCTGTGATTTTATGTATATGGTACGATTCGGAGCAGACGCGTTGGGTACGTGGAAAGAGTGCTGGGTTGGTAGGCGGTTCGAAGGTTGGGCTCACCCGTTCGCCATCTTGATGGAAGGTTGCGCGGCAGCGGTCGGTGCGTAAGGGAGGAGAGAGTTAGTCGAAGCTGTGTTGCGCGAGCCGGGATACGGTGCTCTGTCGATGCGCGTTGGGCGATGCAGTCGGTGGACGGTGGTGATGCGGCCGGCACCAGCTTGGTTGGTGCTCCTGCTGCTGCGTTGCGGGCTTGGCGGATTGACGTCCCCAGGGCCGCCCGCGCTTAACCCCTTTGGGAAACTAGCTCTGTATACGAGCTGCTCTACATCAAGAACGCATGTCCATTTTGCCAGCTCACATTGAGAGCTCAGACATCAGAAATCCGATCGCGAAGTACTACTCAAAGTGCTTGCCATTAAAACATGCCCATTAGGCTGGGTATATCATTCGCTATCAACCCAAGTCTTTAAGAAATATGTAGTAGAAATTAATCGGCAACTGTCTTCGTAGCCTCATCTGCATCCGCGGCTGGGCTTTCATTAGGCTTTATTGCCTCTGCCTCAGTCTTCTCGTCCGCAACCTTCTCATGTTCAGACTCCTCCTTTTCGTCCGTTTTCTTGCTGTCCTCGTCACTGGGCTTTTCTGTCGTCGCATCAGGCTTGTCGCTCTCCTCTTCCGTTGTTTCCGCCTCCTTAGACGATTCGGGCTCGTCTTGGCTTTCCTCTTTGACCTCCGACTTCTCTTCATCTTTGACCTCTGGCGCAGTCTCCTCAGACTCAGCTTCCTTGAGTGGGGGTTCTACCTCCTTCTCTGGAGAGGCTTCAGTGACCTCAACGATCGGAGCCTCGTCATCTTTGGAAGCTTCATTTGCGCCTTCAGAGCTCTCGGTATTTTCAGACGACGACTTGTCGTCCGCACTGGCAGGCTGTTCAGATGTATCCGGCTCCGTGGCAAGCTCCTCAGCAGGAGTCTGCGCAGCCTTCTCCGCGGCCTTTGCTGAGGATGCGTCTTCTTCCTCCTTCTCCTCAATCACACTAATCTGGTGCCCGCTTGCTGACGGCGTATGCCGGTGTCTCTTGGTAGTGTTACCAGTAACCAGCGTGGCATTTCCGGCCACATCAAGCTCTCCAGCATTGCCCTCGCCCTTCTCTTCCTTCTTCAGTATTTTGGGCACCGTCTGCGCCGACTCAGTTGGTGTTGACTCGATGCCTTCAGCCTCTGGCGGAATGGTATAGTTGTCGCTCGGGATTAGATTGTAGGTGTCGCACACGACCTTGAAGAACGAGTAGAGGCCCGTCTTGTTCTCCACCTTCCAGAACATATCTCTGTGTTGAAACCAAGCGTGGGCGAAGATGCGATAGACGCGACGGAAGACGTTGGTAAGCTGGCGGATTTGCTGGTGCGCGGTGTTTGCCTCAGTGCCGAGGGCTAGGCGACTGGGGAAGTTCTTGGGCGAGGTCAACGTGTTGGCAGCCCAGTCAAGCGTATGGCAGCAGTAATCGATGGCACAGCACGACTTGGGCGGGTCATGGACGGCGCAGAGGTATTGCCATTCTGAGGCGCGCATCTCGGGACAAGTCTGAGCGGAGCAGGGAGGGTCGTCGGCGAAGAGGGCGATGAGGATGGAGTTTGCATGCTCGGTCAGGAAGCGGCACAGCTCGTAGAGCCAGAGTGCGCGCTCGACGCCAGGCGGCGGCTCGGCAAGCTTCATGGCAGCTGTGCGGTCGAGGGGGCTTGACGTGTTCGAGTCGGAGGGATGCGTGGCCGAGTAGTGGAGGGCTTTGAGATATTCCATGAGCTGGAAGGCTGACTCGATCTGTCGACTCGGGTCAGGTCGCAAGTCAGAACAATTGCGCGGAGAAGCTCACGTCCTTGAGATCGGCCAACGGCGGGCCCTCAGCCATGTCTTGGGCCTTGGTGCCCGGGCGGATTCTCCTCGCGGAGCCTTGGTCAACCTTCGCTTCCTCGGAGTGCTCCTCAGCGATGGGCGACTTGGGTCCCAGCTGGTCTTCGGCGATGGGCGGCGGGCTGGGTAGCCGCGGCGAGCTCGATGGCGACATGGCAGCCATGGTGGAGGGTGCGCGAATGACGCTCCCTGCGATTGGCGACGAGGGAAGTGTCGAGTGGCTGTTGAAATGGTCGAGGTGGCTCAGGCACGAAGCGCTGGACCCGAGCTGCTGGGCCCTAAGACGGTCCGCGCCAAGCAACTGCCCTCTCCCGACGCCCCAGCCTCTCCCGCGCCCACCACCTGCACTCACCATCCCGCAGAATCACAGCTGAACATTATTCGCTTTCTGCCATCTCTTATCAGAATGCACGCCGTATCCAACATGTAACGCAATCAACGCTTGTCGAGCAGTAGAGCTGTGTCAGTAGGTTGAAGATCCCCGAATCTACGATAGCCATACTTCAAGTTTATTTTTTTTCTTAAAAAAAGCAAAACAATCTGTGGGTATTTGGAGCTATCGTCAAGACAAGATTGTCGAATTAAAATTTCTACACACGCGTCCGGACGATAGCTTCACCTGCCCATGACCTCAGCGAAAAACAAAGCAACGCTAGCCTTCAAGAAAAGGAGCACAACCGACAAGAATAAAAAAAATTACGAACTTCCTTGCATCGTCTGCATCCGTTGTGACCGCCACACTTCTCATAGTTTTCAAATCGCTTTGTAGACTTTTATTTTACAAGCGTGTGGAGAAGCTCAATAGAGGCTAATGTTGTAGTAGAATTCCACCAGTTTAGCGTCTAGGGAAGGCAGACGACGGCTGATATCGCCGCGGAATTCCACTAGTTAAACGTCTAGGGAAGGCGAATAACGGCTGGAATTAGCGGGGAATTCTGGCCATTCGACGCATACGACTACTACCGGTATAAGAGCCTTGTAGCAGTAGAAGATCCTTCGGTGCTTGTGGTATGATGCGGTTCAGGCGGTGTAGGCTCAAGGACAGTCTTGCCAGCACGACGAAAGAGGTGGGAGCTGAAAATCTTAGTAGACGGGCGAGTTGGTGTTGGTGTGGAGGAGAAAGAGTGTCGCAGGTAAGATTGATATAGTAGCAACTGGCGCGCCGCGACCTTCTGGCAGGCACGCCTACCTTTGCACGCGTCTAATTTTGCACTCGCTGGAGTCTGTACTAGACCATGAGAATTCGGTATAAAGGATCTTCCTCCGGCTCGGATCTTCCCCTTCTTTACACCACCATCGTATCTACACCTGTACGTGCGTTGAAGCTTCACGACAGCCACTTGAAGCGCTCACAAACCTATTCTCAAACCTCTCCATCATAAACGTACATCAAATGCTGATCAGCGGCCGCATTATCGAGCGTGAGTAAAGCTACGAGTCTCACTTCCGTACAATGTTGCTTCCCCGAGCCACCCAGTCGTTACCAACAACAATCCTCAAGACCTCTCCACCATCCTACGTGTGCTTCGCGTCACATGGGCCAACTCCATGCTGCACGGCATCCCGATGCCCAAGATCCCTCGCGTACTCCAGCCGTTCATGTGCGCGCTCGACATTCACGGCGTGCCGACCGAAGGCCCGCTCAAGACTGCGCTTCAAGTCACCAAATCCATCCGCGTTCGAGGCGATCATCTCCCGCGCGCTCTCAATTCCGATGGCAACTTCCTAGGCGCTATGATCGCCATGGCCACGATGGGCGCAGTCCAGTCACCTGAACGATGCAGAAGGTGTTTGAGGGGCAATGGATCCTTTGGTGCTTCCCACAACGATTGCCGTGTGCTGCGCGTCAACGACCAAATCCTTTTCGATGGAGCCTGCATTTCCTGTCTCGCTCAACAGGGCGTTCGCTGCACATTGGCAAACCGCGAAATCATCGATCTCGAAGAGGAAGACGAGGTGCAGGTCGTCGCTGGGCCAGCGGGCGGTGCTGCGGAGGACGATGATGACATTCAGATGGTTCCCAGCCCGGCTGATGGCATGGTCTGAAAAGCCGCTGGGGAGTCCATGGTTGATTTTCTTGTGGTGGCATCTTCGAAGCGGACTTCTCGGTAGCGGACCTCATTACAAATTTCTCAATAGCAGTTTTATGGTACACTCACACTTACTTGAATCAAACCCCCTTCCTTCCGTTACTACATTGAAAGAAAACAGTAAGATTGGTGAGATTCACAGCATTCCCACAATTTTTGCAGTGCATTCTGGGGAGTATATAGTAATATCTCCAATAAATTACCGGTAATATCATAGTCACATAGACCGCCGCAGCTCCGCCGAATGTACGGCTATCCTCCTTCTCCTCCTATGCTCTGAATCGTAAAAGACAAAGATAAACAGCAAGTAATCGCCATAGTAAAAGTCGAGAGTAGTAACAAAGACAAGAGAAACATCTGAAGATCGTTATCACATGTAACGATCTCGCTTCTTTTTTTCCGCAGCGTCCATCCGAGAGCAACAGGTCACGCAAACCCATAACTTGTTCTTGATGCTCATACATGGATTCCGTCCGTTACATCCGGGTGCTTGACATTTGTTGTCGGCTGGCCTTAAAGGCCTTGCGTCAAGCTTCTTTCTCTGAGCAGCAGACATGCCCTTCTTATCTCGGCCTTTTTCCCTAGCAGCGCAGGTACCGCACAGCCAGAGTCCATTGTGGAATTCTTCAATTTTCGGGTTGGTGGTAGTAGGCTTGTGGTAGGGATGTTGACACAGTTTGTCCTTAGGCCGCTCCGTAAACAGTTCCCGATTCTGTTGCCGCTTGCGTCGGTTGGCGAGATCGGCCTCTCCTGGGAGCTTCCCATTCTTAAACCTATGGTCATAACAAGATTTGCAGGCCCACTTCTTTATGTCGAGCATTCTCAGCCACCGCTCGCCTTCTCCGAATTCATCGCCGCACAGCTCGCAGCAGCTATCCTCTGGGTGAGGGATATTGCGGTCAATGCAGCGAAGCTCACCTTTTCGAGTCCGTTGCTTGCCCTTCCTTCGCGCAGATGCGCAAGCCCCACAAAGCCATTTTTCCAGGGGTTCGCCTGGGCTCAACGATTCTAATTTCCCTCCTCTGGCCCATGGACGACTACACCAAGAACAGACAACCTTGTTCATGGCTACGAGCCATCGACACCCTTGAGAGATTGACCATGTCAGATTCAGTCCTGGCATAATTGGCTGTGGTGATGGATTGAGAGCCAATGTAAATCCGGTAACGACGTTGTTATACCGGGCTCGAATGACAGGCGCGTTTAACGTGGAAGTCGAAAAGGAGTTTGGCACAACAACCGTCCTAAGGAAGACCTTAAATACGGACTCATACGCCACGTTGTAGAAGATGTTAATCCGATTGGCCGACGCGTTCCATAGAGATCGAAAGTGGCGAATGGGCCCCCGACGACAAATCTTGCGGTGGAATTTCGTCTTTTCTTGTCTTCCTTTGGTAATGTCATCTTGGTAGTTCTTCCACCGCTGCAACACACCAAACCGACCATTGGCGGATCCCACATAGGCTTCCAATTCCCCAGCCTCGTCCACGATGCAAATGTAATTGCCGGGAAAGCGCAAGCCTTCGTCGGGGACCTGTGGTAGGTTGATGATGTCTTGGGCGGTAAGGTACGGCGTACCCAACGTGAAGGTGGTCCTGTCAGGCAGCACGGAAACCAATCTCTCTGTCATAAAGTCGATGTCGACACGCCTGAAGAATTGCCAGAACAGCCTCATGACACCGAAGTTGATTTCGTCGCAACTGACGGTCTCGTACTTGCGTTTGTAACATATGTGGGTAGTTGAAGCTATCGTCCGGAAGTGTATGTAGAATTAAAAATTCGACATTCTCGTCCGGACGATAGCTTCAACTACCCATGATATGAACAGAAAATAAATTCACTCTAGCCATCGGCTGTAAGAGGGGACTGTAAATCCCCAGCTACACTTCGGTAGGCTCGATTTCCACGTTGCTTCCGCTTCGTTGAGGATAATCTAACGCAAGTTCTCAAAGGGGAACATATAAAGCAAGATTTTTCATGAACAATCATCCGTCTCTCGCAGTATTGGGTATGTAAACATCGTGTAGCAGCATTGAAGGATTCTACCGCCCAACATTCTTTCGGTATTGGATTGCATCGATGTTGTTACTGAATTCAAGACGTGTATTTCTGAACAGATCTACTACAGACTCTACTCCCCCTTCTTCTCCTCGCCCTTTTCCACCACCCCATCCATTTCTACCGTCTCGTTCTTTTCCTCCACCACCGCCTTCTCCTCGTCGCTCTCCTCCTCCTCCACCTCATCTGGCCATATTGCAGCATCCTTGAGATGCTCGCCCAAGTCGCTTCTCATCTCATCATCCCGCAGCATTCTGCGCACATCGTCGGTGATTTCCTGCTCAAACACGATGTCAATCTCCGCTGTCTCATCTGGGCCCTCGGCGATTGGCTCTTCATTGAAGAACACATCATAAAGTTTTTGCAACCTGAGAGCAATAATGTTCTGCAAGTCCACACAAGCTCTGTCTGCCTCAGTAAAGTTGAACTCGTCGTCGTACTTGGTGCGGAGCTGTTTCGACTCGTCGAGAATATCAGTGGTTTCGAACCATACGCGAATGATCTGTACGACGAGCGGTATGTTGGCCAAATACCATGCCGCCTCGAGGAGGTGTCGAAGGAGCGAGCAAACACGGCGCGCATGGAAGATCTCTTCTGGCCATTCCTCATCAAAAGCCCGGGATCCAAATGTGCCGGATTGCAGGCTCTCTTGCCGGCACTTAACTTCTTCCAGGTAGTCTTTGACCCTTACAGCAGCATTGATTGGCTGCGATCGGACTTCTTCACGCCTCAGCGGATTGTCATCTAGAATTCGACAGCCCTCTAAATATCGGTGACTTGGATTGTAGGAAAGGGCAGCCTCCTCGTCATTTCGGCCAACAAGTCCTTCAATCTCTTTGATATACCGTGCCTCAGCCTCGTCGTTCCCCTCGACTTTCTGGCAGAGTTGTATGATGGCGTCCCAGCTGCGGCGTACCTCCTCGTTAACAGGCTTCTCATACCGTTTGGCGCACCAGAGCGGGTAGAAGCAGCGAGAGGAGGCACGTGCAATTGGAAGCACGTAGCAGAACTGGGTGCCCATTACACTCTCCTCGTGTTTCCCTGCGAGGATGGCGTGTGGCCCAAATGCGTAGTTGCTGTGCCTGAGCTTCCTGGAGATCCAGTCTTCGGTGCTCCACCAGTCCCATCTCTTAAGCGCGGTCGTGCATAAGGATCCCACAGCTGCAAGCTTCGCGTTGGAGTTGAAGAAGGCCTGTAGGTCGGCGCTCATGCTCTCGGCTACTTTGGCGGTCTCCTCGCAGAATTTGCTGAAGTCATCAGATCTATTCACTTCAAGGTCGTCCAGAAGAAGGGTGAGCTCTTCGGCCTTATTTTCAAGGCGTTTGATCTTATCTTTATCCCTATCAGCCTCTTCTGACATCTGCGTAATCTGCTCATCCCTGATTTCAATCTTCTCAGTCAGAATTTTGATCGATTCTTTACTGTTGTCTTGAGTCGTCGCACGGTCACCCTGATTTCGAGCAAGTTGCGCCATGAAGTCATTCTTGAGCTTCTCTTGTGCTGCTCTAGCCTCTTGTAAGCGCTTTTCTGCAACTTGCTTTTGATCCTCTGTGTCCGAAAGCTGAGAGCGCAACTGTTGTACCACGCTTCCGAGTACGGTGGGGTCTTTGGATTCAGAAGTATTCTGCAAAGACATATTTGGGCTCTCGGATTTGAGTTTGAGCTCTTCTTCAAGGCTGTTGACCTTTTTCGATAACCGCTCCACTAGGTGAGTCTGGGACATGGACTTCTCTTCTAGTCGTCTGCTTTTTTCTGCAGCATTCCTTCCCGTAGTCGCGTGAGTATCCGGTTTTTCGAGCTCTGCAACCTCATTATTGTTCTGCATTTCGTAATCTTCAAGGAGTTCCTCGAGCCGCTCGATATTGCGCCTTAGCTTCTCGATCTCTTCTTCCAGCGTTCTCCTCTTGGCCTCGGCCGCCTCCATCCTGGCCCGCAAAGAATTGTTCTCATCTCTGAGGCGCAGCTGATCTTCAAAGCCCCCGGTGTCGTCCTCCGGTGTAGGATGTAGAATCTGATTACTGTCCTCGTCGGAGACTTGTACAGCGGGTGTTGCGCGTCGCCAGAGGCCACTTATTGGCAGTTTTGTATATCCTGCCACCCAAAACACGATAAAAACCGCCGCAAAACCGCCAACTCCGAACGATAGCAACAGCTTCAGCACCAAGTGCCAGTGCATGTACTCGGGCACCGCCTCCGTGGCTGTCTCCTTGTCCAACAATTGTGACTCTGAGCTGCCCATTTCTGTAAAGGGGTGTCCTAGAGCCGCAAGAAATGGCGATATGTTGACCGGGCCATGGGGAAAGTAGTCCGGATACGTGGTGACGATGTCGTAGACGCCGATGACGCCGAATATGAGGACGCAGATGGAGGTGAGGGAGAAGTAGAAGAGATACGTGTGGGGTGGGCTAGGGATGAGGTATTCATATATTCGGCGGTAGAAGCGCTGCAGGCCGTCCTTAACGAGCAAGAGATATCGATGTATTCGGTTTATTTGATCCGTATCGCGTTGGATGGCGAGGAGGTATTGGTGTATTAGAAAATAGAAGCCGAGTGATAGCAGACCGAAGAGAATTAAATAAATTTGGGAGTTTTTCACCTGCGTAGCAGTGCCGGCATTGTTGATTATGGCCGAGAAATGCATTGTGGAGTCTGACGGTTTCTCCACAAGATAGCTGTTGAGTAGTGCTTGAACGAGAGAACAGATGCATGTACTTCTCACAGCTATGACGCAGTGGAGTTTGAAAGGCTCTCGATGTTCATTACAGTTGCTTTATGGGATGTTAAGCGCTGGGTAGAACAAAGAGCTTGATGCGGTCTCAGATGCGGAAATATTATCAATGAGGAACAAAGCAGGTCGGATCCGGCAACTTACATGTATTACGTCTGTGACAATGGGGCGATGTCTCAAGGTGTAAGACCTGATAGGTGAGATGTTCAGGGGAAGCATTTGCCTCTCCGGAATGTGCAGCGAGTCTTGGCATGTTACACTGCCAGATGCAAAGTTGTTGTCTCGCCTGCACGTTTATCCATGAAATATACAACTGACGTGTATTAATTTTTAATTAATCGACATGAAGTACTGAAGGTCCGATGAGCATTCGTACAACGGTGAGGTGGCGCATATAGTAAGTTATGGCTGACAGTAACCGGCACGTGGGCGCAAACGCGCAAACGCAACATAGTATTTGGACAAAAGCCCTGACCAGACAAAACTTGCTCGACTCTCCGAGGATCTTCTCCACAGCCCCTGTTGGGGCTTATCGCCAATGGGTTTAACTCCTACGCCCACCCGGAGATATCTAGCTACGGAGTTAAGCAGCCACGCTACCGTGCTGCACGGCATCATAAGACAACCAATTGGTGTTTCCTCGGTTCCTGGATTGGAACTCTTGATTGGCCCATCAAATGGTCTCAAAGGAAAAACGAAAGCTGCAAAAAACCCTATTGGATGTTGCTTAACTCCGTCAGTCCCATAACCCCGGCCGTTCAGTGACCAGAAAACGACATCACTTACTTCCGCCGTCCGATTTCGTCCTCATGTAACTACGGTAATATAGTTCGAATAGTATATAAGATGAGAACTAAGTAGTAGCAACAGCAGCAACCAAATTTTTGAAGAATTTGTCTCAATCCACTAAGAGGTCAATTCTCTACTACAGTTCACTAGCCAAAATGCCTTCCGAGCCATTGACCTGGTTCATTACCGGAGCGACCTCTGGCTTCGGCTTCGCACTGTCCTTGCGTGCCCTACGCGCCGGTCACACGGTTTACTCAACTGTGCGGCGTCGCACGGGTGGTCGGTACGCCGACGCTGTCAAAACTATCGAAGAAGCCGGTGGGAAGTGCGTTGAACTGGATGTCAGTGATTTGGACGCTGTCCCCAAAGTTATCGGCAGTGTTCTGGATGAATGCCAAGGCAAGATCGATGTCCTCGTGAACAATGCGGGCTACTCGCTACTAGGTCCCGTGGAGGACATGAGGTAAGTACGAGGTATCGCCTTCATGGCGAAGAGATGAAATAAGAGGAATAAGGGAACCAAACCGAACGCTGACTGGAACAGTCTTGAGGAAACAAAACATCAGATGGATACGAACTTTTTTGGGCCCCTCCTCCTCATCCAAGCCGTGATACCTCATATGCGGACCCGCCGCACCGGCACCATAGTCAACGTATCCAGTGTTACCGGATTCCATGCGCACCCCTCCTGCGGTCTCTACTCGGCGTCCAAGTTCGCGCTTGAAGGTATGGGTTGATCCTACCCTACTTAATTCCTGGCACTCTCTGACTTCGGACTGCCCAGGCCTTAGCGAATCCCTCTCCCTTGAGCTCGCCCCGTTTGGCATCAACGTCCTGCTCGTTGAACCCGGCGCTTTCCGCACCAACTTCCTCAATTCCGGCGTGCACACCGAGAAAGCGCTTAGCTCGGCCTACGCTGAGGCAAACCACCCCCTTGCGAAGACGTACGAGCGGTTCAGACAATACAAGGAGCATGGGCCGCCCGGCGATCCCGAGAAGGCGGCGCGGGTGATGTACGAAACCATTGTCGGCAATTCCCATGGCGAGGAAAATGGTGAGGCGGGCGAGCTGAAAGGAAAAGTCCTGAGGCTATTGCTGGGAAGTGATGCGGTTAGTCGGATGGAATCGAAGATAGGAAGTCTACAAAGCGATTTGAAGACCATGAGAGGTGTGGCGGTCACAACGGATGCAGACGATGCAAGGAAGTTCGTCTTGTGATTATCCGGCTCTGTCTCCTGAATCTTAATGTTGGTTTTGTTGACCCTATTTCTGAATGGGTTTAAAGTTTGGGCGGGTTTAAGTCGTAGTAATGGCCAATAAATGCTATTCTCCGCGCTAAACCTCGGTTGCAATACCTCTCTGTAGCGCCCGATAAATTGTCGCGACAGGAGTTTGCGTCATGGCTGGTCACTGTGCCCGCCAGCACGCGCAAAGACACGATGACAGGGCTGTCTGCGATTCGGTCGGATTCGGCGAATCCGAACGCGTTCCTGCAGCAGCGGGAGAGTCAGGATTAGGGTGCATATTTGCCGGGATCGACGAAGCAAGACGCGTACTTGACGATGTGTAGCGGTACCATTGGCCGCGCACGGGCGAACCAGAGGGGAGTGGAAGAAGCGGAGAATCTGCCAGCGCGTTGAAGCAGACGTTCTGACAGCCTTTCGGCGCGTCCATCACATGTGGGGAAGCGGCGAGAGGGAGGTGGATAAACAACGGGGCCAGCGAATAACAGACAGCCGAGCGCTGATCTCAGAAGTCCCTGAAAGCAAGGGACCCACAGGGCGGCATCTGCCATTGGCGAATTGCAGAAAGTGCAGCTCTGGTGAAGTCGAAGGTCGCGTAAATGGCCACAGCCTCGGCTGACAGATCACCCGCCTCCAGCCGATATTGCGGGCACCGAGACAAAAGAAAGCAGGGCGAGAACACGGCCGTTGCAGCAGGGAGCGACGCCACGAAGGGATCTGGATCTCTGGCGAGCGTGTGTGACCAGCTTGGGCAGGGGCTAGACGGCGGCGAGCGGTGGATCGCACAGCTGCTGCTCGCAACGCGCGATGTGCGATCCCCCGCGGGGTTGATCTGCCGTTTCCGGTTGAGTGCGATATCAGGCGGCGGCATAGCACAGCAGCTGTGGGCGCGCGAATGGGGCGGCGGCAGCCCACGTGCGGTGCAGGAATCATCGAGCGCCACAGCGGCCGATGAGGTGACCACATGGACCCCCCGCCGTCTTGCGAGGGCGTCTCGCCGCCGTTCTCCACTCCACCGCAGCTCTCGCCTTGCGTCCGCTGTGCCCGGCTTCTGTCCGGCGCCCCTGCGTGTACTCTTCGGCCCGTTGGTGGTGCGCCGCCTTCACACCACCGGGACCTGACCCGCCGCGCCCAAGCCGACTCCACTCCCGCAACGGAGATTTGCCAATAACACACCGCGTGCCCAGCTCATTTTTTTTTTCGCTGCCCTTCACGATACAAGAGACGAGGCCGCGATGCCCATGTTCCCGCGCAGGAGCCACCGCTCGACCACACTTCCCCATCCACCGATGGCCCATGAGTACAGCAGGAGCTGTACCTTGGTCCGAGTATAGGTAGCCACCACCGCCTCAAAACGAAGGACACGATCCCCTCCGGACCCTCTCTCTCCCAACCTTTCGCCATGGAACACCACAACGAGCATGCCGGCCTCCATCTGGAGCTGCCGCCCCCACCCAACCCGTCGGCCGACACGGGCGTGATACCCCCCATCTCCACGCCCGACGAAGACGCGCCCACGCCGCCTGCCGACGCCGAGTGGGATCCGGCGACGCTCCGCCCGGAGGCGGCCATGAAGATGCTCTGCCGCGCCGTCGTTGCGCTTGCAAACGTCACGGGCGACATCCCCCCAACACCCCCCATCAGCCGCCCCGGCACCCCGCGAGCCGCGCCCTTGCCCACGTCGTCCGGAGTGCGGTCGCGGAGCAGCTCACGGCCGGCGACGCCTGTGCCGTCGGACGACCTGAAGGGCCCCAGGTTCAGGGGCATCGACATGGGCAGTCCCGAGGCACACCACCACGAGCCGTCGGCCCGCGACGTCGGCGTCGACGCCGAGCCCGTCCACGTCCAGCAGGTCGCCATCGCCCGCAAGTTCTACTCCAAGAAGCCGCCGCCCATCTCGCTGCTGGACTACCTCATGCGCCTGCAGCGCTACTGTCCCATGTCGACAGGAGTATACCTCGCCGCGGCCTCGTACATTCACAAGTTGGCGGTGGAGGACAAGATGGTGCCCGTGACCGGTCGGACGGTCCACCGGCTGCTTCTGGGCACCCTGCGCGTGGCCATGAAGGCGCTGGAGGACCTGCGCTATCCGCAGGCTCGCTTCGCCGGCGTGGGCGGCGTGCGCGAGAGCGAGCTGCAGAAGCTGGAGATCAGTGTTTGTTATCTGATGGAGTTTGAATTGCAGGTCACACCGGAGAGCTTAAAGCGCAACACGATGCGGCTGCAGCAGGCGGGCATGCAGGCAACCCTCTGCCACACGAAAGTCCCGACGCTGATGATGCCGAAATTGCCTGGAGCAGCGCGAACAGAAGTGACGGCATGACACATTCGCCATCTTGTCGGCCATGTTGGGGCAAATATGTACTTACTGCGACGGCTGTCCTCGGGGGAGTTCTTTGGAGCATTGGGATACACAGGCATTGTTTTTCGCACTGGGCGGCTGTTTGACGAATTTGCCATCATGAGCACACGTGCTCTCTAGCTTTATTCCCTCAAAGTAGCACAACGGGTCTTTTTTTTCTCCTGATCTACTGGGGCAAAGGCAGAGTCAGTGATGTGCATGAGGCGACCGAGGCTCCACAGCTGATCTTCAGCCGCGCTCGTCACCTAGCGCCACCGTTCGCGGCCGGCTTGCGTGCCCTGGTGCGCGTTTCTCGAAACACCATCGCCGCGCCCAACCGTTCTCACAGCGCGCCAGCCGCCCCCGCACCTCCGCTCGTGCTGAGCTTCCTCCGACCGCAGTCTCTCGCTCCACACCCACCATTCGCTTGCACGAATCATACCACAATCATGAGGCTTGCTCGTTCCGCTCTCTGGGCCGCCTCCCTCATCTCCTTCGCAAATGCCGACGTGCTGTTTACGAGCGTCACCGGCGGCGATTCGTTAACCGTCGGAGCTGGGCCCTCGTCTGTCACGGTCGAATGGACCGACTCAGGCAGCGAACCCAAGATCACCCAGCTGCATAGTTATGTACTGGATCTATGCGCCGGTACGAACGACAACTTTGTAGGTTCCCGGCTGACTCGCTGGAAGCATGTCGCACAGTCTAATACGGGCCGCCCACAGGTATCGGTGAAGACGATCACATCCAAGGGTCTGTTTTGGTTTGGGAATATAGCCAAAGGCATTATATTGCCGACGGATGGCGGAGATGCTGAGAATGCATAGTACGTGTCCGTCGCTTTCATCAATTGCTATGCTGACAAGGCCATCACAGCTTCTTCCGCATCGTATCTTCGACGAAAGACGGCCAGACTTACACGAGTTACTCCCCGCGCTTCACGCTGTACGGCATGACAGGCAGCTTCCCGGAGCCCGTCCAGGAAGCTCTTGCCGCGAACCCCATCATCGACACGGACCCACCCGTTATCGCCATCTCCGACGATGAGTCTGACACTGAGCTGAAGAAGAGACAAGGCGCGGCGCCCATTGGTGCGGGTGTGGCGGCCACGGTGACAGCGGCTGGAGGCAGCTACACTATACCATACACAATGCAGACGGGGTTGACCAAATACGCACCCATGCAGCGTGTTCCCAGCTCGAAGATCACCAAGAGCGACCCATCCCGGCAGTTTCCTACCAGCGCTTATACCGCGTACACAACCTATGCGAAGACACCAACGCAGGTGATGACGGTGACACAGAGTGGAACCTTCACAATCAGCAGCAAGGAGGCTACTGTAAGTTCCCTTGCGTTGTTCTGCAGAGACACGTATGACTGATGCACCATGACAGCAATCGGCGGCTGCTATGCCTACGGATGACATGGCTAAATTCTTGGCCAGGTGGAAGGACTGATGTTTGACGAAGTGCTGAAAACTGTACGATCACGAATGGTTTGGAGTTCCGGGTTTGAATGTTCACAATCAGCTGCTGCGAAACAGCGAGCAGCGCCCTCTTCATACATAGTGGGCACGGCTATACAACCATAATTTCCGAGTAGCATAGAGCGCACAAAATACTTCTAATTGGTTGAGGCACCGGATCGTATCGATTGCCAGAGATCACGTGGGACGTCAATGCTCTTCTTAACCCACATCTTTCATCTCGGCGACGCCGCTAGGCAACCTGAGCAGATTCATCCAACCGAGCAATGCCGGAATTGTGAGAGTTGAATAGCCGTTTGCTTTCGCTTCAATGCCCCTTTCGCCAAGTCGCTTCATAGCCTTAAGCGGAAGGCCCCACTACCGGTTATCAGCGGCCTCATCCCACCTCAAGCTTCCCCGCCATTGTCAGCAGCTGCACGAGCTTCGCGCCAACCAACGCCTCGCTCCTCATCGCAGCTTCTCTAGCACCACCCAAAATCCCGACCAACAGCGCGGCGCCGATCTCGTCCGCCGCCGACAGCTGCTCAATCGGGTCAGAGAGTACCAGCTCACCAGAGGGAAGAACACGAAGACAATCGACGAAATGTCCATCAACAAGCCCAACGTGAGAGAGGTGCTGAAGGGCAAGTACCCTGCCAAGACGCACGCCAGGAAGGTCAAGGAATGGATTGTCGCGAATGGAGGCGATGCCGAGGGTGTAGTTTATCTGGAAGGACAGAAGACAAAGATGAACGAGGTGCGTATTTCCTCGAGCGATGTTTCCTTGTCGAGATTTTCTGCTTGCTGATGCTGCTGTTCAAAGGACAACGACCAGGAACAGCCATTCCGCCAGCGGCGGTATTTCTTCTACCTGACGGGATGCAACCTTCCGGATTGCTATGTCGCATTCGACATGAAGACGGAAAAGAGCACGCTGTTCATCCCGCCGATTGATCCCGACGAGGTCATCTGGTCGGGTCTGCCGCTCAGCCCGGAGGAAGCGCTTCAGAAGTACGAAATTGACGACTGCAAGCCTTCGACCGAGATCAATGCGTACCTCTCCAGTGCTTCCACGCCCAAGTCCACTATTTACGCAATCAGCGGTCAGATCTCAGACGAGACGACTTTCCTCGCGTTTAACAACAAGAATTTCGACCTTCTCAAGACTGCCGTCGAAGAATGCCGCGTTATCAAGACGCCGTATGAAATCGCGCTCATCACCCACGCCAACAACGTCTCGACCGCTGCTCACACGGCTGTCATGGCGGCTGCGAAGTCGGCGACGAATGAGCGCGAACTGGAAGCCATTTTCTTGAAGAGCTGTATCGAGCGGGGCTGCCGTAACCAGGCGTACGGCTCCATCATGGCCAGCGGTACGGCCGCAGCTACGCTTCATTACGTAGCCAACGACCAGCCACTCGCTGGCAAGTTGAACCTTCTGGTGGATGCTGGTGCGGAGAAGGATTGCTATGCTTCCGACATTACCCGCACGTTCCCCATCAGCGGCAAATTCTCCCCAGAAAGTCGCGCTATCTATGAGATCGTCTTGCGCATGCAGAAGGAGGCCATCGAGAGCCTGAAGGCCGGTGTGAGCTGGGATGAGGTGCACTCGCAGGCTCACCGCACGGCCATTTCCGGATTGCTGGACCTGGGCATCCTGAAGGGCGACGCCAAAGCTATTTTCGATGCTCGGACATCTGTAGCATTCTTCCCGCACGGCCTGGGACACTACCTTGGCATGGTATGGTCCGACCCCTGTTTCATTTGTGCGTGCGCGCTGATCTGTTTCTCAGGATACACATGACTGCGGTGGTCACCCCAACTACGCGGATAAGGACCCAATGTTCCGCTACCTCCGCAAGCGTGGCACGCTACCAGCTGGATCTGTGATCACCGTTGAGCCCGGCATCTATTTCTGCAGGTTCATCATCGAGCCCTACCTCAAGGACGAGAAGCACAAGGGCTTCATTGATGAGAAGGTGCTGGAGAAGTATTGGGAGGTTGGGGGCGTCAGGATCGAGGACAACATCTTGATCACGGAGAGTGGCTATGAGAATTTGACCGAGACGCCAAAGGAGACGGCGGATGTTGAGACGGTTGTGGCGGCTTGAGGTAAGATTGTCCATTCCTGGGAGATTCGAATGCCAAGACGGACGTATTCTGATCCTCGGCAGCAACTTTTCAGCGACAATGACGATGATGCATACGGTCTGAATCTACTGTATCCTGGTCTGCCCGATCACTTGACGTGTGTTTCTAACGTCCAAGGTGCATATACACGTACCCACAATTTCCTGAGGAGAGGTGTCAACCAACCACTAGCGCCTCGGACACACTAACGCAGCACCGGGTCCCAAAGATTGCATTCCGACGGCTCTGCTCGCTTGCCTCACCGCTTTTGCCCGCATCGTGACTCGAGTGCCGGTTACCGCGGGCCCTTTTTCACATGTCGAGTGATTTTCTGTGGAACCCCGTGCGAGCCTGCGTAAACACTTCTAATTTCTTATCATCCTTTGCTCAGCCTGCCATTTCTCCAACGTTCCTCCCTGTCTAAGGGGCTTCTATGGAAGCTTGACGATTTCACGCCTTACACGATTAACGATCCCGCAACGTCTGCTCTGCATCTTTTGTCCCTACTTGATACCCCAGCACGAAGAAAAAGAAGAGAAAATAAAAAAAAAATGTCTTCAAGAACAAAACGCCTCATCCTCTGCTGCGACGGCAGCCTCTCCTTGCAGCCCGCTTCGCATTCTTCTCCCTCGTTTCCCGCCTCGACGCACTCAGCATCCAACGTCGCCCGCTTCTCCCGCATGCTGGCCCGCTACGGCCCCGACGACATCCCGCAAATAGTCTTCTACCTTTCCGGCGTAGCGTCGACGCTCGAGCAGGACGTCTCTACCGCTTACCTCTTCCTCGCCGCGAATTACGCCGCCGGCGATGAGGTGGCCGTGTTCGGCGCCGGCAGGGGCGCATCGGCGGCAAGGGTGGTGGTCGGGTTGCTCGCGGAAGCGGGGCTACTGAAGCCGGGGGAAGTGGGGAGGTGGGCCCGCTTGTGGGAGCTGTACATGGAGAAGGTCGGATGGCGAAGAGATGATGGGGCTGCGGAGGAAGGAGGAGGTGGTAGCGGAAGACCAGGGGAGGAGGGGTTTTGGAAAGCGTTGCTGGCGCACAGGAGCTGGAGGGAGCTGGATGAGATGGAGGGGTTGAGGAGGGCCATGTGGGCGGACGTGAGGGTGAGGGTGGTGGGGGTGTGGGATACGGTGGGTGTTTGGCTTCACTCTTTCCTCAACCGCTGGCGAGGACAGAACAGAACAGAATTTTTGCTGACCGCAACAGGTTGGAAACTTGGGGTTTCCGGATACGTTCCTGATCGGGAAGGATGCGAAGTGTCAGCTGCAGGATACGGCGTTGCATCCGCGTGAGCACTCCCCGCTTACGGCCCGATTGGTATCTGTTTTGACGTTGCTTGCCTGCTAGATATCGATCACGCCTTCCAAGCCTTGGCCCTCGACGAGAATCGCGCCGCTTTCGACCCCTCATTGTGGCGTCTCGATCCTCAAAACTCGTCCGACGCCTCCCGGCCACCGAATTTAAAGCAATGCTGGTTTCCTGGCTTCCACGAGACGGTTGGCGGCGGTGCGACAGACACGGCGGACGCGAAAGATAGGACGGACATCGCGGACATCACGCTGGCGTGGATGTGCGATCAAGTCGACGGCCTGCTCGACTTTGACGATGGCGCTGTAGCTGAATTCCTAGGTGCAGAGCAGTCGACCGCTCATCAGAAACAGCTTGACCGCCAGAGTGCTCGCAGGCGCAGTCATCCCGAGGACCGGTCCGAGGGTCCCATGACCACGGCTAAAAGTGGCTTAATGTACACGTTGCTAACCTCCGCGCTCAACATGCTGCTAGCTGCAATCAGCATCATGCAGCAGGAGCCGGACGACAGCGAAGGACCATGTGCCGAGGGGTACGCCATTCGCACGCCCGGCCAATACCACAAGAATCTGGAGTTCGCCAAACGTGTCGAACCGGACGACTTCGCAACGAATGAGTCGATTCACCCGTCCGTCAAGCATCGAAAAGACCTGTTCGCTCTTGCAAGCACGCCGTATGACCCCGCACCGCTGCGGGAGTGGGCGGTCGGAGATGATTGTAATGAGACGATGAAGAGGAAGTACAGCACCGCCGACGAAGGGAAGGAATCCGACTCCACTGCTATGACTGGCTGGTTCCCTTGGATGAGCGCTCTCTCGACCCACGACGAGGATGAGGAGGATGATGATGATGGAGAAATTATCGCCTCCGTCGGAGAAGAAGATGCGGAAGGACGCGGTGCCAACGCCATCAACGCTGCAACGGGGAGAATCCAGGCTGCTGCCGTCCCTCGGAAGAAGCCGCAGCCGCGGTGGGTGTACCGCGAGATCGAGGGAGAGGGTGATGGTGCGGAGTGGATCAGGCCGAGCGTGCCGCGCTCGGAGCTGTTTGGGTCTCCGCTGCTTTCCTCCTCTTCTTCATCTACGTCCTCTACTCCTTACGACTCGCCTTCCGAGAAGGCATTGCCCTCCCGACTCCGGACCCTCATCCCAGCCTACCTTCGCCGGACTCGTGCATCTCTGTCGTCGCCGTTGTGTTTCTTGTTCTTCACCATCTTCTGGCCCTGGTTCTTCCTCTACCATATCTTCTCCTTCTTCTTCCCCTTCTTCCTCGTCCACTCGAAGACCAATAGCACTACTCTTCAGCGCCATAATCATGGGGAAAGGAAGAAGAAGGCGACGACGATGAGAACGATGTCGTTTAACAAAGCACCGCTGCAATGGCCCCACGAGCGCCAGATCGCCCTCCCCGAATGGGTCATCCGCGAGATCCCCGGCCGCCGCAACTTCGAGGCCCAGCTACTACCGTGGTTAGTCCGCGAGCAGCTCAACCGCCGCAACGCGAAGCGGCTGGACTGGCGGAGCGGCGAGGACGTCTGCTGGGCCCGCTCGGCGTTTGGTGCTCTGCCGCCGCCCGAGGACGATACGACGGCGACCGAGGACGGCAGCGGCGAAGGCGACGCGGAGGTGCCGCCGCCAACGTCGACGACGACTACTACGACGACGAGGAAGACCGAGAGCGTGCGCAGCGGCGCCAGCAGCGCTGCCGATGTGGCGCCCGGTGCCACGGCGCCCGTCAAGCGCAGGGCTGGTGGTCCGCTGCACGTGCGGAAGGGCTCCACGGCTGAGGTTGTGCTCGCCACCGCCAGCCCTGCCGTGGAGCGCCGCCAGAGCCAGACGGCTGCCGGCGGTGGTTGGCGGACCGGTACCGGACTGAAGGTCTTGGCCCAGCAGCCTGAGAGGAGGTCGTCGATCAAGAGTCAGAGGGAGACCCCGACTACCGGGTTCTCGCCTGGGCATAAGAAGACGCAGTCGCAGTCTAGCGTGAGCTGGCGGTAGATGGTGGTGGATGGAAGGAAGGAAGGAAGGAAGGAAGGGGGGTTGGTTCGCTATAGAGAATATCCCCATAATCATCTCGGTTAGACTTCAAGAGGAGTCAAGGTTATTTATTTGAGATACATTTGGAAGTACTGAGTATGCCTGTTGGTACGATTGCTACGGTAGAGGTAGTACGAATAATCTACTGGTTCAGGGAAAGTCATATTCGTTTACCTTCGTCTAATGATTCACTTGCGACCAGTGCAGCTCAGAACACCATAGTGAGAATCACGACTGCTTGCTAAGATGGATACGCGCTGGTTGAACATACCCCGGTATTCATTGTAGAAATGCGTGATCCTGGCAACACTATCCGAAGTCAAACTCTATTTATGAAGCGGCTGTCAGCCGCGGGATATACATCCACAACCTATTTACATATTAGCCAATGTTGGATTTACATAAGCGGCTTGCTTTTCAATTATTCTTTCCTAGAAAACGTCCATTCGTGATACTCATAGACCATTCACGAACTATCTACTTTGTATTCCCGAGGGATGGCGGCTAGTGACAAGCACCGCAGCCTTGTTCCTTACATGTGACACGAGTATGCTTATCTATACTATTTATCACATGTAACGGCGATATCGATGCTATTTCAACAGTACCTCGATATTTACCGGAATAAATGCGACTAACCATGGAGTCTTCTTGTTACCAGCCGCACCAAAGAAAAGCTGAGCGTTGCATGATGACGTTTTTCTCGGAGCATAGGACTTGTTCTGTATTGATCTTCCATCGTCGCTCGGTTGTTGCATATAAGCATCAAATGGCGAAGTGCTGTACAATGATGGCATTGGGCTGCTAATATTATGGACATTGTGCACAGATATAAAGGGCCCAAAGATGGCAAAACTGCATGATCAGATGCGCTTTATATTCGCATTTTGCCCGGTCGACAGTGAGGACAGGATTAAGCGACAGGTGGGGCGAAGATGAGTATGTGTATAGCCTCACGGAACTTTTAGGAAAATCATAAGCTAACCCCACTTCCTTCATTAATGTACGGTGAATAGTTTCGAGCTCTCACCGCAGGTACGATGTCTTGATCGATGGACGATTCAAAATGCACCTAAGACGTCCTCTGAGTGGAGTAAGGTCTAAGCCTCAGCCTCGTCCTTCAACAATGCCTTGCGGCAAGATTCTACAGGGAGCGTACGCCCTGATACGAAGTGACCAATCGAGTATCGTAAGATGTATCAGTCGCCAAGCAACTGACTTCGAGAACTGATATCATTGGCGAAAGATTCGTATGACTGCAGAATACATGCTGGAGGAAGCGAGGCAGACAGACGAGATGTTCACCGGTTCATGAGACTTCCGTGATATTGAATTGATTGAACATGATTGGAAACAAAGAATTGCAAGGCAGATATGAATTGGCCCTGCATCAAGGATTCTGGACCAAACAGTTATGACAACCAAGCCACGCTACAGCAGCAAGAGCCAGTTGACCTGGCCGGAAGAAGGCGCAGTAATAAGTGGGCCCTTGCATTTCGAGGGTTGGAGCAGAGGAACAGCAAGGGTTCGGGCCCAATCAATTCAGCAGGGAGGAATGCCGAACTGCTGTGATGACAATTTTGCTACACGGCGATCTCACGAAGGCTTCCCCGTTACTTCTGAGCTTTGAGGCTGAAAGTCCATCAAAAGGGAATGAAAGAAAAATAAACAGCTTCCAAGTTTGCGGGAATTAGCGGTAGTGAGGCCTGTTGACCATTAGCTTCTATGGATTTTCTTCCGTGGTGAAATGGGCTTTACGTTTGACATAGAGGAACTCTGAATCTACCAGCCAAGAGTTCTTGCTTCAGAATGTAGATCAGCGACAAGTCTGACATGGCTCGAGCCTTGCAGACAAACAGAGTCATCGAAGATTGCAGAATCATGCATGGTCTCTCCGTACTTCTGCAGCATGGCAGTGCTATCACTGGAACCAATGAACTGCGGATCCTACAATTGTGAGAATTTCGCCGTGGGAGCCTCCTCACCACTTGCTGGGATACAACCAAGGTGTGGCGGAGCATCATGAATCCCTGGATAGCTCTTGACGGTCTTGAACAAAAATATCACGAATCCCAACACAGCTCTCGGCCACAGCAGAGATCAAATACAACACTTGACCAGGTATTCATTAGTCATGTGAGTTAGAACCCACTTCCTACTTCACCATCCATTTTGAAGATGCCTCGACGGCGCAGGTCGACTGAGGGCGTTGCGACAATATAGTTGGAGCATATTCAGCCTGACGACTGATCCGAAATAGACGTCTGGAAACTTCTTCTACGCGTTTTTCTATCGGCTCGGAGGACGACGGAGAAAATTGAAATAGCCGGCGAAATGATCACCAATGGTGTCTCTGTTGTTGTTTTGGTGTGCATGGTGCATCGTAGGTGATCCACATTCAGGCTACAGGATCAAAATCAAGCCACACTTTATGTCCACAGGTTGCTTACTTGTGCGTCTTACAAGAGGTTCGAGCTGAGAAAGGTTCCGATTCCGGGATGGTGGGCTGGAGTCGAGGCGACATCATCCAATTGGTGACATTGTTGGTGGGCATTCCCGCATTTTTCGGAGCTGCCATCAAGTGCGCAATGGCCTTAGTTGGACGCAGGAACGTACCCAATGGTGAGTAAAAGGTTGTTCTTCTACAAAAGTGACAGATCAGGAGGTTTCGTCTAGCTCGAGGATCTTGAGTGGGGGGATCATGCCGATGGATGAGAAAGGTGGCAAGCTAATGAGACATGAGCAGGCTTATGGTCACTGGACGTTGAAATCGGCGATTTGTCGCAGGCATCCGGCCGGCCTTGGGCCAACAGGATCACTACCCTGAGATCTTTGCGCGAAACAGTTGGAGAGAACAATCAGGTTGTCACATTCAACAGGCCGGCTACAAGACGTCAAGACACTCAGCCTAGATCTTACTCTGGCCTTGATGCTCTGAACATGTCCGTAGCCGCGATGCCGTATGGTTCCGGTGGCTCTGACATGCCAGGTGGTGGTCAATCAACTTTGCTCAACAACGCATCGAATCCGGTCGGTTCGGTGCTTCCATATAGAGCTCCACTGCCGAAGGCTTTGCCCAAAGCACACACACGTCCCCCCGCCCCAGATATCTTGCTGCGGAGGTTCGGCGAAAGGAGTTGGAGGTTTTCAGAGCGTGACCGAAACGGTTTAGATGAGAGCGAGATAGAACCACTGCTCAGATGAATGAAGAGAGCAGCTTGTGGGTCCGCGCGATTCAGTGCTTTTGCAGTACTAGTTTCGGGTTGCTGGTGAGTGGGTGACAGTCATCCTGAAGACGGTGGATCAGCTGTGAGGAGCACCAAGGAATACTTCTCTGTAGATAAACAATAGTGCTGCTAAACAAGTATCGCTAGCTCTCAAAGCCAATTAACAAAAGACCTGAAGTTGGGCAGGCGTGTTCCAGTGAGATCCGAGAGGGAGGATAAACCACATGCGTCAGCCATCAGAAATGTTCTTGAAAACACTGCTGGTGAGTGTGATTGTAAAGATAAGTGACTTGACATAGACGATAGTAGTAGAGATAAACCGAATATTGAGATAAGTGCTGTGTTTTGCACAGTAGGTGAATGAAGGGTGGATTTGCGTACGTGAAGTTTGGAGGGTTAGGTGTGTGTAGTAGAGATTTCAAGCGGTTTTGCGCAGATGAGTGTTTGCACCTTTGCTCATAATATATGGAAACGCGCAGCTGAGTGCACTGCCTCTTGTAATAATATTGACCCACAAGGCACCTTTGCAGGCACCATGGGATGACGCTTCAGGATGCAGCAAAAGCGGGTTGACGATCGACGATTGGTTTCTGAATGCCTGCAAGTGCGGTCACTAGTTGCTTACTGCATCGTGCCATCCTGCAGAGGCGCTCGGGTCTGCCTCGAAAACCAATCAAAACCCGAAAACCAAGACCAACACAGCCTCGCATGAGGAATGCGCACTTGCGGATTTGAGAAGTTATCGAAGACCCATCATTCACGTCCAAGCCTCGACAATTTCTGAAGGCATCCCGAACCCGCATGAATGGTTCGCGACGTTCAGCATCAAGGCAGCAAGCACTGCCTCGCTCAACTCAATCCCACCCGGTCGCCCTTCGACCACGTCTTAGCCCCACACCATGGTATCTTACGCGCGAAAATATAGTAATGGAAATTGAACGCTACTATCCTGGCTCTAATTTTCATCATTCCATTTCCCACTTCTATGTACGTACATGTTATACCGTGCCTATCACCACCACAGTCAACCTAGGCTGGCGGCGCTTCCCTCTCCCTCTTTTTTTTTAGGTTGCAACAAAAGAATCAACATCACCTAGCATACCTACGTAGCCCCTTACCAGGCATTGCTCATTGCTGGAATGCACATTGGTGATTTTTCTCGGAGTCTGCTTTAAATTTCTCATTAGATCGATATTCACAAATAGTCAGTCTGACCAAAGAACGAGCGTTGTTAAGTGCACAAGGCTGTGTTGACCACCATGCTTAGTTGCTATATTATCATCCAGACTATGCACTCTACCAGCAGCAAGCACTGTATATACCATGAGACCTCCGCCGGACCCCGAACATCATGACCGATTCTACGTACCATGGGCCACAAAGGCTGGAGTATAATTGGGATTTGCGCAGTTTCCATGCTTGGTTTCGAAGCCGGCCTCACTTGATTGCCAACCTCCATCTCCCTTTACGGCTAAACCAACTCCTCAGCATACTTGTGATGAAAATCTTGAATTTATTACACTTCGGCGAATCGCGTGGCTGTACTTTAACTTATTCGACGCTCTATGCTGGGCAGACATTCTCTCGTGGTGCTGCGTCTGAATGTTGCTTTGGTCGCTCATCTGTGAAAGTGACTGTAATTTCAGTGATTAGGTGTCGTAGTTCGCTGCCTTGGTCAAATCCCCCTTAATCATCCTCTTCGTCAACAGTGCTATCAAATGGCACTGGCAGAACCCACTCTTCCCATTTCCTGCACGATTCATCTTCAAGCCACCTGATCATCCAATCCACCCTGTCCGTCATGAAGCCGCTTGTCAAGATTTTACCATCGCCACTGCTCGTGGTATTCTTCTGACCCAACTGGAACTTCGTATTAAACCTGCACTCTTTTCCGATCCACGAGAAGCCAATGCAGTTGCCGTACTGGTCACATTCGAGACGGCAATCGCCCCAGTTCTTGATGCGCCTGCCGCTCTTGAGGCCTTTCTTAGTGAGCTTGCGGAACGTCTTGCGATCGGCGAAGTTATCCCAGTTGGGCTTGAGGGATGAGAGCTGCGACATGACGAAGTCTTGAAAGACGTGGCTATGGTGGGTCAGAGGGGTGCCCTACGTAAGAGATCAGTGTGTGAGGATCTCAACGTGGCCTTGGAACGTGAACTTACCGCTGCTCTGGCGGCTTGCTCTGCAGTGTACAAATAATCGATCTCATCCGTTGAGAGACCGTGATAGCTGACCGCGCGATGGCACCACAGCCTGCCAAATTCATGTCTTGCTTCACCCCAATCCATCTGGGACGGGCTGCCACTTTGTAAATTCGGCCACGACCATGTCAACGGCACGCCGACTTCTTTCAATACCCTCCCCAGTGCAGCAGGGCCATTCGGACGACTCGCCGTAATCCTCTCAACGCGCTCGGCGTTCTCCTTATACAACGTGCTCACTTTTCTCGCAGCCTCGACACTCAATACCACACCGGCGCCACCATTTGCAAATACATCTGCACCAACCTGCTCCGGCTCACCCAGATACCACGGCGCGTCCGCGTCGAACATTTGTAGCCATTCTACCAAGTTCGCCCACAGAACGTATGTGTCCGGCTCCACGAAGACAAACCACTTGGCATCCGGCGCCGCCCGCAGCGCCTTATCCACCGCCGGCACCATCTTCCACTTGTCCAACCTACGCCCCGGATTATCCTCTTTCAACTTTGCTAGGAGCTTCTGAGCATTCTGCGCCTTCTTCCCCCCTTTATCACCAGTACCGGCTCCGCCACCACCGCCATTGTTGCCCTGTGCCGGAGCGACGGCTCCTCCCCACGCCTCCAGCTCCTCCTTCGACAGCGCCGCCTGCCCGCCGTCACGCCGCAGCCGATCGTAGAACTCGGCATCCGCGCGCGGCGCGACCTTCCAGAGGTCGACGCCCTCGAGCGCGTCGGCCACGGCGTGGCCGCCGCCAATGGTCTCGGCGTAGTCGGAGTAGACGGCGTAGCGCGGCACGCAGCGCAGCGTCGTCGAGAAGTGCACGGGGAGCTTGGTGCGGTGCTCGACGACGCCGGCCTTGACGACGACGAAGACGTCCGCGATGCCCGGGATCTCCGGGCAGGTTCCGTTCGCGGGGGTTTGCGACGACGGCGGCGGTGGGAGCGAGGAAGAGGGAGAGGATGTGGGGTCGGCGGGCGAGGAGCGGTTCGAGAGGGAGCGGAATTGCCAGAGCAACAGGAGGGCGAGGAGGACGTAAAAGGTTCGGACTGCGGTGCGTGAGGTGCTTCGGGTCGGGGAGCGCGTCCGGAAGGGAATGGTGCTGGCGGAGGGCTTGGCCGCCATGGCGTTGGAGGCGGCCCGCGGGCTGCAGGAGGTAAGACAGAAAGATTGAGTACAATTAAGGAACGTATGAAGTCGTGCCAATGCTCAAGTCATCTGGAAGTCGTTCCAGCGCGGACGCTGAGATGGAGAGTGTCGGCTCGGAATACCATGTAGCTTTCTGCGGGAGGATTGAGGGGTGGAAGCGCGGCGTCGAGCCGAGCGCACCGGCGGTGGCCGGCGACTTGGCTCGGGGAAACGAAGCATGTATCGAACAAGGTTTAATTTGACGGACAGGAGACTGCATTAGGTTGGAGAAGACGCGTCGCTGAATCAGAACGCTGGAGCGTGGCGCGTCATCCCTTATCGCCTTATCGTAAGTAGCGAGCATGATTCGCCCATTCTGCAAGCCCCTTGACGCGTGCTCCTCTCCACTCCGTTCCTAGCAATCATCAGTACTCAAATACACAGGAAAATGCATCGACTCAATCACGACCATCTTCTACGAAGAATAGAACAATGTCAATCTTCCGTACTCGTGATCAGAAAGCTTAGACCCAATGGATGCCACCAATACGAAGAAGCTTCCCTGCTAGCTTCATTCGTGAGCATGTCTCCGTCTTGGCTGATCTGTGGCTTCGATGACGAGATACGGATGGCGTGCGTTAGGCGCAAGCGGACCGTACCGCTGCGCCTCCCCGCTTCTCGGGTCTTCTTCATCACGCCTTCGCCATCCCCGGAGATCATGTTGCTAGGCGAGGATCTGCTTGACGAATCTTCAAAACTTAAAATCCAGCACCATAGATTCATGCTATCTCGGGAAGGATGAATACTCTCTTAACGGGCGATGCTGGCAAAGAAGGCCAATTCTGGAACATGTACAGGTAAATCATTGTATTTAATCTTTATCTACATCAAACAGTTGCCTAATATCTTTCGATAGCTTAGAACTGCTTTACCTCCCTCTTGAACCTAGGTGGGTTCTTGAAGAACTGGTGCCTGGTCTCGTCGTCACGCGCACCATCCTTCCAGTATTCATACTCCATCCACGCATTCTCCGGCATCTGCTCTTCCGTCGCCTTCAGGAAGTGACCCAGCTCCGGCGCGAGCGGGATGACACCTGTCTCCAGGACGTAGTCATCCCACAGCTTCAACAGCTCCTTGAGTTTCTCAGGCTCCTTCTCCGCCAAGTCGTGCACCTCGCCTGGGTCCGCGCGCAGGTTGTACAGCTGCCAGCGCTCGGGACCCTTAGGCTTGGGGATGTAAACGATCTTCCAGTCTCCCTTGCGGCACGCGGCACGACCACATGTTTCCCAGCCGTTGACAAAATCCTCAGCGTGGATGCGGGGCGTATCTGTGGATTTGGCGAACGGTAGCATCGACTTGCCACGCATGCTCACGACTTCCCGTCCTTGGAAAGTCGGGGCTGGGTGCTTGACACCAGCCATGTCGAGTATGGTGGGTGCGAGGTCCATAACGGTGGCGAATGCGTCTGTGATGCTACCATTGCGTTCCGTCGCTTGGAAGTTCTTGGGGAATTGCGCGACACAGGGAACACGCACTCCACCTTCAGTGGTGTAGGCCTTGTACAGGCGTGAGGGCGCCGTCGCAGCTTGAGCCCAGCGCGGACCGTACCAGATGAACGAGTCTCCGGCGCCAAGGTTGTCGAGCGAATTGTTGTAGTACTTCTTGAGGTGCTGGAGCATGCTGCCTTGGACCATGGGGTAGGCCTCGTAGGCAGCGCCTTCGGCACCGTTATCGGACAAGAAGCAGACAAACGTGTTGTCCAGCTCGCCAGTCTCGCGTAGGTAGTCAACGACCTTGCCGACGTTTACGTCAATGCATTCAACCATGGCAGCAAACACTTCCATGGCGCGGCAGGACTTGGCCTTCTCTTCGGGCGTCAAATCGTTCCACTCCTTCACCTCTTCCGCAACCACTGGATGGGGCTCAACATCCTGGGGGATCATTCCCAAGTCCTTGAGACGCTGCAGCCGCTTCAGGCGAAGAGCATCCGGGCCATCGTCGTAGACACCCTTGTACTTCTCAATGTACTCCTTGGGCGCCTGAAGCGGCCAATGGGGAGCAGTGAAAGGGAAGTAACCAAAGAAAGGACGCTCGTCGCCGCTCTCTTTTCTCTCCTTCAAGTATTGCAGCATCTTGTCACCGTAGCCGTCGCTGCTGTACCAGCCATCGGGCAGCTTCTTCACGTAATTCCCATCCTCACTGTGTAGCGCGATGAAGCTCATGGTCATGAACTCGGGGATCTTATCAGGAGACTGGAGCTGGGGCTCGTATGCATAATGGTTCGAACACGCGGGAAGGTGGGCAAAGCTACGTTCGAAGCCACGAGCCTTGGGGGAGCGTTCGGGAGTCAGGCCCAGGTGCCACTTTCCCGCCATGAGGGTCAAATAGCCGGCGTCACGAAGGATCTCGGGCAGCGCGGCCACACGCTCGTTGAGGTAGCCTTCGTAGCCCGGCATTCCGCGCTGAGGAGCTGTTGACATGCCGCCCTTGGGGTCATTCTGTCCGCTGATGTTGGTCCACTCTGGATGGTATCTTCAGCACCGCCTTATCCGCAGGATCGCAATTGCTACACGCACCAATGAGGTTTCCAAGGCCTGCAATGTGGTGGTCGGTGCCAGTCATGATCATGGCACGCGACGGGGAGCAGGCCGCAGCAGCGTGGAAATCCGTGAAACGGATGCCATTTTGCGCGAGCTTCGCAATGTTGGGAGTGTTGATCTCGCCGCCGAAGGGAGAAATGTCACTGAAGCCCAGGTCGTCCGCAACAATGACAAGGAAGTTCGGGCGCTTGGGGGCGGCCATGGTGGATAGAAATTCAACAAACTTGTTTGAATCCTGGAGCTGGCGAACCTGCGCACAAAGAAGAGGACAAGAGGAGGGGAGAGAGAGCAAGAGTCGTGAGGAATTGAGGTGCGGGAATAAGGTGAGGGGTAGAGGGCCTTTAACACGCCAGCTCACAATCGAGGGGTCCACATGAGCTCCTCAAGCTGCGTCAATATCGGCGGCCGCGCGGGCAGTAGTGAGTGATTTGCAGGGGCATTGGCAGGGAAAGGATGCGCCGAAACATCGTAGGGAACAATCGAGTCAGGCCGGACAGTGGTCGAATGGAGGCCGTTGTTCGGGGATGCTTGGCCTGACGCCGCCTCCGCAAGCCGCGCCGGCCCCACTGACGAGGCGACGATCTGCCTAATTTGCTTGTTTGACGATAGCGGCGTCGTCAGCGGAGGCGGTGGGCCAGGGTCGGCGAGCAAGCGACACGGACGGCCGCGAACAATTTATGCGCCGCGCTGAGCGGAGCACGTCGCTGGCGTGCTCGAGGCTTGACCGGATTGCGCTTGCGGCGGGCGCCGAACGGGCGGGCGGTCAGCTGGTTCTTGTGACCGCTGGGCGCGTGCGAGCAGGGATGCGCTGCTTCCCCGCGTTTACCTCTGGCCCCCGCTAGTCCCAATTGGGCCGGCTTGATCGCGCAACACTTGCGGCTCATCACAACATCCTATGCCTGCTCATCCTGCCCCAAAACTCCTTCTTCTTCCGACCAATCGCAGCTGTACCCAGAAGCCACCCGCGCGTCCGTACCATTGTCACGCGTTCAAACGTCGCCAAGTGCCGCTTCCTCGCCGCTCCCGCCGACAAGGTTGCGCAAGCTCACACCCACTACCAACCCGGCTAGGACCTGCGGCGCGCCTGAATCGCATTGCAACCTCGCCCGCAGCTTGGCGCCCTCCCGATGGAACAAAAGCTAGCACCCGTCACGGCCTTCGTAAGCTCCGACATCTCAGAACCTCCTACAGCCAAGTCACTGACACTGCTCATTTGCATAAGACCTGGCTTCCCGAGAAGCGCCCGCCTTCGCGCTTCCACAGATTTTATCCCGTGGGCCTGTGCTGTAAGCTTGCATCATGACCCTCCGCGGCACACTCTGCGCTTACTATGTAGGCGCTATCGCGTGCATTGCTGGCTTCCTCTTCGGATATGACTCTGGAATGTGAGTAGCTCTCACTCTCTTCTCTGGAAAGCTCATTACTGATTCTTGTCTGCAGCGTCGGTAACGTCACCCGCCGCACGCGCCAAGTCCTCGTCGCAAGCTGACCCTCATAGGCGGTGTCCTCACCTTGACCTCCTTCCAGGACCACTTCAACTTCACCCAGGGCCAGAAGACCCATGTCTCCTCGCTCTGCGTTTCTTTGCAGCAGCTTGGTGCCTTTGTCGCCTGCCCTCTCAGCATTCCCCTGTCGCGCAAGTATGGTCGCAAATCTTCTATCTTCGTCGGCTCTGTCGTCTTCTGCATCGGCGCCATGATGCAGACCATACCTTCCCACAGCCTAGCGTGCTTCTACGTTGGTCGCGTCATTGCCGGCCTTGGGCTCGGAGCGATGACGGTTGTCGTGCCGCAGTACAATGCAGAGATGTCCCCCAAGGAAATTCGTGGTCGCCTCGGAAGCTTTTTCCAGATGGCCTTTACGCTGGGTATGACGCCACCCATAATTGTGCCGTACGTGACTGACTTATTATCACAGGCATCTTCACATCTTACTGGGTCGACTATGGTGTGAAGGTCAACATGGACAGTATCGACAGCCAATGGCAGATTCCCGTCGGCCTCCAGATCCTGTTCTCTGGTCTGCTGGCTCTTGGCATGATCACCGTGAAGGAAAGCCCTCGCTGGCTCATCACCAAAGATCGCCTTGAAGAGGCCAAGGCAAACCTCGAGTGGGTTCGCGCTTCAGACGGTCCCGAGGTTGCCAGTGAACTCTCCGAAATCTCCGTGGCGGTCAGAGCAGAGCATGCTGCAACCGAAGGCCTTCGCTGGACGGGTATGTTACCCTACCTGTGTCAGCGGTCCAATTTCTAATCTTTCTTAGAATTCCTTCAGCCATCCGTGTTCAGGAGGCTGTCAGCTGCTTTCGCACTTTTCATGGCTCAGCAAGCTACCGGTGCCACCGCTTTCGCGTACTACAGTCCACAGTACTTCAATCTGCTCACCGGCAACGACGAGACCCGCAGCTTGCTCTTGAGCGGCATTTTCGGCGCAGTCAAAGTCATTGCATGCTTTGCGTTCGTTTGCCTGGCTGCTGACCGTTTTACGCGCAAGTTCAATCTGGCTTCTGGCGCCTTCGCAATGGCTGCTACTCAGATCGTCACAGCTGCCGTCCTCAAGCACAAGCCCATCGATGATAGTGCGGCTGCCGACGTTCCACCTGCTGCTAAGGCCACAGTCGCAATGATTTATCTCTTTGTGATGATCTACAACTTTTCCTGGGGTCCGCTTCCTTGGCCCTACTGCAGCGAGTAAGTCCTACATGCCTTCGTGCAATGCATGTGTCGCGTTGCATTCAGCTTACCGTGGGACAGGCTCTTCTCGAACCGTTACCGCGAAGTCGGTGTCGCTGTTGGCGTGTCCAGTCAGTGGCTCTTCAACTTTGTGTTCACAATTTCCACACCATACATGATCGATAGCATGGGCTGGTAAGTCGCACCAATATTCCGGTCAACTGGATAGCAAACACTAGTCCCAATCCTCAAGCAAGCGGACCCAATGGTTGTTTTCCATCATGCTGACACCAAGGAATAGGGGCACCTTCCTGCTCTGGGGACTGTTCGACATTATCATCGGCTTCGGTACCATTGTACTTGCCAAGGAGACTCGTGGTCTATCCCTCGAGAAGACCGGACAGCCCAAGGGCTTCAAGGACGACAATGAGGCCAAACCTGGCAACGTCTACCGTCGCCCTTCTTCCAGCTCCATTGGCTCGGATAACAAGAACCCGGCCCATGTCAAGGATACTGACATCTAGACGGCGATTTTATCCACGTACGATGACACGATAGTCCCCTTATGCGGGATACTACATGTCTAGTTTGTGGACGGTCCGATTTTCGGGCCCTATGATCGGCCTACGCAGGACGATACCCCCAGGCTTGCTTTTCGCTCTTAATTATCCGGGCGTGATGAGAGATGTTCATTTTCTAGCGAAACGATATGGATCATGGGACTGCTCTTTCTTACTATATATGCGGCCTACTCAGAAGCAACCACAGTAGATACGATGGTTGCGACGGTATAAATTCCATTACTTCTCTTCAACAACAGCTGCAGACCCCATGAAACTTTGATCGACGTTGTGCATTCGTTGACAGAAAATAGGATTCGTAATTCTTCTCGCCAGCCGTTCGCTGAAGTACATGATTTTTCACTAATTGGACAGCGCGTCTATGCATGTGCATGTAGATTTGAGTTTACAGTCGGTCAAGCCAATGTCGGCGGACCTATGATAGCTCTTGTCTACTAAGTGCCACGTTCGACAGCTCAGGATCACAGATCCCAACACACTGGCCCCCACGCGAATGACATCCCTAGCGCGGCGCTGTGCAGTTGCGAAGAATTGCCAGAGAAGGTATGGAGAGGGTTGCAAGAAAGAGGGAACCTGCAGATGACAGCGAAAGCTTGAGATGACGTGCAACAAAAATGACAATCCTTGACTGGGTTGGACTTTTCGTTGAGCAGATGATCTGTGTGGTCTGCGGTAATTTCAGAAACGAAAATATGTGATGCTGTGGATAGGTTCCTACTGAAAAAAAAATATTAGAGAACACCGGTCGCTACTTTTCTGTGCGGCAACAACCTTGTAGATGGGACAAGGATGTCGAACATTCCCCTCTCTTGGGCAGTGATGAAGGAGGAACGGCAAACTGGGTCTCTAAGCAGATCGAATTTCCAACCTAAGCAGTGAGGTGCTCAAAACCTTTCTTTTTGCGAAGAATGCGGAAAAACATGTAGGCTGTCAGTGAATCGGCATATTTGTCCCCCAAAGGCCTCCATTGGCCCAATCAATTGGAGCTTTCATAAGAAGAGCAAACACGGTGAAAGTTAAAATGAGAAGAGCCCTCTGCGGCATTATTGAAATATCCCTATCGGCCACTACCACAATTCTTATTCTTCATTCAATAGGCTTCTTATCCACAGTGACATCTTCGATAATGGTGTTTATGTTTGGTGGTTTCGAGTCCGCAGGTAAATACTGAATTGATGGTGTCAATGATTGGTGTCTGTTGACCAACAAATTCGCACGGAGCCAAACGACTGTCTCTATCTTGCATAAAATCCAACAGTATCGCTAATAGTGTATATAGTATTGTAGTGTGCATTCCGGTCGTTAAATGAATGCTGGATAATTGAACGATATGTTTTGAGGTGTGGTTTCCAAATGAGGAAGGTGATTACCCCACCTTTGCTGATGACTCCCGCTGTCAGGCAGAAAAGCGTAGGGCGCGATTGACAAACAACCACGAACGGTCACCGCTGCATAAACGCTAGAGGTAAAGCGGTGACTAAATATGGTAACACCACATTCGCCATGCTGCCTGAGTAATGTCCTTAGTACGATGCACGTCAGCATCTTTTTTTGACCGTTTATCCAAACCTTAAATACCTAAAAGACCACGACTCAACTCCCCTCCTTCTCCCTCTTCCATACCCCAAAGATGACCGAGTACACCCCTCCCCCCGTCGGTCATCGCTACGCCAACAAAGATGACTACCTCACCGCACGCGCGGCCCTCATCGCGGCCGAACAAGCCCACTCCTTCAGGGCGACTCTCTCGCCCTCAACGCCGCTCGAAGCCCGCGCCAACGCCATCCTCCACGCGCTGAAGCAGCAGGACGAAGCCGAGCTGCACACGATGCACCCCAACGGCACGGGCTTCGAGCTGGGCCACAAGTTCCTGCACGGCCTGTCGACCATCGCCTCGTCCAAGATCTTCGCCATCGCGGCGCAGGCGCCCAAGGGCGCCCTGCTGCACTGCCACTTCGACGCCATCCTGCCGCCGGAGCTGCTGCTCGCCGACGCGCGGCGCAACCCGCACATGTGCATCCGCACCGACGCGCCGCTGACGCACGCGGGCTTCTTCGCCGCCGCGCTGCCGACCTTTTCGGTGCTGCCGGCCGCCGAGCTGAGCGCCGCCTCCGCTAACGGCGTCGATGTCTTCTCGCCCACGTACGTGGCCGGCTCGTGGATGCCGTACGCGCGCTTCCTCGAGCGCTTCCCCGGCGGCGCGGCCGAGGCCGAGCGCTGGCTGCGGGCCAAGGTCGTGCTGCACGCCGAGCGCGCCTACGCGCCCGAGCAGACGGTCGACGGCATCTGGGCCCTATTCAAGCGCTCGTTCGCCGTGCTGCGCGGCCTGGTCGGCTACGTGACGGCGTGGAAGGCCCACTTCGCCCGCGTCTTGTGGCACCTCGCCCGCGACGGCGTCAGCTACGCCGAGATCAGGATCCCCATGCAGTGGCAGTTCTTCGTCAAGACGGATGATGCGAGCAGAGAGTTGAGCAGGAAGGAGATGGTGGGCCTGCTGAAGGAGGTGTTGGACGAGGAGGTGCCGAAGATCAGAGCCGAGGGGCTGGTGTTTTGGGGCGCGAGGTTTATTTATGGCAGTTTTCGGTTGTGTGAGAGGGAGAATATGCGGTGGATGATGGAGGACTGTATCGAGCTGAAGCAGGAGTATCCGGACTTGATATGTGGTAAGTGTCCCGTGGCTCCTTGTCTACTGAAAACTGAAACTAACGTACACGTAGGATTTGATATGCAAGGTGAGCGCCCCATCCTTGTTTGAAAAGGCTGATATAGCATTGAGAAAAAAAAAAGAACCCCCCGCAACTGACCCATCGGGGCACATCAACAGGTCAAGAGGATGATGGCCACTCGCATCTCCACTGGATCCAGGAGCTCCTCGACTTCCGCGCCCGCTGCGACTCGCTCGGCCTCGACATCCCCTTCATCTTCCACGCCGGCGAGACCCTCCAGCCCAGCACCTCCCAAAACCTCTACGATGCCATACTCCTATCCACCAAGCGCATCGGCCACGGCTTCGCCCTACCGCAGCAGCATCCCTACCTCCTCCAGCTTTGCCGCGACCGCAAAATCGCAATTGAAACCTGTCCCATTTCCAACGAGGTGCTCGGCCTCGCGCCAACGGGCATCCGCAACCACCCCCTCCCCATCCTGCTCGCCACATGTGTGCCGTGCACCATCAACACGGATGATCCTGGGTGCTGGGAGGCGAGCATGAGCCACGAATGGTATCAGGTCATGGTCGGTACTGGTGGCGGCGACGGAGAAGCGGGAGGTATGGATTTGAAGGGATGGAGGAAGCTGGCAGGGTGGAGTTTGGAATACAGCTGCATGCCAGATGCGGAGAGAAAGGAGGCGGAGAGGGTGTTTGAAAGGCAGTGGGAGGAGTTCTGCGGGTGGATCGTTGAGACGTACGGGGCTGAGATTGAGAGTGGAAAGAACTAAGAGATCTTGTGCGAGAGAGAGATTCTTGGTAGATGTCTGGGGGGCGTTCTCAACGGCATTGGGTGTGGCGTACTCAACCCGGACTTTAACATCCGGAAAACCGTCTGCTTTTAGTTTTGCATCTTCGTAAGCGCCTCAGAACCAGTGTAGCTCAACAGCACGAACAGAAAACAGCGTAGGTTAAATACCAGGCTGAACAAATAAATAATAACGGAAATAGTTGGGGGACGATTTATCAATCTTGCTCTGAAGGTGCAACACCAAAGACTATTTCGTTTCCATTCCTATCAAATCATACATCAATCAAAATCAAACAAATTATGTGTATTTCAGAAGTGAATGAAGGCATAACACATTACAAGAGCAGTAAAGTCGTAAGAATAGAGGGTATCACGTTGTCCTCGCGTCCCAGGTCACAAAGCGTTCTCTGACGCTAATAGACTGCAACGCGCACCGTATTTCCTTATAAGAAACATTAGAGAGATAACACAGTCGTTACCGTCTGGAGTTACGAGTAATGTCCAGGCTCGCTTCTGCCCCGTTCTTTGCAAACGCTCCACAGAAGCAAAAGGGGGTGTCCACCGTAGGCAAGCCTGGGGTCGTGGGTGGATGGCAAAAGGCAGGAGCGGTAAGATGAGCGGATGGCCAGCAAGCTCAGGCATGAATGGCCTGCTGAACATGAGGATAAACGCTGATCATGCGAGCGTACAGGTCCGGGTGATCCCGCACGAGGACCTCTGGGTCCCAGGCGCAGGCGACGAAGATGGTGTCAATGCCGCTACTTAGTGGCGTCGTGAAGATGTTGCAAATTTGCAGGCCGATCAGGAAAGCAAATGCAACAACCACAGGGGTGTAAGCGCCGTCTTGGTTATAGGCGGGTGAGGTGAAGATGAGATAGAGGTAGGCAAGGAGAGCGCAGGCGTAGGCGATGAAGGTGGCGCCCATGCCGAGGACGGGACCGATGAGGCATTCATTGACAAGAGCGTCAATGCCACGATCCTTGATCATCCTGTGAACAGGTCAGTAACTTGGTCAAATATGTGTGTAGGGGATTACTCACTTCCAGGTATCCTTGGCAGCAGCAATATACGATTTGCCATATAGGGCAATATACGAGAAGGCGTAGCGATTGAGGAATTGAACGGCCCAATCGAGAATGCCAATGATGCAGCCGAGGACGCAGAACAGAATGGTACCGATAAGGTTGCCCTCGGAAGCTTCTTGTTGCTGGGCGATGGAGCAAAGCTGACGCAGACAGTTGATTATGGCAACAATGAGGCTGCCAAAGCTGATGGATCCGAAGCTGTAGGTCATGGAACGCTTGAGAGCTCCCCTGGTGGCGCCTTTCGGGAAATTGTTGGAGCAGAAGTACCATGAGCCGTAAACGCCGGAGATGGTAGTGTGGATAGTGTTCTTGAGCCACTCGGAGATCCAGTACATTGCAAAAGTGATGAAAACCAAAAGACCAATAACCTTGCCTTTGCCACAACCACCGGCACCGGTGTTGCAGGCAGGGTTGTTTCCTGGCTCATACTTGACGTAAACGGCGACCAAAGTCACCGCGTACCAGGCGCCAAAAGCTGCGCCGATCAGACCACCGATTGCGCTGACCAGATAGACATGGCCGTAGTTCTTGGAGACGTCGATGGCAGTCTGCAGCATCAGGGCGCTAAAGGGGATGCGCGGGATCCAGCTGATGAAAGCGATGACCATAAAGATGGAGAAGAGCAGGAAGACGATTCCGCCTGACCAATAATGCCTCGACAGCATGTAAATGGCGGTGACGAAGCCGAAGATGATGTTCAGGATGCCGGTGATCCAAATGAACTGTTTGGTAAAGGCGCGGGCGAGCCAGACATAGGCATAGCTGAAGACGATGGCAATGCAGAGACAGAAGATGAACAGGACGATGGTGTTGGTTGTGAGGCCGAAGTTGTTGGCGCCATCGTAGATACCGCCGCCATTGAAACCTTTGGTGTGAGCTGAGGCGCGCGCGTTAGCGAAGGCGGTAGTCTGAGCGCCTTGTTGTACTCACCGTATCCCTGAATAGAGACGGCAGACACGACGACGAAACCCAAGAAGACGAGGATGAACTGGAGGAAGTGTCAGTGCTCAGTCGCTAGTAGCCAAGGCGCAGTGGAGCGTGCGCGCACCAGAATGCCAGCCCATAAGTCATTGTATTTGGGTTTGTCCAGCTTGAATGCCTGATCGAACGACGGCTTGTCGGCGTAGGCGCCATTTGGGGGAGGGCCATTTGGAGGAGGATAGTTCTGGCCGTAGTTTGGAGGCGGTTGCGCGTATTGCTTGTGAGGGTCGGGCGGCTGCTGGTAAGGCGCGCTGTTGTTGTAACCATTGGTGTAGCCTTGTTGCTGCTGGCCTTGCGGCTGCTGGTAGTAGTCGGCGGCGGCGCCGTTGGATGCCATGGCTGCGTCGCGATCTCACTCTGCAAGGCGGGGTGGTAGGCAGAGGCGCAAGGTGTGGGATGAAGAAAAAAGTAGAATGCGGAGAGAAAGAGGGCGGGAGGACGATTGGCAGCTCCCATGACAGCATTGTACCTGCCTCCCTGCACGATCGGCCCGCCGCTTCGCCAAGACGGGTAAGGTGCCGGTGCCAAAGGAAGACCCACTCCACAAGCTTCGCTGGTGCCGATCAGCATCTGATCGCACCGTCATCAGCTAGCCCTTCTCTTCGCCATCTACCTCGTTGATCAAGCGCTGCCTCCGGCTGAACGAGCGACTTCATTTCCCAGGACAACCCTGCTTACGCAGTCGTGTCACCTCAATTTGTCAAGTGCAGTGCGGGGTCGCCATCATCTTCAGTGCAAATATCATAAGCATCGCCCTGATATCCCTCGTGCCACACGAGGAAAGACTGTGACTCGCAGCGTCGCTACTGAGCCGCCTCGATGCGAAGTACAGAGGTTCTCGGTAATTGGCTCTGCAAATACGTCCCTGACGAACGGGATCGGTATGATGTCAATCAGGGTAATGCTGAGCGCAAGCTATAAACGTGGCATATCCGACTTTTGTGGAAATCCAAAACCCAGATGGATTTCTTAGAAGTCTGCCATGCCTCATTCACAGGATTCACCATATTCGTTCCTTAAACTTAAGGACCCCGGCCACGAATATGCCAACACAAAGCACATCTCCTTTCTCTTTGCCCAGCAGACACTCTCTGCCGCCACCTTCGGCTATGACTTCTTTCTTTCACTTCCGCCGGATTATACTGCGCTGACGGACAAGAAATGGCCCATGATCATATTCCTCCACGGGGCTGGCGAATCGCAAAGAGGTCCGAACGAATCCTATGCCTGTCTGCGTCATGGGATTCCCAAAATCATCCTCTGCTATGACAAACTTAAGGACGGCTCTGACCCCAGCGTGAGCATACCCATGGCTGAGCGCTTGCGTTCTCGAAAGTCCAGGTCAGACCTTTCAGCCACCCCTGTCCCACCCGACGTTTGCCGCCAAGTGGCCGAGGAGTTTGTAACTCTGACCCCCGTTCTCGACATGGGTAAGTCGCATTGCCGTGTATCCTATTGGAGTTTATGTCGTTCTGACTATGCCCTTTCTAGACAACGGCTATGGCTGGAATGAAACCATCCTGACTTCGCTCCTCGACGAAGTCCTCCCTCATCTCCGCATCGACCTGCAGCGGGTCCACCTCACTGGTTTCTCCATGGGTGGTGGCGGGACTTGGGAACTAGCCTTGCACACGCCAAATCGCTTTGCCACTTTGACCCCTATCTGTGGCTACGGAGACACGTTGAGAGCGAGTCAGATTGCTCGCATTCCGCAGTGGGTGCATCACGGCGAACGGGACGACATTATCGACATATCCCGCAGCGAACGCATGGTTACAGCGCTGGAGAAGGCCGGTGCCGATGTGAAATTTAGCAGGTATCCAGACTTGGCCCATGACTCCTGGACCGAGACATACAACAACATGGACTTGTGGACGTGGATGCTGGCGACTAAAAGCGAAGCACAGGTGGAGTCGGAGATTTTGCCAGAGGGAGACAAGGCTACTGTCGCATAGCGTGGTAAGGATCATCGGATCACTAATTCGAGCATTTCAAGTTGGTGCTTGTGAAGCAAGTGCGTTGAGGTGTTAACAGTTCATGATTGTTTGGACTCTATCCTCCAAATATAAACCCGAGCCTCCAGATTAAGCAGCCTACATTAAGGAAGAAGGGCTGACCAGTCTTCGGACTTGAAGTACTCCTCCAAAGTGCTCATGAGGCTCTCGGCGCCAATCTGAGCAAGTGTTACGTTAGCTTAACTTGAGCAATAACAGGGCTGAAGGTCGACTTACATCTTTGGGGTACAGAGTATCGGTGTCGCCGCCGTCGTAGCCAAAGTCACGGAGATAGAACCAGCATTCTGCCAGGTGATCCTTAAGGTCATCGTCGGCCTGGATCAGGTCCCTGAACTCCTGCGGCGAGACGATTTTGATCCCGCCGTCGCCCGCCAGCTTCTGACCCAGCGTGTGGGCCCAGATTGCCATGAATTCGCGGTAAGTGCACACCTGGCTGGCGGCCATTAGCCTGGCTCCTGGCTGCACGTCCTCGATGAGCTTCCTGACGAGGGGCCCCGTGTCTCTGCGGGTCCAGACGAACGGGGACTTCCTGGAGCCGTCGGAGAAGTCCAGATGCCAGTAGCCTCCGGTCGCGGGATCCCTGCAGATCTCAGTCGTCGGCGCGCGACGCCAGTTGTCGGTGTAGAGGCCGACGTGGATGAAGCTGGCCTTCGCGCTCAGGCCCGACGCCGCCATGGCCCGGTCCTCGCGGACGAAGCGCTCGACGGCGGCCTTGCTGTCGAAGTGCCACACTTGCGTGTACTTGCCGCCCGAGAGCCGCGAGCTGTCGGGAAGGCTGCTGTACACGAAGCGCTCCAGCGTGCGCTGCACCTCGGGCGCCGCCGCCGCGAGCGCCATGTTCGTGCCGCGCTGTGTCTCCAGCTCGGCGCACTGCTGGTTCGCGCTGACGCCGCGCGTTGCTGCGGCCGATCTGACTGCCGGGTCGCCCAGCGGGGCCCAGTAGTCCGTCATGGCGAAGATGGCGTGTGCGCCCGTGAAGGCCGCCGTCAGGGATGCGACGTCGTCCTGGTCCGCTCGCACGAGTTCGACGCCGCGCGCTGCCCATTCCTGGGCTGAACCCTTGGAAGGATCGCGAGTGATGGCGCGGATTCGCCAGTTGCTGTCGTTGATGAAAGCATCAGCGACGCTGCCGCCTTGGTTGCCTGTAATGCCCACAATGACCAGAAGCTTCGACATGGTGAGTTGATTCTTGGAAGACTGATGAAGTAAATGATACGATGAGTTTGATGCTGTTCCTAGGTAGTATTTTGAGCCTTATTTATGCGATATTGAAGCAATAGCATTGATTCTGTAGGGGTCAAAACGATTATTCATCACCTATTGCAAAATTGTGAGCGTCGGGCGAAATGGAACGGACGCTAACTAGACTTGTAAGTCTTGGGATAGCCATAGCAGGAGGTGGTCGAAGGAAAACTTGAGAAACAGAAGGTGGGAATGCTCCAGTACATCGACAGCAGATACAGCCTATCGTAATTTATCGGCCAATAGCACCGTCCGTTAAGATTCGTCCGATTCGAAATAGGATAGAGACGGGAGAAGGTAGCGACCGAGAAACTCCCGCTCTCAGTTCTCCACTTCGGCTTCTACGGACAAGTGAACATGTTCAACGCTCCGTCCCGAGATAGTTGAGTAATCAAGAATCTTCGCCAATCTCTCGTGAGGTCCGTTCCTGCCGGCCTGATGGAGACGGGTGAACATATAAGACAGGTTGGCAATGGAGGAGAGTCGCCAGTGTGAGTTACACCAGCGACGTTATCATGGATTGGAAGACTATTGCAGAGAACAAACGCAACTCGATCATCGACAAGATCCCAGAGGAATGGCGCATCCCTTCTTTCCCCCCGCCAGAAGCCCTACCAGATGTCTCGGGAAGCTATATACGCCAATATCTTACTTCGCGAGAGGTGGATATTACTGAGACGGATGCAGTCGGCATAATTCACAAAACAACCACCGGAGAATGGACGGCCAAGGAGGTCACGCTAGCCTTTTGCCATCGAGCTGCCTTGGCTCATCAGATGGTGTCCTGCCTCCACGAAATTTTCTTCGACAATGCCATAAAAGACGCTGAGCGTTTGGACGCCTACTTTGAGCAGTCCCGTAAACCAGTCGGGCCTCTCCACGGCCTGCCCATCAGCCTCAAGGACTCCATTCACGTCAAGGGGGTCGAAACTACCATGGGCTACGTTGGCTGGATCGGAACATTCGAAGGCGAAAAGGACAGCGAAAAGTACAGGAACGTAGAAGCCGACGTGGCAACTCAATTGCGCACCCTGGGGGCAATCCTGTACGTCAAGACTAGCGTTCCACCAGCGTCTTGCAGTGCCGAAACCGGCAACAACATCATCGGCTACACGACCAACCCATACAACCGCATGCTCACCGCCGGCGGTAGCTCTGGTGGCGAAGGAGCCCTTATTGCCCTACGCGGCAGCCCAGCCGGATTGGGGACAGACATCGGCGCATCCATCAGGCTACCGTCGCATTTCAACGGCCTCTACGGGTTGAAACCGAGTTACCACCGGCTCCCACTCAAAGGGCTGGCGACACCAATGGATGGCCAAGATACTTGTGTTTTCGTCGTCGGCCCTATGGCAACAACATCGAGGTCCACCACACTGCTCATGAAGAGCTTGCTATGCTGTGAGCCGTGGCTGAGCGACCCACTGGTGCTCGAGATACCTTGGCGAGACGAAATATATCTCGGAACGCTTAAGACAGCCAGTGGTGCAGGCAGAAAGCTATCCTTCGGTATACTCCGCTCTGACGGGGTAGTGAATCCACAGCCACCGGTTGTTAGGGCGCTGGACATCGTGGAAAGCGCAGTCCGACGCGCTGGACATGAGATCGTGAGCTTTTCATTGCCCAGGTACCCCGAGGCCCTCCGACTCTTTTTCGGGACATGCTTCATAGATGGCGCCGCCGACGTTCTCAAACAGCTCGCCCTCTCTGGAGAGCCAATGAACCCTGTGATGCCCCCTTTCTTCCATGTCGATGCTCCCAAAATCCTGGACGCGACCGAGATTATGAAGCTGAACAAGGCGATCCGTGAATACCGTGCCGAATTCTTGGACCACTGGAACCGCACCGCTGAAATCGCGGCAGCGGGACAGCCTGTTGATGCTATCCTCATGCCCGTCTTTCCCTCAGCCGCACCGAGGAAGGGCAATGTGAACTGGCTGGGTGAGCCTTGATTACAGCATAAAATGGCACGCACTAACAATCTGCGAAGGATACACGGCCATCATCAATCTTCTCGACTACGCGTCTTATGCAATCCCAGTGTGCCGAGTTGACAAAATGATAGACCTGCACAGACAATCCGAACATGTATCACTCGGGGAAGAAGATGATATTGTACACCGTGACTGTAAGTAAATCGAAACTCGGATAAATTTTATTACTCACTTTCCCATCAGATGATCCTGAGTTGCACCATGGAGCCCCTGTAGGACTACAAATTGTTGGCAGAAGGCTGCAAGAAGAGAAGGTTCTTGCCTTGGGAGAATTCATCTCTGGTGCTATGTCAGGCATTGATGCTCAGGCCTAATTGAGATGCTCTGTGGTATGCGATTCTAGGTTAAATCAATCGAAGAAAAAAGAACTGATGGAATTCGCGCTTGATCGGTCGTTATCTATGAATGAATGACTTGATTGCTTAGTTACTAAAATGCTCGTGCTATTGATCTCCAAGACGTCTTAGAATGAATGGCCAAGCTAATATGCTCATTTGTAACAACTTATTCAAAGACCCGCGGCACAGCCTCTACCGTTCAAGCAATCGTGACGTATGTCCACTCAAGTCAATACTTCTTCCCTTACCCCTCAACACTTTCATACTAATGTTTGTGGAGATAGAAAAATTTATCTAGCATACCCAAACCCAGGACGAAACACTCAACATCAGCACCCCCCACCATAACCCCCGGCCGTACTCACCGTAACTCGGCCCGCAGTACCCCGGCTCAAGCCGACTCAACTTCCGACCCATCCGTGCGTGCGGACCCGAGAACTCTCGTCTCGAACCACGAGCGGCCAACCCGCCGAAACGAACGAGTCAACCGGTTATATAATTAGTTAGTGGAAAACACCCCACCTGCCCATCCAGGAAATCCGGAAGCCCACCAAGCATGTGAAACCCCCCCCACCATTGAAATTCTCCGGTGTGTGGTCCTCACCCACACACCGCCCGACTCGCTTCCCGCCCAACATGGGACCCCCACACACACCCAAAAGACTCGCGGCCCGAAAAACTGGGCATCTGAAGGGTGATGAGAACGTGCACGATTTATTGGGGCACACGGATTCCTTTCAAATCCTCCTCCATTTGCATCAGCTGCAGGAACAAAAAGACCATCCCACCTGATGCATGAACCGGAAATCCTACAGTATGATGTGCTTTAAATGCCGCCGCGGCCGGGGCGCTTACCAGCAAAAAAGCGTGATCTGATTAGCTGGTAGGTCACTTTCCCTTTCCCACCGCGTATTGCCCCCCGCGAGCTAACCGGTACGGACCGAGGTGTAACGAATCGGGAAAATGATTCCCCTCCAAACGCGCAAAGCCGGCCCGCGTGACACCGCCTTCACTACTACATGCTTTATCAATACTCCAAAATACTGCAACGTCCGTTGGGTGGTCAGCAGGCGGCACGGTAGCATTTCGGGCACGAATTATGTGGACCCGACCATGACCACCAAGTATTACTCAGCACCCGTTTCGTGCAGGTGGAAGATGGATTTGTGGTCGCGGGAGAAATCGGGAGCGGCCCAAGCTTTCATACCGGTGAGCAATTGAGACGAAGAGGAAAGCAGATGATGTTTAATGTAGCTCTATTATGTTTGTTATCTATTGCAGGCTCTACAAGAAAGCCGCAACAATGGTCTTCGGGTAAAAGGAAGACAAGAGCCATGTCTGGAAAGCTGCCTGATGATCCCTGTCGCATGTTCCTAGTTGCTACCGAATCCTACTTCTCCTGCGCGCATGCCCGCTTTGCACCAAAGTTGATAAAGCCGATAAATCAAATAGGGGGAATAATCGTGAAGAAAACCGAAAAGAGAACAGCATGGTGCGCGAATGCTACAATGAAAAAGCAAATATAAAGGCGCATGGAGAAGAAAACGACGAGCTGCCATCAGCAACCGTCATGAAGCCGTAACCGTTTTTCATATCCGTGAAAAGGAAATGCAGGGACTACTACCTCACTCACAGCTTCGACGAGCTCTGCACCTTCTCCACCTTCTTTAGGATGTGCGGGAAGAGAGGGTGAGACTCCTCCAGACCGGTGATCTGCATCGTCGCCTCCTTCGCGTTGTTGTCCTTGAGGATCTTGGCGAGCTCGAAACTCTCATCGTCGCCCTCGACGTTCTGGAAGCGCAGAGCCATCTCAGCGGCACCGAGAAGGTTCTCGAAACTCTCGCCCATCTCGGCGAGCTGCGAAGCCGGGCCGATAAAGCGTTCCTTGCGGGACAGCTTGCGGAGAGGTGCACGGCCGACACGCCTAACGTCGTCTTCAAGGGCCGGGTTGGAGATGCGCTTGACGATCTTCTCGACGTAGTCATTCTGCTCCTCTGCCGAGATACCGTGCTTCTTGACAATCAGGCGAGCAGTCTCGCGAAGGCAGTCACGGACGATGTCGTGAATCTCATTGTCGTGCATCGAGTCGTGGATCAGCCTCTTGTTGCGGTTGTAGCCGTAGTAAGCAGCCGAGGCGTGGGAAGTGTTGACCGTGTACAGCTTGCGCTCGATGTAAGGCTCGAGGTGGTCGACGAAGTGAACGCCGTCGATCTCTGGGTGCTGAACACCCTCAAATGGCGGCAGCTCAACGCACCACTCGAAGAACTTCTCGATCTTAACGTTCAAGCCGGCGTCGGGGTCCTGGTGCGGGACAATGCGGTCGATTGCGGAGTTGGCAAAACGCGCCTTGGAGTCGATATTTTGCTTGGTTTCGTCCGACAACCTCTCCTCAATGAAGCCCCGCCATGTGTTGGTTGCATTGATCGCGTTCTCGCAGGCAATGACGGCCAGAGGGTAGTCGAGCTTCCTGGTCTCGATGCCCTTGGCAACGGGCTCGGCAATGAACTTGAGAATGTTGGGTCCGACAGCGCAAGTGACGACGTCGGCGGTTGCGATCTCCTCAATCACCTGGTCAAGCTTGTACTTGCTGTTCAGGGCGCGGTAGTGGTCGATCTGGAACGTCTTCTCGCCGTCGTCGCCAATTTCCGTCACCGTGTAGCTTTTGGTCGAGTTCAGGGCGTCGATGATCTTGTCCATGACATCCACGAAGATGACTTCATAGCCGGACTTGTGCAAGCTGCGGCAGTCAGCATGTGCTCGCCGGGTGCGCCCTCAGCGGGGCGGGATGCAAGGGCGGATACTCACAATTCGGCGACGAAGCCGCGGCCGATGTTGCCACCGCCGAAGTGGACCGCCTTCTTCTCGTACTTGGACATGGCGTAGAGCGGGAGAGAGCGAGGTGGGCGCAGGAATGCAGGGGTTGAAGGTGGGTTGGTTGCTGGGAGCAGATGTGCGTCAGGACGAGGCTTTTGTATGCAGGCGAGTGCGGAGGAGTGGAGTACGTACCAGCAGGCGCAGAAGTGAGGAGAAGGCCGAATGGAGTGGGCTGGGGGTGGGTGCAGCAGCGATGTGTTTATGTGGTGCTGAAGGCGGGCGGGCAGCGGGGTTATGAAGGCGGCGGGGCAGCGGCGGCGCACCAATGGGGGCCTGCAGGTTGTAGATGCTCAGCGGCAGGAGCGCACGGCGGTAGCACATTCCGCGGCGGCACACGAAGGTTCGTGGCACAAGCCAGCAAAGGAAGGGACTGGGCCGGCGGCCCGCCTCAACAGCATCATGCTCACGCTGTCACTCTGCGCTCACTTGTACGGCCCACGCGCGGCGCCGTTAATACCGCAGGCGGCGCGCCGTGAGTGGCCACGGTCCGCAAACGTTCGGGCGATACAGGGCTGGACAAGGCTAACGCTGCTCGGGCACGGTGGAGGCTGCCCAAATTGCCAGGAAGAAGCGGCGGGCTGGGTGACGCTGGTGCTGCGAGAGGCTGTGCACTGACGCCCCCCTCGCCGCCCACTTCCCCGGCGCGACGTCATCTTGGTTAGCTTCCGCCAAATATATGGGGCCCGTCCGGAACAGGCCGCACGGAGCCAGAGCGCTGCCAGTGCCTGCAGCGGCTGCAATGAAGCGCGCGGGCGGGCGCTGCGTCGCTTGTGTCACATGCGGGAGCAGCGAGCGCGCGTGTTGTTCTCAGAAGGCTCGCGGGGGCAGGCGCGACTTCGACGGCCGACGCGCGACGCCATCACGGGGTGGCCGTGTTCGACCGGTGACGAAATCCGCTTGGGGGCCCACTCGCTGCGTCGGCGCCAGGTCTTGCCGCTTCACGATGTCACGATAGTCCGAGATCTGGTCACCGCCTGCGCGATCGCAATCGAGCCTTTCCTCCCTGTTGCACAATGCCACCTTACGCGGACCACCTGCACGCGCCTTGCTTGAAACCTTCGCGGTGACACCACGCCGAGCCCAGCCTACTTTTTTTTTTTTTAATGAAGGAGCAATGTGTTATCTCATTTCCTAATCTGTCGCCCCATCTCTCTCTTTGGTGATTCGATCACCCGTTTGCTCCCAACAAACCCACAAACCAGTTGCCGGAATTCGGCAGCGGCGATGACTCTTCATCGCAAACTGCGTCACTGCGCTCCAGTCTTCCAATTCCAGCACCACCCGCCCCTTTATTACGCCATGCCGCCGTTCGCCTTGAAAACCTGGCCGTTGACCCATCTGGATCCTGAAACAAAAGCGATGACCTCCGCTATCTCGTCGGGCTCGCCTATCCTGTTGAACGGGGTCCAGCCCTTAATGGTGTTGAGCAGCTGCTCGCTCTTTCCCTCAAAGAACAGCTCCGTGCCCGTCGGGCCCGGCGCTACAGCGTTCACGAAGATGCCCTTGCGGCCCAGGTCCTTGGCCATCACCCGTGTCATCTGCTCGATGGCGCCCTTCGTTGTAGCATACAGAAGGTAGTTCGGCATGATGCTCGAGAAATGGCAGACGGACGTGCTGATGAGCACAACGTGCGAGCCCGCCGACATGTGCGGCGCCGCTTTCTGGATAAAAAGAAGTGGATTAGCCTAAGTTTGGTGCAGTCGGTCCCATAAGCGAGGGATGAGGGATTAAAAAAAAAAGATCGCGGCGCCGTACCTGGCAGAGGAAGTAGGGCCCCTTCACGTTGAGCTGCATGGCTTTATCGAATTGCTCCTCGGTAGTGCCAGCCAGATCGCACATTTGCAACACGGCGGCGTTGGGGATGAGAATGTCGATTTTGCCGAACTTCTCGACCGTCTTGCTGACCAGCATCTCCAAGTCGGGAATGCTGCCCGCGTCGGCCCTGACGGCAAGAGCACGGTCGCTACCAATCTGGCGCACCAGATCGTCGGCCTCTTTGGCGGATGAGGCGTAGTTGATCACGACGCTGGCGCCGAGTGAGGCGAGCCGCAGGGCTGTGGCGCGGCCGATGCCTGCCGAACACGTGAGAATGGTCCCTGAAACGGGGTGGACAGATCAAATACCCTTGGACGCGCCTGTGATGACGGCGACCTTTCCTGCAAGGCTGTTGGCTGGGGCGGACATTGCTGTGGTCTGTGTTGTGATGGTGGAAAGGGAGAGGTTTCGTCTGATGCTTGAATGCTCGTCTTCTGCGAGCACCACGAAGCAAGGTGCTCCCAATTTATAGCTGCGACCCCGCCAGGCTACTGCAAGAAGAATGCTCTACCATAGCGACCATAGATGGTCGGGCGGAGTTTAGGAGATAGCAACAGTAGTGCTGACACTATCCACTATCCAACGCGTCCTGCGCTGATCACCCGCAAGCGCCGCTTCAGCCCGTACACAGAATCCCTGGTGTTTGCAGTAGACGAATGACTCAAACTGCCTCTTTCAGTTAACATGCTTCCCTGTGCGTCGCTTCGGCTAGCTGACGTAACGTCGCGTGAGGCCTGACGCCGAACGCCCGAATTTATTGTGGGCTTTGGTGACTCTTAACAATGATTTCGAGTGGGCTCATGAAATTGTCTCCATATTCGCGCTCTGGAAAAAGAAAGAAGTGCGCTGCCAGCTATTGTGAGCCCCGCTTGTGTTGGTGGCGTTTCTGCGCCGCATTCTAAGAACCGATTCGCTTTTGTGGTGTTAAACCCTTTAAGCCCGCAAAATCCGCCCATCTCTATGAACAAAGAACGCGGAACCTATCCTGCATGTATGAATAAGTTGGGGTCTCTGTATAAGCTGCGGAACTGTTCCGCTTGTTCGACTTGTTCGTACTGACCGTGCGAGACTGGGGCCAATCCAATTCCGCTCCAACGCTACAGTCCCCTCTCGAAGCCGATGGCTAGCGTGAAGAATAGCAAGGCCCCAGACGTAACTATGCCTCAGCCCGTTCTTAGAAAAAATAACATATGTGGGTAGTTGAAGCTATCGTCCGGACGAAAATGTGGAATTGAAAATTCTACATACACATCCGGACGATAGTTTCAGCTACCCATGACATGAGCAAAAAAACAAAAACAAATCCACGCTAGCCATCGGCTGCGAGAGGGGACTGTATGTTGAGCAAAACTAATTCCGCATGGAAAAGTATATTGACAGGGGGAAGTAGGAGAGATAGCGATTTGCCATGTACAGCCATGAGAAAACTCGTTACATCTCGTAATCTAAGTCAATCCAGCTCCCCTGTGCATGCAATTTGCTGTCGCCACTACCCAAAATACCCCATGTCGGCATCTTCCTCCCTAATTATTCCTGCAGTTGCCAATGCCGAAGTCATGGAAGCCATCGAAATAATCAACGCCGAGCTTTGCGAAGAAACCCACAAATCACACCCTCCGCCTCATTCTCCTAGTCCACAATCTTACCGTGTCCATCACCGAAAACATATCCAGACCAAACTGCTTCGCCTTCCTAGCAAGATGGTTGGCGCCGCCTTTGCATTCGCACTAACGGTCCTCCGCATCACGCAGGTCCTCGAGCCGATCTTCTTCGCGTTCGCGGGCTTTCTCCTCAGGAGTATCATCATCGTCGTCGTCGTCGTCGTCGTGTGGATGCCCCTTACCCTGCTTCTTGCGCTCACGCTCCAAGCGGTCCTCCTCCGCATCCCGCAAATCTTCCTTCTTGTCCTCTTCCTTCTCACGAGCCCGCTCCGCTGGGGAGTCGTCTTCATCGCGGCGATGATTCGGGCCCTTCTTCAACTTCTCCAAAGCCTCCTCCTCGGCATCCCGCAGGTCTTCGAGACGGTCTTCCTCCTTCTCGCGAGCCTTCTCCGCCGGCGTGTCGTCATCATGGTCATGGTCGTGGTCGTCTTTGTCGTCGTGATCATGATCATCGTCCTTGATGGCATTGCGACGACGAAGACGATGAAGCTTCAGGCTCCTGCGCACCTTGATGCGCTCCTTGCGCGGCGGAGCCCCCTTCTGCGCTACACTGCCGTCACCCTCCAGCACGGGACGGCCTTCACCGTTGAGGAGATTGCCGCACTCTCCCTCCAACACATCGTCTGCGTCGTCGCAGTCTGGGGCCTCGAACTGGTCGTCATCGTCATCATCATCGTCGTCGTCGTCGTCATTGTCATCGTCGCCGCCCCCATTGTAATAGAATTTGCCGTTGCCGTCGGTGTTAAAGTTGAATGGGGCGGCGTCCTTGTTGTCAGTCACAGGCTGAGGGAGTCGTTGGTCATCAGGCGGGAGAGCGGCGGCGTAGGTGAGGGAAAAGGTGGTGGCGATAAGGAGGAGAGGAGTGGTCTTTGTGAAACGCATTGTAGGAGACGTAAACGAGAGCTCCTGATTGAATAAAACTTGTGATTTCTTTGTGTGTTCTGATTGTGTAAAGATAATATGGCTTGATTGACTTGATGTTTAGAATTGATGTAGCCCGCGGGGTTAGTAGCTTTATATGTTCGACCTCCGACACTCTTAGTTTCTATTTCTGGTTGATTTTCAATCATTCTGAGGTCTTTCAGCAATTGCCATGTTCAACTTGCCGTCCAAATCACGAGGCCGTGCCGAAACTGGGGCTGTGAAGACGTGACGACGACGGTAGAAGTCAAAGGCGTCCAATGTGATTTTCACGATTCATGACTAAACACTGCGCCTCCATCATATTGCAAGCTAGACTATAGGCCAATGTTTAGACAAATCCCTCTTGCTGGCAAGCTGAAGAGGTTGTTTAGCTAAGAAAATGAAAAATCGTGAAAACAAGAAGACGATGACGATGCAATGTGGGGAAGTGAAGCAAGCCAAGCGTGGCGTGGCGGTTGATCCGCGTAATGGGATACTCAACGTGCGTTCCTAGAAACCTTAATTTCCCGTACGCGTCCGCGCCGAGTAACCAAACATCTTGGCCTGCCAGTCCGCAGTCTTACCTACCGCAAGCACAGGCTTGGTGGTTGACGTTGGCTGTGCTGGGCCGTGGCTGTGGAGGGGTGAATATCTTGGCACCTCGCCTTCACCAAATCAGACCCAGAGTTGAAACTTTAATTTCAAAACCCTGGCTAGGCTAGAAAGGAATAATACGAAGGACATGGAACCTATCGAATTAGTACATGATTGCGACATTTCTCTTCGGGTACCTCGATGTCGCATTAGCGGGCTCTGTTCTCGGGTTGAGTTTGCTGCGCCATGAGTGTTTCCCGGAATTTATTGAACTATACTAAATGGAGGAGACACGGTTAACGTTAGTCCACTAGAGATGCTGAGCCCAGTGTGACTGCAGATAACCCCGGTACATCGCTGTTTCAGCAAAAGGCAAACGTACTTGAATCACTCTGCCGCTCAACGTCACGCTTGAATAGTTGCTGACTGCTAGCTGCAAAATGAAGACTGGTCTCAAATAATTGGTAGATGATCTACATGATCATCCCAGATATTCTGAACACGCCGAATCCGCAGTTATCCGGGGCCCACCGCCTCAGATCGATGTCAGCATACTTGGTGTCTTTGAACCCTTGCTTTAAGAAAAAGCCGTACGCCTGTGGCTCGGAGCCGACAGCTAGAGGTAAGCCGGCAGCTTTGGCTTTCTCGGAAGCCAGGCGCACCAGCTCCGAGCCGATTCCCCGCTTTCGATGCGCGGCACTGACATAGATCCATGTCAATTCTGGGTGGTTGTTAGTGCTTGGAGGACCGAGCAAGACGGTGACCTCACCAATGCGATCAATAGTTGCAGTCTCCTCATTGATCTCTGCTATAGCCCTGGTGACCGTCCAAAAGACCTCAGGCTCCATCCCCGGAGGAACATTCCGATTATTTCCTGCCTCAGGTTTCGCAAGGCTGGGTTTCCGTCGTGTTACTCCAAGGTGCGCAACAATTTCTTGAGTTGTGTCATCTACCACTTTCAAAGAGGTGACGTCGGGGTTTTTGAGCGAAGACTCAATAGCACTTGTGTACTGTGCTGTTTGAGCAGACTCATTTGGCCAGTCCCTGAACAGAAAGCGGTTGATCGCTAGCTTCAACTTTGAAGAAGCAAGAAAATGAGAAAGGGTAGGAATGTCAGCTTCTGTGACCGGAAGAATAGAATGACCTGGGATGGGCATGTTTCTCTCCGCTTGGTTGCTTTGGATGTAATTGAACAAGATTTTGGAGTCGTTTTGCGTCGTCTAGTGGATTATTTAGGACGATTAAATACTGTGGTCGAATTAGGCATCAATATTAAAGCATAACGTACAATAGAGGGAAAATGAGGTGATTTGTTGGAGTAAGCGGGAGACTTGGCGCGCTGACCATCAATTACTGCCACGTCCAGCAAACAACACTCCATCAATTGACCTTGGAACCTAGGTCCCGCTGTCCAGGATTACAAGACAAATCTCAAACAGCCGCTCCAATCCACCGCATTGAATTTGCATATGGCATGCGTGTCAGCTGCTGGAGCGAGCCCGTAATACTGCTGCCTTAGCGAATTCGTCAGCCTCTGTGTTGCCTGCCACTTCTAGCTTGAGCCAAAGTGATAGAACCCTGCTATCATGGGTGCTTCCAAGAGCTTAGTCAATTGATCTCAATATATTGTCCAGACTTCTCACCAAAGTACAGTCCAAGCGGCACACTACGGCAATCGAGTGTATACCTGTCTACTAGGCAACATTACGTTTTACTCCCATCCTCATTCTCATAAGAGATCTCCTCTATACTCGCTCAATCTTGAGAAAAGCCTCTCGGTATCTTTGAACAATCAAATGAAATATGAAAAAGAAAAAAAAATAAAGTGAGGAATATATGACAACTACAACCGCGCCTTAGGGAATGTGCGAGGCTTCGGCGACCACTTGGCATAGGGATGGTCGGTAGTCGAGGGTACCAGATGGTCCACTTCCAGCGTGTTGACCAAGCCCGGATGCACCTGGCTCAGATCGGTGATGCCGACCAGCCTCATCGACGTCTCCAGCTCATCCTTCATCACTGTTGAACTTCAATCAGCAGCTGTCCACGACATTGCTTCAAATTGCAAGGGGGGATACTCACCATCAATGAAATGTTCGACGCCCTCGCGCCCGTAGTTCAGCGCGTACAAAAAGTGCCTACCCATGCCGACAGCCGTGGCGCCCAAGCACAAGCACTTGAGAATATCCGTGCCACGCCTGATGCCGCCATCGACGTACACCTCCAACTTGTCAAACACCTCAGGCGTGCACTTCTGCAGCTCGAGCAAGATCAAGACGGATGGGGGTGCCGTATCGAGGCTCCTGCCGCCGTGGTTGCTCAGCACGATGCCCTGCACGCCAGCCTGTGCAGCGAGGCGGGCATCAGCGGCGCTCTGGACGCCCTTGAGTATGATGGGCAGGTCGGTGACGCTGCGCAGCCAGCGCAGGTCGTCCCACGTGAGGCTGGCGTCGATGTACGAGCCCATGATGCGGCCGAGGCCACCGCCCTTCTTGTCATTGATCGCTTTGGCCCCTGTCATGGGGGCCGACAGCCCCTCGTCTGCGCGCACCCGCTCATCGGCCTCACGCTTGCCCGGTACCGGCGCATCCACCGTCACGAAGATGGCCTTGATGCCCTTCGGCAGCGACGCCAGCAGCCGCTCCGACGCCTTCCGGTCCCTGTTGACGTAAAGCTGGAAGAAGAACGGGTGGTCTGCCGGCGCGTGCGGCAAAATCTGGTCGACCGGGTACGAAGCATTGGTTGAGATCTGTGGTTCTTCGTCAGCCTTCAGGGATTGCCACCACTTTTTTTCGCCGAGATGCTGTCCCGAAGACGCTTCACCCCCTCAATTGCGGGTGGAATGACTTCGTGAGCAATTGCACCGAACATGGATCCTCCCTTTCCCCGCATTGTATCAGGACTTACCGTCTGTGCCACACCCTTGTTCCCGCACGCCGCGGCTATCGCCTTCTCGCCCTCGGGATGCACCAAGCGGGCCATGGCCGCCGGGCTCACAAACAACGGCACCTGCACCTCTGAGCCGAGGATGCGCGTGCGCGTGTCGACGCTCGCAACGTCCCGCAGCACGCGCGGCCGCCACCATATCCGGTCGAAACTGCTCTTGTTCGCGTCGCGCGTGATCTCGTCCGTCGCCGCCGACGAGTAGAAGGCCCACGTCTTCTGCGCCAGCGTCCGCGACGCAACCGACTCGAAGTCGTACGAGTTTATCAGCGTCTCCAGCGGCGGCTTCTCGTGCGACTCCAGCTCCGTCGTCGCCGTCGGCGGCGGCTTCACGAACCCTTGGCGCGCGCCTGGCGGATGTGAGGGCTTGGTGTTGAGCTGCGCCTCCAGGTCTTCGATGCGGTATGGTAGTTGCTTGGGGTCGGCCATCGTGAAGTATGGTACGGAAGGTCAGAGAAAAGATGGGAAGGAAAGATGGAGAGGCGTTATCACAGCTCAATTGAGAGTTCTCTCCAACGTCTCTGGGGACCGGACAGTTAAGAAGCAGCTTGCCATAGCTCCCTCGAGCTCTAATTGCCGGAAAATTAATTCCGTGATGACAGCAACACCACGAGCCTCGAGCCTGGCGCATCGTCAGGACGGCCGGGGAAAGGTGGATCGCGGGGCGGCGGAGGCGGGTGACGTCGGCGACCGGCATCTGGTCCCTCGAATTGCGGGGAGACGTTCGGCTTCATCGGCGAGATGACTGGCCGATGGACCCGATGTCGGGATCGGGATTATATTCCCCTTGTGGACCTGAACGCTCGCACTGACTTGCCTTGCCTCATAAGCCCTCAACATCGATTCATAGACGTCGGGATTCCCAAATTCCTCTGTAATAAGATTGGGCCTGGACCGCAATGGCTTGCCTGAAATTCTTCCACAAAACAGATGCGTGCGTTGTGTTGTCAATGCGTTGGTATTTATATCTAGTCAATTCGTGATATGCACAAGCAACGGCTTGCTATTATGTTGAACTTTTTCCTCCCCTTCTTTCCAGCCAACATCTGCATCCAATCATGGGCGTGTTGAAGCCTTTTCCATTTTTCAAATGCACTCACTGCAGGTCCTACGACTGTCTTTCTCGTGCGGCTTCGCGTTCAGCTTCCTTCGCCTTCGCCTCTTTCTCCATTTCCTCTCTGCGCCTGATTGCATCCTCACCAGCTCCTTTAATGCCCTTCTTCCGTTGACGCTCTTCGTACATGGCTCTGCTGGCCATGATGCGGTCGACAATCTCACCAGCGTTGACGTGCTGGAAGTCATGCGCAGGGACTTCTTGGAAGATGCCGAGCTGCTTGGCGTCCTTATAGGGGTCTTCGACAGACGGCATGAATGAGGTAGGGCCATGGTAAACGACATCGGGCGTTCCGTACGGGAGCGAGTTGAGGAAGGCCGGAGTGGGCGTAAATGGAGCAGAAAAGACCACGGCATTGATGTACTGGTACGCAGGTTTATGAGCAAATTGCGAGACGAGGGATGCTGCCAATGGACCTACCTTGCATTGCAGAACGCACAAGCCACGCTCGAATATGTTCATGATCGGGTAATTGATTCCCTTCCAGTGGTTGATGACCTCGTCATCGTGGACACCAGCAACCACATAGTAAGGGCTGTAGTCTGAACCGGTTTCGGCAATGCGCTGCTGGACGGCCTCAGGGGAGTACCAATCGCGCTTCTTGCCTTCCTCTTCTTCGAGACCGGCCACCTGCCGCAAAAACTCGATATGACCGGAAGAGAACAGGTCGAACCCGCCGTCGACATATACCACGCGCTGGCCCTTGCGAGGTGCGGTTCCAGGAACCATCTTGGTGCACTTCCCGGTTCCGCTCGCTGCGCTTGGTTCTGCAGCTTTGTCCTGCTCGCCATGCCACACCCAAACGTCACTACCGGGCGCCAAACCGGTCTCGTCCGACGCGTAAACTTTAATTCTTTCCTTCATCTCCTCACCGGTCCTCTTCCTCTCCTCTTCACTCCCGCTACCTTCTTCACCCGCCAGGACCTTTTCCAGGCTCTTGATGAAATGCCCCTTAGTGCACAGAAGCATGCGGCCAACCAGATCAGTCGTTGAAATACCTGGGGTGCGCTTCACGATCTTGAAGCGACCGGCAGCCTTCACGAAACGGTAGCAATCCTCACCCGAGGCGTCTGACGTGATGTCGTCGCCGTGCACGACATACTTGCAGCCGTAATGAGAGATCCAGGGCAGCGAAGTCACATACGGGGCGTGGGGGATTGACTTGGTAGCCCAGCGGCAGGCATCTACGGCAGCAATGCTGATGCCGGTGTCAGAAGGCGCAATCCGAGGAGGAGAGCATGGACTGACCGTTCTTTGAGAGTCATGACCGTGGGCCCCTTGTTCTCGAGGATCGCTTCGTCCGAGTGGACGCCGACGAGCAGCTCGGAGCCCAGCTGGCGGGCCTGCAAGATGGCGCCAGCATGTCCTGGCGGGAATTGGCGATTACTGGGTGGGCGCTGCAGCAAAAGGGGCGGGAAGGCGCACCGTGGTGGGCAAAGTCGAAGCAGCCATCTATCCAAATGCGGTCCTCCGCAATGGGCACGTCATCCTGCGGGTCGACAGGCCATTGGCCGGGCTGCGGCACGTATTCGGTGGTGTCAGTCTGAAGAGAGGTCAGCGCGGGGCGGTAGAGACAACAACATCATGGCGCACACTCATGGCGGTGTTGGAGGCGGCAGTCGTGAGCTTGGTGAGATGCCGCGGGTGGAGGGCGGAGCTTACTTAGTTGGCAGGGCGCGCGAGCGAGGGGCAGCGCCAGCGCCAGGCGCGGGGCTTTTTCAGGGACCAGCCAGGGTTCAGGTGCAGCCACGCGCAAGAACATGCAGTGCAGAACGCGCCGGCCGACCTCGCCCCTTAATCGAACCACAACGGCGTACGGGAATAACGTTCAAATACGTCTACGTAACTGCATTAGCGCTACCATCGAGTTTCCAGAATCCCAGGTCTTCTTCCCGCCCCGATTCTCTGGAGTCGAGATGTAGGCGGATCGCCTGCGCGTGTCGTCTAATAGAGCTTATACTATAACGTAGATTAAGCTCCCTGGCTCTGCTGGGGGTGTTTCACTATTCATAGGCACATTTCCGTCATGATGGTATTTTAAACAAGCGGCATTCATTCAGCTTGCCACCATTGCGACTCGACGGCGCCACCGCATGACTCGGCGAGCACGAACCTCCGTCTTTTCAATGCCTCGACGATCAATTCGTGCGCGCGCAGCAGCGCAATTTCGTGCGCATCGTTCATCAGCAGAGGCGCTCGCTGCCAGACATGTCCCACTGCGACTCTGACTCCGCCTGCCTGCCCTGGACGCCGCGCTTCCAGTGACGGACAACGATTCGCGGCTCGCAGCGCGACTGTCGGCGCCTCACGATTGGGCTTAGGCGCTCCTCACCACAGCCTCTCCCGTCCCTGACCGGCCCCTGGGCCTGGGAATCATGGTCTCCTCCTCCACCGCGCCCACCTCCACCTCGGGTGCAACTTCGCACTCGTTCCTGCCGCGCAAGCCCTCGCTCTTCCGCCGCGACAGATCGCGCAACAAGGACGGCGCCGACCTGCCTCCCCGCAGCAGCACGCCCCAGCCCACCAGATCCGTGACGCCCGTCCCGCCTATTGACGAGTCAGACGTCGTTTCGAACAGCTCGCCGACGCATCGCGGGAAGCATTCCTCGCGGCACAGCTTCGCCTCGTCCGTCGCAGACTTCGGCTCCAGCTTGCGCCGCTCTGCCTCCCTGCGCTCCTCGTCGTCCAATTCCGCCAAGGAGCAGCCGCTGCCGTCGTCGTCCCTGGCCCAGGCCACCCTCTCTCCCGAGAAGCCCACCTTTGCTGCCAATGCCTCGTCGAACAAGCTCCTCGCCACTTTCACGCGCGGTCGCCAGAAATCCTACGACGCCAGTGCAGCTGCAGTAGCCAACGAGCCCAAAACACCCGGAATGGCCAACACCGTCGGTGCCTCGCACGGCATGTGGGCCTCGCGCCCGTCGGGCACCGCGCATTCGAACTTGGCCTTTGGCCAGAACAGCAACGCCCTGGGCGCTCCCGCCAACATCCCTCCTGTTCCATCCGCTACCGGCGGACACAATCCACACGCTATCTTCCAGCACATCCACGACATGTCGTCGAAGCGCATATCGACCTTGGACTACCTCCGGAAAGCGTGAGTCTTGGCGGCACTTCTACCACGGCGCAACAGACACTGACAGCTGTACCAGGCACGACGGCAGGGTTTACTGGTTCAACACGCTACTGTTCAACAAAACCGACCTCAACAAGCTCCCTTACTTTTCGCAGAAGACCCTTTCTAAGCGAGCCACCAACTACCTGCTCCTCGGTTTCTCGCTCCCCACAATCCTGGATCTCAATTCCAACAGCGCTTCCGACTACCTCAAGGCACTCAATGCGCTGCTCATCGAGTTCGAGACGTATCAATCGATCCATCCGCCTGACGGAAATGTGTCGAGCAGCTTGGGTCGCGGCCGTGTGGCGGGCATGTTCAAGAGGGCGACGCACGCGGCGTCCGGAGCAGCGAAGGGCAGGCGGCAGAGCTCCGCCACGGAAATCGGGCTGATGGAGGTCAGCGACGTCAATTCGGCGCCCATGCTTCCCAGCGGCGAGCACAACGACCACCTGCTCCCCGGCGAGGAGTACACGCACCTCATGACGCCGCACCTGCCCTTCGAGCCCGACTTCTTCGAGACTTTCTCGACGCTGTGCGACGTCCTGATCGACTGCTACACGAAGATCATGAGCTTGGTGAACGGCCCAGAGACGTGTGGGCCCGGTGTGGGGGAGCTGTTCGCGAAGGCGGATGCACGTGTACGAAAGATCATCGTTGCCGGAGTGGTCCGCGAGTTCGAAGACGCAAGCCGCTCCGGCGTGAAACAGGAGGTTGCAGGCGTCGGCAAAGTCGTTCTCGGTGGGCTGATGTAAGTGGAGCATGTATACCCGGGTGTACTACCCAATTTCCTATGCGCAAGTGGAGGGCGTTTTTTTATTTTTTTTGTTTTAAGGCTCGAGAAGCGGAGGTGACGGAACGGGTCGGCACCAACAGACATGACCGCATGATCAGGGCTCAGCATTTGATGCATCTAACGCCTTTTTCTTTTGGATACCTCGGAGACAGGAGATGGGGTTGAAAAGCACATGATACCTTCCGCTGCAGACATGCAGACGGAAAATTGCAGGAGATTGGCTTGATGGGTTTCGGTTGTGTTTTGTTCGTGTTTTTTTACCGCATTATATACCACACTCTGTTTTCGCTTTGTGGCTTTCAGCATCAGACGGACGAGATGCATAATCTCAGTGCGGCATAGATACCGGAATGAGGGGGCGGGTGTTGAGTTCATGGGAGTTCAATCAGGGTCCGGACTATACCTGGGGCATGGAGGGAGGTAGGACAAGCGTGCAACATACGTAATAGTAATAACATGTCTGCTGGAATGTCAATGTGCATTATCAAGGGATTTCTACCAGCTGGAAACGTCGGTCGCTGGCAAGCCACATGGCACGATAGGGTCCCTAGCTCTGTGCGCGGGACCGTCTTGCGAACCAGGGCCAATTCGGGAGCTGTCGGCAGGGAGCGGTGGGCTGGTCAGCCAACCGACCGGGGGATCGCGCGTGTGGTGACGACATAAAGCTTCTCTGGAGCTTAACGCGTAGCTAGTAGAGCTCAGTCCTTTTACAAAATTTCCCGCCCACCGCTTCTACTCTCCTCACACAATCGATTTCTGAGCAACGAGCCATGGCAATTGTTCAGAATTGGCTCCCGCCTTCGCGCGAGAATTGGGAGCTCATCAGCTCAGTTTGGCAGCTATTTCCGCTGGTCAGTACTGCAAAACCCGCACTCTCATACATCTATTCGTTCCTCTGCGCTGCGCGTCCTCGCCGGAATTCCGCGGAAACGGCGAGTTCTTCATTCCCGACTGCGTGCTACGCACCAGCCGACGTGCCTCCGTCCGTCTCAGCTTGCGCTGTCCCCCTCTCTTCAAAAATGTGACGCGTCTTCGAAAAGGCAAAGTACACTAGCTGACGTGATACTACTCAGTTCGCCGCGGTTCAATGGTTCATCGATTGGTACCCGCAGGGCAAGACGTCGACGGACTCGCGCTGGAACCTGCCGGGCAAGTGGGCATGGTTCACGATGGAGATACCCGGCGCCGCCACGCTGCTATACATCATGTACACCCTACCTAAGGAGCTCAACCTGACCGAGCCGCTGCCCTGGGGCAACTGGACCATGGCAGGGATGTTTGTGCGTCGATCTTTCTCCTCCCTCCCCTCTCCCCCCTTCGCCTCCTCTCGTCTCTTTTCCACCAGCTAGAAACACTGTTTACTCACTCATTCATGAATGGAAGACAATCCACTACGCCTACCGCGCGGTCCTCGCCCCGCTCTTCCTCAACCCGAGCATGTCGCCCATCCACCCCTTCGTCTGGGCCTGCGCCACCTGCTGGCAGCTCTTCAACGCCGTGTCGCTGGGCGGCTGGCTGGCCGGCCACGGCCCGCGCACGCCGCACGACTGGGCCGGCCGCCTGTACTTCGCCGAGGTCGGCCTGGTCGTCTGGGGCTGGGGCCTGCTCGCCAACATGTACCACGACGACGACCTGCGCGAGATCCGCCGCGCCGCCGCGCGCCGCCAGCAGCGCGAGGCTGAGAAGACGGGCAAGCCTGCTGAGGGCGTCGACAAGGTGTACATGCTGCCCAAGAACGGCCTGTTCAGGTGGGTGCTGTACGCGCACTACTTGTGCGAGTGGGTCGAGTGGTGCGGGTTCTGGATGGTCGGCGGTTGGGGCTGCACTCCGGCGAGGAGCTTTGTGCTGAATGAGATCTCGACCATGCTGCCGCGGGCGGTGCAGGGCAAGAGGTGGTATATTAAGAAGTTTGGAGCGGACAAGGTGGGAAACAGGAAAGCGGCGATTCCGGGGATCCTTTAGGTAGTAATAGTCAGTAGCTGTGCAGTGTGGTTTAACGGGGCTTATGAGAAGCGTTCAAGACTGAATGACCGGGGTAATATAGAACATTAATATAGATTCCAGTATGTGCAAAGTCTATAGGCAGAAAAAGGGACATAACCTCATTTACTCAATCGTCTTTACAAATAGCATCAAACCCCTCCAGGAAAGCATGCACTCCAGCGAAGAACAAGGGTATCATCGACATCAACCAGCCTCGCTCTTCCCCCTTTCTCCTCTTAGTCTGCCCCTCAGCACTCAAGCGCGGCTCTCGAGCGGACTCCTCTCACACAACATCCAGTCAGCTTTTTCTCATCTCTCTTATTTCTCTCCACCACCACTCTTCCTAATCCTCTCCCACGCCCCCAGCGCCGCCTCCTCGACCTCGCGCCCCACCTCGCGCCAGTCCGTCTCTTGCACGCGCCGCACCGCCCGCTCGACCTCCCGATTCCACCTGTCCTTGGCCAGATCCTCTATGCCGGCGGTGTGCTCGCGCATCGACGGCGGCGTGTAGATGCGGTCCGGGTCGTAGATCTGCTTGAGCAGGTGCGCCGACTGGCGGACGGAGAGGGACTGCTGCAGGCGGTTGCGCTGGTGGATGAGGGTCGAGAGATAGAGCGCGGACGAGGTGAGGGTGACGCCGCCGATCTGTGGAGGAGTTAATTAGCTGGAGCGCGGAGGGAGGTGTGTCTCGTGGTGGGGGGGCGTTTGGTGGGGAGACCGGGAGAGGGGGCTGGTACGGAGATGAAGGGGGAAGGGGGAAAAAAGGGAGAACGTACGAAGCCGGCTATGAAGCCCATGATGAGCGGTCGTTTCGAAGGCTGATTTCGTTTGGTGTTTAACGGGGAGCTAGGAGCTCTGGTTCGCGTCGCAGGGATGAGACGAGTTGCTGCGGCGTAGGTTGCGTGCTGGTTGGTCGCGAGTCTGCGCGCGAAGAGAAGCGAGTGGTTTTTGTCGAGCTCTCGAGTGAGCAAGCGTAGGTAGAAGTCGTACACCAAATAGGCAGCGGAATGGGGACGAGTAAAAGTTGAGGCTATAGATTGATTGGGAGCTCCGAGCACGGCGGCGGCGATAGAGAGATTATCAGCGGGAAGCACGAGCGTCGTCGCCGTCTTGGCGTGAATTTCTCCGACTGCACCACCACCGCCTGTCCGCTGGGAAAGCAGATCACCTCCGTCCCATCAGCCATTGCGCTTTCCCCGCCGCCGCCTGTCCAATTGCGCCCGTGCACCGGGCTGCAGCTTGCTGCCACAGTCACCTCAGCCCACATACCGGTCCGGAACGTATCCCTCAGAGCGCGCCCTGACACGAAACCTTTCGTTGAACCACCTCCGCGGCGCGCCCGCCTTCTCGACCCTCCCGCACACCGCGCGACCCTCATACCGTCACAATGGCTGGCGGCGCCGCGAAATATAGGCACCTGTCTCGTAAGAGCTCGCACAGGCAAGCCCTGCTGCGCAACCTGGTGACCTCGCTATTCGAGCATGAGAGCATCCAGACGACATGGCACAAGGCAAAGGAAGCACAGAGGATTGCAGACAAGCTCATCACCTTGGGCAAAAAGAACACGGAAAATAGCAGGAGAAAAGCAACAGAAGTCTTCTACGTACGTTGAACACCGTCAGGACTCATATGTGGTGAAATCGGGTTCCCACGGCACGGGTGCCGGTCCGAGATTGGCGGCGCAATAGCTGATGATCCTTATGACTGTTCCCACAGCGCCCCGTCGAGCTCATCCCGAAGCTGTTCGGCCCCCTGCGCGAGCGCTACGCCGATCGGCCCGGCGGCTACACGCGCGTGCTGCGCATCGAGCCGCTCAAGGAAGACCAAGCCGCCTCGGCCATCCTCGAGCTCGTCGACTCGCCCAAGGATATCCGCTTCGCCATGATGGCCAAGGTCCTGGCCCGCCAGCGCTCCGAGAACCTGCCCGAGACCCCCATTACCCGCGCCAACCTGAAGAAGGTCATGCAGTTCCGTGGCGACAAGGGCAAGGATCAGATGGAGAAGATGGTCGAGAAGTTTGCGAGGTTGACGGCTGAAGGCAAGGAGGTGAAGGAAGTCCACCAGAAGAAGGTCTACCTTGACCCGTTGAACCCCACCAAGGGCAAGAAGGGATCGCCGTACAAGTGGTAAACTGAGGAGGATATTGTTTCCTAGCCGGGGGAAGATTTTGTGGAAAAAGGAATACGAAGGTATTTGGCCGATTAGAGGGCTTATGGAAGAGCGGCGGATATGTGTACATGTATTAACAACAGTTCAATCGCGATCTTGGAAGACATTGCCGCGTTTGGCATCCAGTGACAGGGTGCGAGCAATGCCCTTTGCTGACGATTGTTATTGTATGCGAACATCTATGAGGCACGTAGATGCTGCACACCGCAGTTTCTTTCTTCTCATAGGACCTTGAGAGGCTGCTGGACACGAGGCCAAAATTCCATTCAGAGCAACCCAATGGATAGTTGGCAGACAGCTTTTGGGAGCTTTATTGATATCAGAAGCTTATTTGTATAGTCGCCACGTGAGATTACAGCTAAGTAGAGCCACCAATATCCAGGACATGTACCATCAACTATCATCTCGACGTACGGTTTCATAAATGTGTGCTCTTCAGCGGCTATTGGCGAACGTAGACATGGCAGCTGATCTTTAACCTCTCGAAGCCAAGTTTATGAGGTACCAACAAGATCTCCGATGTTGGCTCATCCATACTCTCTTCGTCCATCCATGGTCGACATACTTTCATATGGACACTTTAATTCCTCTTTCTCTGAGTCTGCATTTGACTACGCGGACCATCCTCATAGCCAAGCGGCACAAGGCTTCGGCAAGAACTATCAAGAAATTAAGAAACTCTTTTCGCTAATGACACATGAGTAATTGTTACGACCTCGTCACACCCTTTCACATCATTGCTTTGATCCGTCTCTCGAGACTCCTCTAGCCTAGACAAGCACGATCTGAAAGCCCTCCCAGGTACACTCTTCCATCTCCTTGGGGAATCTTGCATCATCCAACTACGCCTTGACTTCTCCTTCCAGGTCGTCATTCCATAAAAGGTGACGCCTTTTCATTCTTATCACCTCGATTATATTTAACCGGTACCAGAGACAGCCAGCCTGGAGAAAATGTTAGTATTTGTCGAAAAGATAGAACGACTAAAGATGACTTACTTCATCAAGTGATCCATGAACGTTTGCAACGAGACATCGTCCGTAAAAATGGTCTGCGCCGTCTGCGCAACGCCACCGTACGAACCGGTGGTGTGGGTAGTGCTAGGGTTGAGCTTAGACAGCAGGAAACGGGCTTGAGAACCACCAGCGTCGCAGACAATGAAACGAGGCAGCGGGAAGCGGTCTTGAATAAGCTCCTTGGCATCCTCCTTGGGTGCCTCAAGAAGAGCACGGAAGTTCTCGTAGCCCTCTTGTTCTTGGTAACCGGCCTTTCTCCACTCAGCCATGGTCTCTCCGTGGAAGATGAGAATGTGGAAGAAGGTATCGAGAAGCAGGATTGTCTCGGGCTGGATGGATGCAGAATCGAGGAGCACGGGCTGGCCGCCCTCGTGGTCGAAACCGTATGAGTCGAGCGTAGGCTGAATCATAATGAGAGAGTTGCTGACGTCCTCATGGTTCAGGACGTGGCGGTAGAAAGCGGTTTCATCAGGAGAGTTGTTGAAGACTTGCAAGAACTGACTGCGGCGAAGGTGGAACATGAACTGGGGGTATAAGGTGAAGTTCTTCTCAAGTCTGAATGAAGAGGGGTCGTCCTTGCGGTATTCAGCAAAGCGGGAGCAGAGCCTGATGAGCATGCGGTCAACCCAGCGGAGGACATCCGGTCCGTCATCAACCTCAGCCTTGAAGACGGCTATTCTGGACATGAGGACAGCGGCGGCTTCCTGGTCGAAAGACTGGGCAATGGCAGGGTCGCCAGAAGGTCCGCTCAAGTTGCGAGCAACCGTGGTAACTCTGAGGTGGTACTGACCAGACGAGTGCTGGTAGTAAGTCAAGAACTGCATCATACCCTTCTGCGGGCCCTGCTGCATCTGACTAGGACCACCCTGGCTGGCAATCTCGAAGTAAATGCCGTAACTCGAGCCCGGGTCGATACCGCACATCTTCCACGAGCACGTGTTGCCAATGCCGCACTCAGTCTCGCCCACGGATGCAGACTTCTTGTTCAAGGACACAGCGTGACCAATCAGACCGGTGACCTTGAGCTCCTTGGTGGTGAGCACCTCGAGCGAGGCATTGAAACCCATAAGAAGGTTGTCATCGCCGTCCTTGTCGAACACGCGCGCGAACGACTGCTTGAACATCGAGGAAGTAAAGCTGTCGGTCAAAATCATGTGGCCACCAGTGGAGTTCGACAATCCCTTCATTTCGAGCAGACCAACTTGATCCAGGCAGCCGGCGAAGATATCGATGATGTGGCCGTTGTGGGCGGTCCTCTTGGCGAGTGCATCGTAGAACTACATAAAAATCAGTCGTTGATACTTGGCGCAAAATCGGTCTCCAATCTTACCTTCAGCGCCTTCTTGTAGTACTTGATGTTGTCGCGGTCAATGTCGTGGTGGGAACGGATGGGCTCCCTCAGCTCAGGGCCGACGACCATGCCAGGGCCCTCAGTGCAAGCACCGCCGGTGAAGAGCATGATTCTGCCACCGGAGTTCTGGAAGGAAGTCTCCAGAAGGCCAGTAGCAACACTTAGAGCGACACCAGTGCAGCGCAGCGCACGCTTGTCATTCGCAACCGGCCAAGGGTCCTTCTGGAGCTGCTCGAGGGCATTGGTCAACTGGAACTCGCACTGCTGGACCGGGAGCAGGAAACGAGCGGCAGGGCCCATTGGCGGGGGAGCGCGACCAGGCTGGGGCTGCATTCCCGGCCGGAGACCCGGGGCCATTAGGCCAAGCATCTCCTGGACCTGCTTTGCGGCATAGTCCTTGCTGCCACGGAAGACGTACGACTTGGCGCACTCCGTGTAGCCAAGCTCGTGGACCTGAGTGGTGGTACCGTAGGTAATCAGACCAACAAGAGCCCACGGCGGCAGCAGGCTCAAGCTCATGATAATCGAGTCCTTCAATGCCTTCAGGCTGTCCTCCTCCTGGCAGGTATCGACAACGAAAACGAAGATGGGCGGCGACGGGGCGGGGCGAGCAAGACGGTACTCAATGGTAGTGTTCTGGGGGTGGAGCTCGGGCGGGATGGCCTGGTCGGAGATGTCCTTATAGTGAGGAGGAAGGGCATTGCGCTGAAGACAGAAGGGGCATATCCATATCCTGGCGCGCATGTCGACCTGGCTGTGGCGGCGTCAGCGGGCGGGCGCAGGATTGCGGCAGGCGAGTACGTACCAGAACGGGTTCAGGACGGCACGGCATGGAGCCTTGCAGGAGACGGGCTCATATTGGAGCAGCGGAGTGTCGGGCTTCTCCTTCAGCGGCGTGTAGAGAGCTCCGATTGGCACTGTGGGGGTTCAGCAATGGATTCGGGCAGCGAGCATCTGCCAACTTACCAACGAGCCGCGAAGCTTCCTGTGACAGTGTCAGTAGAGCGGAGTGCGGGAATGTGGAGGCAACGCACCATGCGCGAGCTGGGGAAGGTGTTCCAGCTGAGCCTAACGCCATCCTGGTCCTCGATGTCGCTCCATTGCTCCTTTAGCGCCTCGTAGTCCATGGTGGCAGCTGGACAGGGTTGGCGGGGTGTGTCGGCGGCGGTCGCGTCGAAGGCGCAGCGGCTGAGTGCAGGGCGGGGGTGACGATGCTCGGGCGCGCGGCGGCGGAGCTCTGGGAGAGTGGGCCGTCGCTTTTTAAAGGTGCGACTGCAAGGGCAGGCTGGGTGGACAGATGTCAATGGGTGGAAGCGGCCACATTGAGGTTGTAGGCGGTGATCCCGAAGCGGCCTAGCCGGCCAATCGGCGCAGAGGGCAGCCGTGGCTCCGCGACCGGGGGCTACTACAAAAACGCTGCCGCGCCGCGCAAATCCTTTTTCCTCATCAACTACCGCCGGCAACAAATCACATTACTGTCGACAGCTCCTCCCTTCAGTATGGATGCTGTTTTCGCGCCGTGCGGAGACCGACTACCCATGGCTGGGCGCCTGACTTCGATAGGTCGTTTCGACTTGCAGGAGATGTTAGGAATCAGCAGAGGTTACATATCGCGCATCGCGCTGGCGCTCAATCACCTGCCTTACTAGGAGGCTCGGCTTCGATGAAGAGTGGCTCGGCTCCCATAGACTAGGCTGGTACTATCAAGACAGGCGCCCGTTGTGGACGTAATTGTGAATGCACTGCACGAAAGCGGGCACCCTACCGTGTCCATAGGCATCATCAGGGCATATTCAATCGGGCGCTGCATGAGGCTCTTCTGCGCCTAGGCCTACATGTCCATGTCCAGAATTCATCTGCTGTGCTACCTCGCCTTTGGAGGGCTAGCTTACCTTGTATCTCCTTGCGAGCCTTGGTGAGTTGGTGTAGGGTGTTTCACCAGGTACCTTCAAAGTCGCATAAACGGCCAGCAACCGGGAGTGCGGTCATTGTAGTGCAGTTCAGACTATGTATAGTTTTGCATGTAGCTATTGCTGAACGAACTCTTCCGTCTGAACGGTTTCCACAGTTCATCATGACTGCCTGACTTGGAGCATCACAGGCGGAAAGGCCGCGAAACGAAGCTGCATCTTGACCGACACTCGTCGCGGCCGGCGGGATGCAATCATTTAATTGTTTAGTTCTTATCGACAAAGCATCCTTTTACAGCCAAAGTCCACTCGTCTCGCATGGAGTCTAGGTGTCGTCTTGAAGTGTCGTGAACCTTGGTAGCGACACGGCTGGCACCTGCAGACGTACCTATAGCGCCATAAGTCTGAATCTGACAGTTCTTAACATTTACAAGATTCAATTGCAGTTTGGAGACTATATGTACTGCACTAGGTTGAGACCCTGTTCGTGGTGTTCGTCCCCAGCGCGACGTATGGCTTTCAAACTCCCGCCTGCAAATTTTCTCCACCAAACAACCTTCTCGCCTCCCAAATTGCAAGAGACCGGAGGATGAAGTGCTCGCAGAGCAATTCAATGATTTTCAGAGGCCTTATGCGAATTGCTGGTCTTGTTTTGTCCATCTCGGATGTCGTGCTGGCGCGACTCCATCGAGCTTGCTCACGCACCTCACTTCAGCTGTTCTCCGTACCCCAACATCCTACTGTCCTGGCCCAAATTTCTGATGCTCCTCGGCGGAACTTTCACATGCTCTTCTGCCTGATGTTTCATCTGTTTCAGAATTGCTATTGTACGTTCTGCACTTTCTCGCCGCGCCCCAGAAACTGACTGCCTACAGTGCTAGCGAATGCCCTCACCTTCGTTCAGACAACCACTTTCGGCTTAGCCAACCCCTGTCGGCCCCCCAAGCGTTTCAGATCATAGCAGCTGAATGAAGCTGCCCGTGAAGAAACATTTGAAACAGGCAATGCCTATTGTCGAAAATGCCTATTGTCGTGAGGATGCAAGACTTTTATCAGAGGCTCTGCTCTTCTTCTTGGAGCTCTCTTTGCCTTTTGCCTTTAGCTTCATCTTCTTCGACCGTCTTTTGACCTTCAGCGATCGTCAGCGACATTCGACCTCTTTGCTTTACAGCCCCCCTCAGCTTCAAGCTTCGTCAGCAGCTCACACCCTCCGCTCAGTACTCTCGTCTGGTTACGACTGTATCATCCTCCATCATGCCTTTCGGATCTCGCGCTGCCGGTGACCCGGCCTACCCAGACGACAACGTCTTCCACCCGGATGGCAGCAACCGTCTTGCCGAATGGGAGGTTGCTCATGGATTACGCCCCGCTCCCGGAAACAAAAACCCCGAGGATATGACCGAAGAAGAGCAGGTTCAGTTCGCCGTCGACCAGTCCCTTAAGGAGTCTACTCAGAGTGCTGGCTACTCTGAGGAATCTGGTCCTTCTCAGAATGCTGTTCACACCATGGGTGCTGGTCACTCCCAAATGCAAGCTCTCCACGCCCACGGCTCTGGCCACTCTCAGTATCAGCTTCCTCATGCTTGGGGTGCTGGTTATACTCAAGCTCAACCCATTCACGCCTTCGTTCCTGAGAATATGACCGAAGATCAGCAGCTTCGGCTCGCCATCGACATGTCCCTTAAGGAGCCTGACCTTCACATTCAAGCTGGACCCTCTGCCTTTGCTGGCCCCTCTGCCTTTGCTGGCCCCTCTGCCTTTGCTGGACCTTCTTCCTCTGGTGGTTCTTCCTTTGCTGGACCCTCTTACTTTGGTGGTTCTTCCTTTGCTGGACCTTCGTCTTCGGTTGGACACTCCTCCTCGGCTGGTCTGTCTTCTTTTGCTGGCCCTTATTCATCTGCTGGGCTTTCTTACTCAGCTGGCCCCTCGGCGTTGGCCTATTCCTCGTCGTTTGCTGGACCCTCTTCCTCGGCTGGCCTGTCCTCGTTTGCTGGTCCTTCGCCTTTTGCTGAGCCCTCGTCTTTTGCCGGTCACTCGTACTTTGCCGGCTCCTCGTCTTTGTCTGGCCCTTCATCTTCTGCTGAAGACTCTCTGTTTGCTGGATCCTCGTCTTGGGTTGATCCTTCTCAGGCTGGCCCATTCCAAGCCCATGCTGCTCATGCCCAAGGTGCTGGTCACTCTGCTGTCGAAGCCGATCTTGTTCAGGGTGCTGAACACTCTCAAGCTGAGCCTACTCACTACGAAGACGCTGCCTACGAGGCTTCTGGCAACGCGGACCCCATTAACGACGATACGATTGAAGAAAATGATTTGGAGAAGTACGGAATCTACGATGACGAGAATGCCGGCCACTCCCAGGAAGCTGCCCACACCAACGACGACTACATGGTGCACGGCGCCATCTCCAACTCTCCCCTCCGCGTCGAAGAAATGACCGAGGACCAGCAGCTCCAGGTCGCCCTCGAACGCTCCCTCAACGGTTCTGGCCAACACTCCAGCTCCAGCTCCAGTCCCCAGCCCAGTCCGGCAGCCGAGCAAGCCAAGGACGCGATCGAAGTGAACAACAGCCTCTACCTCCCCCTCCACCAGCTCTTCCTGTCGATCCACCAGAACAACCTGCCCATCGACAACGTCTTTGACCAGTTCATGGGCTTCCTGGCCCAGGCCTACCCCGGCCAGATTGACGAGTTCACCGCCCGTCGCCAGTCCGCCGCTGCCAGGGAGCAGCAACAGCAGCAGCAGTCGCAGTCGCAGCAGTCGCAGCAGCTCGAAGACAACGACGAGGACTGGGACAGTTACCAGGCCGTTTTCGAGGGAGATCACGTCTTCGTCTCCCACGCCTCGCACACCCAGGAGCCTCCTGCTCCGGTCTCCACTTCCGGTGGGCAGCAGCCCGCCCCCTTCGTGTCCCTGGTGGACATCGAAGGTCCGGCAAGGGAGGCACTGGTGCCTTCCCTGTCGGTGCCGGACTTGGAGGCCGGAGAGGAGGCGGGTGTTGTGGAGGGTGGAGAGACGGTGGAGAGCGAGGAGGAAGAGGAGAACGACGAGGACGAGGGCGAGAAGGAGAAGAAGGACAAGGGGAAGGAGAAGAAGAAGGACGACGACGACGACGACGACGACGAGGATGACGATGAGAATGGAGATGGAGCGGCCTTGCCTGCGTCCATCCAGAGTTCGGCGGACTCAGCCGCCAACACCTCTGCTAGCACCTCTGGTCCTGCTGGCCTGTCCTGCGACGACGACGACGACGACAAGGACAACAAGTGGAAGCCCTGGGAAATCCAGGCGGCCGGCAGGGCCATGAGGTGGGTGTTGGATGGCGATCCCGACTCCTCCTTGCCCCTCGCTGAGCGGTACAGGCGTTGCGCTGCCCGCATGGAGGAGGAGTCGGGGGTCCAACGAACCTGGACGGCCCTCCGCTCGGCGTACGCCCGGGTCATCCGGGCTGCGACCGGTGTCGACGAGCGGAAGAGGCCTAAGCCGCACCGGCTGCAGACCTCGGTTCAGAAGACCGGGGCTCGTTCAGCTGCCTGCTGGAAGGCTGCAGCCGTTGCGGCGGACGCGGGCAAGGCCGCCGATGAGGCCTTGAAGAGGGAGAAGAAGAGGAAGCTGGAGGAGGAGAAGGAGGAGAGGAAGAGGGAGAAGAGGAGGAAGAAGGAGGAGGAGGAGGAGGAGGAGAAGAGGAAGGGGAAGCGTCGCCGGGTGGTGGACGAGGAGGAGGACGACGAGGACAAGGAGGAGGAGGTGCCGGCCGCGGTGGGTGCGGTTGGTGAGGGCTCAGCCTCGGCGAGGCCCAATACCCGGGCCGCTCAGGTGGCCGCGGATGCGGCACTGGCGCGTCGCCTCCAACAGGAGGAGACCGCCAATGTCCGTCCGCGCCGCACCCGCCGCAGTTAGGCTGTGAGGGTGGTGTTTAGGGGGTTCGGGAGGGTGGTGCTCTGGTCCTGCTTGTTTTTTGTTTTTCTTTTTTGGGTTTCGATACCCGGAGGTGGAACGGCTCAGAGTTTCGGGCTTCGGGCCCTCTAGTTTTGTTTTCTGCTTGCTCCTGGGGCCCTGCTGCTGGCAGCAGGGTGCCCATTTTAGTTTAGCTCCAACGTCGTCCGCTGCAGAGGCAGCATTGTCACCGTGCTCGTATTCTACTCTGCGATGCTACTCCATGTGATCTACTTGCGCTCGTCATTGCCGCATGAAGCCTTACTGATTGGGCAATCGGCATGTACCTCTAGATACGTCAACACTCAACAGCATCACGATGCAGTAGATCATTCAGCCGCTGTTGAAGAGTGAGCTCGCCGTTGTGTTAGATATAGTTCTTCCAGACGAGTTAAGTTTGACACTTGGAAAACTGCGGAGATTGGTGGGAGGGCTGAGGGACACAGACGGAACAATTCCGTCTCCACAAATAGCTAGATGCAAAGCAGACTTGGGTTTGACGTTCGGCCGAAGCGCGCAAAGCTTGACTTCGCCATGACCTTCCGTTGTGGTGGCAGGAGCGGCTACGGCTGCCGCAGCATGCAGATAACGGCGTTCCAGAACGCTAAACGGCCCAGGAGATCGCATGTTCTTGCTCTGAATCCAAGGGTCGATCAAGCTATAGGAAAACACGGAGAGGAATCTGGCACTCGAGATGTTGGAGGAGCTGGTAAAACTTGCCTCGTTTCGCGCCGAGTTTTGCGTCTATCTCGGCAGATCTGCGAGAAGGCGGCAAGTCGACGCGTGCATGAGGCAGAGCTGATTGAAGGGCACGCCCATCATTGATGCAGGATCCAGAAGTGCTGCGAGGTGGCTCATTCGGAGGAGTGAGGTCGGCGAATCGGAGGTGGTGCGGCTACCTAGCACCCCCGCTACCGTCCGTGCGCAGACCCGTGCCAAGAGTCCGCGCTGCGCCTCTACCTACCCATACCGCGTCACTGCGCTCTCCTCTTAAACTCAGCCCGCGCCCCTCTGCCTGCTGGATTCTGACAGCGCACTCAGCACCATGGACGCCAGCAACGTCCAGCCTGCCGCCGGCTTCCAAGCCATGGACGCCGACATGGACATCGACATGGACATTGACCTCACCACCGCCGACGACATTGAAGCCTTCGACACTGAGGGCATTACCATTGTGCGCCTCCACGAGTCGCCGTAGCCCGCCCCTCTCGCTGACCCGACTCCGCAGGATGACACTGCTGCTTCGACCACTGCAAGTGGCGCACCGAATGCTGTCGCAAAGGAGCCTCAGCTGGAGAAGGTGAACATCGAGGGCGTTGACAACCTCACGACTGCCCAAGTGAAGGCGTACGCTCTTGGTCACTACCCTTCCGACCATTATGTCCGCATTGAGTGGATCGACGACTCCCACGCGAACATTGTCTACGAAACTGGAAACGCCGCCCTCGAAGCCCTTGTCGGCCTCACTGACCCCGCCAAGCGCGATCTTGCCACAGCAGCCGACACTTTGGAACATGCTTTGGAACAGCGTGATGCAAAGCCCTTCTTCGACAACCCGGAAGTTCAGTTGAAGATTAGACTGGCGGTCAATACTGACGTCAAAGCCCCGCGCGCACACGAGGCTAGCCGCTTCTACCTCATGAACCCTGACAAAGACCCTTGGGAGAGAAGAAGGAGGCAACCGGGCGACCGTCGCAACGGAGGTGGCGATGGATACAACAGAAGGCGCTACGACGATCGTGAGCAGAGGCGAAGGAAGGACAACGCCGAGTATGACATGGATATGTACGATGAAGAAGGCTCTTCTAGGCCTCGGAATGCCAGCAGGCGTCCCAGGCGCGGCTCGCTGTCAGACGACTCGTTGGATGATCGTAGGAGGGGCAGGAGAAGAGAGGCACCGAGCAAGAATCTGGATGACCTCCTTCCCTCCAAGGCTGATGGACGTCTCCGCGACCGCAGCGCATCACCGCTCCGCGATGGTGACGGTCGATATGGTTTTGAGGAGGATGATGGCGCTGCGCACCGCCGAATCCGCAGGAGGAGTTACTCGCCTCCGTCGAACCGGCTTCCCTCTGGCAACGGCAGCAAAGAGCTTTTTCCGGGACGCGGCGGTGCGACCAAGGAACTTTTCCCTGGAGCAGCCTCCAAGTCTACTCTTCTTTCGTCTACCGCTTCCAGCCCCAACCCCTCTACCAACACCAACTCCAACTCCACAAAAGAACTCTTCCCTAGCAAGGGCGGACATACCCATGGAAAGCGCTCTCGCGAGCTGTTCCCGCACAAGACAGCTCACAGCAATCATCGCCGCCAGGATGCCTATGATTCTAGAGACCTTTCCGAGCAGGCATTCACGAGGCCACGCAGTCTTGAGGAGCGCATTACTGGCGGACCCAACAGCAATGGCCGTCTCAATGGTGAAGACCAAGGATTTGCCGTTAAGGGTTCCGCAGACGCGCCTGGATTCTCCATCCGCGGTGCTGCAGATGTTAGAGAGCTGTTCCCGATGAAGTCTGGTGCCGGATCCAACGCTGGAAAGGAGCTGTTCTCAGAGAAGATCCAAGGTCGCGGTGAACCGAGGAGGAAGGCGGACATGTATTTTTGAGTTCTCGATGCAGAAAGGATGGGGGATTCTAGACGACCTTACTATCCCTGAGGGTTTTGTTCGTCTTTCGCTTCATCCGCCTTATTTTCTCGACTTTCTTTAATCGACAAACGGCACGACACAAGGGTGGAAATTGGCATTTGCATGGCTGGCTGGCACATCTTCTTCAACAGATTCACCTTAACGACGCAAGGCGCTCAGGATGTTTGTTGTATTATTCATCAGGGTTCTTCGGGATACCACATCTCTTTTGATTTCTCCGTTGGAATTCGATATGCGGTACAGGCAATGTATCAAATATTGCGAATAAAATTCATCTCTGCTTTTTTTTTTTTGAAGCGGGTCCGGTCGCGAGACGAGCATTTCTGGGACTAGGAATAAAATATTAACAGATAACGGCTCACTCAACATCTAATCTCTTCAGATGAAACGTCTTGTCAGTTTGGATTAATCGCTTGCTGTTTCTTCGAATTCTTTAGTTATCCCCGTTCTTTCTGAGAACAAAATCGACCAAAACATCCCTGTGTCTCTTCGGCATTGCACGGATGCCCTCTCGACTTAAGCTTCCTTGATTCGCCCATCCTTGACCATCTCCCTGATTGCCTGAATGCTCGATTCGACGGCTATCTGCGCGCCCGCGCGGTGCTTCTTCCGCAGCTCCGCGACGGCAGCCGCATCGCTCGCGCTGACCTCTGGGTACCGCCAGGCGAAGCTATACGTCATATTCAGCGCGTCATTTGCGTCGAAACTGATGACGTTGCTGATGATGGTGCCGTTGGGTTGGTGAAAGTCAACCTGACCGTATCAGCACTATCATATCATCCAAATGAAAGCAGGAAATGTTTTTTTATCCTTCTTTTCTGCATCTCCTTCCTATCCCTGATGGGGGTTCAAATCGCGAAAGATAGTGACTGGGCAGGGGAACGCATCGCCCTGAGAAAACAAGACATACTCTCGACGGTTCATAGCACTTGCACACCTCCTTCACCTTCGGGTCGCCTTCCCGGAATCCTTCCTTAAACGTCGCCTCGCGCACGACGACCGGCACGGCCTCAGAGCCGGTTCCTTCGGTCGTCTCCTCTAGCACCTCCGTTCCAAGGATGACGGGCACAAATTCCTGCGCGAACCGGATCTTACGCTCGAGACCGGCCCAGACTTGGTTCAGGGTGAGGACGGGCGTGGCGCCGGCCGGGTTGATGGGAGACGTGAAGGCCACGTTGATGGTCACCATTGTTGGTCTTTGGGAAGGATCACTGCAAGGGGAGATTTTGCTGCAGGTGACGGATAGACGCGCTTGGCTGAGAGATCGGACACGGAAGCCGGAGGGATTTGGTTGATTCGGGCAAAGGTTGTAGTTTGTTCGGGGAGGATAGTAGCGTGAAGGCAAGCCACGTTAAATGAGGACGTCGTCGGCCTCGGCGGCCTCGGCGGGGTGCGGGGTCAGTCCGAAGCGCGAGGGACGGAGTACGCCCTGGGGGCTGTATGGGAAATGATGACGTCAGCAGCATGCAAGAAGCGCAGTGATAGGAATCAGAAGCGAAAGAGGACGTGTAAGTTGTTGGGTTTTGAACGCATTATTCGTCGTATCAGCCGACCAGCGGAAGGCGCTCGTACGAGCGGGAGTGGAGCTTTGCTTGCATTGATTAATGCTGGCCGAAGGGCGTTGGCGTAAGCACCAACGCAAACTTTAATCCCGGGTCAAACTTAGGGTGGGGCGCACAAAGCTACAAGGCACCGTAACACCCTTCTGGTATTGTAGCCCTGTAATCATTCTTGCGCCGGTTAGTATTACGTCTGGATTTCCGAATGTAGTACCGGCTCTGATTCGTTGCTTATCCTCCTCTCGAGACCGATGTGCGAAAATGTCTGGGGTCAGTATGCAACCCTGCTACTGATTACTTAGCGGTTCATTCAACAGCCAGATATCATAATTACTTTGATTGAAGTTGTGGAGAGCCTGAAGAAGGCTGCGCCCATTGATCATGGGTAGTTTTTTTTTTCCCCTAAAAAAACCAGACGTAGATTGAGGTCTCGAAATTTTCCGAAAACATCCGGACCCGAGTTTCGGCTGCCCACATTAGCGACCTACAAGTATCTCAGCTAGTTGTGCGGTAGGTTTGAGAAGACATATAAGTAATGATCTTTGTAATTAATTACATTCGTCCTTTCCAGCAGTCGATGATGAGTTGCCAAGACCGTATCGGGTAATCAGCTTTCTTTCAACAACCTCCTCCTACTCGTACACCCTGCACAGTACATTTGCCAATAATTGATCTGGCACTCCTTTTATAATCCATGTCATACATTGAACCCAGATACAGCCCTACAGGAGGTACCTATAGTCAGGGCTCAAGTCACCCATCTCAGTCTTCTCGTACTCGGTGAGCCCCAAATCCGTTGGGGTCTTGTCCCTCTTCTTGTTCGACCAAGAACAGAGGACCCAGTAAAGAGTGCAGCTCAGCGCGCTCAAGCAAATAAATGCTATGCAGATGGCGTGTCCGGGAATGTATTCCGGTCCATCTTTCGAGAGGAATGCGAAAACGGCTATGATGCCGCCAATGTTCCCAAATCCAACCTGCCAGGCCGAGGCGCAACTCCTCCTGTGGTGTCCTCCTATGTTCATATTGAACCAGCAGACAATGACAGGCATTGCTGAGTAGCAGCCCATCGCGACGAGGAAAAGGGCGGCATACTGCAACTCCTTGTTGTCATGTACAGAGATGAGAATGCCAAAACCAGCAATCGCGATAGCGATCGGTATCAGGGTGAAGAGGAAGCGGTGTCGGGTTTTATCCGAGAAGTAGGCGACAGTCATGGCAAGGCCGAATGCAGCTGCCCATGGTGGTACGCTATGCAGCTGGGTCTGGATCGCCGAGTAGCCATACGTCTTAATGATGGTCGGAGAGAAGTATGCGTAGCCATATGCGGGGACGATCAGGCCAAAATACATGAATCCGCCGACCCAGATTTTGGGGTCTTTGAAGACTCGGCCAATATCGCCAAGGGTGATTTGACGCTCGGCGGCCGAACGACCCTGGTCAGCCTGTAGACGGGCCTTGACGTATCTCCTTTCCTCTTCAGTGAGCCACTTCGCCTCCTCCGGAAAGTTGGGAAGCACGAAGAAGAAAATTACGGAGACGACGACGGTCAGAAGGCCCTCCAGAATGAAGATCCTGCGTTGGTCGTAAGTCTTTGTAGCCATAATAGAGGCACAACCAACAACTCACCACCTCCAGCCCCTATATGAACGAACCCCATCCATCTTCCCGATGGCAGATGCGAGGAGACCACCGAATGCTCCGGCAAGGGTGGTGCTGCTAAAGAAAAAAGAATAGCGGCGCTGTGCTTCATGGCGTCGATACCACATTCCTATTTCCTAGTCAGGACTCAAACCACCCATCTTAGTTTGGTCAGTCGCCACTAACCTATGAGATAAAAACAACCCGGGAACATGCCGCTTTCGAACAAACCGAGAAAGAATCCTGTTTACTGAGTTAGAACCAGAACGGCCTATTGGGGGGCTAGCAGGTGAGGTCACGCGGCCGACAAAATCTCCGGCGCGGCAACATGGACCCCCCGCAACGACAAAACTAAAACGGCTGTAGGGTAATTGAAGGCTAGTGCTTACTCGTTGCCAGCAGTCCGGAGTAATTTTGGACTAAGCCTTGCAGGGTGGTGACCAATCCAAAGAAGAACATACACCCCGAGAGCCAAACTCGCGGCGACGCTTTCTTCATTAAAACATTGCTTGGAATCTCGAACAGGATATAAGGCACAAAAAATATGACAAGAGCGGTATTGTACTTCATGCTGTTCTTGGAGGCCAGACCCAGGTCTTCCGACAAGCCGAACACATTGGCGTTGGCTATGTTGACCCTGTCGAGGAAAGCCAACAAGTACAGCACACACAGATACGGGATGACGTGGAAGTCAATCCTATTGACGAGGCGGCGCTCGGTGGTGTGCGGCGGGCACTCGACGTGGAGGTCTGAGTCGTACTCGACGGCAGCAGGGTCAGGGACATAGTTGCCGTCCTCGCTCGAGCTCCGCGGAGCGACGGCGGCCTCTGCGAAAAAGGGTCAGCCGGCGCCGGCGGTGAGGCGCAAAAAAACTCACTTTCTGATCGCGAAAACATGGCGAGGGGCCGTCACTTTGCCCACGAGCACGCGCAAAGACACAAAAGCACAGGGAGGGAAGGGATGGGGCGGGCGGCTCTCAGTGGCCATGGGACGATCCCTTATAAAGCCCACGGGCATTGCTGACAGCTCGGTGCGTGACAGCGCGAAGGCAATGAGTCTTAACGCCGGTATCGCAGCGCCAGCCCGCATCGGTCGCGAATAACGCGGGGAAGCCGTGTTTCCGGGGCGGTAATGCTGCCTCAAACGGATTGCGGTGTATTTTATTGGTTACGGGCGGCGGCGCCGTGTGGAGAGCGGCAGATCGCACTAGGGCGCAAGCGGCGTTAGTGGTGCATCACCGCCGGCCACGTCTTTGGTGGAGTGCTGCCCCGAGCCCTACAGCCGCGGTCCGGTGCCAGCGCAATCTCCAGTGGCGGCCAGGCCCGCTATGCGTCAGCGCGCGGCCCGCTTGGCGAGAGGCGCCGGCCAAGCGCAGGGCTCACGCTGGATGGGCTCCAGGCCTTGCGGCGAGCCCGGGGCCTGCCCGGCGGTTTTGGCGCGGACTGTAGGCCGGCTGCCGATCCAACGACCACCTCAGGGCACCCTCGCTGACCTTCACCTTCACTCGTCCTCGCCCGCCCGAGCCCTCGCCCACCAACAACACCACCACCTCACCACCGCTCCCGCTGGCTGCGCCAGCCGCTCCGCCCAAGCCGTGCCGCCCCGAGCCAGCTCATGCCGCCGCCCTGACACCGGCCCTCGGCGCCGCATCCTGTCTGCCTGCCATGCAGCCTTTTCACTGCACGGCACCCGCCTACTCGAGACCCCAGAGCGAAGTCACGGCCGCCCCGTCCTCGCTGCCGCTCGCCTTCCGCCCGCCCACCGCCTCGAGGAACGACGCCCGCCTGGCTGCCATTGCTCACTGGAGCGCCCAGTGGCACAACGGACATCTCTTCCTCCGGGACCCCATCCGCGGCTACATCGAGATATCGCCTCAGGTGATACCGCCACAGTCCTTTTTCAACGACTCCACCTACCATGACAAACGCTCCGATGTCTGGCTCTCGCAGGTCGAACATGCCCAGTACCTGTACACCGTGCGTGAGGATCACGGTATCCTAGCCTTCAAGGTCCAGCCCCAGACTGCCCGTCCCACCCTTCCTGCTCCCGAGGCCGTTTTGGGCAAACGCGCTCTGAGCAGCGAGCTCAGCACACCGCCTCCTCCCCCGAAGAAGACACGAGCCACCGTCAAGCATGCCGGCCCCACCAGGATACGGAAGGACCGCCGTGTTCAGACACCTGTCTACGACGACGTTTGGAAGAGGATTTTTGAGCTCAGCGACCCTGCTATGCTGTTCACTTACGAGAGAGTCAACAAGGCTTTTCGCGGCGCCCTCGCCACTTACAGCCACATCTGGAAGAATAGCATGGTCGACCATTTTGGAGAGGATCTTCCCGAAACCCCCAAGGATCTTCAGGATCGTCAGTATGCAGATTTGCTATCCGGCCAAGGCTGCATGTCGTGTAAAGAACCAAAGGCACGCAAGACCTACTGGGCTTTTCTCCGTCGCTGGTGCACCAAATGTTTCAGCGAAAAAGTAATCAAGGTTCGTCGCGAATTCTCCGCCGCCTCCCGTTCTCATCGCACAAAACTAACTCCCACGTAGCAAGAGGACTGTTTCGCTATCAACCGTAAATTTCCCGGCATTCTTGAGTGTATTCCTTGTGCAACTGTGGATTCTTGGAACCATTACTCGTACGCCGGGTGGGGCGACGAAAACGGCCGTTCGACTGCTTCGGGAAACCAACCGGTGTTTTTGAAGGATGATGTAAGTGCAGTCGCTGCAGCCTACGAGGAGTTTATGCGTACCTTGGACGAAGGGGATTTGTCCGACGAAGAAAAGGAGGAAAAGCGGGCGGAATGGATCAAGGAGCGTAGGGAAAAAGCCAAGGAAGTCATGGACGAGCGCCTGGAGATCGACAAATTCGAAAAGAAATGGATCGCTGCCCGGGCTCAGAAGAGCGTGGATCTGAAGAACATGCGCAAGGAGTTCATCATCCGCAGGGCCAAGAATCTCAATCCTCCGATGTGTGAGGAAGTGCTCAAGCTTATCCCGGCATTCCAGGAAAACATCAAGATCAACAAGGAGTTCAAGACGGAGAAATTCTGGAAGGTCCTTATGCCGAAGCTGGAGGAAGCTCGCCCCCAGGCGGAGAGGCTTTACGCGATGGAGACTAGAGCCAACGAGATCGGATACTGGGATCTCATGCCCGGCTTGCAGAACCAAACTAATCAAATGAGCACTTGTGCTGCCGGTGCTTACCACCAGCTCATGGCACTGGTCGAGGCTTCGTTGAAAAGGGTTCACAACCTGGGTGCTCACAGTAAGGTGCAAATCCCTCACCAAGAGTTCGCACTTCGTGTTCTGAACATGGTTCGCCGGTCTTGGCCCATGCAATCCGTTGCTGCCCATTCGCAGATTCCGGATCGATCACCTTTCATCGACTGCTACCCTCGAGATGGCCGGTACGTTCTCACGATTGAACATGCGTGCAGAATATACGAGCGAAAGATCGTTCCTAACCTTGAGGGGCTTTATCCCGAATTCCGCCAACCAACCCGCAACGTCCAGAAGTTCAAGTGCCCAGGGTGCAAAAGGAACGACGTTAGTAAGCAACGCACTTTTCGTCAGTTGATGAATCACATCCGTGAGGATCATGCTACGACAATTGGCGATTTCCAGATTTTTCGACTGGCAGGATTCAGGTCTGAGCCCTACTTCTGCGCGGTTCCGTGGCCCATAAATCTCCCAGCTCTCACGGACAAACAGAAGTCTACTGGCACCTGGGACAAGGACTCTGAGCCGGAATACGGAACAGTCGACACATCTGCAGAGCAACCTCAAGATATCCTGCAGTCTGCGTTTGCCCGGAAAGACGTTTGCGCTCCCGAGTCGCTTCCAAATGCAACGTCCAAAGGGCCGGCGGACTTTGTCGGTAACGTTCGAGATGCTCTGCGTATTCTCGAGGGTACGGGGTTGAGCGCTCCTGTCCGTAGCAAGATCGTCATTGAGTACGCCGACCGCCAATGCAAAAAAGCAGACGGAAAAGACGCTTCCCTTGACTGGCACACTCTGCGCTTCGAGGTGGACGCTTTCCTGATGAGCAGCAATAACCACGACATCTTGGACAAAATGTGCTGTGGTGTCTGCCGGAGAGCCACAGATGGAAAGACGCGCGGTGGCAAGAATTATGCCAGGATGCCCAGTTCTCGTGCTGAGTTGATCCGACACTTCGGCACCCATCACCAATCGAACGTTCAAACCTGGCCGAGGGACATGTTCACGCTCCCTAGCGACGAGGATGTTACTCGGGCACTGAGCGAGGCTTCTGCGGAGGCTAACAAGGCTTTCCATACTCTCTTTCCTGATTCAAAAGAACCGCCAAAGAGGGAGTTGGTCGGCATGGATATCTTGGCAACCGTCGCGAATCAACAGCAAAGGTTCAACGGCCGTCCGTCAAAGGTTACGATGGCTCAATGGCGCCAACAACATCCGGCACAAGATCCGATGTCTGCACAACACCTCCGGCCGTCCATTCCTCAACCTTTTAGCCTCCAGCAGCATCAGCAACAGCCGCACCAGCACCAGCATCCGCATCCACATCAAAATCCGCACCAGCAACCGCACCAGCAAACGCATCCACACCAGCAGCCGCAACCACACCAGCACCAGCCGCAACCGCACCAGCACCAGCCTCAACCGCACCAGCACCAATCTCATCGGCCAGGTCACCAGCACTCACACCAGCCGTTAGTGCCTATGCACCCTCAACAACTCAATCCGCATAATCGTCCAATCCAATCCCATCCTCAGCACCAACATGGACTGCACATGTCCGGGCAGTCGTCGCAGCAGCAACCGCAACCCCAGCATCCGTACGGCTACCAACCTCTTCACCACCTCCCTCCTTCACGGTATCGTCTCTACCAACCTTAATATCCCTTAGTTCTGGAGCGGGCTTTTGTTTTCTGTGCCATTGGTCCCAGGCACGCATGGAAAACTCTTCAGGAGCCATACTGGCAACGTTCCTCCTCACATACATAGACATGTTTCCCTTGTGCAAAAGGACGACGCGAACGATCTCCAACATGCCGCGTACAGCAACAGCAACGTGACTGGCTGAGCACTTCACGGCTTGGCTCATTTTTCCTTTTTCCTTTCTCGTCTCATACTAATAACCATTTGGTGTTGTGCGTCTCGGTTTACCTTCAGGGCATAGCGTCTGGCGGACTTGGAGTGATCAAATCTTTTTTCGTTATCTGCATGAGACAACCCCCGGACAACAGCATCATGAGTACCCACAGTTATTGACTTATTGTTTTCTGTCTACTTGTTTTTTGTCTTGCATTGCATGCGAACAGGGGCATTCTTGGGTTCAGCGACGGTTTCGTTTAATGTTTCCCCTTTTTCCTTTTCGGTCTGCTCACGGAGTAATTTCCAACGTATAACCAGAGCATGTAGGCCACGCAGTAGTTTGTCTGTTATAGAAGGTACGGATCGGAATGGGTGGGAATTTTGGCTTCTCGGTTTGCAATATCCTTAAATGGTCAGGGGGATTGCTCTGGCATCCGGACGTTTCTACTAGACGTTGGTAGCGTGAATGACAGAATGGCTTTCTCCTCAGTAATTAATATGCTTGTAGTCGTTGTGTATGATATGGAAGCACTGTGGGACGTAGAAAGCTTGAGCCCTCTGGGCCCCGTGGACAACGCTGCATTCTTTCTGTGTAGTAATTTAAGCAAGCATCTGGACGTAAGCGTAAGTTTAAGAGTCCCATGAATACATCCAAACATCGGGCTCGAACATTATCCCCGTAAGCCGGCACTATCTACTGCGATGTTTTAAGAGAAATCTGCTACTCGCTGATAGTCTATTCTAGTTCAAGCACAAATACAAATCCACTTAAGTCACTCTCTGAATCCGTCATCTGCCGCTCTTGCCTCTAGTTTACCGCTATATTCAAATCTATCTAGTACAATGTTCCTACCCGGCGTGACTTCCTACCTAAGTATACGTATGGGCGGTGGAGGAGTCACCGACCGGATTTCCTTTTCGGGTTAAGCTCGGAGGCGGAGTGAGACGTCTCAAAAAGTGCGGCGACGAACAGAGCCGCTCCATCTTCATCGACACGTTTTGCTCCCCTATGCTTCCACGTCGCGCGGTGAATCTCTCCACACAAGTCACACGTGGACCTCCTTCTCGCATCACTTCTGTTCAAGGCCAGTTTTGGAATTTTCGTGTCCAGGAATCGTTTAGGAGCCCAAAGCCTCGACTGTACGCGACCATGTCTGCCACCGCTCCTAGCAGTGATAGTGCTGCTACTCCTACCGTTCAGAACGGCTTGCAGCAGCAAACAAAGAGGCTAAGATATATCGATGTTCGTCCCCACTCACGCAATAATTACTCTTCACCTTAGATTCGCGCATCAACTACGAAAAGACGAAAAAACCCATGCACGTGATTTAACTAATTTTTGGGTTGTCTCTGACAGATCGGCATCAACCTGGGCGACCCTATATTCCGTGGGGTGTACCACGGCAAGCAGGCGCATGAGGATGATTTTGAAGGCGTAATGGAGCGTGCGCTCGCGGCAGGCTGCGAGAAGATGATGGTGACAGGATCTGACTTGAAGGAATCAGAGCACGCGGTTCAGATCGCGAAGGAACATCGTAAGGCTTCGTTCTATTTTACATTCTGTCACTTCTACGCCCTCTTGTCCGCCTCCATGCCTATCTCCTTATTTCTCTTGTTGTAGAATCTGTCTGACTCTCGTTTCCTCTCCTTTGGGATCACTACAGCCGGCCTCTGCTACGCCACCGTCGGCGTTCACCCCTGTTCGGCAAAGCAATTTGACAGCTTTCCCGGCGGTCCGGACGCGATGCTCGCGGCACTGAGGACACTAGCAAAGGAAGCCGCGGCGGCGGGCCACGCGGTGGCCTTTGGCGAGATCGGGCTCGACTACGACCGGCTGTTCCTGACGCCCAAGGAGCAGCAGCTCAAGTACTTCGAGGCGCAGCTGGACCTCGCCGTCGAGCTGCACCTGCCGCTCTTCCTGCACAGCCGCGCCGCGGCCGACGACTTCGAGCGGCTGCTGAAGGAGCGCCTGCCGCGCCTGCCCAAGGGCGGGCTCGTGCACTCGTTCACGGGCACGCGCGAGGAGATGAGGCGGCTGGTCGACCTGGGCCTGGACATTGGCGTCAACGGCTGCAGCTTGAAGACGGAGGAGAATGTCGAGGTCGTCAGGGAGATTCCGCTGGAGCGCCTGCAGATCGAGACGGACGGCCCGTGGTGCGAGATGCGGCCGAGCCACGCCAGCGCCAAGTTCTTGAAGGAGGGCCCTGTGCCCGAGATTCCGAAGGCGGTTAAGAAGGAGAGGTGGGCGAAGGGCTGCATGGTCAAAGGGAGGAACGAGCCTGCGACTATTCCGCTCGTGGCGCATGTCATTGCGAGGATCAAGGGGATCGACGTGGAGGAGGTGTGCGAGGCGTAAGTTTTGCTAGATTTTTTTATATGTTCTCTGTTTCTTCCGCGGATGTGTGCTGATTCATTGACAGAGCTTGGAACAACTCGATCAGAATGTTTGGGTTGGGAGAGAAGGTCGAGTGAAATGAATGGAGGTTTACTTTGTAGAGTGGCGCATAGAGTAGAGAAGAAAGAAACATGCTAGATAATTATGCCTTTGAAGATGATTGTAGTAAGGAGTAGCTGAAGCGTCAGGTTCAATAAGATCACAGGACTCCTCAAAGTCAAGAAGGAGAGGACTCCTGCATACATATGACACGTGCCTTGGCTCATGGACCCGATCAAACATGATCATAGAATGTTAGTTGATTTTCTTCGTTTCCCAGCACTTGGTATATCCACAATATTGTACAAGAAGCCACTCGCACAACAAGTTGACCCTGTGAGATATCACGGGTGGGCCTCCTGCCCGTCGCTTGTCGCTGGTATGCTCTCTTCGACCTCCTCGGCGGCATCCGAGAGAGCAGGGTCGCCTTCTTCCAGCACGGCCCCCGACTCGGCACCGCTGTACATAGCGGCCTGCGCCTGGCGTTGGAGCTCGATCTCGTTGAGCGCCCAGGTCTTCCATTCCTCGAAGGCCTGGTTCTCGAGCTCCATACCCACCTCGAGCGGGCCCAGGCCAAAGTACGCGCCCACAGCCAGCGCCTCCTCCTTGGCGAGGCGCTGCTCAATGGCCTCGAAGTGCCGGTAGTCGTAGAACTCTTTGCGGGCTCGGTCATAGGCCGTGGGCCTATCTAGCTTTTCATGTTTCATGAGCCAGAGTTGGCGTTGAACAACGCTGCATACAGGAATCAGTTATAGAGGCCCAATATTGACTTCTTCCCCAAAGATCCAATGAGCACGCTCACCTCTCGCCGTCCAGCTTCTTTCCCGGCTGCACGATCTTGCTCCAATCCCATCTCTTGCCGTCCGCACCGTCATTCTCGAGTATCACCCTCGGCCGGGCCAGCTCCCACGGGTGGTCCTTGAAGAAGTCTTTCCGCAGGTCGTCCTCCTGGTAGGCGAGCTTCTGGGGCTGGAACATGCGGGACGGCTTGCGGACGTTCTTTCGCAGGTCTTTTACATTGTAGGTACGCTGGAGCGGGCGGACGAGCTGTTGCGCAGGCGGCACATCGGCGACGACATCGTACCACGGCGGTGGCACCTTCATGCGCTTCGTCTCGAGGAGCTGGGTCGCGGCGCGGTGAACGCGCGAGGCCATCTTGGTGCGGGCCATTGTCGCGCGGGCCCCGGTGCTGGCGGGTCGTACGGCTCACAGGACGGGGCTGCAGTGGCGGGAGAGCGTCGCGCTGGGTGGGGTGAGCAACGACAGCCGGGCGGGCGCGGGATCGGGATGGGTGTTGATGTTGGAAAAGTGCGTGGTAGCGTGAAAGATCGCCGGCGTTGCAAGGAAGCTTTCCGCCGCCCGCGGTGCAAACTCCGTCACAATTATTGCAACCCATCCACTTCCCATTCCCCCACCGCCGCCACACCTCAATCTGGAGCAGCTGCACGCGGTGGCTGCAGCCAGAACGCTGATTTCCCTCGGGGAATAACGACGAATCATTCCGCGCAGCATTCGCCCCGCCAATGGACCCCAGGCCGGCTGCTTAGCACCATGTCCGCGTCTCATGTCCCTCACCACCAAGCCCTCTCCTTCGGCGGCTGTCTGCATGATAGCTTCCAGGCCACTCCTCGCCTTGCTCTGCCCAGCCGCGCTCGCACCTCCGCATCGCAACCATTCTCCGGCCCAACGTCGCGCTTTTCATCACAATCGCCCTTCTCTCGATAGCAGCAATAGACCGACCGTCTCGCCGCAGCAGATGGACAACTTCTTCATCAACGCGCTTGTACAGGCTGGGTCATGTCGGAAACATAGGGAATGGCAGGGAATGACGGCCAATGCCGCCCTGCTACATAATTCTTGCCGGCCAAGGCGGAAGAGGGTGGACGATGAGGAAGCGAAGGGCAGCAACGTGGCGCGTCGCCAATTCAGCCGTGCCGCAAAACCGCGCGGCCAGCAGGCAGCCTCGCGGAACAATGGACGCAAGACGCAAAAACCCAAAGAGAGCGAGGGCGAGGAGCAGCCTTCACTAGACCAATTGAAGCGTCTGGTAGACTTTTATGGCCCAAACGTACACTTGGAGACGTGGAAAGAGCAGGAAGAGAGGGAAGCGAGGGAAGCCGAAGAAGAGACGGAAACAAGAGGACCGACACTGTCAGAGTGGGGTGGCGGTGAGGACGGCGGCAACAAAGAAGGGCGCATCCCGTTCCACGAGAGACACAAGCCGTGGCCGAACAAGGACGAGGTGGAAAGCGAGTCAATCGGCGAGCTGGAGGAGCTGCTGGAGGAGCGTGATTTGGCGCCCGAGCTCGCGTACGAGATATACTCGGGCCTGTCGTGGCCCCGCGCTGCGTACCTGTCCTATAACACGATCCGAAACCTGCTGCATTGCTTGGGCGTCGTGAGGAAGCGCTCAGAAGCATCAATGATGAGATACCTGGCCGTCATTGACGACATGAAGGCGGCAGAGATCCCAATTGCACTGGCGGATTGGAACATGGCGATTCAGTTTGCTGGAAGGTGCTTCCGCAAGATTTCGAACAGCGAGGTAGAGTCAGCGCTGTGGCTGTGGCGAGAAATGGAGCATCAGGCCGGGACAAGGGGAAATCACGTCACCTTCAACATCCTCTTCGACATAGCAGTCAAAGCAGGGAAGTACAAACTCGCCGAGATGGTCAAGAACGAGATGACAGCACGAGGTCTTAAGATGGATCGATATTTCCGGACGAGCACTATAATGTGGCGCGGGCTGTCGCGGGATGGAGAAGGCGTGAGGAGAGCGTACAAGGACTTGGTGGATGCTGGGGAAATTGTGGATACAGCCGTTTTGAACTGCGTCATCACTGCTCTTCTCAAAGCAGGTGAGCCTGCCGCAGCCGAACAAGTCTTCTTGCGGATGAAGAGTATGCAAGGCATGCGGGAGACGACGAAAATAGCGCCACGAAACTGGCGGCAGCGTCGAGAGCTCGGGCAGCTGCTAAACAAAGCGGCTGAGCGTACACGAGGAAATGCCGAGGCGCATAAAGAAATCCAGGAGCACTCTCCGGTGGGACCGGACTATGGTACTTTCAAGACGCTCATTCGGTACCACGGGATGGAATCTGGCAACATCAACCGCATCACCGACCTGCTGGACGAAATGGATCGCATCTACAACATCCCGCTCGAGGGTGATATGTTCTACTCGCTGTTCTGGGGGTTTCAGAAACACGGCGGCGAGCGCTATTCTCCGTGGACGAAAGAGAGGCTGGAGGGCACGTGGCTCGCTTTCGCCATGGCTCTCGATAAGAAAAATGAGGACATATGTTTGGATCGCAGCATCGCCAAGGTCATTATCCTGGCATTTGCCAAATGCACAGACAAGGTGCGGACGCTAGAAGTATGGGAGGAGATGAGGAAGAGGTGGAACCCTTCAGAAGAGGACCTAGAGGTTATTCTCAGTCTTCTGGGGACTGCGAGGTACGCTCAGGCGGAGTCGACGCTCACATAAACGAATTGTAAGCTATATTTGTTTGTATATTTCTGGAGACTATAGATGTAGATGCGGACGTGGGACAAAAAGGATAAAGGACAACGGCTGGTTTGTACGAAACGGGCTTGTAGGAACTGTGTCTATCTGAGCAATGTATGATGAAGAGTTTCCGTTGATGTTGAACCTGCCATTTGGGGAAAGCTTCGGTGGCAAGTCGTTGCCTAGTATGTAAGCGACGGCCTGACCTCGCGTCGCCGCGTCGCCCTCTGCACCGACAATCAACCACGCGTCGCACTGGACAGACGTCCCCAGCCACGGCCCAGCTTAGTATCGCACAGCGCCTATGACCACGTGCCACGGACGACGATGAGGTCAAATGCGTGGTCGCTCTACTGCTTTATCCGCTCGATCTCGGACACGATTCTTTTCTCTTGATTGTCTCCAAGCCCATCTGCACCACCTCTCCGTGATTTCTCTCTCTACTCTGGTCCCTTTCCCTCATTTCTCACAACGCCAGGATGCCAGCCGAAAGGAGGAACTCTCGATCTATGATCGACATCGACTTCACGCTCAAGAGAATCTTTGGCAAGAAAACCTTCAGGTTCGTTTTCGAGTGCTCAGCTCGCAGAGCTTTGCTTAATTCCTTTCAACAGACCCCTACAGCGCGAAGTAATCAACATTGCGTTGGACAGACATGATGTTTTCCTGCAAGCGGCAACGTCATTCGGCAAAAGTCTTTGCTACCAGCTTCCTGCAGTGATAGACCACGGTCGTACGTTTACCCTCCGTGTCGAAACCTACTAGTCCGCTGACGGCTCCAGTCACCATCGTCATTTCCCCTCTTCTGGCATTAATGGTATTCCAATGCGCCCACTTGAGCTGGCTCCCCATTCTCTAATTGTAGTTCCAGAACAATCAAGTGGCGGCGCTCAGAGCTGCTGAGATCAAAGTCGCAACAATAAACAGCACAACCCCATATTCTGAAAAGACTGCCATAATGGAAGACCTACAATGCGGCCACCCGCGTACCCGTCTCCTCTACATCACCCCGGAATACTGTCAACTGGACTCCTTCCGCCGCATTCTGCGCATCATCCATTCTCACCGCGAGCTCGCCCGCATCGCCGTCGATGAGGCACACTGCATCAGCGAATGGGGCCACGACTTCCGCCCCTCCTTCAAGAACCTTTCCTTCTTCAAGCACGAATTTCCAGATGTCCCGATCATCTGCCTGACTGCCACCGCCACCGCTCAAGTCCGCAACGATATCATTAAAACCCTAGCACTGGATCCTGCAAAGCTCAAGCTCTTCACCATGACTACCAGCAGGCCCAACCTCCATTACGAGGTAAGATTCAAAAGCGACGAGGAAGACCATTATGACAACTTCGTCACCTGGCTCCGCGCCGTGCAAGCCCGACGAACCGCTGACCCGGTCCGTGTCGCTGCCCTCAAAGCCGCAGGAAAACGCCCCGAAGCCGTCTCCGGCATAATATACACACTGTTTCGTCGAGATTGCGAGTCCCTGGCACAGAGGCTGCGAGAGAGCGGCATCGGTGCGAGACCATATCATGCAGGCCTGTCGAACGCAGAGAAGGATGCAGCGCTGGCTGGATGGGTGGCCAATACCCCAGGTTTCGAGATTGTCGTGGCAACAACGGCGTTCGGCATGGGAATTGACAAAGAAGACGTTCGCTTTGTGGTGCACTGGCAGCTGCCCAAGAGCTTCGAGGGCTTCTACCAAGAGGCGGGGCGCGCGGGCCGCGACGGCAAGGCCGCAGCGTGCATATTGTACTATGCACGCGAAGATCGGGATCGCGCTGTAGTGATGATGGCGAGGGACATGCCAAAGGATGCTGCTACCAATAGAGCGGCGCTGGAGAAACACAGGAGCCGGGCCGAGAGCCTAAAGAAGCTGGTGGATTACTGCGAGGACACGAAGAGGTGCAGGCACAAGTCGATCGCTGCGTACTTCGGCGAGAGCGGCGAGGCGATCCCGTGCGAGTGGGCGTGCGATTGGTGTAAGGATCCCGAGGCGCTAATAAAGAGGAAGGATAGGGGCTTGGCGAGCGAGGAATGGTGCTCGACGCAGATGCAGAGCGGGGCGTACGGAGATGAGGGGTATGACTAGCTAGCTGGCCCTACCAAGGTAGATCAACAGGTCATAGATTATGTATGTAAGTCGTAGACGGCGGATTACATAGGATTCCTGTCATCCGTGGGTACTTGAATCCATTATCTGGGCATATTTGCACGGTTATAAAACTTACATCTGCATCCAGACATTTTCCAGTTTCCCATGAATGCGCAGGGTAGCATATTTTGTACTGTGCAGAGTGGTCAACCCTTCTACCACCAGCTGTATGGATGTGTTCTGTTGAAGTGAGTTCTAGCCACATCACAACAAATATGCTAGCCACCCGCACGTAATTATATGAGAAAGTAAACTAAAATAGGATAAAGCAGAGAAGAATGTCCGGAAGATCACGTAGCCAGCCACGTCATTTTCTCCAGATCGCCATAAGAGGGAGGGGGCTGGTAATCGACGCGCTTGAAACGATCACAACAAACCACAAAACTCCAATAACTTTTCGTGTAGAAAAGCCATATTGACGCTTCAGGGCAGACTCATAAAACTTTTTGTAGATCTAATGAGGCCATTTACCCTATGCCGCATGGCTAAACACAAGCCCGTTCGCAGAGCCGCACCTGAGCCGATTCAGATCTGTCAGCTTGTAGTGCTGTGGACTCCGCGGTAGAAGTCGGTACGCGTGAGTTTAGTCGCCTCGAGGTTGCTGCTATCAGCCATGTCTCTGATCTGGACCAATGCCTTCGCCACGTCGCGAAAGAACTCCATGGGCGCATTTGCCGCGTCAGCAGATACTTCCGGATCGAAGTCATCCAGCGTCGTCCAGTACGCCGAGACGTAGACGTACAAGCGCAGATAGGGGTCCGATTCGGGGAGGTTCTCGTAGAGTAGCTTGGCTTGGTCGCTGGGCGAGAGACTCCCGCCGTTCTCGTACTGGTTGTACACGATGTCGAAGCAGGCGTCCTTGAACTTTTGATCGAGCAGCTTGTCGCCAAGCAGGTACGCGTCCAGCCAGTCCCTCCATCGGAGCGCCTCGCAGTCGTTCTTCCGCTCTTCGACGAAGAGCTCGTTGAAGTACAACCACTGCACGTACTTGTCGAAGCATTCCGGCTCGTCCTCGGGCAGCTCGATGCGGCGCTCCCTCGCTTCCTTCCAGTTGCCGTTGCAGGCCCTGGCGAAGAAAGGAGACGAGGCGCAGAGGATGTCCTTGTGGATGTAGTACTTGCGCTGGCCGCTGCCAACGTCAACCTGGATGATTTCGCTTGTCAAGCTGGAAGTAATGGTATCGTTTTGGTCAGTTCCTCATAGGTGTTCCGATGGAGACAGTAGTTTGATTGGGAGTCAAACCTGGTGGAAGACCGAGCAGAGTGATCGCTCACTCCACTTCCCGTCGAGGATTTCCTTCCATTGGATTCACTGTGATGGCTAATGTAGAGTGAGCACGCTTCCTGTATACCATTGTGCCTGGGCTGTAGACTTACTCCGCCATTTCCACTTTGTGAGAGTGTAGCTGAGAGATTGTGGTGTAAGCAGCAGCTACGGATGGAGATGGCCCCAAGGATGAGGATGAGGAAGGATCGAGGATGCGATAGAGGTACCATAGGCGAGCACCCTTCAAACAATGCATGATGGAGCCCAAGTGCATATCTCACGAGGTATGTCATTGGTCATAGTCTCATTTGAGGCCCTACGATGCCCGAACCAGGGCTCACAACGGCGCGCTTACTTGCAGATCGGCTACCTCCTTGCTTGATCTTAGTCGTTTCATGCCAAGCCATCTGACAAGTGGCTTGGCTTATAAGCGATCCGTGGAGGGGCGCTTAGAATGTCCGAAGGCGGGAAGACTTTGCAACGTCACCGCCTGCACTGATGCAACGTTGAAGTGGGCGATGAATTGACGACAGCTAGCTCTAGACCAAGGGAATAAAAGACAGGGAACGACTATGTCCGATGGATCTGCTGGCCCTTGTTTTAGTCTGGTAACGAGCTGAGGTTCAATCCGAAATAGTTAGCTACTAGCCCTACTACAGGATCAGGAACAGCGCTAGTAAAGTCCGAAAGCTCCCTGCGATCACGTTCACAGCTACCATTCCTACTTCTTAGTAAACCAACGAATTCAAAGTTAAGTTACTTAGTAATTCGATGTTCCAAGCAATAAACATGGATCTTGCTATCGTTCGAGACTGGAGTGTTGTTGGTCTGTTTAGTACTGCTCAATATACGCGCGAGATCATTCAAGAGAAAAAAGTTCGATGAAACCTCTTCCCTTTTTTTATTCTGTTCTGTATTCTTCTACTTTGCCGACACTCATTTCTGCAGGAAACACAGTTTCACGGAAGCTGAAATACCTGTGTAAAAATAGTTCTGAGCATTAATGCGTCGACGCTTGAAGATGGTAGTCTCCTTAGATATACACAAACATCATCTCTCGACTCAAATGAGCGGTGGAACTAAATGTCCGATTAGGCCACGGGGTGAGAGACCAATCAAGTTCCATAACGCATACAATCGAACATCATCCGTGTCTTTCATCTTAACATGAGGAATATAATTATCAGCAATGAACGGCATTGGTATCTTAACAATCACAAAAAGAAACAAGAAGTGACCAAGCCCAAGGATATGAGAAACAAGAGGTTCACCCTCACCATCTCGTCCAATTCTGAGTCCCTTTCAAGCGCCCCGGCTGCCCATGTCGTCAATTTTACAACCCAGCCAACCCAAATCTTGCCGATCCCAACCCATGTTCGTTCATTCAATGCATTATATGAAATTGACAAGCGAATCAACCCAGATCTCAGACCATCATGCTTCTCCTCCTCGTCGAGCTTCTGTCTGTTCGTCCTTCTGCTGTTGCAGACGAGCTTTTCGACTGGCGTGGGGCTTTAGCACGGGTCGACTCATCGCTGAAAGCCACGCTCTTGGAGGTTGATGTTGCTCTCTCCCCACCCTCCCGGTCTTTCATTGACGTCGACACGACTGAAGAGTGGCGTCGACTACTCGATGAGGCGGCTGTCTTCGCTGCAAGAGCCCTGCTTCTCTTCATGATTTGCTCTGCATTCTCATCGTGTGACGATGAAGCACCATCCTTGCCGTCAGGTTGTGAGGATCCATCGATGTTGTTGAAGTCGAAGATGGCGAGGTCCGGGCGGTCCTTACCGGCCGTGTCTGTTGAAGAGTCCTTGGTCGCACTTGTCTTCCTTCGAGATGCTGCTGCAGAGGTGGAGCTTGATAGGAGGTCCTTCATTGCACTTGCGGATTTTGTCGGCTTCTCATCCACATCCTTCGCGTCTTTATCCTCATACTCTTTCATCTGCGTTTCTGAAGCGAGCTGAGCTGCTGCAGTCTTACTGCTCAGTGGACTGTGGGGCTCGGCTGGCTCCGATACAGAGTGTGATTTGGCAGAATGTGCATCTTCTGGCCGTTCTCGCTTGATCACTACGGTCCGCAACGGGTTCGTTGAGTTAGATGCAGATTTGGTTTGGTCAGACTGGGCACCAGATGAACGCCGACCATCCACCACTGCGTCGACGAGATCCTTGGTAGGACGGCGCATTTTGCTGACCAAGCTTGGCTCAGCATAATTGACTTGAGACCGAGCACGCCTCGACGGGCGTCCGGCTGCAGACGTGTCAGAGTTGGTAGCGCCGAATTCACTAGGAGGCGGTGTGTCCTTCGGTTCTTGACGAGCCGCCGATGGCTCCGTTGATGTGGGAGAGGTGAGATCGAGGCCAGCCGGAGTTTTTGGTGGAAGCTCCGGTTGCTCTTGATGTTGTGCCTCCTCGATCTGGATATCCGCCGTTTCGACTTCATTCGACTCCATCGGGGCAACATTGACCACTGCAGCCCTCGACTTCCGCTCTCTCACCCGATTGCGAGCAGCCTCTTTCGGGAACTCTAGCTTCTTCGTGTCCGACTTGGAATCAGACCTCTGTACCTTCTTCGGAGACGTGTTTGTTTCTATAGCTTGGATTAACGAAGTGGTAGGGAACAATTGAGGCGTCCATGACTTACTGTCTCCTAGAGCCCTACGCTCAGTCGCCATGAGCATGTCGAGTGTTGAATTCTGCTTGGAGATGGGCTCCAGAGGTTGGCGGTTTTCTCTGTCACCACCTCTGCGGCTAAATCTGAAGTCGTCCCGACAATCTTTCTCACCGGCGTCTCCAGTTGTCTCCTCAGCAGTGGCGCTCAGCTTCCTCTTCCTTCCCATTTTCGAAGGCTCCGGTGCATTGTTCTCGTCTTTGTGGACTTCTTCTGGGGACTGGAACACAGACATTTTCCTGAGATCTAGCTTGGAGCTGTCCCTCCGTTTCCTCCTTGTCTCCAGATTGACTGATACGGTGGCTGGGAGTACTTCCTCATCCTTCTGGTCCAAATCCATGTCATCATTGGCGTCGTCGTTTGCTGGCTTGGGGTCAAACTTGATGGGATCCTCGTCGGTGAAGTGGGCAACTGGTGGTGGACCCAGGTCTGGAGAATCGTCGGTCGCATTTGTCAGTACCGCGTGGAGCTCCTCAGCACTGGGTTCTGTCAGCGCATTTCTCTCGCCAATACGGTCATTTCAGCATACTCCAGAGTGCGACGCGGATAGTATTTGTTCTCTTTGATGGTGGGTAGGACATCGTCGTCGTCCTGATCACCCATCTGCTCCTTCATTGCACGTCTCCATTCGAAGTGCTCCACCGCTCTTGAAGGGCCTGCATCCGATACCCGAACCTTGCGCGACGGCTTGTTGATCGTATTCAGCTCAGCAACCAAGCTACCTATCTCAAGGAGCTTGGACTCGAGCTGGTCCTTGACGGAGCTGATCTGCTGGACTGCATTTTGACCCCTGGACTGTTCAAGCTCTGTCTGCAATTGGATGATCTGTTCTCGCAGGGAGAGATTCTCGGCGAGGATGCGGGCTTGCTCGGTCTCAAGGGCGCGGATGCGAACGGACTGGGCTGAGTTGTTTCTGTGATCATCAGGGTTAGAGCTCCACAGATGAAGACGGTGATGCTGAAGGCATACTTTGCAAGCTCGCGGTTTTGTCTGATGAAGCGGCGCTTGACTGCAGGTGGTGTCAGTGGTGGTTGCTCGGGTTGGCGGGGAAAGTAAACATACGCTGATCGACGGATTCGGGCGGCGGCGGGGCCTCGTTAAGTCGCGCCATGGGCGCAGATTGAGACGCGGCCAAAACTAATGCTTAATCGGAAGACGCAATGGCGACGGACGGCGTGATGGCGGTCGCGTGGGCGTGGATGTGGGATGGGGAATGATGATGTCGAAGGTGGAGATGGAGCTCAAGAAAGTTCGGGTGTAAACAAAGGCCGGAACTGACTCGCGCGAACGCCCGCCCGCCCATGTAGCGCAGCCCTGCGCGCAGGCCCGCCCAAACCAACAACACCACCACTCCATCCTTGACCCGCCCCGCGTCGCCCTGCGTTTCACACTTCCAGAGCCTGTTCGCCGCCAATTTTCCACCGCGCAACCCGGCCGTTTGAATTAGCATCAATATGGAGAACAAACGCCAAACAATTTCTCGCCCGCTCGCATCCCACCTGCGGGGCCAGTCCATGGGCGCATCGTCCGGCGGCGCATCGCCCGTGCTGCTCGCACGCATAAACGAGAAGAAGCAAGAGCTGGCGAACCTCAAGGAGCTGCAGGCTCTCAGTGCTGGCCTAGCCGATCAGATGGAGGTGCTGGAAAAGAAGCTGTCGACACTCTCAGACGGCACCGAAGGTGTGCACAACAGTAGCCGGCCATTGGGGCGAGTACTGTATGGCTGACGCGTCCTATAGCTGTCGCTGCTGTCCTGTCGAATTGGCACAACGTTTTGCGCGCCATCAACATGGCCTCAAGTATGGTCTCCCCAATGCTTTGCTCCTCTGTGCAATTCTGATGGTGTACAGTGAAAATCCCCAACCCTAAGGACGCCGCAGACCAAGAGACCACAGAGGAAGACAAGGAAGAAGTTCCCCTTCCGCAGACTCTCGTCCGAATTCCGACCCAACACGCGGCACCGCTGCTTCAGCAGGCCAGCTCTGCCAACGCCGCCGAATGAGGGCATCTATGCGGTCCACCAGGACTGATTGATTGTCCTCAATATACGACAGAATAGTCTACCAGAAATTGGGCAACGACTTTGCGTTATTTCACGAAAGCTAGCCTCATTAAAGCCTATCGCTAGACCAGCTTGGAGAAATGGCTTTATGCTACGAGCCTACGCGCCCATCAAGGTCTACCCAAGTAGGCAGGTTCAACTCTGGCGATAAAGGAGGTATAACTGAACTCTGCCCGGAACCACCAGCTCAAGCGCTGCGTCATGGGCGTCTAGGCTTGGGTAATATATGGCCCAGTCTTGTGGCATGGAACGCGTGAGGATGTAAGGACCAAATGAGATAGTACTTGATGAGCATTGCAAGTAAATAGGAAGACGGAGGTTCCAAATTGAACAGAGAAAGGAGAGCTAGAAATGCACTCTGAATAACTTGAGAAGATGGATTAGGACGCTCTCAGATGACCGTTGACAACTAAGTCTTCCTCCGTGCTGAAGATCGCGTTTGTCTACGAGGAGAATCTTCAGTTTCAGATTTCTGCACCTTCCCCTTTCTTGATTTGTTTGCGGTATCCAGGGCTGTCGTTTGTCCCTTCTTCGCCTTTTTCACCATCCCAGCCTCCTCTTCGGCCTCTGCTTCTCTCTTTCTTCCCTTCCCTTTCACCTGCGCACCAAATATATCTTCTTCCTCACCAAATCCCTGATCGCAATCCACCCCCTCCCTCTGTAAAACCCATGCCACCTTCTCTACCGCTACCGCCTCCCCCATCTCTCCCAACTCCTCACCCAACCCCCACGCCCTCACCCTCTCGACCACCTCTGTCGCCTTCTCCAACAACATCTTATACTTACCCCGCGTGTACTGGATCCTCCTCGCCCACCCTTCACCCTGCCCCTTGGCCCCCTTGGCCTCCCCCCAACACATCCACCGATACATCTCATCCGAGAAAAACGGCGTCGACCGCGGCTCCCGGCACGCCAGCACCAACGACGCCGTCGCAGGCCCCACGCCCTTGAGCGCCTTCGTCAGGACGTCCAGCGCCTCCATCCTCGCGTTTTGGCCGTCCTCACCGCCGCTAGCTCCTCGGGAGGAGGAGAGGATGCCGAAGGCCTCGGTGGTCGCGGCTTCGACGGCGGAGGGCGCGTTGGAGCGGACTAACGCCAGGAGCGTCGGGCGGAAGGTGCCGTGCTTGAGCTTCCATTCGACAAGCTGCTCGAGTTGCGGGGCGGAGAGGGAAGGAGAAGAGGAGATGGCGGTCGGGATGTCGTGGTAGCGGATTTGGTCGAGAGGTTTGAGGGCGGCGGGGACGAGGGCTGGGTAGCGGCGGAGGGCGGCGAGGAAGTGGACTTTGCTGATTTGGGTGGGCGTGAGGTTGGTCTTTGCAGGATTTAGAGGCATTGTAGTGTTGTGAGTTGTTTATGAGGAAATAATTTCCCGTGCTACTCGCTGGCAGAGTGTGCGTTTAATTCTAGTTGTACGAGTATTGCGAAATGGAGAAGAGGGATGTGTGCGTAGATGATCGTAGGCTTCCTGGACGAAATTTTAGCAGTAGGAACTTTTTCACTGACTTAAAAGCAACGATTGAAGCTGGATGTAAGTGCTTTACGAAGCGGCATGGTAGATAAATGCTGCAATTATAGATTCCCGAAGAAGTGAAATAAATGCTATTCGGAAGGAGACGGCATCGGCCATGGGGATGACATGATAGATCAGATTAGCCAGCCACATACCTATGTTACGTGAGGTATCAAGCATAGCCTATTATAGTCCACTCAGCTTGCGATTGATCGAATTCTCCGGGGCCTCAAATTTGGAGTCGAGTTGAGGTCTGGATAAAGTCCGGCGGCGCGTGCGACGCGGGACGGACGCGTGGACGCGCGCCACCTCGTATGTATAGCGGTTGGATGCACGTGCACAATTGGCACTTGCCTAATCGGACCTCCAACACAATTCTAAAGCAGTCTTGACCAATCAGAATATTACCATTTAGAGGTATCGTCCAGTGTCACCCTCCGGATGAGCCGAGCTTTCAGAATGCTTATTTTGACCACGCCTGCCCGCTGCGTGGTCTATCATACGTGCGTGACTGGAATCCACAACCAGAACTCCAGCCGCAAACCTCCCAAAGCGCCGTTACCAGCCAAATTCAGGGTATCGTAGAAATGAAACCGTAACCCAAGGCCGTTAGAAGTGTCATCAGCGCCTGTCCCGCCCATGCTCGCTCCCATTTTAACCCACATTTCAAGTCCTTTCTCTCACCCTCCCCTCCTTGACTGCGCCAACGCTAACCCCCGCATCACCTGCCATCCACCCTGGCATTTTCTCTCCGTCTACAATGCCTTGCTCGACGAGCTGCCGGACTCCGGCAAAGACATGCGAACCTTGGAAACTGAGGTGAACATCTGGTGTCCACGATTCTTCGCCAACCTGAGCCTGGCAATTTCCTTCCGGAAATGGATCCTCCATGCGTATGTCTAGGCGTTCAAGACCCTTTCCATCATTTTCTTTTGCTGAGGGGCCAAATCGAGCCTCTGCGACTGACTTTCTTCTCTTCGCTGCTGCGTCATCTTTTTGACCATGGCCTCTTTTGCCAGCACCAACGGAGGGACCGCTAAACGGGCCTCCCTCCATAGCATCATCTTGTTCAGCACCTGCCTTAGCATCGGAAGACTGCCTACGATTCACCCCTGTATCATAATCAAGTGCATCATGACCAAAACTATTTTCCGCGAAAATGGACCAACCTGCAGGAGCAGCATTGCTGCGGCCAGGACCGCGCAAGGAGAGAAGGGTGGAAAGAGATCGTGAGGACAGGGACGTCGTAGTCAGTGCGTAGCGGCTATGGGGACGCGAAAGCGCCTTCGGAACAGCCTGGCCTTCGGGTTAGTGACCTGCAAGTACAACAGTGATGGGGATGACCAACGTCAACGACCACTTTCCTAAGGCTGCGGCCTTCTACGCCAACCGTCTGACCCAGATTCGTAGCTAGCGAGACATACACGTAGGGCGAGCCATCAGGGAAGACCAGAAATACGGATTTTGATCCTTCAGCAGCGCTGCTGGCAGCACCAGGAAGAGGATGATTGTAAGGCGAATCATGGATGTGCACGCGTAGTAATGAAATGCCGAACGCCTTGACGCGGGTGATGTAGTAGTGAGCCTTGGTGACAGGAGCCACTTCTTTCTGTAGATTCAGGGCGAACGTGGTCGCGTGGAAGCGAGGAAGACTGGTAGCAGCACTCTCGTCGATTACCTCGATATTCTCGTCGGTGGATGAGCCTCCAGAGCCGGTGACCTTGGAGAGCTGCAGCGCATTCCAGCGCAAGGAGTTTGGGTGGTCCAGAAGATAGCGCGTCTCGGCCATGGCCAGCTGGTACAGCGTGATGCCATGCCTCCAATCGGCTTCCAGGATCCTATCGACAACCTCGCGCTTGCCTCCCTTGCGCGCCTTGAGCTCCTTGTACACCTCGACGATCTCCTCGTCAGAGGTGGCGGGCGAGTACGGGGCGTCCTCGTCTTCGTCCTGATCAGACGCGTGCGCCAGATAGGGCTCGCAGAACTCGCGATTCTTCTTGTCGAGCCATTCCAGAACGAGCTCGAGGAGCGAGTGGCGGCTGAGGCGGGAAAGGGTTTTGGCGACGTCAGGGCTGTCGGCAGGCAGGCGCTGGGTGTGCGGCAGGGCCGCATTGGTGGGCACGGTGATGTTCTTGCGCGACATGGCGTGCTGGGGCCGGCGCAGGGTCGCGGTAGCTCGGCGGAGACGCGTTGGTGTTGACTAACGGGCCGGCGGGCAGCTGCACAGCCCTAACGCTTCACCCGGCGTGGGGGCGCCGTTTTGGGAAAGCCGCTCCCGCCGGCGATTACCGGAGACATCGGCATCCTCGGCGTCCGCTTGATAAGCCAGGGTCGGCGTCTACTGCGGCAAAAGGCCGCGCACGTGGGTGTGGGATGCATGCCTGACGAGAGAGGGGTGAAGAAAGCACGGGAGAAAGAAAGCTGAGGCAGGCGTATCCTTTCTTTCAGCACCGCCTCAGGCTGCAGTGATTGGCAGATTTGCAGGAGCTCTTGCAACTCCGGACAAAGAGGCCGAATTGGCTCACGAGAGACCCGCTGGCCTGAGTATCCGCGGGGCGATCGCGGCGCGCCACTGCTTGCGCAAGTTCTACCTACCTCATCGCCCACCTCCCGCGACCGCGGCCTCCACTCCAGCACTCAAAGCGACCGCATCGACACTTTCTCCAGCACACATCCGTACGCAGCCGAGGACCGTCAGCAACGCGCACCGTGTGCCCTGGTGCGACGGGCGATCGCCCAGACCGATTACTCAGCGCGCCCTCCCTCCGACATAGGCGCCCCATCACCACCATCGTCGACGACACTCCCTTTCGACTGCGTGAGCCACTGCGATTGCCAACACCTGCAGTGACTGCCAGCATGTCTGGATACGCCGGCCGCAGGGCACCCAACGTGTCCCAGTACATCCAGGACCTCAACACCGTCCCCACGCCGCAGGAGCTGGCCCAGCCCCAAGACAACTTTGGCATCGACGACGATCTTTCGCTGTTCACCAACACCGAATTTTTCGACTTCGACCTGGGCACATCGCTGCCGGACGTGTCGCAGGCGCCGTCGCTCGACAACTTCGACCCGCACGCCGAGGAGCGTGCGCAGCGCCGCAACGCCTCGATTGCATCGTACGGTCAGGCGCCTCCGCCGCAGCAGCAGAAGCAGCAGCAGAAGCAGAACATGGACTTCAACTTTACTGGTGAGTTTTAATTTCCGTTTTGCACATTTTCATGCGGGCCTGCGCCCTTCGCCTCGGCGATTGGCAGGGTCTTCACCCACTGCGCCAACGGTGCCATCCGACCGCGAAATTGCATCATCTGGAAGTGCCGCTGCTCTGGCCCCTATCACCGCGTTGGGCCTAAGCTTGCCGCGCGATGCACCTATTAGGCTGCTCGCAGTTGTGCGGGATGCGAGATCCCAGCCTGCGTATCTAGTCTCTAGTGGGCTCCGAAGCACGCCATCACCCGTGATCCCAGCGGGTAGCCCGAGCCACCGTCAACCACCGACCATATTTCAAGTCTTTGTATACACAACTACCTTATCCAGTATCCCGTACTAATGTCGTACTATCAAGGCGAGTTTCAATCGCTGGACTTTTCCTTCCCGGTTGGCGGTCTGTCGGACCCCAGCTTCCAGCACCAGCCGAACCCATACCCGGTCCAGCACCAGAACGGCACCAGCACTTCATCGCCCATCTCGGCCACCTCGCCCACAGCCGCCTCGGCCGGCAAGCGCAAGTTCGACGGCCCGGCCCCGCAAAGCACCCAGGGCTTCTCCATCGAGGATGTCTCGCGCCTCGCCGCTGAAGAGGACAAGCGCCGCCGCAACACGGCCGCCTCGGCCCGCTTCCGCATCAAGAAGAAGCAGCGCGAGCAGCAGCTCGAGAAGACGGCCAAGGAGATGACGGACAAGGTCGCGACCCTCGAGAGCCGCGTCGCCCAGCTCGAGATGGAAAACAAGTGGCTCAAGGGCCTCATCACCGAGAAGAACGACGGCAAGAACACCAGCGAGTTTGCCGAGCTGTACCGCAAGTTTATCGGCAACGACATCAGCAAAGAGGAGAGGAGTAAGGAGGAGAACAAGGACGGCGTGGGCACCAAGACGGAGAAGGCCTAAATGCAACACGTTCGCAGCATTCTTGTTTCCGGCGTTGCTTGCTCTTTGTTTCTCGACTTAGGCGCCAGGGCACGGGCGGGGAGGAGATGACGACCAGCAGACAGCACGACCGTGGATGGTCCCCCGTCAACACCAAGTCTGTCACATCTAGCTGAGCTTCTCGTCGTTCGTCTCAACCATGGGAACGGTCTCGGTTATCTGCACATGGCTAGCCATCCACGAAGTAATGCGGAGGTTGTATAGCAAAGGGAGATGATTAAACGGTTCTTCAGTATCCCTCATGATTTTATGGCTGTGGATGCCTTGTCCGGCCCTCGCCTTGATGTTTATACCCAAATGTTTACTGTTTGCGTTTCTGTCTACAAAGGCCTCTCGATACCGCTCATCTGCGTTCTGCGTCAGGCTGGCAGCCAGGCGTGAACACGAGGAGAGCCGTGAGTTGCATGAATCAATACAAAGGGCCGACGTGGGCGAGGCTGGCGTGTGAGCCATAAGCCGTGCCTGCCCGCCGTTTCCTTGGTTGAACTCGAATGGCGTGCTTTTGACTTTACCTAGCTGGATCATTTCCCGGCTACGTAATAGGAAACTCGCGGCGGGGCATCCCACGGAGAAACACCAACGTCGCCACGGCAGTGGTACGGGCGCAACGCTATATCGGTTTTACGAGGCCAAATAATGGCCGTGTGCGTTCAAGGCCGGGACGGGCGGCAACGACTTTTCCACACCTGAACACCGCTCTTTTGCTGGCACTGTCATCATTCATGGCGTCATCACTTCAGGGACTTGCTGGCTAGGTTCCACCGAACACTCGAGCCTTCTTCCCTGCACCATCGTCGGCCGCCGACCGTCTTAATTTCTTCACCGTGAACTGCGCCATCGTCACATCTCGACAGTTGTATGAGCGTGTTCCTAGTCTTTTTCACAGCCTCCCTAGCTTCCTAGCCCTACTGGCGCAGGCGCCCCTGAGCCGCGCTCCGATCGACTCTATCAAACTCCCCACCCTTGCTGTGTGTGCAGATGCTATGCTTGTTACGCGGATCGGAGAATATCGTCGTGTTGTCTCTCCGGACGAGCTGGAGCATTTGGCAAGGGATGCCAGCAATGCCAGGGTGCATAAGCAAGGACGGCCGAGCAGCATGCTATCTAAGAGAGTAACCATTATGTGGCATTTTTTTCTGCTCCACGAGCAGCTTTCCATCTAAGTATCCACGGTAAGTGTTGTTTTCGAGATTGTCTCTCTCTACAACCAAGCGAGCGAGCGTTGGAAGCGCTTGACTCAGACGTGGAACTTGACCTTGAACACCACGACGATATTCATCGGATTATCTTGGTTCAGCCAAAATCCCGAGTGATTCTTCTTCAACGCTGGCCGTCGCGCTTCTTGTGGGCGGTTTGTGGCTCTGCAACGTTTGCATCAGGGGCTGCTAAGTCGATTCATCGACGAGACGCCTTCGCAGTACTCAGAGCTCTCACACCGTGCTTTACGACTTGAAGGCTAGCTTTTGTGACATCAACAATCACTTCAACTTCTAGAGAGGAGACTTCACAGAAGGAACGCAAAGTCAAGGCTCCGACACGTCTTTGCAACTTCCGGAAACCCCCGCTTATCACAGGTTTTCATATTTCACACTTCTTCTAAACCACCACGGACTGTTTGAGATGAATGGCGTTCAGACAACAGAATCTACAATTTTCAAGCTTTCTGCACTGACACTTGTGTGCGCTCCAGACGACGACAAACAGCCCAACAAGCGAACCGTCTGCGCACCGGACCCCTTTCCGCCCCCAGCTCACTCTGTGGTCAGAACAATCCTATATCATATCTATAATCACGGCGTATTCTTTCATTTCTCACCACCGTTCTCCGGCGCATACGCCTGCGGGATGCTCCCGTAAGGCAGCAGCCTAACCATGTGCCTCCTCTCGCCCACCTCGAAATCTGGAATCGCCGTATGCGCCGCGCTCCTCTAAACCAAGGCACACACACACACATCAATCAGCACGGTCGACCACAAAACACAAGCAAAAGGGGCGAAGGTTGTTGCCCTTTATATCAACATTCAAGACGGTGCCAACGGCGTATAACAACAAACGAAAGTCACTCACCTGATCCCAAACCACCACCGTCCCCTTCTCCCACCTCACCCGACACGAAAAGTCCAAACTCCGAATGTGCTCGTGCAAGAACCGCAACACGTGCGCGCTCTCCTCGGGCAGGCAGCCCACCACCTCGCGCGCGATCGTCGGGTTGACGAACAGCGCGGGCTGGCCCGTGACGGGATGGCGGATGACGAGCGGGTGCTCGGCCTTGACGGCCTCGCGCAGGGCACGCTCTTGGCCGACGCGCGCCACCTCGCCGACCGAGGCGCTGGTGTGCAGCAGCCGGAGCGAGTGCAGGGTGCGGCGGTAGGTCGGCGAGAGGGCGGCGTAGGCGGATGTCAGCGAGGTGAAGGCCGTGTCGCCGCCGCTGCCGGACGCGGGCGTCTCGAGGTTGAAGAAGAGGGTTGTTGAGGGGACGTTGGGCGTGAAGGTCTGGTCGATGTGCCAGAGGTCGTAGGTCGTGCGGGGGCCGAGGAGGGTGCGGAGGTTGCCTCTGGTTACGGGGAGGAGGTGTCAGTGAGTTGCTTTTTTCTTTTTTGCCGTTCAACTTCTGGAGCTTGGAAGCAATTTCGGGAGATGGTGACTATGGCGCGAAGCTGCTGCTGCTGCTTGCTCTACTCACACTTTCTCATCGGCGTAAACGACGTGGAACTCGGGCCCAGTGCCCTCGGGATAGCCCATGGTGGGGTGCTTGTGCAACGGGCCATAGTGCTCTGCGATCTCGCGCTGCCTGTCGAAGCCGATGTCCGCGAAGTCCTGGTCTCTCTACTCGAAAAGAGCGAACGAACATACACACACGTCAAAAATGCCATTCATACAAGTCTATCAAAATCATCAATGAATTGCATTTTCCTTACAAACACAAGGACGCCCCTCTCGGCCGCCAGCAGCGCCACCTGGTCCAGCCCGGCCTTGGAGAGGGCGCTCAGCTGCACGCCCCGGATCTCAGTGCCTATGCGCGGCGTGATGTTCGTCAGCACACTCGACGCACCGCCCTTCGCGCCACCGCCCAAGAGGTCGGGCTTCGCCGGGTCGGCGCGAAGGCCGGGCTCTGCAGCCTCGAAGGGCGGCACGTCGAGCGTGGGCGTGAAGCCCTCGGGCCGGACGGGCAGGTAGTGCGGGTAGAGAGGCCCTCCGGATTGGGACGACGCGGATGATGGATTGGTTGCCTCGGTTGTGGTGACCATGTTGGCGGTATTGTGTCGATCCCGGGTACACGCGGTTGAATGAAGCGATGAAATAAGATGAGGCGGAGATGCCAATTCTTGTTTACTTTTTTTTTTCTTCACGGACGCGTGTGGCGGGAAACAAGGGGAGCAACGAACAAATGGCGGAGGCTGATGAAGGCGTCACTGTCCATTTGTGCCATCGTCAACTGGCAACCCTGCCCACGCGCTGTCCTTAGCTCCCGCGCGCTTTACTCAACGCGTCTAGGCACTTTACTTGGTTGGGTGTGTGCGAGCGCTGATCCTGTGTGTTTTGGGAATGGCTTCGCGATGCTTCTTTTGCGGGGCGGGTTTGGTGTTGCTCGCCAAGGCTATTCGCAATATGGAGCTGATATTTGTCCATCGCATGGGGACCCGCAAAAATGCTCCCTCAGAGTCACCCCACTTGGGAGGAATCCTGCATGTTTTAGCTTTAATTCGGGGATGCCGGCGAAGTGGTGAACGAGGAAGGCCTTTCCGACGGATCTGTTCCGCGCCATATTGGATCCGCGACGCGATAGCAAGGTAGTATCTCTTGCCTAAGTGGCAACGTTTTCATTAATGTAGTGGCGCAAATGGGTGGGGGTCTGCACAGGTGATCAGACTGGTCTGGAGTCCTTAATTATGCAGGTCCTGATTTGCCGCTTCCTCTCACTTGCATGAATTCTCTCCGATAAAACTCTGCATTCTGTCTCGCGCGGTCCGGCCCGGTGAGGGTCCAGTCTGCTATCCGCCGCTGGAAGTTGCTCCGGGAGGGTGGCTCTGTGGCTGCTCTCGGTACCGGTCCAGGCTCACCTGCACGGCCTGCTCCGTATTGCGGCTCGTATGCAAGATCATGACTAAGGAACCACCATTAGCCGACGACAATATTCAATCGCCGATAGGATGGCTCCAAATTTCTGCCTCTTTGGGCTTGTGCCGATGTATGGACGCGTGTAGCGAGCAGTGTCTCACCCATCGCGCGGGAAAACCACTTCTCTGTTGTCATTGACTCAAGCCTGAGCAGACCCAACTGTCGGGTCTGACTGCTTACCTACTCTGAGGGCTACTGCGACTACCAAGACTTTTACCGAGCACGCAAGATTGGGGTCAGATTCGTAAGGCAGCTTTGCAGCATGCAGCAGGCATCTTTGACATCTGCCATATCAACAATGAAGAAATCTATTTTTCAAACACCACCAACCACTTCACTTCCATCCAGATGTGCATTTGACGGAGGGACACCACCGTCATAATGTCGACTACGAAGAACCAGAGTTCAGGATGGTTGAGTGCGCTCGCCAAGCCTTTCGCGGATCCTGGGCGTCGATTGCTGCTCAAGATAGACGTATGTCTGCTGGCATGGGCATTCGTCGCAGGATTGACCAAGGTCAGCAGATCTGGAAGGTGTTACAGCGGATGGTGCATTCTGACCATGATGGAATAGGATATGGACCAATCAGCGACGACCCAGGCTTACGTCTCCGGAATGAAGGAGGCTCTCAGCCTGAATGGTAATGAGCTTGTTGAGTTCACTACATACTTCTCTATTGGCTATGCTCTCGGCATCGTGCCTGCCCAAGTCATACAGACAATGGTTTGTCACTCCTCAAGCCGGTGCCGTGGTTGCGTATTCACTTACACTTTTGCAGTGGCGGCCCTCCATCTTCCTGCCTGTCTGCGAGATAATCTGGGGAGCTCTCACCTTGGTGTAAGTTTGTTTGCATTGCAGTCCTTCACAAAACAGAGAGTGACTTGGGACCGTAGGACTTACAGGTCAAAAAACGCGCAAACAGTTTACGCCATTCGATTCTTCCTTGGTATATTTGAGTCGGTTGGTACCCGATAGCACCAGGCATCAGTTCCCGCAAAGCTGACATCAATGACTTTAGACATCATGGCCTGGTCTCGTCGCTCTGATTTTCAACTGGTATACGCCAAAAGAGCTTGCGACTCGTCTCGCCATTTTTGGCGTCAGCGGCGTGGTTGGCAACATGTTCCTCGGTATCCTTCAAGCAGCCTTGTACAAGAATCTGAATGGCGTCAATGGGCTTGAGGGATGGCAGTGGCTCTTTATTGTGTCGTAAGTTCCACGTTCAGATCACCAAAAATTCCCATTGGCACTCAACTAAGCTGACATATTCGCATAGAGGCTGCATCACCATGTTCTGGGGTTTCCTTGGTCTCTTCACCATACCAGATTCCCCCGCCATTACCCGCGCCCTGTGGCTTACGCCCGAGGAACGCGAGCTCTCCCGGGCGCGCATGGCTGATCACGGCACGGAGACGGCCAAGATGATCAATCGTAAAACGCTGGCAATCAAGCTTCGCAAGATGGTCACCAATCCCGTCTGCTGGATTTTCATCCTTGGTATGTATATGAAAGGCCATCCAACGCAAAGAAATTGCCGTTTGGCTAATCATACAATACAGCATATCTCCCCTACGCGTGGAGTCAGCGCGCAAACTCATACTTCCTCCTTTACCTCAAGGGCCTAACACACGCCGACGGCACGCCGCTCTTCAGCACTTACAAAGTCAATCTCATCCCACTCGGTGGCTACGGGCTTTCCGTCGTCAGCTCAATCGGACTCAACGCCATCAGCGACTGGAAAGGCTGGCGCTGGCAAGTCTCTATCTTCGCCGTCGTACGTCCAAACTCCTCTCCCCCCTACATAATCAACCATCACCACATACTCACATCACTTTTTTTCTTCCCCCCTCACAGGCCATCCAAACCCTCTCCTGCGCCATCCTCTCCGCCTGGCCCGCCTCGACGCCGACGATCCTGACCTTCTACTTCCTGACCTTCACGACGGCCGCCTGGGGCTACTCGCTGGTGGCCTGGCTGGCCGAGATCCTGCGCCGCGAGCCCGAGGCCCGCAGCGTCGCCGTCGGCGTCGCCGTCACCCTCGTCTACGTCGGCCACGCCACCATCCCGCTGCGCGCCTGGCGCACGAGCGACAGCCCCCGCTACCCGCTCGGCTTCCCGCTCGCCACTGCTTTCGCTGTCGTCAGCGGTTTGCTTATTCTTGTGCTGAGGTGGCATGTTGGGAGGAATGCGAGCTTGGTTGAAGAGGAGGGCTTCGAGGGGGGGAGTAGTAGTGAGAGAGATGAGGAGGATGGGGTTGGTGCGGGGAAGAAGGGCGAGGAGGGTGTCGTGGTGGAGGTTGCGGTGGAGGAGGGGACCGAGGCGAGGAAGGCAGGGCACTAAAAAAAGGGAAACAAACAAGATTACGACATGCTAAAAGTTCATGATATGGTCACATCAGCAAATTCACCACACATCAAAATCAAAGTCTTTCTGGTAGAAGCAAGGGTGATTTGCACGAACCAATGGTGTCTTCACTTTGAATCATGAACCCTCAAGTTGGTGGATAAATCCATTTTCTCAATTCTTTTTCTAAGGAATACCCGATAATATATGCTCTCTAGAGTATGCTCGAACTATCTTTCACTCGACTTCATTTGCACGAGATCCACTTACCTTCTATGCCGTACCTTCTATGCCGACGCAGTGTCAGCACAGGCCTGTCTCAATCTCCTACCAGTCCCACTCACAGCAGCCCTCCATACCTGGGCAATGTCCGCAGCCAGAGGTAGCGCACTCCTCATCATCGCCAGAGTTAGTCTTGCCGCACTGGCAACAAACCCAGGTGATTGGCTTCTCATCCTCGATGGGGCAACCTGGGCACTTCTCATTTTCCTCAGAGTCGTCCTTACCACACTTATGGCACTTCCAGGTGGTCGGCGGCTTCTCGTACATGGCTGCTAGGCGGAAGTAGCGGTGTGTTGAGATTGCAAAAGCGCTGTAAAAACTCGTTGTCGTAAGGGTTTGCAAAGCTTGAAGTCCTCAGGTCTGAAGATTCGAGTTCGTTGCTGTGAAAAACGGGAAAGAAGTCCCTCTGTTTTTATATGGCTCAGTGTCAGTACACGTCAGGATACAATGCCTTTGTCGAAATACAACTAGCAACCTCGACAAAGGAGAAGCAACCGTGGCTGCAGGAATAACCACCAGACAAAGGAGACAAATCATGAACTCAGGTGGCTTTGTTGGAGCAATTTGTTGTTCAGTGCTTGGAAGCAAATTTGCCGCAGTGTCCCTACCATACAGCTGCGCAGCTTACTTGGTTGAGAAGTGGCGCATCCCTTGTCCTTATCCTGTGATACCCGGCTTGCATCATAGAACTTCCTGTATCCCTATCTCGAATCTGACTTGTAGGGAATATCGATGACTCACCCAGGAGAGTTTGGAACGATGACGAGCAGAGAACCCTGAGCCACCCAGCACCAACAAATCAGAGAGAGGAGGAACGCAATGTCTGGGCTCTGGTGCGGTACTGTACCAGACCCTTAGAAAAATATTTGCATAAAAGCCTACTGCCTCTCTCTTCGACTCCTAAAAATGCATCTGCTCTCTACCGGCATCAGTAACCACGACATCTCTTACCAACTCCAACACTCACTCTTATCGGCTGCCGTCGCCATGATGTACAGCCGCTCCACGGTGACGTCGGACGCAGGTTGACCATGGCTATACAGACGCGTCGAGATGGCCCGGGATTGGTAAGGAATGTCGTTCGGTTTGCGATACCGCGATACAGCAGCAGTGGAGCAGTTTGCACGAGAAGACACATCACACTACAGGAAACTCAAGGAAGTCAAGAAAGTCAAGAAAGTCAAGAAATTCAAGAAATTCAAGAAATTCAAGAAATTCAAGAAATTCAAGAAATTCAAGAAGATCAAGAAACTCTTGACCGAAGTCTTTGTTAATCATCAGCCACAGAACAACTGCCAGGCGAATCTGCCGCAAGTGCGCCGCTAAATGAACTGAAGGGGTTCCTGTATACCAAAAATGACGCCAACGAGCACCACTCCCAAGAGTCAGATCCAGAAAAAAATCCAAAAGCGCGAGCCAGGTCGCACTTTTAGTATCACGAGAGGGTACGCGAGCAAAGACTCTTCTAGCCAGCCATATCTGGATGGAGAAAAACCAGACGATCGCCGGTGATTGCGGCTACCGTCTTAAAGCGCTCAGTTGATTGGCAACTCTCGACGTATGGCTTTATTCAGTCCTGTTTCTATATTTTCCGGTATGGATTCCTCTCTTGACTTGCGAGAGCACCTGGATGGTTTACTTGACAGGTTGTTTTTCACAGGCTGTTTTCACATTTTGTGGCCCATCTCCTGCCAAAGAAGTTTCTTCCATCGATAGCCCGAGCACCGGACCAGCAACTCAGATCAAACCCACGGAAGTAAAAGTCGTAACAATGACCAGTGATGCAAACCATACCCGAAGACAAGCGCCTTAACTTCAACCGTCGAGCCGCGTCGCCAAGGGCGGCCGTGTCAGCGGAAAAGAAAAGGCTCCGGGCGCTGAGGTCAAAGAAGTAGTCTCTCGCTCTTTCATCATCTTTCCCTTCTTCCTCTTCTTCTTGGTTTTTTTTTTCATGCTTGTGTTTTTTTTTACAAGAAGATGGGGGATGAGGGAGAAGACCATATGGCCGATGATGAATGTTCTCTATTAGAAAGCAGAACCGCCTCCTGTCCCTTAATCAGTGACTTATCCAGGCCGAAGACGAAGGTATGGACGTAGGGGTGCTGCTGAGAACTGAGGCCACTCTTTTTCTTTTCTTTTTTTCCCCCTCGGGAATCGTTGGAGTGTTTGGATTGACTCTTGGCAATGGTTATGCTAGTCGTATGATGGTGCATTGCTCTTATTGGCTTATATCTTCGGGAGGGATGAAGATGGTGGCTTTGAAGGGGTCGATTTCATACAGAATTCAATCATATATGTTGTTGTGGTATTTTGAACATCGCTGCAAGACTACTACCAGTATACAGCCAGATGCATGCTTCAACTGACTGTAACTCTAAGCAAACTGACCATTTGTACTCACGCGTTACTTCCACATTCTGTATGATCCTTTGCTTTATACAGACAGGTACTACAGCCGATGGCGAGCGCGAAGAATAGCAAGGCCTTGGAACATAGTGTAAGTATGCCTTAGTTTTTCTTTTTTTTTTAAAAAGAAAGAAAACGAAAAAGAAATTTTATGGGTAGTTGAAGCTACCATCCGGATGTAAATGTGGGATTTATAATTATACGTTCACCTCTAGATGACAGCTTCAACTACTCATGGCACGAGCGAAAAATGAATCCGCGCTAGCCATCGGCTGCAATAACCCACTTGTAAGAATGGCAAGTCACGTTAATATACTTTGGGCATGAACTGTTTATTCTTCGGGAGAGAAAGAGAGCAGCAGTAGAAGCGAATGGGACGACAAAGGAAAAGCCTTCTTCTGGTGTATCATACACAGTCAGTCCCAATTTGTACATGCATATGCGGGCCCAAGTACGCAGCCTTTTGCGCAAGAAAAAAATAAGTCAAGAGATCTACTACGCCTTCCAAAAATCTGCGCTGTTGTGTATCCATGCCATACCGCTTGCCTATCCGTCAACCCACTGACCGTTGCCACATTTTTACTTCCTGTACCACATGCGGGTGATCTGACACCATGGTTAGTGAAAACCGAAGATAACCACCCGAGGGCGAAATAACATACCTTGGTGTGCCTCATCTTCTTCTGCAGCTGGAAGATACCGTACATCAGCGCCTCAGAGGTGGGCGGGCAGCCGGGGACGTAGATATCGACGGGCACGATGCGGTCGCAGCCGCGGGTGACGCTGTAGCTGTAGTGGTAGTAGCCACCGCCGTTGGCGCAGCTGCCCATGGAGACGACCCAGCGAGGGTCGGGCATCTGATCGTAGACCTGGCGCAGGGCGGGCGCCATCTTGTTGGTGAGGGTGCCGGCGACAATCATGACGTCGGACTGACGGGGCGAGGCACGGAAAATGATACCGAGACGATCCTGGTCGTAGCGGGGCGTCGACAGGTGCATCATCTCGACGGCGCAGCATGCCAGACCGAAGGTCATGGGCCACAGCGAGCCCTGGCGCGCCCAGTTGGCGATCTGGTCCAGCGTGGTACTGTGGAACATCATGTCATGTCAGCCGTGGGCTCGATGGATGCGCATTCTCCTCAATTGACGGCATGGATTGCTGCCGACACCCTCCCTCCCATGCTCCTTTCCTCCGGGGCGAGACGTACAGCGCGTATTGGACAACACCCTTCTTTCCCTCCTGGCTAGCCAACGGCACATTGGTGGGCATGCCCTTCTTCATGGGTGGCGGGGCGCCGGGGCCGTCGGAGATGAGGGCGGGCTTCTGCATCGTGGTGGCATTGCTCTTCGACGAGTTCGAAATCCATGCGGCAGAGACGGCGCGGAAGGGGGTGATGGCAGTGGAGGGCTTGGCTGTTCAGGCGGCGCAGGCGTTAGCACTCGTGTTCTGGGGATTGACTGATCGAAGGTGGCGGGCGGAGATGCGGGCGAGCCGGGGTAGAGCTAAAGCGCTGGTGGATGGGCAGGCGGGCGTGGGTGCAAGATTGGCGTACCGCGCAGCGCCATTGAGGCGGCGGACCTGGTCGTCGACAGCATGGCGAAGATGGGTATCCGGGACGACGAAAGGAAAGGGCGGAGTGGAGAGGTGGACGCGGTGCGAGCGGGTGGCGGATGGGGTCGCGCTCGCGGCAGGTCGATGTCGTTGACGTTCACGCTCTCTCGCTTGTGCTTGGCGCGCGCAGTCTTACGGGAGCGCCATAGTCTGCGCTCTGATTTGGCGGCGCCCTTGCCCCGCGATAATACCGAACCCCGGCTCGCCCAACGATGTCCCTGATGACTACACCTGCCCGCCGCCCCGTGAGGCAACCTGTCGCGCATCTCCAGTTCAAATGCACACGACGGGCCTCACCACTAATACTAATCCCGTCTGAGCGCATGTGAACCCGCGAACCTCTCCTGCCGTTGCAACCATGGCAGCCACCCGCGTGCCCTCTATAGCGTGCATCGGCATCATAGGCAAGAACGTAGGTAGCCGTAAACTCAAAGAAACTGCCTCCAGAGCTCATGCAAGCCCCAGAACAACCCGCTCCATGTCTCGCTCTTCCCGCCAGATGCTCGCGCCCCCTTGGAGTTCTCCTTCCTGCTCTCCTCTTCGCTCGACATCTTCGAGGCTCGCATGCCGCACAAGACGGCCGACCAGGACTTTGGCCTGCTGCAGGCTGTCGACGAGCGCCTCGCTATGTACGGCTGGATGACCAACACCGGCGTCAAGTTCGTCATCGTTGTCGACATGGAGGGCCGCCCAGCCACCGCAACCGACGCGAAGAGCACCTCCGCCATCGGCTTGAGAGATGCCGACATGAAGCCTGTAAGTGACTTTCCATTTCAAGCCCCTACTCTCGTCATATCATAGAGAGATCGGTATTGTTGATGTCCAAATAGGCTTTCAAAGCCCTGCAATCTGCTTACATAGGGCTGCTGAGAAACCCCTTTTACGATCCCGACCAGCACTCTCCTCTGACTGCCAATGCAGAGCAGTCTGTCGGCTCTACTCAGATCACGAGTCGGCGCTTCATCAATGAGGTGAAGAGGATAGGGGAAACGTGGACGCCCGGTATCGGAACCATGTGATGTGGCCAATCATGAAAGAGCATTCAGGAATAGACAGCTTATCACGCATTAACATTGACCACAACACCAGACGTGGCTAGTGGATTTGAAATAGATGTAATGACTCGAAGCCTTCATATATCTGCTCTGTTGTCTATAGAGAACGTCTTCGTGTTTGAGACGTAGCAATGGTACACCAGCATACCGACTTCTTTCGTGACAAAGCCATTTGCCGGAAAAGGATACATGCCGTACAGCAGAAGCCAACCTATCCCAACCAAGATTGCGCCAGACCGTTTACCAGGCTTTTTACTGAGCAGCTAATCATCTGAGCCAGGGCGAAAAATCAAATGCTGTGCAGAGCAACACTGGGTATCCTCATCTGTGGTAGTGTTGCTCCATTTGGAGCATGGTAGAATTTAGAGCTTGGCCTTCACATCTCCTGATGCGCTAGCCTCCTTGTTCAGCGTCACGGTTCCCGTGTTCTCGCCTTCGCCGAAGAAGATGACTTCGACCGTGAGGTCATCCCTACATAAATCAGTACTGGGCTCCTCTGGAATATGTATCTGAGCGGAGCTTACCTGTAGCGGCGGGAGAAGGGACTTGGCAGCGTCAGCAACGCACAAAGCTGATCCTGGTTCTTTCCACCAAGAGCGTTGCGCACAAGATGCGTCGCGGCGTTCTTATCTTCAACGATAAACCTCTCGGTCTCAGAGCCCGTCACGCCCCACTGTCTCTGCCTGATAGGGGCCCGCTGGCCACTCATGTCCTGTTGAAGACCGTCCTTCTCGATCGGTAGGCCCTTCTGCTGGCTGAACCAGCTCTTGAGCCACGCGTTCGTGTTGCTTTGGCCGTTCTTACCCTCAGCCTGGGATTCCAGCCACTGGCCGACAAGGCCGACAACTTCCTCGTTGGTCAGCATCTCCCACAGACCGTCCGTAGCCATCACCACAAAGTCTCCCTTTTCAGGCTGGACTTTGGTCGTAGTGACGACGGGCTCAGCCGTGACATACGGCGGGGTCTTGAGCAACGCGGGGGAGGACCGCCCGAAGTAGAATTCCTTGATCTTCCTCTGAGTCTCGATGCTCCACTTGTAAACCGCGTCACCGAATGCCCTCGAGGGCTCAAGGCCACCCAAGATGCGACCGTTTCTGGTCACATCGGGCTCACCAGGGTGCTCCCTCCGTAGGCGGGCTGCTTCTTCCTCGGTACCGCCAGTCTGGTCCACGGACAAGGGAGTGGCTGTCCACTTGCCGTTCGAGCCTCTCCGCCCGAGGACAGCACGAGAATCTCCGGTACACGCTACCCTCAGGAGTTTCGAGTTGCTGTCGTAGAAAGAAAGCAGACCACACGAGCCCGCTAGGGCGGGAGCAAGCAACTCGGCAGCTACCCGCTTCGATTGCGCCTTCATGACCTTCTGCACGGACTCGTGGACAATCTCGTGGTCCAGGCGCAGGAAACCAGTCTTGATCGCTTTATCGATCGATTCCGCAGTGGGAAGCTTCACAGAGGGATCCGCCAGGGCCGACTTGTACGTAGCGTTAAGCTCACGAGCAACGAAAGAGATGAGCGAGTTGCGCAGTTTCGCCGAGGTGATCCAGCCACTAGAAGGTCGAATTAACCAATGTCATCCCTGGTCACTCCACAGCCTTGTCATACCTGTGGCCGTCGAAAACACCCCAGAACATCCAATCGCTGTTGGAGGAGCCATCGTCGGTCGAAGCAACGCTTTGGGGCACTTCAATGATCTTCTCGGCATGATCATCCTCGATGGGATCGTTGCTGGGGATCTGCACGACGTCGTAGCGAACCACTCCTTTGCCCCGGCCAACCAGCCAGGACTCCTCATTCCTCCTCAGCTTCTGCGTTGCTTGTTCCGGCGTCAGCATCTCGACGACCTTGCGGCCGTAGTCGTCCGTCTCTTTGGACAAAGGCGCGTCGGCCGGCAAGGTGCCGGTGAAGACCTGACCCTCGTGGATGACCAGGACCTTGTTGCCTCCGTCAGGAGCCTTGTCGGAGGTTGGGCCGTGGGTGCTTGCGGCGTTGGTGTAGACGCTTGACGCACTCAGACCTCTGGTCTGCTGTCCGGGAACGGACACCGAGGCGACAGGTGAGCCACCGTGTAGGGGATCGCCGTCACCGCGATAGGCGAGCCAGGCGCCAGTAGCGACTGCGGTCGACACGAGGGCGTAGCCGAGGCCGCGGAATTGCATCGAGGATTGGAGGATTTGGTGGCCGGACCGCTGGCGGTGGTTGTTGTAAGCACGCGAGCTGACGAAGCCCGGGGTGCGGACACCTCTGCGAAGGCCCGGGCGGCGCACGGCGCGGCACGTCTGGAGGGCGGCACGACGCATTTGGGAAAACCGCGCCCGACGAAGGCCTGAGTCGGCGGGTGGAGCGGAGAGCAGGCGATAGCGGCGGTGTCGGAGAAGGGGAGGTGCGGCGTGTCGGAGGTAAACGAGGGAGCGCTGACCTGGTGTTGAGGCTCCCGCATGCCTTGCCGATCGCTCGACTGCTGTGTCGCTCGGCCCGTTTTGTTGGCGGCCCCCCGCTGTGTTCTCTGCAGAGCTGCCCCACGTCATCATCCCTCGCGCACAAGCACTTGCGGCGTTTGCCATTCTTCTGACTCTGAACCTGCAGCTGCATCCACACCACCGAATTTCCTCACCGCCATGTCTGCGCGCGCATTACGCAAGCTCCAGCGCGAGCTCGAGGAGAAGAAGCAGCTTGAGCTATTGGCTGCCGAAAATGACGAAGACGACGAATCGGAAGAGGAGCAGCCAGCCGCCCGCCCTGCGAAGGCCAGCATGTTCGCCATGTTAGGTGGCGATGATGATGGAGACGACGACGATGACGAAAAAGAAGAGCCCCGAGAGACGTCCGAGGCGCCTGAGGAGAGCGAGGAAGAGGCACCGAAACCAAAGGCATCCACCGCAAAGCGAAATAAAAAGAAGAAGAAGAAGGCCAAGGCTGCGAAGCAAGCTATCGATACGCCGACAAAAGAACAATCTGCATCCTCTGGGCTCGACGAAATCGATCTTGCGCTCCAGTCCCTCAAAGTCTCTAAATCCGGAGATCCAGGAAAGTCGGCTGAGGAAACCGCGGCCGATGCTGCGGCACAAGAGTTGTACAAGCTGTTAGCGGTCGACACTCAAGGTCTGCATGCACAAAATGAAATGCGCAAGCTTTTCGGAAGGGCTGCTTTGGAGAACAGGGCGGATGATGAGCCTGCTGGTAGAGGTAGACGCGGCCGCGGCGCGCAGCAGCTTGGTTTGGCGCAGGCTGTTGCTGCGCGTAACATGCCAGGCGGCCAAGGTCTCGCCTCACTGGGTCTGCGCCGGAACATATTCATTCAAGGAAAGGAAGAGTGGCCCAGGGCAACAAGTGGAGGTCTAGGCATGGAGATTGTAGAGAAACGCGCCGACGGGACTGTGGAATACAGGTTCATACACAGCACGGCATACCAGGACGTACAAAGGCAATTCGAGAGCTGCGTGGCGTCTATGGATCCCAACCGGCTGGTGCAGTTGCTCCAGTTCAACCCATACCACATCTCAACCCTCCTTCAAGTATCAGAAATCGCAAAGCAAGAGCGAGACCACGCAACATCTGGCGACCTCCTTGAGCGTGCTCTGTTCTCATTCGGGCGGTCCATTCACTCGACGTTTTCAAACAACCTCTCTCAAGGAAAGGCTAGGTTGGATTTCCGGAGACCGGAGAACAGAGAATTTTGGTTGGCGGCGTGGCGCTACATTGCTAACCTGGGCATGCGTGCGACTTGGAGGACGGTATATGAATGGGCAAAGCTACTTCTCAGCCTGGACCCTGAGAATGATCCGTACTGCGTTCGTCTTGTCATCGACCAATTTGCCGTCCGCGGCCGGCAGCAGCAAGACTTCATCAGCCTAGCCCAGAACGACTTCTTCAAGAAGAGATGGGCAGACCTTCCAAACATCCAGATGACGCTAGGCCTAGTACAAGTTCAAGCAAATGAGCGCAGCAAAGGGCAGCAGAAACTTTACACGGCAATCGGCAAATACCCTTGGGTGGCGGCTCGTCTGTTCCAAGAGCTTGAGGTCAACGACATCCCACCGGGAGTATGGGGCAAGCAGCCGCGCACCCCTCACGAGCACCTGATGACTGAGCTGTACGTCATTCGCGCCAAGGATATCTGGAACACACCAGAAGCCAAAAACTTGCTGGTTGAGGTGGCTTCGGCGGTGCAGGCTTCTGGAACAGCAGACCCTGCAGACGACGCCATCACCCGAGACATAGCCCGCCACACTATACTTACCGACAACCCAGCACTTATTGGGGCAGTGCCGCGATCTCTGTCTTCTCAAGTAAAGTCTACATCAGACCCGCTGCCTCCCAACGACAACGTGGCGTCATATGACCCCACGCCAAGCAGGACAAGCCGACAACGAGAAAGTCAAACGGTGGAAGAGATGCGGGAGGAGTACAGCAATCTGCGGGCCTTCTTCCAGAGCCTGATGCCGTGGTTTCAAGCACGAGAAGGCGACCAGGGAGAGCAACGAGGAACAGAGCAGCTGGACGAGGCTCCACCACTGGATCCAGAGGTGCGCGACGAGGAGGTAGTCAGGCGGATGGTGGAGCAAGGGATTCCTTTCCAGGAGTTCTGGGAGCGTACGCAGCGCTATGAGCAACTGCAGAACCAAATGGAAATGATGGGCGAATTAGAGGAGCTTCCGGAGACGGGGGAAAGTCGGGCAGCGTCGACAGAGGGCGCAGAGGGCGGTGGAGGTAATAGCCACGATGCCAGGGGTGCGGATCCTGCGGCGTAGATAGTCACTGCACGGAGGTCGATCAGGCACTGTGTACAGGAGCGCGTGAGCGTGCCGATAGGACTCCGCTAGGCGAGTCGGGAGATTCGCAGAGCTTAAAAAAAAAAACAAGAAAATAGGCAGACAGATTAATCAAGATAGCATGCATGCTTTGACGCGGCGGACACGTAGGCGGCGCTAAGCTGGCCCAGTTCAGACCCTGAGCAGCGCGGGTACGCGTCGGCCGGGAGACCTTCCGTGCTGGCCGCCGCTTGACCACCGCATCCCAGCCGCAACGCATCTCCGTTCCCACGCCTGACGTCGACAACCTGCGGGGCACGACAGCATGAACTCGTCCGACTGACCTCGTACGCATAGATCCGAGCCTGCAAATCCGACAAAACCGCTGGCTCAGCCCTGTGAGGCGCTGCTCTCCCTCCTGCCTTACGCAAGCATTGTACTCAGGGTCGCCCGCATTACGAGTCCTTCCAGACGGCACATTCTTCGCAGGCCAACAGGGATAGTGTAGGGCCAGCCAGCCTCTTGTCGCCCTACAGAGGAGTCACTTCCGCAGTAAGTCTTGTCAATTCCCCAATATAGCCCCAGCGTGCCTCGCTCCTTCTTTCACATCCATCCCTCCCTTTGTGACGCCCCACCCGCACCTGTGTCGTACGGGCAAAAAAGAAGGTGTATGAAGTCGCTACATCCGCACGCCCGCGGTCACCACCAACACCACCACACGTCTTCTATGGATATACGTCGCCGGCTAACCTGGTCTGGGAAGGGGATGCGCGCCCAAATCGCCCAACGCGCGGGCCGCCTGCGCAGCACCTCCCTCAGCGCCGTCCCTCCGCCCCGCACCTCCGCCGACTACGATCACGATCTGGCCAGAGTCGCCGCTAGCATCCTCTACCGCACTCCCGTCCCCTCCGACTCCGGCCTCCCTATCTACATTTTGAACGCTGCCGCTCTGCCCGATGTCGACGAGGCCGACTTCGACAGCCTGCTCCCCTACGTCCTGGCCCGCCTGCCCGGAGAAGAGGAGCTGCTCAGCGGCACCGAATACGAGGTCATCTTCTTCGCAGGCGGCGATGCCGAGCGCGCAGCTGGTGGCCGGAAGAACCGCCCCGGCTGGGGCTGGTTCATTCAGGCATACCATGTCCTGAGCCGCGCCATGCGCAAGCGCCTGCAAAAGCTGTACATTGTACACGAGAGAAGCTGGGTTAGAATCTTGGTGGAGATGTTCTCGACTATCGTCAGCCCCAAGTTCAGGAGGAAGATCGTCCACGGTGAGTGCGCCCCATATCCGGAAAGTGCGCGTGGACCAGGCAGTTAGGAGTAGGCTTGGCGCATAAGTCTGGGCAAAATGAACCGCAGCTCGGTACTCGTACGAAGAGGTTGACCGGAATATCTCGCGCGTATTACGCGCAGATATTTGCTGAGCTCAGCGGTGCCTGGCTTACCCGCGCTCTAGCCTACCCGCGCACATGGTGGCGCCGTGGCTTATCTAGAGAGCACGCTGACACGAGAGCCGCAGTCTCCACCTTGACCCAGCTCGCAGTACACCTCCCGGTAGAGACTTTGTTGATACCACCTTCCGCATACCTCCACGATCGTCGACTGTCGCAGGACATCCACGCACCCTTTGCCAGCGGTCGCCGCGCCTTCTCAGTCAAGAATCCTTTGCCCAAGAATGCCAATGGCGATACAAGACTTCCGCGCATCTTGCGCGAAACCACGTCATTCCTGCTGATAGACCCCAACATTGAGACTGAAGGCATTTTCAGAATCCCCCCGCATTCTCGGCTGAAGGAGATCCTAAAGGAAGCGTACGACCGCGGCCAGAAGTACATATTGTGGAAGGAGAATGGCGTTATGCTACCTCTGCCACCTCATGACGACTCGGACACGACAAAGGCCATTGTGAACGAGGTTGATTCCAGGGATTGCTATGGAGTATTCCTGGCTGCTGGTTTGATCAAGACCTGGTATGCCGAATTACGTCAACCCATTTTCCCCCAGTCGGCATACCGTGAGCTGCGGAGCCTCTTTGGAGATCCAGATGAGCCGCCGTCGCGTAAGGCTTTAGTGGAGCTGATCTCACCGAAGTCGGAATGGTCGGCGATCCCAGCCATATCGCGCGAGATCTTGGTTCGTCATCTGCTTCCCCTCCTGAGCACCGTGGCAGACCATCGGACTTCCAACAAGATGTCGGCCGAGAATCTGGCAGTTTGCTTTGCGCCAACGCTTGTTTGCGGACCTGATCAGATCGAGGATGCCAAAATGTCGAGCGTTGTCCGTCGGATTATGACCGAGGCTGTGGAAACGTGGGAGGATGGTCTTAGGGAGGAGTGCGGCGTTGATAGCGCTGCTTTCCTCCGCGATCTACAGCCACCGGAGGACCCGAAGGAGTACGAGGATCCCCTCGAGTCCTCACGTAGGCCACGCCCAAGGTCGGAGGACTTTGGTATTGAGTCCCCATCAGAAGAAGACGCCGGATTCGCCGATTCGGAAAAGCAGTTTTCGGGCATCATCCTGCAGGACAACACAGAAGAGTCGGCGGCCCCGGCATTGCCCCCACGCCCGTCGGTATCTAGTTCCAGAGACACACCTTTGAGCCCCACTGGTAGTGACGATTCATCTGTAAGACGCAAACCAGCACCATCCGTGCAGGTGCCCCCGCGGTATTCCACCATTCTTGCTGATGAAATGGGGGGAAGCTCGGGCACAACACAGTCACCTCTGACGTACGCCGCAACGACGGATGGTTTTGGCCCTTCTCGCAGTTCAGGGCGTAGCGTGGACGAGAAGAAAGGGGATAAGTCCAGTATGCGACTTCCTGGTTCTAGCCTTCCTCACATCGTAGTTCCAAAGCGTAAAGCCCTGACTGCCGAGCAGATTGCTAGCGCAGAGAGTGCCGTTTCTTCTCCGGAGCGCACTGTTTCTGCCACTCAATTCCCACAGCAACCCCATGACACCCAGCCTTCATCAAGACAAACTCGCGCACCACCTGGTCTCGCCGAGATGATCGGCGCGGCCGCGGCCGCTGGTGCCGTCCATCGCAAACCCATCTACTCCAGACCGGGCTCAAGCGGCTCAAGTAACCCTTCCGCCATTCAGTCACCTAATCTCACAAGCCCGCCCGCTCATGGCACTTTTGGTCGTCGACCCTCCCTCTCTCCCAAAGACGCTGAGTTCCGCAGAGCCGAATTCTCTCCAGTGTCCCCCCTCACCGCCTCCGATCTGACCCGTCGCACCTCCACCTCCTCGCTATCCGCAGAAAACGTCGGCTCTGAGTACGAACGCAACGGGTCGCGCTCGCGGGGGCCGACAATCAACTCGCTCGCCCGTCCAATGTTCCTGGCCTCGGCGGCGCAGGCTCCACCCCCCAACAACAACCTACAGCGCGCGGCAACCATGGCAACGGAACCGACCACGAAGCCGCGCGCCATGTCGTCGGGTTTGCTCAAGCGCATCCCGACCTTCGAGCCGCCGCCGATCCCGAGGGATAACCCGCGGAAACTGGACTTGAAGAAGAAGAGCGTGGAGGACCTAAGGAGGATTTTTGAAAATAAGGCGGGTGCGGCGGAGAAATTGGTGAAGGTGGCAAATGAGAAGGAGAGGAGTACGAGTAGGTTTAGTTGAGTCGAGTGAGATGCGCTGCGATGGATTGGGGGCGTTTGATTAGGGGGTGGTATATTGTTGTTGCTGTGGCATTTTGAGCTGGCGGGATGGTCGCATTGGAGGGGTTATTCGAATTCTCTTCATTCTTTCCTCTTTCTCCTTCACGCCTGTTACGACATGTTATGCCGAACGCTTTCCTCACTTGTAGACTTTTTCTCACCATTATTCCACTGTTTGCGATATCTTTTGCTATCGGGTACCCTTTTCTTCACCTTATAATTTCGTTCTCGGATCAGGTCAATGAGATTGCATTTTGTGGTGGAAACAATTGATCCAGTCACTACCTGGAGCTCTTTCCATGAATTTGAACAGGGCAATCACCTGAGATTGTTGGTCAACGCAGTAAAGAACGTGTATAAAATTGTGTGCTGACATTTAACTTGATCTTCTACAGAACGCGCAAGCGAGACAACCTCCTGTGCGACTCTTTGTTCCCGTTCCCTTCTAATTCTACGTCTACTAATTAGAAGTATTATGGCTGTCGTCTCTATACATCCTCCAAGATTGAAGTGAAATAGCAACACTTGTCGAGGTCAGTCATTATCAAGAAATTCACTTGATAACAACGATGATGAAGTGACAAAGCGACTTTTACAGTCATTTCTGTAGGATACGACACCTGATTTATTTGGGGGATGGAGGTTTTTGTCCAATTCTCGATTCTGCATAAGTGGTCACAGAGGACTGTTTTGTGAATCAGCACTCTCAATTCAAGAGGTTTTCCTTTTTCCCACTTCTCCAAAGCCTACTTTGGCCTTATATTTCCACCCCCTAATGCTGAAGCAGCTGGTTATAATGGGCTCTGAGATGTCTGGCAGCGAATCTCACGACTGGTGATTGTAAGGAGATTGTTTGGGTGAGAAGAGAAAAGAAGCAGCCAAATTAGCCGCTACCTACCTATGAGCTACTCTCGTGTCTTGTGATGAAGAGACCCCACTTATCACGAGTTGGGTATTGACAAGCGAATCGGATTGTGGCCGACCCGCCGGGTGCTGCACACCTGATATCACCGACAAGCGATCTGCAAAGAACCCTTGCGCGAGTTAGGTTATAGCTTGCACTAATGTGGTATGCAAAATTACCGGGTGGCTGAAAAAAAAGACTTTCTATCTCGGGCTGGGTAGGAATTCAATCACATTTTGCGGCACAGCTGCGGGGTCTAAATATGGGGTCATCACCAACCTGCTGCGCCGCATGCTGACTCGGAAGGTTTCTGCGCCGCACATTCTAAAGCCCGCCACCGTCGCCAAATGAATCATGTTGACGGTGTATTCACATGCCCACAGAGCCATTGATGCGCCGTAAATCTTGGTGAAATCCATTGCATGTCCCAGGGTCTCAGCTTTCGTGGTATAAATGAAGCTTTTCTTACCTTCTCTCTAGGATACGAGGTCTCCATTACAGTATTCATACTTCGGCATGTCAAATTTCTTTGTGATTGGCCCGTTTAGCGCGCGCCAACTGAATTATTGTCGCCTGTGATCAGAAAGGCCGAAAATGTAAATGATCAGTATGGGCCCAATCAAATCTTCGTCTATCAGTGCCTTCTTTTGGGGCAGCTTTGCGGCACAGCATAGCTTGCTGCGCCGCATCAACCTCGCCGCACTCCTAGAATATTAGTATATAGTTAGCGTTCGATAGGATCAGTTCTCGTTCGTGTCTGAAATTGTCTCAAATTCCTTTGCCCAACGATTTTGCCCTCTCGACTATTATTTCTTCTTAACTAGCGAACATGACGCTATACAAGGCCGTAAAAACAGGAGGAATGGAACTGTGAGCCAAACAAACCCGCCTTGACCGCTTTTTTCATTTCCGCTTACGCCAACAGGGACCCTCAGTGTATCCGTGTCACCAGTCACTCAAGATTGTCACCAACATGGGTTTCCGTGTGCGAACACTTCTTCGCCGCATCGGTCATGATTATCACAGCTTCCATTATCAGCACCTTCTGGATATTTAACCCATTACCCTTCTGCTCGCAAGTTTGGATGACTTTCGGCGGAACGGATGAATGTTTCTGGAGACCAACTACCTTTGTGGAAGTTACCGCTTACATCACCTACGCCCTGGCGGCTGCTTGGTGGTACAACCGACATCGGCACTGGCCTTATCAGATGGAAGCAGTTGTTCTCGCGATTCTCGTTGGAATGGGGATTTCGTGGGCCCTGAAGGCCGGCCATGAAGCAATCTGGAGGAACACCATACCGTGGAGCATATTCTCAGGATTGATGATCAGTGCCGTCATGGATCGTCGGAAACTTCGCCGAGGTGACACCTCGTGTGTGTGAGGAGGTCGGTTTGGATACGCTTCATTCCAAGGGATAAGCCAGCGTTTGGTATCTAATTTCGACTTGGAGGCAGAACAAATTTAGTCATACCAACGGTTATCAACTGTCTCGTGACTTTCCATCAATCGTGCTTGCTTGTCCCTTGAGAGCTTCCTGATACCTTGTCGTAGCGCAGCCCGTGATGGATATGTAAATTATGAAAATCTCAGCAAACAAGTATAGTTGAAGGAACACCGCTCGCAAGGGAGGGGTGTGACCCGCTGGGGCTGGAGCGCACATGATGTGCCAGCTGCCAGATCTCAGCTGAAGCATATTAAATTCTAGCATGTGAGGAACTGTACACCAACCTCCACACGCGTCGGACGTTCCAAGAACTGACAAGCACCTTATCCAAAGCTACTGTCCGGGGGCTAGTAACCACACAATTCATACGGCTCCCTTGCTGGGAGCGTAGGAGCGGGCTAAATGCTCCATATCCAAATGTTAGGAATGCGTCTGACGGTCTTTCGACATAGCTCACAGGCATCATATTCGCAAAATGGTGAAGATCAAAAAGAATGAAGAAATGCTGAACTTTGTCAATCATGAATTACTTTATCGCCATGAGGCTTCTAGTAGCCTAGGCTTTATCCCTCGTTACGCCATAATGCACCAATGACCTGCTTTTGTCTTCTTTCCGCAAGGAAAAAGAATCCCATCAAAACAGCATTCCTGTGCCGTACATGCTTTTTCTCGTCGCGTCCAATCAAAAGGACTCCTGCGCGCCGGTTTTTTCATCTTTTCCTCTCCGGGCCTTCAACATGACTAGGGAAAAAAAAGTCATCAACGTCCCCTAATATCCAGAACTTCCTTCAACATGACTTGAAAGATCGTACCGATGTGGAAAATGCGCTAGAAAAACATGGGCAAAGAAGAGTAAAAAGGGAAGAGACAAGAATTCCAGCATCATCATCATCAGTCAACGCCATGACCAACAACAAAGCGCAAACGCCTTGCAAAGCGACATCTGGGTATCAACAACACCCCTCATTGAAAAACAAAACGTCTTCTCTCACACCAAGCACCGTGCCCTCTTACGAGTTATCCGCACAGCTGAAAGCCGCGCCGCCTTGACCTTCGGACAACGCGGATCCACTGGCCCACAGGCCAAGACCGCAGATAGCGGCGCCCTGGCACAGCATGTAGACATTGAGGACGGTGAGGAGGCACTTCTTCCAGTTCTCCGTGTAGCGGCCCTTGTTCATGTACAGCCAGAGGCCGCCGCTGAAGCCGAAGCTGAACCACGAGCAGAACAGGGCGGAGATGAGGCCGAGGAGGAGCGAGAAGGACGGGATGGCCTCGGCGATGATCCAGGCGACGACCCAGCTGACGCCGACGATGGCGATCCAGCTGACGAGCGGCCAGCCGCGCTTCTGGTGCAGGCGGTGCGGCTGCTTGCGCCAGCAGCGCACCCACACGTACTTGCACGCCACGTGGCCGCACACGACGCCGGCGATGATGATGGTCGGCAGCGCGAGGCCGTACGCGACCTTGGCGACGATGGGCGAGGCCGAGCCGAGGGCGGGCGACTTGACCTCGGGCCCGGCGTAGTAGTAGATGACGACGCCGACAATGACGTAGAAGCTGGTGGCCGTGATGTGCATGAAGGCGACCGACTTGGGGAAGTCGCGGGGGTTCTTGAGCTCGCTGCAGAAGGTGAAGAAGGCGACGTGACCGGCGTAGGCCAAGATGATGTTGAGGAAAGCGAGGATGCCTGTCTTAACATCCGTGTCGTGGTTGACAGCCACGATGGCGCCCACGTCGGGCTTGGTGATGCCGATGCCGATCATAGCCAGCGTCACGCAGACCAGGATCGAGATGCAGGAAAGCACCGAGAGGTAGGACACCTTTTCAAGCTGGCGCTTGAGCGAGAGGAGGTAGCAGATGGCGAAGCCAACGATGCCGAAGACGATGGTGCACGTGCCATGGCCTGACAGGACGTTGAGCGCGACGGTGAAAGTTAGAAGATGCGCAGCCTGGATGAAAACGAGGATGAGGACTTGAGCAACACCCATGATTTCGCGGGCCACAGGTCCGGCCATGAGGAAAGCGACATCAGCGAAAGTGTGGCAGCCCGGGAATTTCAAGTAGAATTGGCCAATCACAAAGGCGCTGTAGGCGGATATGGCACCGAAGATGACAATCATGAGGATTCCACTATTTTCTTCAGTGAGCGAAGTGTGCATAGAGAGGATCTGGGCAGAGCTTACGGGAAAAGGCCCAGATGGGCAACAGCCTGAGGCAGCGAGAGGACGCCCAAGGAGATATTTTCAGCAACCATGACTGCAATTGATCTCGCGTTAGAATTGTACGGCTCCGAGGCATAAGGGCGGTCTTACGCAATCCGGCGTGCCACCACTCCATCGTCTGGTACTTGATTTCTGCGTTCTCATCTTCATGGCCGAACGGATTCACCTCTCCAGCCTGCGCAGATTCCAAAATCAGTAAGAGGGGGGAGAGCCAATGAGAGGAGGGGCAATTACAGCAGTGTCAGAGGCCGTGTAGGGCGGAGGGATCGCCCCCTTCTCCAGGTTGTCAAGACCCTTTTGCCGATCTTGCAGCTTCTCGTCCTGGCTTTCCGAGGAGCTGGAGCGGGTCTCGAGAGCAACGGCCGCATCGACGGGCTTGCTCTCGTCCCGCACGACCGGGGCAGCGGCACTAATGGCCAGATCTTGCTGGTTAGGGCGGGAATGGTCCTGGACACCCATGGTGGGCGTAGATTAGGGGAGGGTAGAAGAGGGTAGAGGCGGGTTGCGTCGGCTTTCCAAGGCGGAGTGGAGGATGGCGAGATGCAGGTTCAGATCGTGGGAGGGGCGGGAAGAAAAGAGAACGTGCCAGGAGGCTAGAAGTAGCGCAAGCGGGGAGGCAAAGTGGATTCCAGGGCAGCAAGCGGGTCCCTAGCAGCGGACGACTGCCGCGGCGCGCCATCACCTCGGTGAGTCAATGAAAACGGCGATGGACGACGAGAGGTCTGGCGATTACGGCGGCCGCGGTGGTGCAGATTCGGGACGTAGTAAAAACTAGGCGAGAGCTAAGACCAGGGGGTGGTTTCTTGTTACGTGATCTCGCCGCAGAGGGCCCAGCATACCCCAGGCCAACTGCCATGTACAGAAAGAATCTGGAAGGAATTGCAGCAGCCGGAGAGCCGTCGGGGCGGCAGCCGGCTTGGGCGCCATCTCCATGTGTGATTGATGCTTGTCATGGGAGCAATTGGTACCAGATTCGTCCGGATTTAGCGGAGCTGGACGAGTGTCGTTGTGCCGAGCACCGGGGAACGAGGGGCGATGACGGATGGCCAAATGCGGTCGAGGTGATTGGACGCATTGAAGGCTCAACTGTTTTGCACGCGAGCCACGGTACGGGACGGGCCTTGAGCGCCTCGCAACAGGGCTGAAGGCGGCTGCCCTCTCCCTCGCCACGGGACATGATACATGATTGACACCAGGCGTGTGACCGTCGGGGGCCGGATCGGAGGGCGCTGAAGGCGAGAACGCGCGGGAGGTGACGTCGGCGGGTGGATTGATCCTCTTCTGATGAGTCCTCAGGCCGTCGGAGGTCAGCGGTCGGAGTGGCGTGCAGCGGCGATTTTCCCCAGCGGTACCGGCGGGCGCAGTGCCTGCCAAGCCACTTCCGCGCCGCGGTCGGAGGGCCTCGAGCCCTCGAAAATCCTCAGCTCTTGCATCGTGTTCTCGTACGAGGGTGCAAGGTCCCGGCGGGCGCGCGCGTGTGTTATATGCTGGCCGTCTCGGCGAAGGGCGCAGCCATTGACAAGCGGGGGCGCGATAAGACGGGAAGACATGGCCGGCTGGCACCCGGCGCCGCCGCATCCACACCGGCACGACTTGTGCTTCCCGCGCGTCCGCAACCATCACCCGGCCCATGAACCTCGCAGCCGCCGGCCAATCAGCGCGGCCACGAGCTTATGCAATGGAGGCCCAGGCCGAGACGCAAGCCGACAGGTGGAGAAGCGCTCCATCGGCCGCCATAGCTCCCACAGCTCAGCTCCGCTTGGAGACAACAAGCTGCCCAGCTTCCTCTTCCCACGATTGACATCCAACCCATCTCGTCTCTCGATCGCCTGCTTCGTGCGACCCCGTCCAGCTCTAGTCGGCGTTACCGTCGCACCCGCGCCCCCGAGCAGCACCCGCACTGCTACCCCCATCGGTGACCCGCGCATTCGGCCACCGTGATCCCTCTGCCATCACCATCCCATTCCAAGGCCACCATGGTCGAGCTCCGCAAGCGCAAGACCCCGCCGCCCGCCCCCGAAAAGGCCGCGAAGAGGAAGCCGGGCCCCAAGTCGAAGGCCGCCAAAGCCAAAGAGGCCGTCACCGATGCCGTCAACACGGCCACAGCCAAAGCCGAGAAGACGGTGAAGAAGGTCGAGGAGAGCGCGACCAATGGCGCCTCTTCCACTACCACCAAGCCCGCCGGCAAGCCCGAGGTGGGCGCGACGCTCGAGCTCGACGGCTTCGGCGGTGAAATTGAGACCAACGACGGCACCAAGACGACGCTGAAGAAGCTCGTCGACGAGAGCAAGGATGGCGTCGTCCTCTTCACCTACCCCAAGGCCTCGACTCCCGGTTGTAAGTTGCCCTCTCCCATCACTGCCCCCTTCCTCCCATTTCACTCTCGCCAGAGCACCGCTTCTCCACACGCACAACATCAACCCCGCTTCGCGCACGGATCGCCCAGTCCCCGACGAAATACCACATTCCACAGACCTCCCCCCCTTGGTTCCGCCAGCTAACTCCGAGCCTCCACAAAAAAAGGCACCAAGCAAGCCTGTCTCTTCCGGGACTCGTACACGCCTCTCACCGCCACGGGTCTCAGCATCTTCGGCCTCTCGTCCGACTCGCCCAAAGCCAACACCACCTTCAAGACCAAGCAAAACCTGCCCTACCCCCTGCTCTGCGACCCTTCGTTCGGCCTCATCCGCGCCATCGGCCTCGCCAAGCCCGGCAACGCCAAGGGCACTGTGCGCGGCGTGTTCGTCGTTGACAAGAGCGGCAAGGTGCTGGCGGCTGAGGCGGGCGGTCCCGATGCGACGGTCGAGGTGGTCAAGAAGATCGTGGCGGGAAAGAGTGGCGGCGACGACGCCAAGGCGGACGAGAAGGAGAAGCAGGCCGAGGACAAGAAGCAGGCTGAGACGGCCGGCGAGGTGGCTGACGCGGCGGCCGAGGCGGGTGTTGATGGGGAGGGAAAATAGGTGCGGTGAGTTGAAGTGATGCCGTCGCTGTGATAATTGAGGTATAGTGCAGCGTGCGAGAGTACACGCTCGATGCGCAAATGTTTTTTTTGTGTTGGGGACTTCGATATCTCTCCTTGGGCCGCCGCTTGGCCTGATGTCTTGGATCTGCCTTTGTCACGCTGTTCGGTTGATGATGATTTGGATTGAGTTTTTGATTCCCTTTGGTTTGGTCCTTGTGCTTGTCAGATGTCCTAGTTTCTCACGCTATAAAATACTGCAAAAGCCTAGCCACGGTACCAGCCAGCTGGTGAATGATATTCACTCGTCTTTCTCTACACTCAGAATGGACTTAAAATTCGAGGCGCGAAAGACGTCATGCACGCGCTAAGCAGCGGTCCGGGCCGACTGCCGTGCTTTATCAAAGCCGGCTATGCCTGTTCCTGAATTCTTTCCTCGCCATTGCGCTATACTTCATATAGTGCTGCAGGAATGTCCTGAATGTTCCCACCGTTGCTGCTGACTGCGGCGTGCGTCGCTTGTATGTTTAGCTCTTGTCTACCGAGACGAAGCCCTCAAAGCTCAACGACCGGATGAATGCATGGAGATGTCCAGCATCAGAGGCAATTTCTGCACAGCAGCAACAGTTCATCATGAAGGGGTTCTTTGAACATAGACCAAAGCGCTCATAAACTAGCAGTACCGTAGCTGTGCAAATTTTTGTGAGATCAACAAAAAGGGGAGAGTAATACTTCATTAGGGTGTAAGTCCGTAACAGCACATCGCACATTACAAAGCTGTGTAAGAGCAATCTTCAGGGCGCTCAGAGCTAATTTAAAGGCACCCGTGGAATTGCGCACACTTCATGTGCGCACGTTCAAACCATGTGTTTGTGAAGCGCGTGCTCGATACTACTCTCATTAGAGAGACATGCATTTCGTCACAGAACTCACTGAAACCATCTCTGATGGCTCTCGACTGGGGAGCTTACGAGCTTATCGTCAAACATTGGCTTTCTCTACTAAATCAGCGAAGCGTCCTACCTAAGATATTGTAGATTTCGGGAAAGTCGGAAACTGGGGTCTGGATGCCATCAGCAAGGATGAATGGTGTTGGGCATGGGTTGTGCGACGAAGAAGCTATCCAGCATGTAGATATAGTCACTGATATCAACCAGGGTGACCAGTCGTGAGAGGCAAAATATTGGTGTGTACTTCAGCATTCGAAAACAAAAGGCAATAGCACAAGTCGCACCTACTATCGTCAATATCTTAAGCCTCTGTCGAAGGGGTTTAAGTTTACAAGTAATAGGAGTAGTAGGGTAGAACTGGCAAATCAAGCCCACGGCTTGTGCTTCTGAATTGAAACACTGCCCAAAGCTCCAAGTATTCTACGCAATATTTAATTTTCTGGGCAGAATTACATGCCGTCCAGCCTACACTGCATGCAGTATTGTGATGCGGCGTGAGGTAAGCGTTGTAGCTGAGCTCACTGGCTGGCCGGTTTGCCCTTGGGTGTTGGTAGGGTCTGAACATAGGTAGCCATTCAGTCGTCAAACTACCAAAAATTATGGCCCTCACCAACAAACCGACCTGCTGCTCAGCCAGATTCTCGCATCATGATGCAGCTCATGGATGAGTGAGATCCTGCCGAGTAAGTTGGTGCAGCTCAATTCCATGGTAAAGGATCAGCCCGGGGTACGATAACCAACCACTACATTCACGGGGAGTAAAAGCCTTGTCTGCACGTCATTCTGAGTGAACTGTGAAGCATCAGCACAGATAACTTCTTTTCAGAATCAGTCCTTCCTCAACTGTTCTTATGCAGACCTGGGCAGGATATTACCCTTATGCATGCACTGCGTCATGCGCGGTAGTGAGGACATCGCGTGTGGTAACAGAGTGCACCTGAGGTCCCTCATCAACAAGCGTTTCTAGTCCCATCAAGCTTCGCTTTTATATAAAACTTCGTTCTTCAGCTGGGATCAATGTTATTGACTCAAATTGTGATACTGGCAAAATAACATCTTCATTTCCCGAGAACTTTATCTCTTACCATCACTGCGGCCTTTTTGTGTGCAGCTCACCACACAGTATATCTCTGAGAAGCCAAGAATGGGTTTCAGGCTTTTCTCACATGGAGCGAGGTCGCTACTCTTCTTTATTTGATCGTAATGATGATTCACATAAAGAAAACAGAAAACCCTGAGGTGGCGAGAGGCGTCAGACTGAGGCCTCTCAGTGTAATTTTAGACAAGATGGAAGCGGAAAGTGAGCCAGTTGTTTAGGCTAAAATCACGAAAGCCACGGAAATCATCCATTACCCCAAAGAAATTGAGGAATGCGATACTTCCCCATAGCTTTATATCTGAAAGCCCGCTTCAAGCTCACAACCTGCACATGCACCTCGCAGGACTGTTCTCTGTGGCTTCCAAGAACATAAAATTCCTGGATAGAACAATCTCGCAGCATAACCAATTCCACTATCATGATCCTCCAGTGCGTTTCAGCGCCCGCACTGGAGCATGGAGGGGTGAGAAGAAACTGCTGTATCTTTGAATTATCTTCAGTTGTTCTCCCTGTGCCCGAGGACAACCACAAAGAAGCTCTAGCTTCAGCTCCGCATTGCCGTTTGGCCTGACGCACCTTCCACGAGAGCCCCTCACCTCCGCGAATTTGCGAAATCTGGCTTAAAGAAACTTGACTCAGTCCCTGTGCTCTTTTGATTACTCAATAATCATGAATGAGTCGGATTATTATTTCTCAACATTGTGTCGCATTATTACACTTTAGTGGGTGTAAATTATTCATAACGTAGGAAAGGGCGTACTCACTAGCTACAAGCAAGTTGGCAAGGTAGGCTCAATGGTGAGGAGCCCAGGTAACTCACAGCAAGTATTCTTTTTTAGGTCTGGCCAGCGTGTATTCTGGTGTCTGACAAAGACCGGGGACAAAAGATCACTCGCATCTACGCCCCTCGGTACCCCGACGTCAACATAGATACAGCAGCTATTATCTGCAAAGTGACAGAAATGGCCATGTTAATGTAAGAAACAGCTTCGAGAATCATGGCTCACTACAACATGGTGAGTATCAGCCAGTTTCCGGCCTCGTTCACTCAACCTTGATATTTGTCATTCAATTGACAGCACTGAAAACATTATTATAATCATAATAAGAGTGTAAGTACGTGTAATTTTGACACATTATGTTTCGCAGAAGTATATCAAAATGCTGAAATATTAAGTCACTGCTCCGGATTCATCAAAAGTTGGACTCAACATATGATCAGGAACAGCCACCCGCCAAGTAGTATTGCGTTCTGTCGCAATTGTACTTGCTAATTGAATAGTGGCAATTAGAAGCTCTCTCCTGTAGTTTGAGATAGTTGGAGCAAGCGAACGGGAACAAGAGTTTAATACGAGACGGAGAGCGCCATTTGGCGATGTTCACGGGACCGGAGAGATCACGTTCGACCTTTCTGGCTTTGAGTTCAACTTCTGCAGACTTTCACACGCATCTGCGACCTGCATATGAGGGCGGATGATAGGACATATTTTCTGATGACCACTGAGTGATGTCACGTCGGCTCATGAAAAGACTCTAGTGATAAAACGGCGCTCAGAACCAAAAGATAATAAGGTACGACTGGCTGAGGTTAATGCCTTAGATAAACGAGCACCCAGTGTTGGATACTTACGGTATTACTTTTTTCCTTTTGAAATAGCATGCTCTGTGGAGTACATCCCGGGGGAAGGTGATGCCTCTCATCATCAACAAGTGCTAATGTTGGCCACCAAGAATACGCCATGTTGTTGCTCTTTGAGAACGAATGTATTCGTTGATGTTTTGCAAACATGAAGATGGAGGACTTGAACCTAAACTTTGAGTAGGTATGTACTTGTGAACTGCACCTCTGTGGCCCTGAATTTATATCCAAACTCGGGAGAAGGAAAGAAAGTGAGCGAGGGAGGGGCAGGAGTCCAATGGTTATTGCACAACATTAAATGTCGTAGATCCATAGCATCGAAGACTCTAGACACTGACCGCCGGTAAACATTCTTAGTGAGGGTGAGCAGGAACATTGAAAGCATATGAAGGAGGTCATTTACCCACGGAAAACTCACGACCGAGCCGAGTTTAGCACGGATGTGAAGCGATACAAATCTAGTCTGACTGTCTACTGCTGTCATCAGTGATGGCCGCCTGGAGATTTATATTTGATTACTCGATGTTTTGGCGTGGTTTTAAGGCTGATGGCAAAGGCGAGTGCAAGGGTCATGTGAGTCAATCTGTAGCGGACTCATGACCTCATGCAGACCAAACTACCAGCAATGACTTGTAAGAAGACCTAATGGATACTGGCTATTTGAAGTTTCCGGGATTTCACTTACCTTTTTCAGAAAACGCATTTAATGGGCAAACGTGCTGAAGTCCATCGAGCCATATGCCTAATCTCAGAATTGCACGAAGACTCCAAAAGAGGACAAAGCACAAAAGACAGAGTCTCTCTGAGAGAATATCTCCCAAACTCCAACCAATCATCCGACCCACCATCCACGCCACGCCGCCCGCCAAACAACGCCATCCCAGCCACGAATGAAACCCAGGCCACCCCAGCCGAAGCCCTCCATACCGCCAACACCTGAGCAAGGAGCACCCCCACGAAGCCCCTCCCAATCAACCCAAGCCACCGCAAGTCTTCTCATCCATCAGCCGGGGGGAGGGATGGCATGTGCACGGACGCGAGCGGGAAAAAGGATCTCGTTTCAATTTCATACATCTGCGACACTGGTTCTATTTTCCAACCTGTTTTGGTCCACAAAGCACGCTCAAATCAAAACATGGGGGGGACGGAGCCAGATGTTTCCACCAGTTCTATTTTATCTGTCTCCCCACAATAGATCATCGAGTGCAGAGAAAGCAAGGTCTAGACCACCGAGCTTGGCAACGAGGATCTGGGGCAGGAGGGAAAAAAAAAAGGTAAACGTGTGATGTAGTTCATGCGACACGATACTGTTTGATCCTCCGATCCGATACTATCGACGCCAAAGGCACACGAAACAGCATTTTGAAGAAGTAGATGACGGAAACATAGGTGTAGTGGTTCACGTCTGGGGCGCACGCTAGAAGCAGTCCGGGCCGTAGCCAACAGCACTAATACACGCCCCCAAATGATCCTTCGTCCCAAACTCTTCCCCCCTTCGCAAAAAGCCGCCGCCGGCGCTTTTCGACGACCGATGTTAGATCCGCCACCCGTTGAGCCGCTGCCACTGGTTAGTGTGAATCTATTCATAGCATCTACCGTGGCGGCAGATCAGCGAAAAGAACCGGCGCTTCGAGAAGGCTAGCTGGCTACACCATCAATAGTGAATCACGATAACTCAATTTGGGTCCGTTTGTGAGATGTGGGAATAACACGTCAAAGACGGTCTCTCTTTTTCTTCTATCTCAATGTTCGCTTGCTCGCTAGGTGACTAGCAACAATTCTGTTTGCGGCAACTCCCCCCTGTCGACGAGATTTCCTTCATCCTCCTTCCTTCCAATCCTTTCTTGCGCCTTCGAGGAAACCAGTCCCAGAGAGTGTTCAAAAAAGACAAGGAAATAAAGAAGGGAAGGGAAATTTGTGAGTGTATTGTGAGTTGTGGGGGGTATTGAGTTGAATAAATCGCCGGAAACAAAGGAAAGATAGAATAAAAGACTCCGACCTTGACGAGATTCCAGAACGACCTTGCGATGCTGTTGTTTGTATTGACAAGAAAAAGAAAATGCTCAGGCGCTCAGGTGAGGGGAAGAACCCACTGGGCTGCAGTCTCCGTAACTTCATCATAGCAAAACAAAAGAAAAAGACAAAATGGTGACGTGGCTCTTCGAAAAGAGCACACGAAGAAGGGTATAATCAGCGCAAAAAGACAAAAATGCAGTGTGACTTTCCACTAGTCTCTTTTTTTCGGGAAAAAGGAGGAGCGAAGAGAAGAGCTTGAGAGTTGAGAAGAAAGAAAAAGAGTTTAAAGGTGATTGTGAGGAACCCTGAGATTCTATCGAGTTACGAATAGCTTGACAGCACATGGTTCGTCAACGAAGAAGAATATATCAAATCGGTCGGGCTCACTGAGCCGCGGTCCAGATGCAACACCGACCAGCGATTAAATTTAAACCAAAACAAAACGCAAACAAATGGTTCTTGACTCCCAAGCTCCAGCCCTTGTTCTATCCTCGTTCACGTCCAGAAACGGTCCAGCGCCTTTTTGTGAAATGTATGTACGCTCTCTTCATACTTTGCACAGTGAAGGTTGGCAGCCGTCAGAAGTACGCTTAGTACTTCTTAGCGGGGAAGCGGAAGCCGCTGGGGGCGGCAGCGCCCTTGACGGTGACGAAGCCAGTGCTGGCACAGGGAGTGCTAACAGCGGCGGCGTCAACGTCCTGGGAGGCCGGGGTGGGGTAGAAGGCGCTGTAGCTGGACTGGAGGGGAGCGACCGAGTGGGCGGAGGGGGTGGCGGTCGCGGTGACAGGGCAGACGGTCGTGTACAGAGCGACGGTCTTGGTGACGATCTGCTCCTTACCGGCGCTGGTGGTGGTGTGGAGCATGGTGGTGTAGACGGTGCTGGTGGTCAGGGGAGCCTCCGAAGTGGCAGCAGCGTCCTGGACATCAGCGGTGGCGGAGGGGGTGGCAGTTGCCGTGACAGGGCAGACGGTCGTGTACAGAGCGACGGTCTTGGTGACGACGTGCTCCTGGCCAGCGCTGGTGGTGGTCTGGATCAGGGTGGTGTAGACGGTGCTGGTGGTCAAAGGAGCCGAAGAGGTGGCAGCGGCATCCTGGACATCAGCGGTCGCGCCAGCGGTCTAGAACGAATTAGTAAAAACCAGCTGAGAGACAATGTTGGTCACTACGTACCACAGTGACGGTCTTGGCGGGCTCGGTGACGGTGACGGTCTTGGGGGCGCAGGTGCCAGAGGCCTCGGAATCAGCAGTCTCAGCGGAAACCTCGCCAGAGCCAGTAGGAGTGACCGGGTAGACGGTCTTGTACTTGGTGGTGGTCGAGGTGGAGGAGATGGTGCTGAGACCCTCAGAAGCAGAGGCAACCTTGACAGCAGCCGGGGTAGACTTGGTAGCGTAGACGGTCTGGGATTGAGTTAGCTACTGCGCACTGGTTTCAAAATAAAACACATGGAACTAACCGAGTAGAGAGTCTCGTAGCTGGTCTTCTTGACGGTGGTGGTGACGACGGTGGTCGATTTGCCGGTGCCCAGAGTGTAGGTCAGGGTGGAGTCGCTGGTCTTGGTGACGACGGTGGGGGTCTCGCCAGCGGGGGCAGTCTCAGCCTGGACATCACTGGCAGTGCTGGGGGAGCCGGTGCCGAGGGGAACAGAGGGCACAGAGGCAGCGGAGACGGGGGCCTCGGGAGTAGGGTAGGGGACGGCGCCCTCAACGTCCGAAGAGACGGCGGGGGTGGGAGTGCCAGCGGGAGGAGCGCCGGCATCAGTGGCGCCCTCAACACCGGAAGAGGCAACCGGGGTGGGAGTGCCAGCAGGGGCCTCGCCAGCCGGAGTCTGGGTAGCGGTGACGGGGCACACGGTGGTGCTGATGGCGACGATGCTGGTGACGACGGCGGGAGTGCCGGAGCGGGCAGGGCAGTCGGTGACCTCGGGGGCACACGAAGTGATGGTGTGCAGCTGGGTGGCGTAGACGGTCGAGGTGGTGAAGTCGGCCGGGGTCACAGCGGCGGCCTCAACGGCGGCGGTGCCGTTGTTGTACTGCCTGCGCACAAAGTGGTAGGGAGCGTTGGCCGAGGCCGAGGCGACGGCAGCAGAGGCCAGCAGGAGGGCGTTGGTGAGCTGCATTTTGCGCTAGGAGAGGCGACTGAGGACTGAGCGTAGAGTCGTGATTGGTCGTCGAGGCGAGCAGAAGTCAATTCCGCGGGTTCCCAAAAGAGCGACGGGAAGTAAGGAAAGTAAGTGTCTCTGAGAGACGTTGAACGAGTGTCGAGGGCGAGAGGCTCGGTGGAGGGCGAAGGAAAGGGTGGAGAGGCGGGGAGGCAGCGACAGTTTTGAAGGCTGGCCTGGATGGCTGAGGCGGCAGCTGCGGCCGTGGACCCTCCTGGTGCAATTTCATGGATCTCCAGGAACACGCTCATCGACCGGGGCCACCCACGCGCGCATTCAGGCACGGGCCAATCAGAGCGCCACTCGCCGTAGCCCTAGCCGACGTGCCAGCCTACCGCAGCCCGTACCTGCAGCGGACCCAATGTCATCGGAAAGCGTGGCGCCGGCGCTGGCCAGCTCCTGCAAGGCCGTCGCACACATTGGCCGGCAGCGCCGTGACGGCGCCGGTAGTGTTGTGCAGGGCGGCGGCGAGGGCGTCGGCGAGCGCGCGAGGCAGGACCCAGCACAGTACGACTGGTGCGGTCGGCAGCTCGCCTGTTTCCGCGCGCCGTCGTCTTGCCCGTGTCGTCGCGCCGGCGCGTGGGCTCGTTGCTGGGCCTTGCTCCGACTCCTGAGTCGCATCGGACGACCTTGGCCATGCTGCGCCGCTGATCGCGGCCCCCGCACATGGCAGCGCTGCATCCCGGCGGGCCTGTTTCCTTATCTCATCAGGACAATCTCGTTTGCCCTTGGCTGGGTGTTGGCCGCCGATGCGATGACGCGCCCGGGCGATCCGTCAATCTGGCGGCAAATCGTCAGCGGCAGGTCCAACAAGACAGGCGTGGGCGGTTTCTCGTACCTGCAGATGGCTTTGGCGGCCATGATGCGACGCTGCCGTGGCACATTGTCTTCGGCCTCTGTGCGCCGTGGCGGTCAGCGGGCCGGAGTGGTGATGGCTGGGGCAGGGTGGTGTTTCACCATGCTCGAAAGACGGGAGCCGCGCCCGAGCGCCCTGCCATGCTTGCCCTCTCACCACAAATCTCCGAGGATAAAGAAGACGCTGTGCTGTTGCTGAGCCTCCCGGTGCCGGCGCGGATCATCGGCGATGGGCCGAGAGCGAGCAGTCGGCGACGTGTGCAGAAGGCGAGGGGCACCCGCGCCTTCTTCCGCCGCCAACGCTGTGGCACCTCCCGCGGCACAGGCCAGCCTCGTTTTCCAGTCCCCCAAGCTGCGCAGTGAGCATCCAAGCGCCTCGCCGCCTCAGTCGAGACTCTCCCAACACACTTGTCCCAGAGCCCTGCACCACCTGCCCCCATCGGGGCCCGGGCTGGATTGCTTCTCGAAAAAACCTGCAGCCGCCGGCGCCATGTGCGGGCAAAATAGCCGGCCATTATCGCGCCGCCCCGACAGCTGCCGGTCGCCGGGCGCCACGCGCTATTAGCCAATGTCCGAACCTTAATCCAGAGCCAAATCCAAGACTCTGCTGACGCTGCCTGAAAACCGCTGCGCTCCTTCATCAATGTCTGATTTTCAATCTTGCGCTGATTGGACTTGTCGCAAATTGTCTCACCGCTGGCTATAGTACACCGTTCATCTTGTAGGATACCTCCTTTTCAGACCGCTCCATGATGACTCTTGCTCCCAGTCCGCGCGTAAAAAATTCCTCCTCAGCCTTCTTTAAGCGGGGCGCGTAATATCTAGCTCCGGATCTATAGCGAACCAACGGCAAGTGCCTGCGTATACCACCAGAAAAGTGGCCTAGGCATATTTCGGCGTAATATAATCCCACCATCCTATTCGCCGGGTCCCGTTGAACCATTGCATACCCCCGCCATGCCTCGTTATCGCTACCATCCTGCCCGCTTCGTATCGGCCGGAGCCTGTACGAAAGCCACGATCATTTCGTCATCGCTTGAGCAAATTTCCGTCCGTTGTGTGGCTTGCCTGCGCCGCCGCTCTGTCGTGAAGGAAGGAGGGGCATCTTGGCAGATACGTCCTCTCGGGATTACCCACAGGGGTTGAACAACGGCCTCTCTCCCTTTGCAGCAGGTCAACGGAAAGCGCGGCGGTGAGCGATCCGTGCCGCTGAGCCTCCCTGTTGCCATCCACTCTCCTGGAGATGCTTCTAGAATACCCTCATCTCTGGTCATGGGGATCGTTTGATGTGCCTGAGGAAGATCATGAGCTCATATGCCCGCTTACTGTGTGTTACATCCGCTGTGTATACAGGTAGGTGATTCCGGAAAATAGAAGTGGTGTCGCTTAGGCAGTCATCCTTTTGGAAGAAGAGGCGCAGGAGCAGCCTCACTCATAATATCCGCTTCGCCTTCCTTCATGGAATCTTCCTTCCCCTTCACCGCTCCAGGGGGAGGACCTGGCTTCATCTCGGGCTGCATCCACTTTGACATGGAAAATAGGTGAATCAAAATACTTTAAAACTGGAAGACGGCCATCCGGCCTACGTATCGTTGAGCCGTGTGCAAATTACTCAACTCGAAACAAAAATCTTTCCATTCGCAATTCAGAGGCAGCTCGACATGAGAGAAAATGATTTAACCTACCTCTGCCGCACATCAAGAGACAATTCTGGCCCCGATATCGTATTCCCGGATACTTGCGATCATTTATTTTGTCTTGGTTTTTCCATCTCTTCCGGTGGCTTGACATGGTGTTTGAAGTAGATGGATGGCCACCCTGATGTATGGTGAGATGCTAATACGATACCGCGCCCCGCCGAGTCGTGCCGATGTCGCTGCAACCGTTGTGACATTGGCGGTGAATGCCGTGACGGAGGACTGAGGTGTGGTGGGGTTGTGGAGTGAGATCCAGATCTGTCTCCTTTTCCTTTTACACAGTTCTTGGGATCTTAGATCACCAAGAGCGTCCTAGCAGTTCCTCTCTGCGGAGGGCTTACGAAAATCTAGCTGCAGTGGATTGGCGTGTAACGAGCACCTTCGCTTTGTTCCTATAGATTGGCGACCTCGATCTCTTAGAATCTAGAAACGTCAACAAAGCTCGTTCCCTCCACCACAACACCGTCTTATATAAACATGACCTCTCACACGATCATCACGTTGTTTCCATAGCCCCGGGGACCATGATCTGCGCTGAGAACCCTCTAAACCTGCCCCAAATCTCTTTCTCTGACACCCTACGCAATGTAGCAACCACTTGAAAGTTGTCTTAACTACTGCAATTACTTTGTCCTGCCAAATAACGGCGTGCCATCAGCTATCACACATGGCTTGGGCTCAGCGGTGCCACGTGGCACCGTATAGTTTATTAGACTGTAAAGGCGTGGTGGTGTGAGGCAGTATATAGAAGTGCTGAAGCTGCCCGGCAGCTGTGGGTGATGGTGGTCTACTGGAGCTCTTGATAATGATGAGACCAATCACGGATAAGGCAATTATATCGGGAGCGGTAAGAGAAGGCAGGGCAAGAGGTTGAGAACTGCGCGAGAGCGAGAGGCACGCGCAAGTAAATCTCTCTGTAGGTGTCGCAGATGGTACTGCTGAAAGATATCCGCGGAAGCGGCTGTTCGAATGGTTGATATTGGAAGCTGGAGAAAAGGTATTTATAGTTATGACAAGAGAAGAGTGTACTCTTCGGGTCATCGGTCCAGTTGTTGATGCATGCCTTGCGCATGTAGCCCCGGTGCTGAGGTGTTGTACAATTGCCTGAAAGTCAGCAGAACCATACGACAAGGGGCAGTGGCACATTCGGATCGTTTATCCGTTTTCGGTTATGCAATACGCCGAACTGACAAAACTCAGTGGCTTTACGATAGATACTTCACAAACGGCGAGACCACTCACTATCCGCTTTCCACGTTCTCTAGAGTTGGGAGAAATAATGATGTCTTGTACTGAAACCGAATGGTGACAAGATACGAGATATCGTGGTACTGTGAATGAAGCACCAGAGCCTTGTGTGCACAGAGATCCGTGCCCCATTCGCCTTGGGAAAGAGCTTCTCGGAGAATATTGTGAGGTGATAGCGTTGTTGCAAGACTCCTGAGCCAAAGGCAACTCCGCTCTTCATGCCTGCAGAAGTCAATGATCTTGCGCCCATCATGTGGGTTTTGGCATGTACACACCTTTCACATATGACCAGGGTTCCACAGCTATAAGTCCATCACTATTCGGCCCTGAAACCGTTTGTGCAAGAGCCTCATGCTATTTCCCCAAGCGAGCAACCACTCCCTCGCCTACGATCCCCCACAACTCCATGACCCCATTTGGACGACTCGGTACGCATGATGACTTCACACGCTTATCCCGAAAAGACCTGACTTTGGTCTCGTCTCATGATGGACAGGACTATAGTACATTTCTATTGCGTTTCAAATGTGAGAAAGATATGCCAGCTGAAGCACGATCCGGAAGATGAAGGTGTTGTGCTTGGTGCGATGAGCCACAGAGAGCGTCGCACCACGAGCGAGGGCATAGCGGAACTAGCCCCTTTTGGCTATTTGCTATTTTCAATATAATTCGATGTCTTTGCCGTGATATTATGAACAGTCAAGCGCGAAAACAGCTGCGCCATGCGCGGCTTAATGCAAATGCCTGTTCTTGTCCTCGGCCGCCTTCCTCTCCGCTTCCCTCCTCCACGCACCGCCGAACCTCCACTGCACAGCCACGCCCAACAAGGCGACCACCTGGACAATCACGCAGATCGTAAACGCCAGCCCAACCCCAATGCCATTTACCATAGGCATCACGAAGCTCGTGCCTCCGGCGGCGAACAAGCACCTCGCGAGGTTGAGGCTCGCACTGGCGGCGGCGCTGCGGTCGGAGAAGACGTCGACGAGGTAGGTCATGATGACGGATTGCGTCGAGACAGCCGTCCAGCCCGTGATGAACGTCGACACGATGGGAACGGCGATGTGCACGCGATCGGGGTACTGAATCGTCCAGCCGAAGAGGAGGATCGACGCGCACTGGGTGAAGGAGAAGACGGGCACGAGCCGGAGGCGCGCCTTCTCGAGCGGGAAGTCGTCTTCGGGTTTGGTCGTGGTGGAACGGGAGAGCGCGTCGCCCGCTTCGGCGTCGCCTGTTTGAGGAGTTGTTGTTGTTGCCGTTCGTCGAGCCTCGTGTCGGGCTTTGACGCGCTGGTAGTCGGTGTTGAGGATTTTGCCGGTTACGAGGGTGCCGACCATGGAGCCTACACCGTTGGCGATGAAGGTCAGGCCGATTTGGGTTTCGCCGAGGCCGTAGTGCTCTTCGAACAGTGAAGACATGGCAGTGATGCTCATCTGCCAGACGGCATAGTAGATGGCGAGGAAGAGAATGATGGGAGCAGCTTGTTTGCTGATGAGGATGCGGAATGGCCCGGTAACATCGATGTGTTTTCTTGCTGCAGGCTGTAGAGATTCCGCTTCAGGAGTCCACTTCACCTTGCTGGTCTTTTGGTAGACAAGCAGAGGATATTTGGCGATCGGATTTGGTGGCACTCGTCCTCCATTCGCAACGATTGACCTCAACGTTTCTGGGAGAAGCAAGATCAATAGCACCAGAAAGACGGCGCTGTAGATGGTCAAGAACCAGAAGATGGCCCTCCATCCCAGTGACCCGGCGAGGGCGCCTCCAATGACCGGACCGATAGCCACAGGCATAAGCAGTCCAGCCTGGAAGATTCCCATGAAGCCTCCACGCTCAGCGCGAGTGGTAATGTCTCCGATGACACCGGATCCAATTGCAATCGTGCTTGCACTGCCGGTGCTTTGCAAGCATCGCAACACAATCAGAGTGGCGTAGTTCTTCGTCTCAGCCAGGCCGATGCATGCGCCGAGAAAGACGAGAAAAGTACAGCAGTAGGCAATGCGGCGGCCTTTGACATCGGATATTGGACCCCAGAGGCTGGGCGCTAGACCTTGGAATATCAGGTATGAGGTTACCGTGAGATTAACCAACTCTACCGAGACATTCAGATCATGGGCGATAGTGGGAAGTGCAGGGAAATAAATGTTGGAGGCAAAACCGGAGACTGTTTCCATGTAAGCCGGCTGAGAGCAATATAGCCTTAGTAATTGTAGACCCACAGGTTGCAGCAGTTGACACAATAAGGACGATCAACGCCTTCTGTCGCTTGTCGAATATGCTGTAGGGTTCTTCCGGCACCGTTGGTGATGGAGGCGGCGTCGATTGCGGCTGGGTGCCTGGAGCTTCTTCGGATTGCGTCATATTCTGCGATTGGTGTAGATACGCGATTGGCTGTGAGATGTTTGATGGCCGTAGTGGCAGGAAATCAGAGAGAATTTATCGTTCTTGTTCAAGCCCAGCATTCTGCACAGATTGGGGAGGCGCTACGGAGTTGAGTATTGGCGGGCGCGGAGCTGAGGTGCTTTCCGCCAATCAGGGCTTGTTCAGCCCAGAAAGTGTGGCGTGCTCCGGAGTTGAGCCTCAACGGGATCCGGCAGGGGCGCCGGCATCGATAAATCAGTCCATCTATTATTGCATCATTAATACTGCGCATAGTTTTTTTCAGAGAGAAGAATCGACGCCCAGTCAACTGCACCTTATCCTTGTTTCCGGCCTCCTGAGAATGGCTCCCGCACAGCAGTATACTGAAGGCCCCTTGAACTTCGGCAAAAACTATGCTGTCCTCAACTTGGATCTGATGGCAGTTCTGATTGACGCAATCAAGGACACGGCTAGAGGTCAAGCATTCATCTCTAACTGCTCGCGCTGGAACGAAGCAGTTCACAACAGACACCTACGACCACTCACCATTTTTACCACCCTCTTCTTCAACCACGGAGAGCCAGAACTGGCAAAAGGCGCTCCCTTCACCAGGCTCGCCAAAGCTTTCGGATCGTTTTCCGCTGGCTCGCCCGGGGTGCAGATAGCGTCCAACTTTACCGTCGATGAGAAAGACGTCGTCCTACAAAAGACACGGTGGTACGCCGGCGCTGGAAACGGCTTGGAGCAGATCCTGGAAGCACAGAATATCGACACTGTCGTCATAGTATGTCATGCGCCCCTCTCCCACAACCTGATCTGACAAGAGCCCTCGCAGTCCGGCTTGAGCCTTTCCGGTGTCGTCATGAGTACCGTCTACCGCCTGTTCGATCTCGACTACAACATTTATGTCATCTCGGATAATGTGTTGGAACTGCCGCCAGACGAGCATACCGATGTCTCGAAAGTCATGCTGGAGACTCTTCTGCCGAAAATGAATTTGAGGTCCATCTCCATCGATGAGGCGTTGCAGATGCTAGAGCAGTCTTAGCTAGTCCACGCTCATATGTATTGCTTTTAACCACCATGCGTGCAACTCGTGACAGCATAGAGCATTGTTCCGAACTCGTCGACATTCTCCAGCCACTGATCAACTCTGCCGCGTCTTTCAACGAGACCAGCCTCATCCAGGTCCGCAGGAATGGGCCAAAGCTCGTCAATACGCAGACCTCCCTCCGCCCAGTCTGCCAAGTGAATGTTATATGCTGCTTCCCACTCATGTCGCGTGTGTGCTTTCCACAATGATTGGCTTGCTGGAGCAGGGAGTCCTTGCAGTTCTGTGCCGAAAAATGTCGGAAGGCCGTCCTGCGCCAAAAGAACGCTATCGAAAAGGTACATGACGAACAGCGTCCGTCGCTTCGCCTCAGCGACGATCCAAGCTTCCCACCTTGGACGGGCACGCTGCTTCTCCGCCGTGCACATGAGTCCTCGGCGGCTGCACGAGCAAGCAAGCTCCTGGAGATTCGTCATCGCCTGACGGAGGAACGGACTCGAGCCCTGGCTGAGCTTGAAGAATAAGACCAGGGAATATATCAGATACGCCTGAAACGCTGCGAGTAGAGACATATCGTCATATGTCCCATGCTGCTCGTAGAGGCCGTTCATCTCCCTCTGCAGCACATCCATGGCGGTGTTTTCACTGCCTGGCAATGGCTTCTCGCATATGCGAACCAAAGTCAGACAGGTAGAGAGGGGCGGTATTGTGGATGTTTCCGTAGCCTGCGAGGCATGTACGAATGGTGGAACTCCGCGACCGTGACATGTGATAGCTGCATAAGATTTAAGGATCCTGTAGATAAAGGCTGTGATGGAGGCGGGATATTCTTTGACCTTCTGTCCAGGGACGGGAACATAGGAATTCAGCCAGCGATTACTGATGTCGTCCACGTTGATGGGGCAAAAGAGCTCCATTCCTGAGATGAAGTCCAGGCTTGACATATCAGGCGCTCCTGGACTTTCAGGGAGACGGCTCCCAACGTTTAATCCCGCACTCATTGGAACATGGCTTCCAGTAAGTTCCGGTGAAGAATCATTCCCTGGGTTGTTGTCACCGACCGCCCGTGCCGATTCAATGACTGGATTCCGGAGGTCAGGTAGATCCGCCTCAGGACTGGGGAGCAGGGTCCCGGTAGGGTAAATGTTGGATGTCGACAAGGGGCTACTTAGACCGACGTCGCCGTTATCGCTCGCTCTGTGCGTCGAGCTTCCAGAAGGAAATGACTGTGGATAAGTGCAAGACAGGCCTCGAAGGGCGCACCTGGAGCAACGTGCTACTTTGCGATCACATTTGGCCTTGGCAGATGAACAGTGTAGGCAAGCCTTTTGCCGGGAGGTGGCATATCTCGTAGTCTTCATGGCCACTATCTTTTGCGCCAGGATGATGTTGGGCGTAGGTGTTGAAAAGGTGATGCGTCGAAGTCAAGAGCAGTCGAGAAGTGGTGAGGTCGCAGCCCATGCCTATTCGAGATTAGTCTGGGTCGCTGTTCCCCCATAAAGTCGTGGCCAGGCCATTGGGTGGTGCAAGATTTGAAGCTCACATAACTCATTTCCACAGGCATACCAAAGTTCGCGAGATAGGCAGTTGCAATCACTGCCCGGACGTAAATGTAGAATCAATGATTATACAAAACCGTCGAGACGATGGCTTCCACTCCCCATGTCAGTCGACTGCCGTTGCTCGCGAAGAGTTGAGATGGACTATTATTTTAGAAACCGCCTGAGCGTCCTCCACACTATGGTATGCAGTGCAAAGATGCTTTATGAGGCGTGCGCCATGTGTGATGCACTCTTGCAGATCGGCTCTTCTGTCTTTGTCCGAATAAAGACGTGGCGTCTAGGTGGCTGATGTGGCGCTGATGCTGTGTCCCCTCCACATACTCGATAGCAGGGAAATTGAGACAGTAGTGCTTTCCTGGCATTTGAAGGCTTGTAGAAAGATCATGCTCCTGCTCATGTATACCAGTTGCAGGTGTGCATTTTGGTGAAATCCAGCAAGACAAGAGTTCTGTTTTTTGCTTACTGAGTGCTGGATGCTGCAGGCCGCTCCGCTCGGCCGCTCAAATGACTTCAAACTCAGCATAAAACGGACATTCAAAGTTGAGAAAAATAGCCAATCTTGCTAAGTCTTAAATCTATCTTACTCAATCCATACCGAAACACAAAAGGCCGAACTAGCCAGAAGCCAGAAAGCAGTCCAGCCGCCCTCTGCTCCACCTTCATCCAGCACCAGCACAATCTATTTCCAAAAGAGCTCACTTAGCGCACTCTATCATTAAAAGCCCAGCCCACGTGGCCCCCGAAAGAAGGAGAGGTAAGGATATATCTGTATATTCGATTCTCAACAAGAGAAGAGAGGTAGAAAAAAAATATAAGGAGATCCGTATCCTTCGTCCCATCCGATCCCGTGCCGTTCCACCACCCAACCAACCAAACCCACCCAACCGTCAAGCAGTACCATAATCGCATCTTCATCCCCACACTCTATACACATACACGTCCCCTTTCCCTCACCGGCGCCTTGCCTACGACCCAAGCTTTTTCGTTCCTCTCCATCCACGCATACACAACCAGTCCTTTTCCCCCGACGCCAGCGCTTGACAAAACATGAAAAACAGACACCCCACACGTATGGATACACGGGCAAAAGCGAGGATGAGGATGCGGAAGAAAGTGAAGAAGAAAAGGACAAGTTGGAAAGTCTCCGCCCATCCGTCTCGTCCTGACAGTCGTTCTTCTCGCCACCAGCAGTCCCTTGAACCCTCAACCCATTTCCAGGGCGCCGTGGCAAGAGGAACGCGGGAGAGAGGAAGGCAGAGAGTCGAGACGAAGGGCAGGGTAGGAGGTGTTCCGGATGAGGGTGAACATGTATGTGTAGTGTGCGTGCAAAAAACAAAAAAAAGTAGGGCGAAAAAGCAGAAGAGTAGAGAGGTTTAGTCTTTTCGTGGTCGTAGCGTGCAAAAAAAAAAAAGAAAAAGTCATAACCATACAACGCAACAGGGGGTGATATGTTTGAATGCAAACAGGAAAAAAAGACTCATGCAATCGAACAGCGAAAAAAGACGATAGCCACCACCTTCTCTTCTTCCGTACAGCAAAAATAACGCTTAGGAGAATGTCCAGCTTTTCCCAATCTTTCACACCGCGCGAGAATCTGTAAAGAACAGCCTTATCCCCGTTTTACTTTTCCCCGTTCCCCTCAGCTTTCAGGGAAACAAAAAGAAATAGACAAAAACAAGGTATCAGCACGAGACTCAAACATGAAGTAGTGAAAAACAAGAAAGAATAGCTCTTCCTGAAATGGAAGAGCATCGAAGCGGCGAGGAGGGAAATATTAAAACGAGAGACGGAGCTTGCGCAACTTTCCAATGGCGCGTCTCCAACTCATCCGGACGAGAAATTATTCAGACACGTAGAGGAAAAAAGTGCTTTGGGGAAGCCTTTGTTCTTTTTGTGAAGTTTCGTTCGGCAAAAGATAAGCCAAGTCGTTTTTTCTTTTTGTTTTTCTTGGTTTTCTTTTAAATGCTTCACTTCCTCGACGAGCCGCCGGCTTTGGGTACAAAACCCTCAACACTTTTCGCCCTCCTTGCGTCTCTTTCAACATCACTGCCATCTTCAACGACAACATTGTCGACCCCGTAATCCTCATCCCGCATGGCTACGCTGCCGCCGTCCTCCTCGTCATCGTCATCATCCTCATGATCCGTAACGAGTCCCGGTGCCGAATCCAGAGTGTGTGGGCTCAACTCCATGGTTGGAGACTCCAAGTTGCCGCCAGCGGTGCTGCTTGCAGAACTGTTGCTGTGCTGTAACCGGGGCGGGGCACCGGAAGCGGGATGCAGACCCGTGGTTGCGAGCGAAGCCGGCGCCATACCACCCCGAGCCGGTAGACGGCTCAGCTGCGGGCCGCGAGGGGTTGTGTCAGCGGAACCCTTCTTGACAGCAGCGGTAGACTTTGGTGCGGCAACCGGAGTTTGCTCGGCATCCTCGTCGCTCTCTTCCGTGTCCATCTCGGTCAGATCAACCTTCGTCCGTGCAAAGTCAACAAGCTTGTTCAGGTCGCCGGCGAAACCTTGCTTCTGCAGCAGAGCGTTCAAAGCTGGCGTTTGCGGCGAGGGGACAAAAGAAGCGCTTGGTGCCTTGGGCTTGGCATCCGGGGTCTGCACATTTTTGGAGGAGGCGGGCGTATCTTTCTTCGGCAATGCGCGGGGAGGAAGAGGTTTTGACTTGATTGGGGGGTTTGACTTGATAAGAGGATGCACGAAGGGACCATTGAGGTTCGGTGCAGCGCCGGTTGCAGGGGTCGAAGGAGTGGTCTCGCTGTTGGGTAACACAACACCCAGCTCGTTGACGTCAACCGGGATACCGCACTCGACGGCAGCCTGGTCGTGGCTCTCGAACTTCTGGTTGTGCTTGATGCGGCAGTGGTTGAGGAAGCCCTGAGTGTTGGAGAAGTTGCTATGGCGGCAGTCCGGGTGGTGGCAGAACAGTCGTACCCACTTGCCGTCGGTCGAACGCTTGTGCAGCAAGGGATCGATCTTCGGAGCCGAAGGGTCGCCCAGGGCTTGGAGCTTGGATCCAGCGGAAGCACGTGACGAACGCGATTTTCCAGCCATCGGCAGCTCGGCTAGACTTCCCCGAGTGGCACGTCCTTCGGATAGGCCAGAGTGCGAGCGACCACCAGCTTGCAGGCTCGCGATCGGCACCGAGTCGAACTTGGGATCCGGGATGAGCCACTTCGCGTAGTGGCGACTGTACGGGCCTTCGGTCACGCCCCAAGGCGCAGGCTGCTCGGGCGTCGTGAAGCCCTGCCGAGGCTGCAGCGCAGGACCCACGCCGCAACTGACGTCCGTCGACGCCGCATCCGTTCCAGGATACGGAATCAGCTGACAGCGGCGGACCTGCTCCAATGCGATCTGGCACTTGGCGAGCTCCTGCTCAATGAAACGGAGCTCGTTGTGCTTGAGCAGGATTTCCTGGTTGAAGTGCGTCTCGATCGCTTGCTGCAGCGGCGTGTAGGCGGTCGGATCAACCTCGACCGAATTCGCCGATGCTGCGGGAAGCTCCTCCTGAGTCGTGGCGCTTGGCTGCGAGCTCGGAGACGCGTTGAGCTCAGCCGCCGAGTCCGCGTCCTCCATCTTGACTTCCAGCGGCCTCGCCTCAATTCCGGGTGCGGACGCGTCGCCGGCCTTCTCCGAGCTCTTCACACGTGGCAAGGCTGCGGGCGCAGCTGCGGGCGGCGGTGCATCCACCACAGGTCGATCAGGCTTCCCTATCTCAACCACGGGACACACCTCGCTGCCGTTCGCGTACTTCCACTTCTTTGCGACGTGCTGCGAGACGTAAGAGGGCGGGCAGGGCTCCGGGCTGTCAGTCCGCTTCCGCTTCAGCTTGCTCAGCAGCGGGATGTCGACAACAGGGCGCTGCTTCTGGAGCTGGGCGAACTGGGCCTTGTCCATAGCGGGGTTCTCGGTGCTCCATGGTAGGCGGAACATCGACTGCATGGCGGAGGAGGGAGTTGCGACCGTGATGCAACGGTCATCTGAAGGCGTGAGGAGCGTTGGAGGGCGTGGGGGTTGGGGTGGAAGGCGCGGCGTGGTGGTTGCGCGACGCGACGTTGTGTGTCGCAAAGCGGTGACGATGTCTCGGCAGCGTGCACGTTAGGGGGGGGCAAGAGGGAGCTCAGATATTAAAGTTGCCGGGCGCAGATCGCCAAAGAGTGGAGAGAAGAGAAGGGCCGGTTGCTGGTGCAGCGTGGGTGGTGGGCGGCGTGGCCAACACGGTGGGTAGGCAGGCAGGCAAGCTGCGGTCGTGCGGACGTGCAGCAGCAGCGCGGAGGACAGAGCTCCTCTCAGCAGCAGCGCGCGGTGCGAGCTCAGATAGCGGGAGAAAACGGAAAAGCTCGGGGATTACGGCGCGGGAGCGCAAAGACAGCAGAACAAATAGAGCAGCCGGGCGTGCTGCAGAAAGAAAAGGGGCGGGCGGGCGGGCAGGAGGGTTCTGGTATGGAGCAAACAGGCGTCGTTGCGCTGGGGGGACTGCAGCTGTGCAGGAGGGTTTGGAAGAGGAGGGATGAGAGGGCAGGCTGGAGATTGAGCCAGCAGCGCCTCCTCGGGCGGCCTATGCTGGGCGGGCGGACAGGGATGCGGGCGGTAGTGCGCGGCGATGGGGCACGCCATTGGCTCAGGGGGCCGGGGGGGCCAATCGCCCTAGGCGATGATGATGATGATGCCTTCGCGCCTTCGAGAACACGCCGCGGAATCTGAAGCGTGCCCCGGCAACCCGACTTGCGCAGCTTCGCCGCCCACGCCGACATGCACGCAGGCGAGCTCTGCGCGCGGCGCAGGCACGCCGCCGCAGCGCCGTTGACCGGTGTTTGCCTTGGCCTGCCGCCCGCCCGCATTCTTCGCGATCGGTCGGGGCTGCCATCACACGTCCGCGCCTGCGCCCAGCGCTGCCGCAGCTCGGCGGCCATGTCATCATAAGTGGGTCGCGATAGCTGTCATCGCCTCAGGCCGTCAAAACGCGCGTTTGCGACACCATGAACCTGAATTCCGTGCGGCCAACGTGACCCGCGGCCGCATTGTTATGCCTCACGCTGCGGCCGTCTCGACGCTCGCTCTCACCAAAGCTTGTCTCTCCCAAGCCGTGCTAGGGAAAGAGCGCCCGCGCTTCTGCCCGTCCACGTCCCGCCGGAAGGGCGCTCGCTGATGCCAGCAGCTTGACGCACTCTCTCCACTCATGCCCGCTTCCATCGCTCACCAACGCAGCGTTTCGCCCGTCCACCGCTCTTCTACCGCATGCTTCGGGCCAGCTGCTCCGCCAACCTTTTCTGCTCCCTTCCTACCTGCGTTGCCGCCACACCCGCATTTGTATATCCCGCAGTCCGCACGCAGCCACTCCACCATCTAACTCCACACGACCGTCCCCGGCCTAATTAGGCCTGCAAAAATACGCCGACGTGCGGAAAGCTTGCAGTCGTGTTGCGGATCTTCCCACCCTGATGGCGCGCTCCCCCGTCCAATCGCACCCTGGCCGCACGCCCGCGCCCGGCCTAGGCGCGCTAGTTGCTAACGATCGTCCCGTCGACGCCGGCAAGCCCGCTAAGCTACGCTTGCTGTTGGTGAGTTGCTTCCTTCATTCCCCGTGCTGGGTATCCTGTATCCTCCCCGTGGTCCCTCGCAGCCCTCACCACTCGTCACTTAACCACCCACGTCTGCGGCTGCGCTGTGAAGAATCCACCCCGCCAGCCTCCCAAAAACCCCCCAGCCCGTGCCGTGCGCCAATCAATGCCGTGTCAGATGTGAATGCATTATTTGCTCTAAAGCTACTTTGCCTCGGGTCCTTTTTGACGCGGACGCCAGCGTCTAAACGCCTCCACAAACCCGCTTTTCTCCTCATCAGGCGGCTGTCCGTCTGCCGCACCAGCAGACCCTCCGGCAGCAAAGGCCCCCAGGCCCCCGGCCACATCACCCCCAGGGTCCATGGCGGTCTGGTCTTTCCCACGAGGAAGATGACGCGCCGCCGCCGCCGTCGCTGCCGCCGTCGACGCCGCAACGCCGCAGCTGGAACCCAGCTCGACCAACGGCACCATGCTCGGCCTACCATGCGCGCACTGGAACGGGAACGCGCACCCGGCGAGCCGCGCGACGAGCTCCTGGCACCCCGCCCTCGTCAATTCGTCGTTGAACATAATCGCGCTTCTGCATGCCCGCGAGTTGAGCAGCTCCAGGATGCCCTGTGGGCACGACCCGATCTGCGTGAGCCAGGACGACGACGATGAGGAATGCGGCTCTTCTGCCGTCGGCGTGGTGTCCATCGATCTGTGTTCCGCTCCCGCGGGTTCGTTTGTGCTCCCTCTGGTTGTTGCTGCTCTTGGTGCCGCGGCCGCCGGTGCTCGCGTCCGCTCCTCCGCTAGCTTCCACGCCTCGGAGCGAAGGAACGAGAGCAGCAGCTTGGGATCAGCCTGGCACCGTTCTGACACTCCTGGCGGGAGCGTCTTCACCACGAGAATGTGCCTGCTTCCCGATTTGTTGAGGTCGTATAGGACGCCCCAATCAGCAAAATACCTCCCGTGCGTCTCCAACAGGCGCGCTTCCTGGGCCGAGACCTCAAAGTAGAGCGCATTCGCCATCATGCTCGTCTTGATGTGCGACGTGTGGCCGAGGTTGGAACAGCATTCCTTCGCCTCCCCAGACGGGTTAGGTAAACACAGCTCAGCGTACAACTCCTCAACCCGGCAACGCTCGTCGGCCGCATGCTGGTCGATGATGACGAGTAGCTGCTTGGGCTGAATCGTCTCGCGTCCGTGCATTGTCTTAGCCATTGCACTTGTTGCTTCCATGACCGCTAAGATAAACTTCCTGTCGACCTGGGCCACCACTGTCGCCTTCCTTAGTGCTTGCTTCGAGAGCTTGTACTCTCCAAGCGTGGAAGCTTCAGAAAATGCTTTCTTGATTTCCGCTTCGGAACAATGCCCGCTGCGGCCGTGAAGCAGACCATCTGCTTCGTTGCTAAAGCCAGACAGGCTGACTTGTGGTATGGCTTGAGCTTGTGGGTGAAACACAGGGTTGTCCCATTCAGCTAGAAAATGTTCCAGCCAGCCTCTTCGGCTACCCTCACCCGGTGCGCTAGTAGGTTTTCGTGACAAGCGTAAAGACTTATCGAACACCATTGAGATACTCGCTGGGGCTCTGGAAGGTGCAGACGGCGCTGTCTTCGATCGGCATTCGTCTTGATTGATAACGGTTCCCGTTCGGGAATTGATCATGTAAGTTCGTTTGGTGTGAGGATCAGTCCACTTCATTGAAGGATCTAGTTCTGATCCTGCGGATTGACTGCGATCTTTTTCTTCTGTCAATTTATGCTCATCATCAGAACTATCCATCCCTTGGGATGGATTGGCGCTCAAGGGTCGAAGAGACCCAAGGTCGCCAGGCATGACAGGGTCTGCCTCAAAGAACGTGGAAGCAGCTTCCCTTCGTCCAGTCGAGGCTCGGGCCGGACCGGGCTCTAGCACAGTAGCTGGTGCAGTTTGAGGATTAGTCGGATGTTCATATGTCGTTGTACTCGATCTCTTTGAACCCCAAATGTCCTCATAGAACGACGACTTCGCGCTCTTGATTTTGCTCCAGTCACTTGGTACGGCACCATCATCTTGGTTGCACTCAGCGGTGACCTTCCTTGAAGCATCGCTTGACCTCTTCCGTTTTTGGCCTTGAAATAGCTTTACATCTGCTAGTTCGCTAGCTGCTTCGTCAACCTGAGATTGTGACAATGGTTTATCATGCCCCTGAGATGCGGGGGTTGAAGCACCGCTTGAAAGAGAACTTGGCCGGCTTGCAAGCCTCCTGGACGAACGGACGCGGGGCCGAAAATGGTGTACTTGAAGCCATTGAGTAATCATGGCTCGGAGCACTTCCAGGATGGAATGAAGCCTGGGTTCCGAGCCGAGCACATCGTCTTCATTCCCGTTGGTATCCGCAAGTCGAATGCGCAAACAGAATTTGGGCCATCTGTCAATCCCCTTTCGCCCATTTCGGAGCTGCTGATTTGTTGGACCACCTGTTTTGTACCTCTTGTCATTCGAGCGGCGTTCTTTCTCTCTCTCGTCGAGTTCAAGTTCATCTTCGACGACTCCAAAGCTGGAATTGTTGAATAAGCGGTTGATCTCGTCGAAGAGCTCGTTATGGCCTTCATCCATAGATATTGGTTTGATACCAACGGAAAGGAATTGAACAGATTTGCTTGGAGTGGGCTTAACGGAAATGGCGCCTTCAATTGATACAGAATGCGTGGACGCAGACGCAGGTACCCATGAGTTCCACTCATCGGGCGTGATGTAAGATGCTTGAGATAGTGTAGCAATGAGAGGACGAAGTGCACCGTGTATTCTCGTTTCATTACCTGGGAGCTTCTCTGCCAGCGAGACAGGTTGCTTACGATTGGCATTGAGAATTAGGCTTCTGCTGCTCTCGACATCTCGAAGGCGAAGAGAGACTGGATGCTGCCAGGCAAGCAGCAATCCCGTGATGAGTTTTTTAAGTGACTCCCACTGGCGCTCTTGCTCGCCTCGGTCTTCAAGCATGGTGGCACGCTGTTTCACGCGCACCGGCATACTGCCGAAAAGATCCCTTACCGTGACGCGAGTACCATGGTCACGAAAGCCAAGCTCTTGCTGACGAGGAGCAGGACTTTGACGAGAGATGACCTGGGATCGGTGGAGAGTAATAGTGTTGTGTGAGCGGTGGAGCCAGTGATGTGACGTGACCGTCAAGAGGGACAAAGCAGCCAAAGATGCAAGAAAGGTGCCATGACGGCCATAGACAGAGTCGGAGGTGTCGTGCTTAGATGTACCTGAGGGGCATCAGCGCTGTCATGTTTGCAGAGCCCGTGGGATGGCCTACAGTATGGTTTTCCAAGGCCGCCGCTCTCCTTGAATTCTGAGGGCAAAATCCCAAAACCGTCGTCCTCGACGGTGCAGCCGCCCCGCCGAGCATCCACAGCGATCTCGATCTGGGTGGCGCCGGAATCAAGTGAGTTCTCGACAAGGCCCAGGATAGCGGTGGCGAGGCTCGTGATCGCGGTTGAAGATTTAATCTGGGCAACCACTTCCGGGGGCAGGGGCGCAATGGGCCGCTGGGAGCACTGGCGGTGGGTCACATCGTGCGGAGGCTCCAGATTCATAGAGACCAGGGCGCATCAGGGCTCGTTGCTTCGGTCCAGAATGGTCCCGCATGCAGCGACGGAGGGCGGAGCAGCGGAGGGGTGGCGGGAAACAGACGGCGGAGCGAGTCGTGCGACGTGCAGGCCCGAGGCGAAGGCCGAATGGTGGAAAGACGGGTCGGTCCACGCACGATGCAATGACGCAAGCGCAGACGCAGCTCTGGCTGCGCGTGCACGCTTTCTGCAGGCTTCAGGGCGGCGCGGCGCAACGCGGAGCGCTCCGGGGCTGCCACCTGGCGCGCAAGCGTGTGGCTGTCGCAGCGCGGTGGTGGGCGTCGAAGAGGGCGTCTCGGAGCTGCTTGGCGATCACACTCAGGCCGTCGATGCCGCTCGCGGCCGCATGCGGTCGATCCGCTGGGCGCCACAGCCACGGTCTCGCTGCGCAGCAGCTGAACTCGCCTGTCTCCCCATTGCTACCTGAGGCGAACCGCCGCCTCCAGACACGCTCCACGCACGCAGTGAACTCCCCAAACGCCGCCTGTCACTCCCCGGGGTGCCAAGATGGCTACCGCCGAGCCAGCTCCCACGCCGCAAGGTAAGCCTAAACCCGCCCACGCCCCGGCCGACGCATCCATATCCGGCGCCCAAACACCTCCGGCCCATTATTACTCCTCCGCTCCACCCTGCTCACCAAGCCATGAAAGACCGTCACTCCCGCCGCCGGCCCTTCGCCGCCTGGATCAAGCGTGTCGCAAACCTCAAAGGCTCGTCCAACAGCCAGCCGCAAGCCTCCAAGGCCAAGAACAAGTCGTCCGTCAAGAACAACCCGTACCCCGAGTCGGGCCACCTGCACCGTCCAGCACCCGCAGCGAGCGCCAACGGCCACCTCTCCTTCTCCGAGCCCGTGTCACGCCGCCAGAGTTACGGCTCAGACGCCTCCGACGATGACCTCGACCAGGGCGGCCAGCCCGTCAAGTCCGCAGCCCCGACCCTTGCGACAAATCCGGAGACAATATATTCAGACGCCGGGCAGTCAAAGGCTGAGACCAGCAACACCCGCGGCGGCGCGCTGAGCTCGCACGATGGCGGGGCTAACAGCACTTTCTCCTCCCCCAACCACTCAGAGCGATCCCTGACGACCACCCTCACAACAATACAGTCGACGGCGCCCTCGGCTTTCCTCAACGGCGCATCCGCAGCCGCCGCTCCGCAGAACACCCTGCACCCTCAGAGCGTCCATTTCTCCCACCAATACCCGGTTTCGCCTGCATCCGCCGTGCCCGCCCACCTGCAACCGCACCCGCACACCTACCAAGCGGCTACCGCCGGAAACACCTTATCAGATAATGCCTCGATCATGACCCTCGCCTCCTCGTCGAAACGCCGGCGCCGAAACTCCCTGGATACGAACGCATCCGTCCGCGCGCTAGCGCCATCGTCCGTTTGGGGTGGCAGCCGTGAGTCGCTACCGCTCTCCGTGCTGAGCGGCAACGTTGACGCCGCGAGCACCACCGGCGGCATCTACCAGAGCCAGAACCGGCCGGGGTTAGGCGGTGTGGCTAGTGCGGAGCGCGCGAGCGTGTACTCGTCGTCGGGCGCGGCACCGCCGGCGCTGAACTCGGAGCGGAACAGCTACTACGCGACTGGCAAGCAAGGGGGCGTGGACACGGGCAGCGTACGCAGCGGCCTGCACGGCCACCACGGCCGCGCGGAGAGCCTGGCCGGCAGCGTCAACACGGGTGTTGGTGGTCCTCCCGTCAGCCCGTTGGCCAGCCCTGTGCATCCTGCTTCCTCTGGTCCTGGCCGCATGGGTAGTCGGCGCAGCAGCAACCGTAGGGAAGATGATGACATCGACGACATCGAGGAACACGAGGAGCTGCAGAAGTATGATGATTATGACCACGACGAGGGCGACACTAACATTTCTCTCAACGGGGAGAGCGTCAAGGCGCCGACAAATGGCATTTCTGTGAAAGAGCAGGACGCTCCCATGAAGAGTTACTAAATTGGGAGCAGCATTTCCTTATACGTTGCAGACAGTGATGCTTTGAATTTGGGGGAGCTGAGCTAATTATTGGAAGGATGGGCGTTCATAGCAGACGTAATTTCTGCGCTTGGTGAGGCGTTCTGTTGTCGTACTCTGTTTCTCTTCAAGCCCTAGTCGAACCTACGACTGGAGTTTTTTTTTTCTCTATCCACCGGAGGATGGATTTGGTAACGGGAGCTTTGATGGGATGGGATTGACACTTTCGATACCAGCCTTGGGAGGCTTATTGCAGGGGTGATTTCTGTAACTGCGTTTTTGTCATGCGTTCGTCGAGACTTGTGAGAGAGCACATGAAGGCTGGGGCATCAAACCGGAATATACCCTTACTACTATACCCAGCCGTCTTTCGGAGAGATAGTTTTGATTCTTTTATTTCTTACAGGAACGTGGATATTTTCCTTTCGAGCCCGCTACTTCATACTTTTCAATCGGTGATTCATGTTCGTGGTAGGGATTCGTCCCATACTGCGAAGATTGTGTAGCGAAGCTTGCCTTCCATTCTTGTTTGATCGGACCCTGGTTACCTCAAGCCGCACAGCTTTAATATTTCCGCTCCACTACGTCTCATCTCACTGCCTTCACCTCTTCACTAACAACGTCGTCATGTCTTATGAACACATCACGCCGGTCGGCTTAGACACCATGTCTGAGCCAAACACTATGACCGAGCCAGACGTCACTATCAGGCCTGACATTACTATGGAACCGGACAGCACCATCGAGCCAGACGGCACCGTGGAACCGGACAGCTCTATGAAGCCGAACAACACTGTGGAACTGGACAGCTCTATGGAGCCGGACAGCGCGATCGAACCAGGCCCCATGGTCAACCCAGAAACAGCCGGTTCACCTCACGCGCAACACACATCCCCACCGTCATTCTAGTAAGATTTCGCATCAGCATCCACGCTGAATCGATAAGATCTGGGAGGTCAAATGCTGGCAATGCGCTCTGTCCAGTGATGGTTCTCTCAGCCATTCTGTTACCGCCGTCAAGCTTTTCTCAGGCCAGATCTTCACCGTGCACACCGATCTCCTCTGCTACTGGTCCCCAAAACTACGCGCGATGCTAGAGTACAAGACAGAAGAGCTCAAGCTCGACCTGGACGTTCAAGTTTTTCGAATCGTTCTACATTGGCTGTACACCAAGGAGATCCTGGGCCTCTGGGACCATCTTCAATCTTCCAGACCACTTCTCACGGTCCACTTGACTCATGGGGGTCAAGAAATCAAAGACCAAGAAGCGTATTACCGCCAGCAAGACTTGTATTATGCCGTGGAAACCTACATCTTCGCCACCACGTACGACATCAGAGTGCTACGGAACATGATCATGGACGAGATCTATCATTCTCCAACCTCGCACCTGGTCTCTTATGCAGTTGTGCTCAAGGCTTACCATCATCTACCACCAACCTCATCGCTTCTCACGTACTTCGTCGACGAATACGCGGAGTTCTATACAGAGGATCTGGATGAGCAAGTCGAGCTGGTTCTCCGCAAAAAACTGCCCAACGAATTCCTGGTGTCCTGGCTCTTGAAGAGTATGGACAGCGGCTTCAAAAAGAAAAAACGCACACTCGACAACTACATTGAGCCTACCTCATGGTAAAAGTGGCCTGGGAGACAAGTGAAAAAAGCAACAGAGAGGGTAGTCACGATAATGGCTTCACGACAGTGGGGAAAACCAGGGTCTACCAGTTCAGAGATTCGAGACTTCTCAGCATCAGAAGCTCATAGAAATGGGAGAACTCACTCAAGGGGGGACCAGACTGGGAGTTGGTGGATATATTTCTCGTGTGCAAACTTATATGCCAAATTATTAGTCCAGTCATGAATCTCTACCCTTTGCACTAGGAAATTGGAGGCCATCGCTCAAGACGGCTTGATTGTGGTGTGCGCGATTCTCGTAATGTCTTAATGAGGCGAGGACTGTTGGGGGCAGCTGCGCCTGGTGGCGCGCCTTCCTTATGTGAAGTTGGACCCTGAAATATGTCTGCCTTCGCTCGCCGCAGCCTGGCGGTAACCATCCACCTTGCAGCCCCAACCCGCAGCAAGAGGAGCGCCATAGCTGACAATGGCCAAGGGAAAAGCAACCGAGAAGCAAATCGCGTCGGAGCAGCCGCCGTCCTTCATGTACGCAGTCACTTTATGCACCGCCTTAGCTTACCGCGTCTTGCTTCCAGAGACTGTGCTGACAAGTTATAGCAATGGAACCCTGAGCAACGCAATTACATCGGTCTTCGTAGGACCTGGCAGAGAGAAGTTCGTTACTTACACCGACCTTCTCGGATACTGGTCACCCAGGATCGACGCTGTGTTTGACATGTTCGACTCCGAACATCTCATGCTTCCGACCGTCAGTCCTGCAGTTTTCCGTGTGTTCCTGGACTGGATGCGCTCCGATGGCGACCAATTGCCGCGATGGAGTGTGCGTCATCGCCATGATACACCCCGCGAACCCGTCAAAGTAGCCGACCACGAGGTCCTTGAGAACCCTGATGCCTACTACCGCTCGCAACCTGAGGCCGAGGCCCTGGAGTGCTATATCTTCGCCAACGAGTACAATATCCGCCAGTTCAAGAATGACCTCTTCGACAGCATCCTGGAGATGAACCCCGGTGGAAATCTTGTTCCTAGCTACAGCATCGTTCTCAGGGTCTGGGACGCGCTCGCGCCCTCTTCACCGATGCGCAAGTATCTCATCGATCTCTTCGCCCGCAACTGGACATATGAGACCGATATCGGAAACCGGGAGGAACTCATCCTGCGCAAGCAAGTTCCGGCTGCATTCTGGATTGACATTCTCACGTTGAGGGACAAGCACGGTGAGCTCGACGATTATCCGCCGTGGGAGGAAAACCTCTGCCAGTACCACGAGCACAGCGAGGAAGAAGCGCGCGCGTGCTACTGGCAGCATATCAACAATGGCGAGGGATATTGTACCGACTACACGGACGACGACGATGACGACTCGGCGATGGACGAGTACGAGTCGGACTTCATCGACGACGCAGAGTTCGATTCTGACGGGGCGCCGAAGCTTGGATCGCCGCATCTGGGAACGGATAGTGTGCAGGAGGACAATATGGAGCCGATGAAGATGGAGGCGGAATTGCAGCATGGATATGGTTCTTCTGACAGCATCGGAACCAGCGATTCTCTGACCCTTTGAGAACACATATCTGGACGAGAAGCAGAGCAACGGGAACCAAGGCCCAGCTCGTATATGGAGTGGAACTGTGGCTTATTCGCTTTACCGAGCTTCCAAGATACTGCGTTGAGTTTTGCTTCAAATCATGCCCAGTCCTAAGTAGTGTTTTCTTGCAGAAGATAGAAATCCCGACTTTCCCTTTGCCAAATTATCTTCGTGATCCTTGGGTGCTGCTCGAAGTAATCAGTCAGTGTCTTGCTCCGTGTTAATGAGGCACACCGCATCGTCACACGTAACGTCGAATTGTAAGTTATGCATTTACGTCCGGACGGTAACCTCAACCCTGCACATATGGGAGGGCGTATACAGTCGAGGGCGCGCAACTGACCTGCTTGATTCTCACGTTTCCTCCACTCCTCGAAAGGCGCAGGTCTGATTGTTCGCACCGACAATGTGTCGATTTTACACAAGAAACCGGCGTGGAAGCATTCTCTTGATTAAGTATTCCAAACATCAGTCGACCAGAAATCGAAACGAACCGCCTCCCCCAATAAAACGCCATCGCTCCCAATTCCGAATATCGATTGCATTCACGAACAGTATTAACAAAGCCTCGTCGCGCACTTTTCTACTGGCCGACGAAGAGAGAAGCCTGTATCAAGCCATCAGTTGCGGGATCTATGACTCGAGGACCAATTGAGAACTTACCGCCATCACGATGCAGCATATGCTGACATACGGACTCAGCCGTTCGCCTACCCGCGCGAATTTCCAAAATATTCCGAACACACTAGAAACGAGTATTTGGTCAGCCAATGTGCCACATGCATTATTTTTCCCCCCCTCTGCTCTGCGGACTTCCATTTGTGTTCCTTCTGCGCCACAATTTGTTTTGGAGCATGGCGAGTCGGGGGGAGAGAGCGCTGCGGAAGCATAGCGAAGATGCAGCGGAGGTAGGAGGTAAACCGGCAGACGGAGGGGAGAGCGAGGAAGATCCTTACCCGTCCTTGTTGCGGTCCATGATGCCGGGCGCGACGGCGTGCACGTAGGTGCTCGTGCAGATGAGGAGGAGGATGACGAGGAGGAGCGATTGGAAGTTGAAGAGGGCGGTCTGTTCCGAGGTTGCCCGCGCGCGGGCGCGGCGTGAGTGTCAGCGGGTGTGGCCTAGTGGGATCGCGGTGCGATGGAGTGGTGGGAGTTTGGAGGCGTACCATTTTGGCGCTTGTGTGAGGGTTGTTTGGTGAGGAGTCGGAGGGCAGGCGGAGGTCGCTGGGGCGAGTTGCGAGACTTTTGTTGGCGGTGGTGGTGGTGGGTGGAACGCGCGGAGCTCGAGCGTCGTTGGAGGTCGGGTGGTGGACGTGTTCGGTTTCCCTGGGAGCGCGGTGACGTTGGAGGGATGCGCTTGGGCGGGCGACAGGGACCATGTGCGAAGGCGCGCACTGGAAGTCGTGGCCGCGCCGACAACACCAGACGCAGTTGTCGCGAAACGAGGGAAATCACAAGAACCACACTGTGCTGTTTGGGTAAGCGAGGTGAGTGATGGGTTGCTAAATCTCCCTCAGACGCAAATTTTCATTCTGCGAAGCCTTCTAAAAACTCCTACTCGCCGATTCACGCATTTTGCTTGCCGCCTGCTCGTATGAGGTGTCTTTCATGCCTTTGCTTAGCATGGATAGGCATGCGCTGACTTCTGGAATTGCAACACAGGTCCTGACGGTACAAAGCTTGAGCATTCTCATGACTTTCTTCGCCTCCACCTGTGTCGGAATTTCACATCTGCATTTCAGTATCTCAGTAGAGCTCATTGATTGATCAGAATCTATAGAACCATGTGTGTATGCCTCTGAATTCCCCAGTCTTCGTCCCAAAATTTGTTTATCTGCCCGTGCTGCATCAATGCCGCAAGTAGACAAAGGGACCAAGACAAAGCCTTGTGCTGAAAATGAGAATCCTCCCTGAGAAAGTGGCATACCAAGCCAAAGAGAAGAAAACATGGGTCCAACAGTAGATCCGGCATGAACATGGATCCAGTGTGCAGGAATGTGAACCAACTTCCCTGCCGATATCAAACCTGTAATGTGCAGGAACCCCGTGATAATGACCCTCTCTGAGCCAAACCCAAACGCTAGGAACAGTGCTTGACGGAGACTCATCCAAAATGCCCCCACAGTTGGTAAAAGGAAGCGTGGCTTGTCGCCGACTTTCACTTCTCTTTGCGCGCAGCGGTATGAGCTTTAGCCGCATCCCCATGGCTCCGCGACGCCTTCTTCATTGACCCACGGAGTGTCGACCGTCTTGAGGTACGCCAGGTGCTTCTTCAGTGCCCTATTGCTCTCCTTGGTGACAAAGAAGTCCATGTCTCCGCCCGGGGCCCTGAACTTCTCCAACTCGGAGATGTCGAGCCAGTGGGTGCGCTTGCAGTCGACGTAGCAGATCTTGGGCATCGTCTTGTTGCGGCGCAACATCATAACGGGAAGGCCGTCGTGGCCGGCTGTGCGGCCGTCGTCCAGCAGGATGAACCATTCGCGGAACTTGGCGGGATTCGAGGAGCCGGCCCACTTCTGCACAGCCGTCTTGTTCTTCCAGGTCGTGAGGGTGATGACGTGGGCCTTGGTACCGTCCACTGCGAGGATCAGGCCTGGGTGACCGCGCCAAGATGTCTCGTCGTCCGGGTTCAACACGAAGACGATGCGACAAGGAGTGAGGTCGCGCATGTGGAGCTTCTTGCTCTTGTAGCGCGGGCGAAGCTCATCGGAGGAAGCTTGCTGAGGAGGTACAGAGCTGACAGAAGACTCGGAGAGTGAGGCAACGGTAGAAGCGTCGTCAGCAAAAGCCTCTGGCTGCCACACGGTGGCGAGATCCTCTTCGGTAACAGGCAGTGGCTGCCAAGTACTGGTGGCATCGTCTTCGGCAACAGCTTCAGGCTGGAAAGCGACGTGCGGGACAACCTCGATGGAGAGCTCTGGCTTTGAGGTAAGAGTTGAAACGTCTTCAGCGACGGCCGGAGCGGCAACAGAGGTGGGACTTGCGGAGCGGCTAGGAAGAGGAGCGGGCGCAGTGCCCTCGCCGCCAGAAACGTCCTCCTCATCGTTCTCCTCGTCGTCAAGGTTTGCGAGGACGGAGAATGGATTGGACACACAAGCCGACTGCGCACGGAAGGTGTTTTCTGCACTGCGCTGCGAGTTTGCCACGCCGTTACGACGCTTTCCACGCGTCGTGACCCAAGGCTGCGAATCCATGTCGTTTCCTGACCACTATGTTAGGACAGATGGGCTGAAACTGCAGTAAAAAGGTACTGCCAGTGTCTGAGACATACCAGGATGGCCGTCGGCCGGGCTGGAAGGCAGAGCTTGCTTGGTGGACGACATTGTGTCGGTGGAGGAGGAAGATCCGGGGTGTGGAGCGGCCGAGAATATCTGGAGGCATATCGCGCGAAGGCACCCGCTAAGCGAGCATGGACGCGTTTGCAGTGACGCGCCGGCGGCGGCGCGCTTGTTGTGACGCGCTTGCAGACAGCGTGTCTGCCTGGGCATAACAAATGCGAGCGTAGTCCGGTGCTGGCCCCTCAGACGCAGCGTCCGCTCTGAGAGCTCAGACAGAACAAATCACTTGATCGACCAGCAGCACTAAGACTATTAATTTCCCGGAACATAGTCCTACAAATATAGATTGCAAATGCTGGAACTGTTTCAAGGATTTGCGAAGTTCCGCGCCAGAGATTCCGATTATTTTGGGCTCTGAGCCTATCCGCCCTACCTTTAGCGCACCATGGCCAGAGTTCGAACTTGATCTCTTACCAATTCCATCACTTTAGATTCTCACCAACCGCATCAGTTCTACTATGGTATCCTTAGTACGATTTGCGGCCGCTGGGCGTTGTTGGTTTGGCAGGGCCCTAGCCGAAATGCTCTAACCAAATTGGGGAAATCTCTCATCTCTGTGCGAACGTCAGCCCATGAGTGGCAGAGCTATACACGACGCCACAGGACTCGAACTGATGCTTAGACAAAACAAACTGATTTGTATAACTCAGAACACGTGAATATTTGGATTGACCATCTGGAGAATGCCTCACGTGTCGCAAGTCGTTGTCCCGTCCGTATTCGATCCCAATCAGCTTGAATGTCTTTGCATCTGACGACTTCAGTCTTCATCGCACAATAAACCCCGAAGGAATTGTCAATTTACCTTATTTGATATTATAAGGTGATAAAGTACGATGAGTTGTCTTCGTGTAACTTAGAAAGGAAGCGTTTCGGAATATCGAATGGTTGCTGAAGGAATTTTCCAGCCGCTATGTGCGAGGAACGTATCTTCTGTCACCCACATTTCATCAAAGATGCACTAACACATGAATGGATGGCAAGCAAAAATCAAAAGGGACCTGTAGTGGCTTGGTGAAGTCACTGAAAGGACGAGCTTGTCGGTTCTACGTTGAATGGATATTTGTCAGACAAACAGCACTGACAGTTGGAAGGAGCGTCAATTCTGAGGCGATTCTGGCAGTGGATTTGTGACATTCGGCAGAAAACAAGAGCGAATTATGGAAAATCAGTTTGCGTAGCGGTAGGAGAACAATGAGAAGACCGCTCTTGATTTGGCTTGTGGAACGTTCTATGCTTCTATAAGTAGCAAGATTGTTGGCAGGTTTCTTTTCGCTTCTTTGATCAGCTATTCAGCATGAATAATCTACAATCGTGATAGGATTCTCTTTTACTATACATAACGTACAGCGGGACTTTAAGAGGGAAGACGGTGAGTTATGTGCCTGTTGTGCCTCTGGTGTTTACGTAGGTGCTTGGTCCACCGCTTAACACATTCACATCTACGTGGGCATAACACGTGCACTTCACTTGCGCCTGTGTACCGCAGCAACAACTTCGCTCCAATTTCCAGGGCTCGCCTGCAGACTTACTTCTCTACACCAGCCTCTCCACTTCCAAGTCTGGATTTCCTATCTCCATCGCCTTCGACGTACCAGCAAACCTTTCGAAAGGCTGCTTCACCGCATCAACTTCCATATAAGTCGCACCGAATCTCTTAAAGTAAGGCATTCAGACTACCACGGAAGCCGCGCTCTCGTGCTAATAGGTGGTGCCCGCAGCCAACTTTTCATCATGTCCAACAATATACCTTGGTCCAGAAGCAACGGAAAGACGACCACCGAACAATCTCTTTCGAGAAGCTGGTCTGCGAGGAAGAATATCGAGGTTAAGGCTTCATGGAGGCGAGACCAGAGCGGCGAGGAATTGCTCGCTGCCAAAAGCCAGAGCACGCAGTCGCCTTCAAAGAGAAGGCCATCGCCTGCCACCCACACTTCATGGACTAGGCAGAGTAATGAGTTGCCATCTACACCCAGCAAGCCTGTTGCCTCTTCGAATCTGCGTGGCCAATCGGGCTATGCTTTCGGCTTCCTCCCTCCGCCCGTTTCGTCGCACGCCGCTCGAAACGGACGCCAGCGGGACAGCCCCAAGGCCGCTTCCAAGGGAAGGCCTTTGGAGATCATGCCGACCAGACACCACCAGAGCCAAGACGCCACTCCAAGTCGTCGCCAGGCAAACATCAACTGGCGAAGCTCCATTAATCCCACACTCAACCCGCGACCGGATCTGCGCCCAGTAACACTCAGCCACAAAGCCCTCGTCCCGCAAGAACTCTTCCCCGGGCGCATAGTCCACATCAAGAGGGATCTCAGCCTTCCGGATAGCGAGCAGGGCTGGCGAAACCACCCAGCCGTCATCCTCAGCAGACAACCACGCGAACAACTCGTGGCGGTCGCGATGACGACCAGCTGGACAAACATCCAAGACGGAATGATCGGAAAGTTCATCGGCACGCAGCAACGCCTTGCCTACGAGCGATCCTTCTGCCGACTCGTCAGTCACTGTACTCTCGAAACACGTCTCGAGACACCGGCACACATACCAATCTTGCAGTACGAGGGCGCGGCGGTGTTTGTGCGGGATACGTATGTGGACTGTCGTGCTGTGAGGGTGGTAGAGGAGAGTGACCTGCATAAATATTACCGGCAGGGGACGAGGGAGGAGGCGTGGATGGATAGAGGGTCGTTTCGGAAGCTCAAAGAGCATTTCAAGATGCTGGCAACGATGGAGGATTTCCCGTGGGAGCCTACCGACCAATTGACGATTCGGACGTGGGCGCACGACGAGGTGGAGAAGGAGAGGGCGGTTGCGGAGCTTATCGCTGTGGGATTCCGGGTCGTGCTCTTCTTTGAGCAGCTTGCTGTCGTCTTGCTTGCTTGGCATGGTCCGATCTTCGACATGGGCGAGTTCGCTGGGGATTCTCGATATGAGGAGCTACTTCACTGTTTCCCAGATCAGGACTGAGGAAAGCGGCGTCTGGGACATGTGCTGGGAGCCTGACTCTGTGATTCTTCTTTGGCTTGTCATTATTTGCTATAGGAATGGGCTCAGGTTCTTTGATACGAAATACCATGTTAGCTTGATCTCCATTGTATCTTGTTTCCATGACAGAATCTCAACATAGCAGGGCAAAGCATGTCAGTAGCATTTCCAGCTGGCATCATGAAAAGCAGACTAGCCGCTTTCGGGCGAAGCATTTACAGAGGCATCTGGATGAATTCTGAGGTGGGCCGGAGGGGTCGGGCGACTGCATCGGCAGAAGATCTAGCTTTCCCGTGCCGCGACACTGCTTCCCTTCTTCCTTCCAGCCTCCGAGCAGAAGCCACGCCGCCGCCGCCACCACCGCCGACGACTTGAACTTTTCTCACTGTGACCCTTTCGCTCCAAGGTAACTTCGCAAATTGCTGGTCTCGCTTTTGGAGCGCTGCATATCGCTTGCGCCACGCGCTCTTCACCGCAAACTTCCGACTTTTCGCTGCCCGTCGTCGCTCTACACGCAAGACTTAGTCGCATCATCCGCTTGAGAAGTGGTACCATCAATCAGTTTGACTTTCCGTTGTCTTTGATCCAAGTATTTCTTCCTGGTTCTGTAAGTCTACGTGCAGTTTGCTTTATTAGCCCGTATCTACTAATCGTGCGGCGCCACGAATGGTAGATTTCGCCTCCATGGCTCCCGAATCGCCTTCTCCCAAATCTGCACGCAAGTCAAATACCGAGAATGGCGCACCGCCCAGCTCGTCGTCCTCATCGCCCGCCCTGAACAGGCACCACGATGGCAGCACTTCGTCCGGACGCCGTCCGATGATCGACTCATACCGACCACAACGCGAGCCGCACCGCGCTTCTCCGTCTCTTGGCCCTAGGCCTTTCGATAACTCTGAACGTCCTGCACTTGACTCGTACAGGTCAACTTCCTCGCGCATGGGTGGCTACGGTCCATCCAAGCGCAAGACGCAAGACTCGCCCTCAAGATCCTCCGACAGTGAGCCCAGCAGAAAGAAGCAGTACACAGGCAGAGAGACCAGGGAGACGAGTCCGCTCCCAGACCGCCTCCCGAGATATTCGCCCTCTTCCCCCACCGCTTCTCGCTCCAGACACGCGCAAGATGTGAGCTACCACAACGAAGCATACGCCGATGCCGCGCGCGGCAGGAGGGCTTCAGAACCGTCTCTCGCCGACACCTACCGTCGCCATCGACTCCGAAGCTTCCGCCCGAGAACGCCGTCGCCCACCAGAGTCACTGAAAGAAGCTTCCTGCCAGAGCGCCGTCGCGCCTACGACGACGGAACCGCCAGCCCGCAGCAGCCCCGTCGGTTCTCGCACCACTACCACTCCAGCCCTCGCAAGCGCTCGCCTCCTCCCCGCCGCCCATTCTCGCCGTCTGAGCCGGAGGCAGCGTCGTCGTCCAACTCCCCCGCCGCTCACAGCGACCCCGTCGTCCGCCGCGGAAGCGGTAGTGCCGTTGCCAACCCGAAACACCTCAACCCAAGCGAGTGCACCTCCGGCCGCTTCATCTGGGTCAAGCGGCTGCCAGGCGCCAACCCGGCGGCAGCGGCCGCCAGCATCGGACAGGGTTGGCGCTGCCACCCGGGCGTCATCGTCGACGAGGACGGCGCAGACCACGCGTACGTCGCGACGACGACCAGCTGGAAGGATTTCCGCGGCCTGCACAACAAGTTCAGCGGCGTCGCGCACGGGGACCGCCGGCTGGAGTTCGAGCGCTCCTTCTGCCTCGTCGTCGCCAACGCTGCTGTCTCCGCGAAGCGTCTGGCGAGCAACCCGGAGCACATACCTGTCGTGCGCATCGAGGGCGCGGAGGTGTTTGAGCAGGAGACGTATATTGATGGCCGGGCGGTGCGGAGGGTGAGGAAGGATGAGCTGTGCAAGTACATTAAGAAGGGGACGACGGAGGAGGCGTTCGTGACGGCCGAGTCGATGGAGGAGATGAAGGCGCATTTTCGCTACTTGGCGCGCGTGGGGAACTCGGTTTGGGACGTAAATGACGTGCGGGACTTGGAGGCGTGGGCCAGGTTCGATGCGGCGAAGGAGCGGCGGAAGAGGAAGCAGCAGCGAAAGGAGGAGAAGGAGGAGGGCGAGATTTCGGATCGGGAGAGGCGGTAGCTGGTTTTGGCTATGAGGCGCGCGTCTCTGGTGTCCACTGTCGCCCGCCTCTTTGGAGCTTGTTCTCATTTCTTCTCACGATGCGCTTGCCGCTTGGATTTTCGGCCTTAGATTTCTGTCTGGTTGCTCTCTGAAATTTGCACTCTCCTCCCTGTCGGGCAGCGCTATTTGCATAATGGAGTTGCAGGGGCTGTTTGATCTGGAGGCTTTGCTTCATTGACTAATTCGCATCTTTGCTTTTCTTGCGCGGTTGGCAATCTTGAACGTCGAGACACGCCTGAAATCTAGTTTCAACAGCGCGATTAGATACTTGCGTAATTTACTTCGTCTCCAAACACACTTGACAGCAGTCTTTGCTTCGCGCTAGAGAACAAACTGAAGATTTGATCTCTGCCAAGCCAAGTTTCCACGACTTGTTCACTATCATTGTCTTCTCGATCTGAAAACAAGGGCGTATGTTGTCGGGCTTGCCAAACAACACTCTTCTTGGGGTTGGAATGCATTAAATAGAGTCTATGGGCCTAGTAAATGAAGGAGAAACTGTCGTCTAGTATATATCTCCGAAAATTGGTCAATATGATGTTGCGCTTGAGCGGGATCCACCATGACTGAGTGCCTTCATTTCACGGTAGCACTGCTTCTCTCAAGATATATTCCTCTCTGCTACGTTATATTCCGACGCTCAAAGGGAAGAGCGATTATGAAATATCGCGAAGATGCATGGCATGCATCACAGCCCTCCCTTCATGTGCTGGGATCGTGAGGGTAAAGAAGTCACACATCTGCGCCAACCACCAAAGTTGTTGGGATGGCGCACCCGAGGACTGCGGGATGTGTTATAACAACGTCATCTGAACGTGTCCGCGCGCCCGGACTTCGCGCTGTAGCCGCTTTTCTGGCAGCGCCTCCAGGTCCTGCGGCAAATCTTCCACCCCGACACCACCCCAGGAATCTGTCCTTGCAAACCCGTGCAAGGACACTTTTGTGTCAGAGTCACCATGACCACCCGACAGCAATCTGATCTTGGCTGTCAACCGACTCGCCTGACTTCCTCCGGTTCATGCCAGAACCCTTTGGTCGACATGAACAACTCTTCAGCTGGTATGATTACACTGCTTCTTTGATCATGGTCGTAAGCATTTGCGCTTACGGATCTTAGCACCAGCAGAGTCGTCCAAAGGCCGCCAACTTGCGAATATATATAGCAATATCCACGTTTCGGAACAGCGACCCCTGCAAAACGAAGAAGCTGTTGGTGCGGAGAGGCCATTCGTCTCATATAATGGCGTCACGAATATTGTTCAACGCGCTCCCATCGATTGGACAGACCACAAGACGGCATCGCAGCAGCACCTACTCGATGGAAGGGTCTCCACTGCAAAGTTGGAGCTAGACCTGCAAAGTGCCGAGCCTGGAGTTTCTGACGACGTTTTGTGGGCTTCTTCAGGTCCCCAAGCCCCGCGACCTGAGAATCATGTCGTACCCAAACATCCAATTATTAGTCCTGGTATCCGTCCTACTCCTAGTCGCAGAGAAACCACCGAGGACCACACCACACTCGGCCTCCAGCAAGAAGTATATCCGCAAATTCATGACAGCCAAGGAGTCCACACCCATGGGACTTCTACAAAACACAAACTCTCTCCCACTACTCACCCTCACGGTCATCCAGAGTCTTGCTGGTTCAACATGCGCCCCGGGTTCACTCATCGTGAACCTTTTGACCTTGACTTCAACAAGGTGTACTTTGGAAAGGTCATACACATTGACAGGATCGAGGGACAGAACTGGACCGATCGTCCTGCAATCGTCACAGGCGTGAATATGACCTCGCGCCGCGTTCGAGTCTTCACCGTCTACTCGTTCACTGAAGCTGGCGGGTTGGAGAACAGGTATAACAGTCTTTACTACAAGAGCCAGGCACAGCGGGAGCATGATATGCGCAACTTCATACTCATAAGCAACCAGACGTCGGTCACTAGAGCTCATCTTGGAACGCCGGTGGTCCGCCTGCAGGGAGGCCAGATGGCTAAGAGCTGCTGGGTGAACACGGCAGAAGTCAGGGAGCTGTCGTTTGACAGGGTCTGCGCAGAGTCTGTTGGTCATGCGTTGAACGAAGTGCGGCTGCCGTTGGATCAGATGAAAATTCTCAAGACGCATGTTCGCTATCAGGGAAACAGTCTGTTTCCCTCGGAGGAGGCTGGCCGCCTGAAGCAGTATGATGGTTCGTGGGATGGTTTCAAGGACTATCAGAAGGAGGGTTCTGGAAGGATTAGGAATTAGGTCAATGATCCTGACATTGCAAAGGATAGTCAATATGTTGCTTAGTTAGGTTTCCTGTAAAGCGACTACACTCGCACCTATCAAGACAAATCGAGACATTGAAGCAACAATCCGTGATACTTTCTATGCCGTCATGATTGTCATATTTCCAAGAAATACAGCATGCGTCAGCTGATGGGGGCAGACTCTCATGGTGCACTGCGACGGCAGGTCGGAATAACCCAAGGCTAAAACACACGCGCCAAAGCCTGGCTCTACTAAACAACAGTGTCAAAGAAGCAGGTGCAAAAACAAACCACAAAGATCAGAAACAGGCATCAAACTGCAATGAGAACAAATTGAATCACTGGTCCACAAGATGAAGAATAGTATGAAAACCAGATTTTGCCACAGATTACAGGCTACAGAGACGCAAATTCGATGCTTTCCCTTTACCTCGTGTACGCAAGCGTGCTATTTGTTCAATAATCATGCGATGTGGTTTGAATCTAGCTTCCCCGTGAGCACATGGCCAGCCTTTGGCGTGGCATCCGATTGCCCCAGGAACGGTGGCGTTCCATGACTTTCTTGTTGGAGCGATTGCAAAGACCAGTCATGCTGCGGCGGACCACGGGCAATCCCGAAGGCCCAAGCGTGGGTGACTTCTTTTTTCAGCAGTGGAAACCAAAACAGCACTGCGAGTGAGCAAGCGCGTGGCACACTTATGGAAGATGCGCGGTGCGTATGGCACGCACGGTGGCCATGCCTGCTTGTGTTATCAGCTGCACTTGCCTGGCGCCGACCACCCCGGCTATTTAAGACGCCGCCAGCCTGGCCCCGACTAAAACCTTACACCCTCCCATCATCTATCCAGCGCAAGAAGCTTTCTGTTCACCCTACCGCACGACCTCCATACCAGCTTCGCACAGTCCCTTCGCTTCATACCCTCTCTTGTAAGCCCTCCGGCGCCTCATTGATCATGATGCCATTTAATATACAAACCCAGACCACTCTTAAACCAAGTGACCAGATAGGCACCATGTCTGGCCAGAACAGCCACAACCAGAACGAGCGCAACCCTGGCAATGATGAGTCTGCCCAGGGTGCACCCCACCGTAAGACGATTCCCAATCTCATGCTCACTCCAAGATATTCCGTTAACACTTCACTGCCAGAGATGAATCAGCGCGGCTCTGCCTTCTCTTCCTCTCTATTCAACCCCAACTACAGGGGCCCGCAAACCAGCATGAATGCGTCTGGTATGGCAAATCAGGCCCAGCCCTACAACACGCCTGTATATAACCAGGCCCCTGTGTATGTATATCAGTACTGCTGTCAATTGGGTCGCATTGCTAACCCCACAACTAGTTATGGACGTGGCTACCCCACTGGACGGGGTGGATACCAGGGTCGCAGTGCTCCCATGCCGCCTTACTCACACTCGCCCAACCCGCCCCCTCCTGGACATCATCAGCCTGGTTTCGCTGTCCAGCCTCATCGTCCGCCGTCCAGTCAGCAGCACCCTGGATCAGCAGCTAGCCACCCCGGCCCTGCTCGATTCCCGTCTCCTACACCTCGCCACCAGCCTGGCCTGCCGCCTGCCCGTCCGCCACCGGCAACCTCTCTTCCATCTCGTTCTACACATGCTGCTCGCCCCGCCGCTGCTGGCCGCGGCACCAGGTCTTCATCTAAGCCGTTTGGTGAGGATGACTTCCCGTCGCTGGGTAGTCAGCCCCAACGCCAGCCGCAGCAAGCTCGTCACCGCCAGCAGCTTGATGCTGAGGCTGAGCTTAGCGCCAGGATGGCTTCTTACTCGATTGAAGACCAGCCCAAGGGCGGTGCTGGTGGTCGCGGTGGCAGTGGCGGTCGTCCAAAGTTCGTGCCCTTCACGGACTACGACGTGAGCAGTGCCGCCCCTCAAGAGACCGGCCAGCAAAAGCCTAGCAGCAACGTCCTCCCTCCTCCCCGAACACGTCGCAACGAGGCTTTCCGCCTCCACATCTCTGACTGCTACCGTGGCAAGATCATCTTCATCGATGAACTCTCCGGCATCGACTATAGCAACCACCCTGCTATAGTCCGCTCCATTGACCATGCGACGAAGCAGATCCGGTTCTTCAAGAAGTCGTCATTCAAGGGCATTGGCGGCTTCTTGAACAAGTACGGCGAGTACGTGAACCAGTCGCAGAAGCGCTGGCACGAGAAGCAGTGGTTGCTTGTGGATGACGGCGTGACCAAGCCGCATCATGGCACTCCCCTTCTGAAGCTTGCCAATGGAGAGAAAATGCCGGAGAGGGGCAGTTATGTTGACATCCACGGAGAGTCAGAGCTGCACATTGACTACTTCTCGAAGTACTCGAGATACGGCGTCTTCCCAGACATCTACTTGCCGGAGGACCAGATGAGGCAGCTGGAAGAGTACTCAGAGTGGTACTTGGAGAAGGACGAGGAGTACAGGGCGGCGGAGGAGAGGAAGAAGAGACAGAGGTGGCAGATGGACGGATCGGCCGATGTGGACGTCGGCGATGTCTACGAGGACTCCGAGAACGAGGCTGATGGCGAGTAGGTGGTCGCTCGCTATACTATAGATAGAAATTGCGATTGGAGAGTGCGTGAAAAGGCGTACCTGCTAGCTAGACCGAAAATTCTATGCTTGTCTCAGACGTTCGATGTTTGCCGTTCAGTGATTGCCACTCGCGTCCACAGCGCGTTTTCCGACCGCGCCTCTCCAGCTCGCACCAACCCACGGACAACAAGCAGCACTTTGCCGACGACATCGCCTTTCAATTAGCCTTAGTCGCCAGCGCTGCGAACTAACCTTCCCTTCCTTCGAGCCCACTTTCGCTTCCTCCTCATCCGATCCGATACCCATTCCCCGATATTCACCATGGAGCGCCCTGACAAGCGAAAGACGCCGCCAGAGGTTGAAGATTCCACTCAAGGTAAGTTCCAGAACCCGCGGCTCAGCCCCAGTATTTTGGGTACGTTGCTATCTAATGCTCCAGAATCTCCTCACAGCGTAAGCCCGCATGCTCCTTACAAAGACTTCCCGGTTTGACGCTGTACAGAGACAGCAATCCACCGGCGCCGCCGACGTTTCCAATTCCCGGCCATACCAACGCGTCTCCAGAGCCCAGCCAGTCCCTTCCCAAGCGCCCACGCACCACCGCCTACATCTCCACCACTTCGACCGCGGCATTCATGCCACTGCCAGCGCTGCCGCCGCGCACAATCTCTACAATCCCCAGCCAAACCGCCATCGCCAGCATCCCGCGGCCCGCCTCTCTCCCCGCGCGTCCATCCACCATCGTCCCTCCCCACAACCAACAACTCCCTGCAAGCCAGGTCCCAAGCCAACTCCCAAGCAACGGCGTCATCCCGCTCCCGCCGTCCCAGCGCCTCATCCCCCGCAACAGCGACAGCGACGACGCGCGCCCCGCCTTCCCGGAGTTCCACGCCGACAAGCTCTCCATCCGCGACATCGTGCCGGGGCTCCTCGCGCACCTGCCCTGGAACGGAGCCAGCTGGTCGCGGCACCCGGTGCTGGTGCTATCCTTCCACCCGGCGACGGGCTACGCCAACTGCCTGAAGGCGACATCGTTCCAGGACCGGCCCGGCGCCATCGCGGCCAAGGTCGCCGAGTTCGAGACGCAGGAAGATAGAGACAGGTTCCTCGCCGGCTTCGTGCTGGTCGAGGACGCCGCCGGGACGCCGCCGCATAATAGTTATCCCGTGCTGAGGTTGGAGGAGGGCTGGTTGGTTAAGACGACGTATGTGGATGTGAGGAGGGGGTCGATGGAGTGCGTGCACTTTTCTGAGTTGAGGAGGTTGAGGAGTGGGGGGGTTTTCTTGACGCCCAGGGTTAGGAGGGCGGATGTCGAGGCGTTGAGGCTGGATTTGGCTAATGGGAGGTATGCTTGAGTGTGGAGCTGGCGGGTTCATGGGGGGTTTGAGGAATACGTGTGGGGGTATTATTGCTCAGTGACGAGGTATTACTGCACAGCCAGAGACTGGGAAGATTGGACCAAATTTCAGAGGCCTGGAATCTCACTGTGATGGTCCACCTGTTGTTAAATAGTGGAAACAACCGCCCATCATGGTATGAGTGTAGCTAATGCCGAATCGGAGGAAACATCTAAGGAATCCATGACCGTGAGCTTGCAGGTGATTGGCCACTTGGCTAAAGTATCTCAGAATTACTACTCATGTTGTCTGCTTCCGTTCCCACATCGCTTAGGATAAATACTGAGGGTTCCTCAGCATTATTGAACTGGGCGACACTGCTTTCATGGAAGCCTGAACACCCATCTGGTGTCTCGAAGCCTATATCAATGCCGTATCATACTCTCTGACTACATAATTAAATGCAAACTTGGTAAAATGTCTATCATCTGCTAAATTCGCAATGCTTAATGCGGGAATAGCTTGTTGCTACAACTAATGCCAACAACCAACCGCCGCCCGCAATTCGTACACTCACACGGCCACTTACTACTTAGAGAATACACAGGTAAGTCTTCGATTACTATATGAATGTCAGGGTTAAACTCCCGGGTAGTGTCATTTGTTTTGCTCTCTTTCTCCCGCATCCGGTTTCTCCTTTTCTTTTTTCCCAGGTCCCCCCTCTCCTACGCACGACTGCAGACACTTACATACTATCGCCAGCCTCGTGGCCGCTATCATATGCATAGAGAAAAGCCCAAACACACATACCAGCAAGCTTTGTTTGGAGAGCGAGTGGTTCATTTGTTTGCCCTTGTCCGTCCATCCAAGTGTTTGTTTGTAGCCTACGGCAGCATGCGCAAAAGCACAACGCTCCAAAAGGTCTAAAGGAACAGCAGTCAGTCACTTTCTGTACATGCGCGTACTCTCTTTGGCTTGTGCGGTGATTGAATTGCGTACAAGCTTATAGGAACAGCATGAGTGACACGGTTGTTTGCAGACATGTCCAACCCTCTGGTGATCTGTCATATGCTGCTTCTATCGGATGATCATTTTGATTGCTTCAGAATATACTTATTATTGTATCTTGTGTCGCGTTCTCTGAGATACAGCCCTTCCGCTGGACCCAAATCTGGTCGCATTCTTGTTGTATATAACGCCTTCAAGACTCACAATTCAGATGCTTCATCAGAGGCCTTACATATAGATCTAATATCACTTTCCCACTTGGGTTGATCGTTGTTGAAAGAAAAGGTGAATGTTGATGGGTGAAATTTCCATTTTGGGTTAGCCCGACCTGCATGCCCTGCAGCATTGTTTTCCGCCGCTGTCTAGGTGCAGCTGCCTTGTTCGAGCACCTCAGCCGGACATATTCGCGAGCAGCTCGAATAGTAGCCAATCTCTTCTGGCTTCCTCAGCTTCGTCCTCGTCATCTTCAGCTCCTCCAACTATTCTTGCAACCTTACTCAATCAACAGCATGCCCGGACGCGACGCTGACAACCACAGAAGGGATACCAGCCAGCCAGCTCTTCAGACACCCCGTCAGCCGGCGCGACCCACCTCTCCCTCTCAGATTCCTCTGCCCGTGACTCCGCCAACTCGTGCAGCTGTGTCCACGCAAGGCAAGTGTCGCAGTGTATATACTATTTATTAATGAGCCTTCCGTCTAACACTTTCTGTCACTCCAGTTTCCCGAACCGGCCACTCAACACCAAGCCAGCAGTTCAGGCCGGGTCCCGATGTCTATCGCCAAGCACCCACGCTCTTCGCCGCGTCTCAACAGGTGCAGAACATGTCCACTGTCGAGGGCAACCGGGAGAAGAAAGTCAGGAAGAAGGTCGAACGGGTGGCTCTGACCAGGCCAGGTCTGCCGGCTAAGCCGCAGCCCCAGCCCGCCGAGGCGCCACCGCCAGCCAGGCCAGCTTGGACGGGCGGACGCGGAGCAGCCTGGATCCAGAAGGCCCGCGAGGAGTCCACCGCAAGAGTCGTCCCGGCGCAGTCTCTGCCGTCCTCGAGCCCGCTTCAGGAGTCGTCATCGTCAACAACTCGCTCTCTGCAGCTCCGCACCAGGCCGCGCTTCATCCCAGACTTCAAGCGCCTGCAACCTGACGACATCAAGCCCTTCCGGTTCGTCAACATCGAGCCACTACAAGGCCTGCCAAACCTAAACCTGGACCAGGGCTGGCGCGGACACCCAGGCGTCATAGTCGGCACATGGGATGGAGAGGTGGGTGTGGTCGGCACGACGAGCTGGGGCGGCAAGGGTGCGGACGAGAAGTTCGATCGCGCCCAGGACTTGTTGCTTTATAAGAAGTCCTTCTTCCCCATATTCGGCGCTCCTGAGCCCGTGGGCGACGTCGATTTTGACCGCCTCATGCTGCGCACGAACGGCCCCGTTGCTTTTGCCCACAACACCATGATTGACGGCCGCTCGGTGCGTTTCATCCCCTTCGCCGACTTCCGGAACGAGTGCTCCAAGTACTTCAGGCAGGGGACGAGGGAGTCCGTCTTCTTGGCAAGGGGTTCGGCGCAGAACTTGGAAGAGCAGCTTTGGTACCTGGCTGGCTTGGAACAGGTTCCGTGGAAGGCGTCGGACCATGAGGGTTTGAAGAAGTGGAGGTACTTCAAGATGCGTGAAGGCTTTAAGCCTACGCAGGAGATTCCTCCTGAGGCCCGCATTGAAGCCGTTTGAGGTCCCAGACACACCCTTAACGACTACGCCGCCTTCCTTCATTCCTCCAGCACCTGCGAAACCCTTTCTCGCCTCGCGAGTGGCAGTAGCGGCATTTTGGCGGCCTTCAGCAGCTACCGTCCAAGAGGCTAGGGTGTCCTACTGATAGTAAGAGATACCAGAGCCTGGGCTGTCCTGGGTTCGAGTGGTACTTTTACGGCGAAAGGGGCGTGTCCACGTGGGGATTTGATGCACTAGATGGTACCTCGGCTTTTTGGATGCACTGCTTCAAGATACAAGTGAATAGTGGTATTACAAATGTCTGTTACTGTAGAGACGACAACCCTTGCTCAGTGACTATCGCCGCTGTTGTTACTAGTTTGAGGGAGAGATGTTGTTGTTCACGGTTATGTCTTTGAACAATGTCAACGTGACGAAAACCTTTGAGCACAATGTGTAGGTAAAATTCATTATCGATGATAAGATTGGGCTGCAACATCCTTTATTTTACATGCACACACCGCTAAAAAACGTCTGCAAGTGACTTTAAAAATGACATATATTGATGCTCTAATGTAACCTCCCTCCCTGCGTGGCAAAACCCAACCGTGCCGAAATAAATTCAACTAATCAGCATATTGAGTCTTCCCTCCAGAGTCTATAGATTTACCGTTAACGTAGATTTGTTCAACTATCTCTCCCCTAACCCCTTCACTATGATACCAAAATTACCGCGATCTTTGCTGTGCTTTCGGCTGATCCTTTCGTAGCACGGAGAAGCGCTCGAACTTCATCCCTCCCTACTGCGTCCCGGATGCAGGAAAACTTTCGGATTTCAGGATGAATTGAGTGCTTCATCTACCAATCGCAGCCGACACTCCTAATGCGAAGGCGCTAATGCATGTCAGCAGACAGCAACTTTCCAGCCCACTGCCCAAAGCCTGCATGCCAAGAGCTGAGCTGACGCGGGCATATCAAGGTTGCGCCCGATTCCCGTATTTCCGGGCGGACTTCTTACCCGTGCAGCTGTGTTGCATCGGTATTGCCTTCCTCATCTATTTAGATGTGCGTTAGCGCAAGGCTGAGAGATAACAACTGTGGTGTAAGCGCTGCGAGGCTGAGTGGGGTAGCAAGGCTGATGAAACCCCCTTCGCCTTCGGCGCCAGTTCTCATCCACCTTCAGTCGAAACCTCTGGACCAACTCTTTGACGCTTTGAGTGACACCTAGCCAACATGGCGCACCGGCTCAACCGCGACGCCTATACGGTAGGATGGGTCTGCGCTTTACCCATCGAACTCATAGCGGCACAAGAGATGCTCGATGAGGAGCATGATGACCTCCCTCCGGACGGCAATGACAGCAACATCTACACTCTCGGAAGCATCGGCGAGCATAACGTTGTCATTGCCTGTCTACCCGCAGGGCAAACCGGCACCAACTCGGCGGCGGCGGTTGCTATGCAGATGAAGTCCACCTTCCGCGCAATTCGATTCGGACTCATGGTTGGGATTGGAGGCGGCGTCCCTAGCTCAGGAACAGATATTCGACTAGGGGATGTTGTTGTCAGCCAGCCAGCCAAGGGCCATGGTGGTGTCATCCAATACGACTTTGGAAAGTCGACGCCGAGCGGTTTCGAGAGAACCGGCTTCTTGAATACTCCTCCGCCAATCCTCCTTAGCGCCCTCACGAAGCTACAAGCGAGATACGGTCGAGCTAAGAGCGATCCATGGCTACACATGCTAAAACTCAGCAAGCTACCCCAGTTCAGCCGCGACCAGATCCGCGACGATGTACTGTTCGACGGAGGCTACAACCATGTTGGAGGAGGGAATAGCTGTATGCTCTGTGACGACACACGGAAGCTGCATCGGAACAAAAGAGCCGTGGACAGACCTGAACCTCATTACGGCACCATCGCATCGGGAAACCAGGTGATGAGGGACGGCGCTACAAGAGATCAGATCAGCTCTGAATTTGGCGGCGTCATGTGCTTCGAGATGGAGGCGGCGGGCCTGATGAACAATTTCCCGTGCCTGGTGATCCGTGGAATCTGCGACTACGCCGACTCGCACAAGAACAAAGAATGGCAGCCGTACGCGGCTGGAACAGCGGCGGCATACGCAAAAGAGTTGCTGTTGGTAATACCGGCGGAAGATGTAAAGCAGATACAGACGGTCGATCAGGCAACACGAGGTTAGTGTAGCTACTATAGCTCTATACAGAGAGATGAGGCTTACACGCCCTAGAGCAAATGCGTACTTTCTACCTCCCCTTTCTACGAAATCGCCGGTTTGTCGGCCGAAGTTCAGAGCTTGAGATGCTGAAACAAAAGCTACTCGTAAATCAAGATTGCCAGACGGTGGCTATCAGCGGTCTCGGTGGTGTTGGCAAGACACAAGTTGCGCTGCAATTTGCATACGCTGTCAAGGAAGACCACCCGGAGTTCTCCGTCTTCTGGGTCCAGGCGTCGAGTATGGAGACTTTTGAGCGCAGTTGCATGGAGATGGCAACAGCGCTAGGAATACGACAGGAAAGCAAAGATGACGTTAAGAAACTAGTACAGCGGTGGCTATGTGGAAATAAAGCGGGCAAATGGTTGCTGATCGTCGATAACGCCGACGACCTGGATCTACTTCGTGGTTTTGAGCAAACAGAGGGCTTGCTAACCTTCCTACCAGAAAGTGAAGATGGCCTCACCGTATTCACTACGCGCCATGGGGAGGTAGCGCAAAGTCTGGCCGGAAACGACGTTGTTGAGATATGGAAGATGACGGGACAGGAGGCGGTAGAGTTGTTCGAGAAGTCGCTGCTCCGAAAGAGCCCTCCTGACAACCATGAGATCGTAATAGATCTTCTCCATGAGCTTGAATACCTCCCATTGGCTATCACCCAGGCGGCAGCCTATATCAACACAAACAGAATTCCCATCTCCGACTATCTGTTGCTGTTGAAGAGCACAGACGAGGATGCTGTCATCGTTCTAAGCCGGAATTTTGACGACAAGACACGATATCCGAATTCGGCAAACGCAGTCGCGAAGACATGGACGATTACGTTCAACAAGATTCTTGAACACGACAGATTAGCGGCAGATCTCCTTGCCTTCATATCATGCATCGAATGGAAAGCAATTCCGTACTCCATTTTACCAACAGAACATCCCCAAGCCCGGCTAGGGGAGGCCATCGGCACGCTCTGCGCCTACTCGTTTCTGGAGAGACGGGACGATGGCAAGAAATTTGATATGCATCGCCTCGTCCATTTGGCAACGGGAATATGGGTTGTTCAGAACGGGCTGGCAGTAGCGACGAGCATGGCGGCAATAAAACACCTCTCGGAAGTCTTTCCTAAAGACGATTGGCACAATCGCGAGACCTGGCGCGACTACCTGCCACATGTGGCACGCATAGACAAAAACGAACAGTGCCAAGGCACGTGGGAAAGGAGCGAGCTCTGCCTAAAGGTCGGGCGGTGCTTGCAAGTCGATGGGAGGATAAACGAAGCTGTTCTCTGGCTACAGGAGTCTTGCGAATGGAGGGATAGAAATCTCGCGGAAGATAACGCGGATCGGCTATTAGCACAGCACGTACTCGCCATAGCATATCACGCAAACGGGCAGGTTAAAGAGGCAGCCGAGCTGCTCGAACGTGTCGTCGCGATAGAAGCGAAAGTACTCGTAGAAGACGATCCCTCACGACTAGCGTCGCAGCACGTACTCGCCACGGCATATAATGGAAACGGACAGGTTAAGAAGGCAGTCGAGCTACTAGAGCGTGTTGTCGCGATTAAAGCGGGAGCACTCGCAGAAGACCATCCCAGTCGACTAGCGTCGCAACACGTACTCGCCGTAGCGTACCAAGAAAACGGGCAGAATAAGAAGGCAGTCAAGCTGCTCGAGTATATCGTTGCGATAAAAGCGGGAGCACTCGCAGAAGACCATCCCAGTCGACTAGCGTCGCAACACGTACTCGCCGTAGCGTACCAAGAAAACGGGCAGAATAAGAAGGCAGTCGAGCTGCTCGAGTATATCGTTGCGATAAAAGCGGGAGCACTCGCAGAAGACCATCCCAGTCGACTAGCGTCGCAACACGTACTCGCCGTAGCGTACCAAGAAAACGGGCAGAATAAGAAGGCAGTCGAGCTACTCGAGTATATCGTTACGATAAAAGCGAGAGCACTCGCAGAAGACCATCCTAGTCGACTAGCGTCGCAGCACACACTCGCCGTAGTATATGAAGCAAACGGGCAGGTCGAGAAGGCAGTCGAACTACTCGAACGTATCGTCGCAATAAAAGCGAAAGTACTCGTAGAAGACCATCCTAGTCGGTTAGTATCGGAGAAGGTTCTAGCTTATTTCTATAATAAATTGTCAGACAAGCCTAAAGCGGGAAATGCCTTTAAATCACCTACCAACGACCTAGAAGCTGGGAACAAAGAAGAATGTCGGTTCGACCAAGCATTAGAGGTTCTACGGGCGACACCCTCCAACAGTAGCGCATCTATTGCGGTGTCGGATCAGTCGCCAATAGATCAGGATCAGGAATTAAAGTCGGGCAAAATTTCGAAGAGAAGACTTTATTTAAGGCAGCTAAAAGGCCTTTTTAGAAAGGATAGACAGTAACGACATTCCTGTTTCTGCACACAGGGAATTTTGTGTCCGCTAGAAGACATTAGGCTAAAGACAGCCACAGGTCGAACAACCACGGACTTGGTAGAGAAGAAGGTGTGGCTTACATAGATGTTATCTTACTGTAAAGCTCCGACGAGGTCCTTTAACATTTGAAGGTGATGAGAGATTAATGTCGGTGCTGTGGCGAAGAAATCCTGTCGTGCGAAAAAGATACATTGTGCAGAAAGTAGGCATAGATGGCCACATGTGGACAAATTTCTGAGCAAGAAAGATTTTAGGTGTTAAGTGGTGTCTTTGGATTAAAGTTTACTCAGGAGCTACAGAAATAATTATCAGTGCGTGCATAGACTTTATATCGTTGTGAAGTAGAAGTACCTCGCATTTGTCTCGGCACGCAGGGACGCCCGGCACACAGGGAGGGAGGTTACGGTTCGGTTTTTTCTTTTTGCTAACCTCTGCAGCAGTTGCTTGAACTGTTCTTGTCTCCGCTCAATTCTTGCCGTGCTCATCAGGTTTTCTTTTGTGCCAGCTCTTCCTTCTGCTTCCGAGGAAGCTCAATGATCCGTTCCTTGAACTCCTTCTTGGCCTGTTCGGCCCTCTCCTGCTCGACCTTCTCCGCGGCCTCCCTTTCCTCTTCCTCCTGAGCTGCTCGCGCAACTTTAGCCTCAGCATTCTCACGCATGATGGGAAGACGCGCCTTCACATACTCCTCAAGCGTCTCCATATTCTCCACCACGTACCTGCCGGGCCACCTCTCCAGCCCCCGCAGCTCGACCTCAAGCTCGAACTCGAACTTCGCATACGTCGTCTTCCCATTCAACGACCTCCCATCCTTGAAGTGCAGCACGGGCAAATCCAAATGCGGCTCCGCACTATCGGTGTTGCCGCTGCGGACCAGCAAAAAGGTGCGCAGAAACTTCTCCCTCTTCTCATCATCACCGTGCGCCGCCGCCATGATGTGCAGCGCCTTCCCGCCGAGCGACGTGCACGAGATAATGCTCGTCTTTCCGCTATCGTCCCAGCTGCGCGCACGATGCCCGGGTGCCCGCCGTGCCACTCGCCGTTCGGAATCCACGTAACACGATCAGCCCGACGCTGCAGGTCCGCCGACGGCGAGCCCGCAGGTCCGGATCGCTGGGGCGTCGTGCGCATATCAGGCTTCGGGAGGCCTCGGTGCCGGACGTCGCCGTTGATCAGAAGCTGCTGCTGCTGCTGCTGGTATTATGGTGAGTATGATGATGATGATGATGATGGCGTGACGGAGGGAGGGGGGTATTGGCGGGGGTTGTTGTTGTTGTAGCGGGGGGACTTAATGTGGGAAGAAGGGGGGGTAGCTACCGGGGGGTGGTGGTCCGCTGCTCGCAGCGGCGGTCGGCGAGAAAGTGTTCATGCTCAGGCCGCCGAATGATCGCGTCCTCATTGCGCGGGGAGCGGTCGGGGGACGGAGGCCTTGGAGCTGAAGAGTCGTCGCTAAGCCAGACCTCGCATGTCGTGCAACGGGTAGCTGAGGCCTAGAGGGGGGGCCAAGCGATAGAGAGGACATGTTGGTGTGAAGAGATTCGTCGCCCGGTGAGAAGTCCAGCTTCTCCGGGATTGACGAGTCAGTGTTGGATGCTTGGTGTTGCATCTTGTTTGGAGGAGAGAGAGTTTTCTCGTGGGATGTTACTTTCCTGTATCTTGGTTTAGTTGAATAGCGTGCTGGATTTTCGGAAACTTTTGAGTGCGTCTGAGACAAGTCGGAATGCGAGATTTGTGTTAATAATAATCACTAAAGCCCGGAGAAGGACTGTGAATATGTCTGGCTGAAGCTACCGAACTGCGCGAACGTGTGTTAACAATACGCAGGGTATTCTTGGCGGGGAAATTGTTCAGTGAGGTGTAAAATCCTGTCCCTCAAACGAATCGTATTCAGCTCAGCTACATCGATGTGTATTATGCTATGTAGACGAGCCTAAGCAATTAGGAATGCCGAAAAATATTGCATGGGTGCAATAAAACTACGTTGGCCAATCATTGTCTGCATACATGCCCAATGGTCGTATATAGTTGAACAGGGAGAGATCCATGATATGATGAAATCTGTGGCGTTTGAACAAAGAAAGGCTCGATGTTACTTTGAAAACCACGTCATCCAAGGACTTTTAGAGGCCCAAAAAGAAGAATTATATAGTGTGATAAAGTTTGCAGAGAGACAGCAGTGAATGAAGTGTGCGGGATAATGGGTGGAATAATTTGGTGCAGGCTTAAGCATGCGGCACCGGGGCGTTAAGTTACTAGCAAATAGAAAACAATAAGAAGCAGGGCGAATGTTTTCGATTGGTCTTGAATAGTCAATCACGAGCAAGAAGTCTCCAGCAGGATCCTGTCTTTGTTAGACGACCCTCTTGATGTATTGTCAATCCCACATTGTCATCCAAGATCCGCATTGGCAAGTCAGAGACGTGAGCATGAGTTTTCAACAGCATTAATTCTATTGGGTCAGGGTATAACGCTAATGGCCAAAAGTGCAGCTAAATTCCATCTTCAAGGAGCATCCAGAACTGTATCCTCCTCTGCCTCCTACGGAGTCCGCGCCTGAAGGGCTCTCGCAGCCTCGGCGACCTTCTTCTTCATCTCATCTTGGACCTTCTGCTTAGCTGCCTCCCTTGCCTCCGCCCTCTGCTTGCGCCGGACCGTGGCCTCGGCCTCCTTGATCATCGGCAGCCGCAGGTTCAAGTAGGCGTACAGCGCCTCCAAGCTCTGGTCATCCAGAACGTACTTGTTCTGCAGACTCACGCCATCGCCGTACTTGCAAATGTCAGACAACTCGCAGTGAAACCGATACACGAAGCGGAAGTACGTCGTCTTCTTCAGGTACTTCCCCTCCCGCAGCCTCAACACCGGCAAGTCGAGGCTCTGGTACGTCGGCTCGTGGTCCACGTTCGTCCGGTCCCAGATCTTGAGGTACTCCCTGGCGATGCGCACCTTCTCGTGCGTCTCGCGGATGCGCGCCATCTTGCTGCGCATGCCCTGTCCGAGGAAGCTGGTGCCGACCAGGATCTCGACGTAGCCGGCGTCCTTCCAGTCGATGACCAGGCCCGGGTGGCGGCCGGTGCCCCACGTCGCGTTGGGCTTCAGGTGCACGATCATGCCCTTCTCGAGGTCGTCTAGTCGCAGGTCGAACCGCGCGTGCGAGTCCTTGCGCGTGTCGGCTAGCCACGGCTTGGGCGGGCTGTGCTTGCTTAGGTCGAGCGACGGGTCGGTGGTGGTGGAGGGGGTGCCGCTGCCGCCGGCGGCGGGCTGCGTGAAGGTTACGTCCCGCAAGCCGGCAAGGGACAGCGGGCCAGACAAATCCTCCTCCTCGTCAGGCTCTGCGACACGGTAAGTGGCTGATGGCCTGGCAGCTTGTCCCGTCGTTGGTGTTTGGAAGTTGGGAGGAGCGTAGGTCTGGACGGGGGCTGCGAGAGGGAACTGTTGTTGCAGGTGGGCTGGAGTAGAGTCGAAGCTGTACCCTGGTTGCTGGTAGCCCAAGGGAGGCAGCGGGTACATGTTATTTGCCCGCGGCTGTGTCGGGACAGGTGGCGGCATGTTTTGTGTGGGCGTACGACGCTGGACGACATGGGGGTTCCTGGGACCCCGTGGTGGCGTCATGGCCCTTGGCTGGTTCAGCCCGCCGCCAGCTTGGGAGATCATGGGTGCCGTATACTGGGGCTGGGCGGGAGTAGATGGCGCTGGCGAGGCCAAGGACGAAGTGGCTTGCACGGCCACGCCATTGCATGCAAGCCCACAGGTCGGGTGTAGGCTGTGAAGCTGGCAGCAGGTCGGTCTGCGAGGACCTGTAGGAGCGTTTGGTGGCGGTGCCTGGCGGGGCAGCTGGCTTTGGGCTGCGCCAGAGCCATGGTTGGAAACTATATCTAAGTTTTCATTGTCAGAAGAGCATAAAACAATAGGGACATGGGGCGACATACCGCGATTATCCATTCTGAGGGTAGGATTCGGGGTGGTTCGTTGGCGAAGAAGGTGGTTGGAGGAGAGTTTGAGGTGCTGGGGTAGGAAGATGGCGCGGGTGGGTGGTATGGTGCTTGGGTTTGGTGTCGGCGGCAAAGAAATATACACAGTGATTGCCCTGCCTGGTTAGCCCGGGTGTTAGATGCCTCCGGTCCGGGCCAAGGCTGCCATCGGGCGGGGTGGCCAGCAAACGGAAAGGTCTCTCTCACTCACTTTCTCATGCCTCTGGGCCTCAGGCACCAATCTGAGTAGCCCACCCGCCGAAAAGACATCCTTTGAGGTATATATACTGTTCTTGTTCTTGAATACATTGCTGATTCTAACCAAGTGGGCTTTCTTTGCTTTAAATCCAAAGGGGCCGCTCTCAGATTGCCAGGGAAAAGGAGCAATCGCTAAGCCCCGTGCCAAAAGTAATCCTGCATGACTTCACTACCTGCTTGGTGCGTAACCCATGTGATGTCGCTACAACAAGATGCCATTGGAATGACCCATCCAATCAGCCTGTCACTGGTCTGGCTCGGGTTTGCTTCCATCGTCAGCTCTGGGCGTCTTGTGTTTCACTTGATATCGAATTGAAGAAGCACGAGATAAGAACGCCATGATTTGTTGAATTTGCCTATACTAAACAAACAGTCGGTCCAAGAAGATGATGAAGCCCGCTGCTAATAGTGTAAATCCCAACGCATCGTCTGCAAGGTAGGGAAAACACCATGTTTCCTCTTGTTGCATATGGGACCATGCTAGACCTAAAGCAAAAACAACCCCGGAAACATAAGCAGTCCACCTGAATCTCTTCTCTTGCCCAGACATGTGCCATGAGGCCATGCAGTTGATGTTATTCAGTTTGGACTGGCCAAACTAGTGCACTGCTCAATAGTCGACCAGCCTGTAGGACTCCCCCTTCTGTTTGCGCAACTCGATCTGTTGCCTCTGCCATTCAATCGCCCTAGAAAAACTCTTACGGTGCTCCCGTAGAATCCGAATGCTCTCCTTGGTCAAGCAGCGACGCTCAAATTGGTGATTGGGGCTGAAGTGCATGAGCTTGTTGATGTGTAGCCTGAGGACCACGACACAGTTGACGTATGATCTCTTGGGCATGAACATGCCATCCTCCAGTCTTAGGATGGGCAGGTTGAAGTGGGTGGGACTGTTGTCTTGGTCTGCAATCAGTAGATAGGCGGACGAAAGCCTCCTGACAACGTAAGGGTTGTCGATGCCCCCGAAACGATCGTTGATGTGCGGGTTCGTCTCACCAAATCCAGTAAGCTGGATGATTTTGACGACTCCACGCTTATCCCAGCCTAGCACGATCGCAGGGTGGCCGCTCCAACCCTTCTTGTTCTCCTTGGTCTGCACAACCAGGCCCGGCTCGAGCTGGTCCTTCGTCAACTGCCAAGCACTGAGGTGGTCTGGAAGATTTCTCATTTGTTTCATAGGCCGCGAGATGGCACCTTCGGAATGAGCAGTCTGCTGCTGACGAGGATTGCGTTGACGGTCGGTCTTGACGTAGCCTTGGCTAGGGTAGTGCATGCCCGACTGGGGTCGGTAGGCGGTGCCAGACGAGGCGGCAGCAGTGCTGGTGCCAGACGGCTGGAAAGAGGCACGGTCTGCCGAGAACTGGGCATGGCTGTGGTATTCGGCATGGAAATGAACTTGGTTGAGACCAGGCGGAGGATACGGAGGGTATCTTAGATCAGCAGGTAGAGGGTATGACGGGTAAGAAGGACCAGTCGGCTGAGGGAAGCCAGGGTATCCATTATTGGGACTCCAGTATCCTCGACCGAGCTGAGGATCACCCCAGGGCGAGGGAACGTAGCTTTCGTGCGACGGATATGCGCCGAGTGGGTTGTTTTGGCTTGGGTACTGGCCGTAGAACTGTCGCATGGCCCTCGGTCCCGTAGGAGCATGCTGGGGAGCATGATAGGAAGGTTGCGCTCCCATCCATGGTTGCTGAGGAGGAGGTTGCGCTCCCGCCCATGGTTGCTGAGTAGGATGTTGCGCTCCCATCCATGGTTGTTCGGTAGGAGGCTGCCCGCCGCCGGGGGCTTGGAGCCTGTACATGATGGGTGCTGTCCGGAGTTGGGTTAGCAAGAGCCTTGTGTCAGTGTCAGATATCTTACTACTTTGAATCTGATTCGAGTACACGTGTCGCAAAACAGGTGTGGGAGAGGAAGGTTGGGTGTGTGAGGTTGTTGGGCGGAGGAGCGGCCTTTTGCGCGAGCGGGAGAGCTGGCAGCAAAGCGCGTGACGCGCCATCCCGACTGGGTGATTGATCGTGAATGCGCTGCCCGCCTAGCCCACCCGCCCAGCGCCGCAGCTCGATGATCCCACAGTCACAGGCACGGCACCAAGACACCCAAGCTGCTCCAATAGCCTCCCTCTTCCTGCCAAGTCCTCAAGAACTGTTGCTTGAAGACACTGACCCAAGAATAACACCTGATGTTTTGCAGGAACAACGCATGGCTTCTGGGATCCAACTCGCATTCTCGTCATCTTTCTTCGATACTTTACACTACGCGACCAGAGACCTCGAGATCCTGCAAGACTTCCCTTCTGTCACTGAATGTAGATTTGCGCGCTGGCGATGGAGGCGACTGCAGCAACGGAGAGCCCGAAGTTTCCATCTCTGCGTGCCAACACCACAACATCGCAATGAACCCTTGCTATGGTATCTTTCGATGCGCTCTCTACTGTTCGCTCATTCATCTGTTTTAAGCAACGAAGTCCAGGTCCACCACGACACGCCCACCCCAACGCGACACCCACCAGCGACAACTGAAGTATTTGATGCGGCAAGAGAGCAAAGCGCAAAGGAGATAGATATAGCGTCGTGGGGACATGCGGTCGAGCGGTCGGAATCGCGTTTCTCCGGGGATTTTCGGCGTGCGGAGGTTCTGATTGGTCGCATGAGAATTTCCTCTTCAGGACTCGCTCTACAACACGGGAACACGGCGAAGAGGAAAGAGGAAAGATGCCAAACTCGAGTGGCAACCGTCGCTTCATCTGCTTTGTCGGAAAGTGGCTTCACCGAATATGCCGGGTGAAAAGACGGATGAAATCGAACCAATTTGACCGCTACGCATGCGCCTTGCCAGTCGCAGCGGCGCAAGCGGGAAAGTATGCCAACTACCATGCTACGGGCGGAGCGCTTGCCGTCACAGAGCTGCTCACGCATCCCGCACTGTGATCCTTCGACGAAGCGACACCCACGCAAAGCCCTCATTCCCCTGAAAGTCTACCTTTGACGGTGCGTGGTGGTAGAATGACACCAAGACTCAAGTGCTTGAATGGTTCGAGTGTTAACAAGGGATAACACTCTATCAGCATTCATTGTTCTACAACTGAGCATTCCTGTGAGTACCAGTCTCCTTCTCGAATCACCACTTCAAAGGCGGAAACAGCGTGTTGCCATTCATCTCGATTGGTCTGCCATATTTCTTCTACTGGCGTACGTCCCATCATCCTCAACGCGGAGCTTGCGGTGGCTCTGGAACTCGCTGCCGAATCTGTGTTTCCAGAAGAACGAGTATGGGAACCCCGTTCTCATTCCGGGCGAGCTCTTCGTGACGTTCGGGCGGAGTGTTGCGCTGGCGCTCGGTGTTGGCATCTGGGCGCGCCCAGAACCATATCAAGAAAGCGCGCACGTTGCCATAACCCAAAGCCTCACCGCCTGCTACTCCGCCGCCTTTTTTCCACAAAGTATGCAGCACGTCGCTGAGGATTCTGCCGCATTTGTCGCACGGTGAATACTGCCTTTCTACGCGCACATCAGTCGCTTCGCAGCGCGCCAACGCTTCTAACAGACGCTCGAACCAGTCGCGGTGGAATCACTCCATGTCGCGTGGTCCCTCTTCATCCTTTTTTCGTCCTCTCACGCCATTGCCTCCACCACAATCAGAGCGCAATCCCTCCATATGACACGCAGCCAGCAGAACATGTACCTTTGGCTGACCTTTGACATTCAGGCATCAAATGCCTCTAATTAAGCGGGCTTCAAAAGTGGAGCAGACGTCAAAGTACGATATTCTCTGTTCTTGGTATTGCCCGTTGTAGGTCTGGCCGTTTAATGGTTGCACGGCGTTGAGATTCTCTAAGCCAAGCCATATCTACCATTGACAGATCAAAAGATGAACACTAATCTCAGAAGCCCTGCATTCTCTGCCTTTACCGCTCCAGTGCCTCCTGTCTCGGCAACACCAGACTTTCCCCCCACTTGGACAGCCAAACATTCGCAGCGCCAAGGCCGACAACTACATACAAAGGGCTCATCTTAGCTTCACCCGTGTCTGCCCAGCAATAATTTGCAGGGTTCCCAGGTTACTAATCGCCAGCACCAACGCAGAGGTGCGAGCCCATCGCTGGCGTCCCTCCGCCTTACCCGTATGGTAATAAAAAAAATCAAAAACTCAAAACAAAACAAAACATAAAAGCAAAATGATCAGCTCAACAGCTCTACACACCGCGTCCGGCCCTTCCGCCGTTACACGAGTAAGTTAAGCCGGTGCCATATGTCTGGACAAAGACAAAAAGACAAGCGTGACACTTTTGTGTCGATGCGAACTTCCTTTCGCGATGCGGATTTTTGTTTCTGTAGTTGTGGATTTGAACGGCCTCGGCTCATCGATGCACCTCGGGTTTTGTTTTTTTTTTGTTGTGCGCAACAGTGGCCTCCCAGCCAGCTGTGCTTATTTTCTTTTTTTTTTGTGAAAGTTTCAAAAACGAGGCGAACAGCAGGACACCGTCTCAGCAACCAAAGGTTGGCCAGACACTAGAGTCACCTCGACGATGCCCTTACCATTCGGACTCCTCGTTCCTTCCCGAATTGGTGCCCATGTGAAGCTCTTCCATACCGGCGTTGGAATTCGCAAGTCTCTGTGCCGGTTGCTTCTTCGTGATGTAATAGTCATCTTTTTTTTTGGTGAGGTGATCAAGACTGAAACCGTCCTTTTTTTTTTGTTTTTTTGCATCGGAAGTCGCTGCTCGTTAGTAATCCAAAGTTGCTACCCAAATTTGCAAATCAATGGTATGTCCATGTGTCAATTGACACAAAAAAGCCCAGGGTCCTCAAGGTCGAAGGGTCGTTTTTTGGCGTGTCGAATGCTTTTTTTTAGAGTCACGACTGACAACTGCCGACGAACTTGTTTCCTTCAGAAATTAACCGAGGTCCGTGGTGATCTTACTGCGCGAGAATTTGGTGGATTCTCGTATCAGTTCTGGAGGTGGCACGCGTTTATCAGGTTGTACGCGTTGGATGTGGTCTCGGTCTCAAGGCACCTTCCTGTTCCCTCTAACGAGGTGAAGAGCTGCCACCAGTGATTTTTTTTTCAGTTGTTCAGAAAGTTCCGAGAGGGGTAGGTAGTGAGGTTCCACTCCATTGTAGAGTTTGGGTTGGTTATGAGTAACTCCAGCTGAGAGATTCCGAAGGCGTGAGAGACGTCCGAAAGAGTGATTCCCAGAGCCCCAAGAGCTAACGCTTCAGTGAGGATGCGATCTTATATGAAGTTTTTCTCCTTGGATCAACTTTTTATTTCTCAGCCTTTTCTTTTTTCTTGTTTGTGTTCTTGCCCGATATCTTTACTTAGGGCAAAGTTGTACCTGCCTCGTTTCTCTTTACCTCAGCCGGGACAGTTTCTTCCTGTGCAAGCGGGTCGCGAGACTCTTGGCAACCTGGGGCTTGGATAGCTAATTCGAAGCGATGTAGGTATGCCGGTGGTGGTTAGAGTCCTGCTGTTGTTTACTCATGCTTGCCATTTGCGGAAGAAGTCGCCGTACGCGTATTTCGAGCGAGCGCCCGTCCTAATTCGGGGAGGGAGTACGTGGCTAAGAACCGGGTCAAGTGACAGCGCCGGGGGATAAGCTTCTCAGGCATTCATCCGTTGAATTGTTGCTTCGGCGTGCCATTGGGGTTGTTCTCGTTTTAGCGCAGGATCGTTAAGAAATAAGGTGGTGCATCGCGGCGGTTGCTTGTCGTTGGTGATTCTCGATATGTTGAGTAATACTAGGCAACCGATTCCGGAAAGGTACAGCTGACTCTTATGTCGCTGAGCGATGCCCGGATGTGGCTTTGTGGTGTTGATGTCCTGACGGTGGAAATTGCGCGACTGTGTCGACCTCTCTTGCAGCCTCTGAATGCGAAGAGAGGATTTTAAGGATCCGGAATCCGTTCGCTGACATGTCCAGCCTACTCGTCTGATAGTTCGATGATTCAGATAAAGTGACTGAGTAGAGGTTCACGTCCTCAACACCGGGCGATTCTGAAAAGGGTTGCTGCGGCGGAGACCATGTGGTTTTGTGGAACAGGATACTAGTCCTCGACATCGTTACCAGATTGCTCACACTGGATTCAAAGAATCCGGAGCTCGTATGCTCGGGCTCATATGCCCATCATCGTTAAAGGCTCAATACCTCAACCGGGGAAAGGCCGGTGTCGGTGAAACTGATTAGTTTTCATCTCGTGAAAGCACAAAGTGGGTTGCCCCCAACCTGCAGTCATTGTGGAATATGGTTGCAGCAGCTCGACTGGGTTGGCAGGCGGAATCAAAATTCTTCAAGGAAGGCTCCATCAGATCGAATCTCATGTGAAGACTTATCGGTATAAAGCACCCGCGGTCATCTTCTGAGAACAATCAATGGAAATCCAAGAGAAATAACTGAAAAAGCTTGCGTCAAAGATCGTATTGGGAAACCGCAATCGATTGAAGACAACAAGCTGGCGCGACATATAAAGGAGGAAGAAGCCCAATCTCCAGCACAAGAGCCGATTACGGTTCTCAAGGCAGAGTTGGAAAGGAAGATGCCGAATTGGACCGTAGCAAGCCTGCAAGCAGGTGTCACTACCCGGGAAGGATGGTGCCAAAACGGGTGCGAGTCTTGATCAGCGAATTCAAGACCTGGCACTTTTGCATCACACTCCGAAGAGATGTAGAATGTGATGAGGGTTATCGGTGGTTGGCTACGCGGGTATGTCGGACCCGTGCCAGATACGCCTCTGGATGAGGACGTTCCCCACCTGATCATCTACAGCTTGCGCCATGGGGCTGTGAGATCATCCTCCGAATCGGATTCGGAATCTGTTGTCTGTTGCAACTCTACCAGTTCCTGAACGCCAATCCAGAGACGAGGATCGACAAAGCGAAAGAGCTGATTGAAGATGTAGCTCATCGAGGAACCGGTAATTGTGGGCGCGGTATCGAAGCCAACTGTGTACGGCTCGAGGCAGTCAACCTCGATCTTGAAAATACCGTGCTCAATGTGCAAGTACGACCTCTTGCGGCATGAGATAGGCTTGGTGAAAAGAAGTCTCTCTGTACCGCGATGCGGCCTCTCCTTGCCATGCTCGAACATGAGCAACTGCTGCAGCTTGACCCATTTGAGCTGGCCATCCCTCATTTTTGACCACTTTACCTCGACCCGTTTGCCGCCATAACTAGTGATTGGGATGATTTTTGCAATCCCATCTTCGTTAGGGGCACTCCAGATGAGAACCGGATGGTTCTCAAACCCGTCGATAAGCTCCTGGCTTCTGAGACGCTTGTGGATAACCGAGCTAGGCCCGATACGTCCAGTGCCCAGCCATGCGAGCCTGCCTGGAAATGCCCAGTGAGGCTCTTTGGCAGTGGTGCTGTCATCAGGAGAGGACGGGGGAGTCTCGGGTGATGGTGGGGGCGTCGGTAAAGTGGGAGGAAGTGGAGAGGAAATGATTGAAGAAGGAGGTGGAGACAAAGAAGGAGAACTTGGTGGAGTAGCGGGTGCAGCTGCTGGGCCGGGGGAGTTTCTCTTAAGCGCGGAGGCGTACGAGACCGGCATGGGCGGGACAGCTGTTGAGTTCTCCATTTCGTCTGATGTGGTAAGTAAGAAAGATATGGGTTTACCACTTGTGTTTGTGCTTCAGAAAGATGTGTTCGTCAGAGATCAAGTTGAGCGCTCGATCAGAGATTGTTGGATTGAGGAAATGGAATGGGAGTGCAGAGGAACTGCTTTTTAAAGACTCCTCGATATCCGGTCATTGTTACTGAAAATCTCGTCCATCAGATGCACCGAAGCCCAGCGGTAGGCTAATGGTAAAAGACTCATACAGACTCCTCTCCTGGATGCCGTCAGGATTGGGTGAAGGTCGGTACGCGGAAGAGCGTATCCATTGGAAGGCCAGTGGATCCGCTGAGAGCAGCACGAAGGAAAACATCATAGCCGCAGTGCAACCCTTTTCTTCTGCGTAAGTCAACCTCTCAATCCAGGAACCAGCACGTGTCCAAGTGGCAGCGAGTGTCATGGCTACGTTTGGTCTGCTGTGCCACTGGAACTCTGACGCGGGAGAACCATGCAGCGGTAATGGACCGGAATGGACGACGGGAGCCGAAAGGCCCATGCCGCCCCCAAACTGCGAGCGCACAGCAGCAAGCCATTCGGTGTCGGTCGACTGCTGGCAGAGCAATTGGCGGTGTCTGATCGAAGGGCGACGAGAGGCATGAGAACGGAGTGGCCAATCGAAGCCGAGGAGTGTCGCGATCTTCCCAGGTCGAACGGCAGAGCTGCGGGTATGCTTCTCTCGCAGCTTCCTCTTCCCGGGGCTGCAACCAAGGAAAGCACATGGCGCGTGCGCAAGCCCGCACTTTTACAGCCTTCATCCCAGTCATCCCTAATCGCGAATCCGAGGTGTGGAGCGCCGCTTCTCCCTGTACTGCAGATTCTGAGGGTCAATGACGGTGATTCTCAAATGTGGAGGCCGTGGGAGCGTAGGGCTAATTGGCTCGGCGCAAAAGCGCGAAGAACTCTTCCACGAAGCCGCTTCCCAATTCGTCCGAGAAGAAAATTCTTCATCTCCTAAAAACCTTTTTTCACGCATGAGGCCACGACTACGTCGCGTAATCAGCCGATGTTGTGCAATTGAATTTATGCGGCGGCATCCACGTGACTTGGCGTACTCGAGAAGCACCCCCTTGGGTGGTAGAGGCTGACAACAAGGCAGCTATGCCTTTTCCCTGTTCGCACGTCAATAATTTCAAAAGTTTTGTCAGGAAAGGCCAAGTGGGTTGTAAATAATTACCCGAGTGCACATCCGCACTGTCGATGGCGGCTCGGTGTATGAACCTGTGCCGGATCAGGAAATAGGGGAGAGTGTATTGAGATAGATGCTGGGCTTCATTCGAATAGATCAATGGGCTCCAAAGAGAAATGTAAGGAGGAGTGGACGAGCACTTCGATATATATACTGATTTTCCAAGAGCGGCGATCAAGCATCCAGGCAGAACCCCAATGCTACCCAGTGCAGCCATCGCTGGACAGGGAGCAACTGCACAAATATCTTGATCTTTGGTCAGAAAAAGAATATATATTTGTTCAATTGCGTCGAATTTTCCCTCAGTCAAAAGCGAAATAGGATATTCTAAAGTCCAGTCGAAACTTCAGTTTTACTTTCACTTAAAGAGTAAGGTTAATCCCCTTCTCTGATGGGAACAGCAATTCATTTTCTTACGAGAAGCAACCTCCTACGGCGTACCATTATTCATATCTCGACTATACCTCAGCGCCTGGAATTCGATATGCCTGGTGCTCGGCATATGCAGAAAGACCGCAACAGCGAAAAGGATCTCAGGAGCAAGAAAATAAAGGCCCTGAAGCTCGAGAGTTGGCGGCACATAGACAACTCCTCTCCCACAGGATCTACTGCTCTTTGCATTATGTCCACTTCCTCTACATCTCCGTGTGAGCCTGGGCCCTCTGCCGAAGTGGAAGGTTCGGAACCTACACAAGATCGGTCCGAACCAAGCCCTGGCGAAGAAGTCAAGAATGCCTCAGAGCGAGATACTAGCGCCTCTCTGGGAAATAATCCGCCTGTTCCTTCATATCCTGCGCCACCGGAATTTGAACCTCCCTCATCGCGTCCTCTAACCAGAACTTTCAGCAACTATGCACTTTGGTGGCTGAGACCGACATTCAGGGAGAGCCCCGTCCACCCAAGACAATTAATTTCAGATCTCGTCCCGGAGTCCGCCAAAAGTCGGCAACATCCTCGGCAAAAGATGAAGCAACAGGTCCTGCTCACGCCACAAACTGCAATACCGGGCCGCATCGTATACATGTTGAATCTCAAATATGACTCGATCGTGTGGCAACTGTGTCCAACGATACGGACTGGAGCCGAAGGACATCCGGCGGTCATACTGTCTCTGGGCCTCGAAGACAATTCTTCAGAGCAGGTGGCCCAAGTTTTGCCAATCACATCCTGGGGAGGTGTGACGAAAGAACAGAAGTGGAACTTAGGCAAAGGAGTCGAATACAGGAACCAGTACTATTTAATAGACCACGGGGTTGCTTCATCGGAGGGTTCACCGGATTCATTGTGCCTCTGCGATGGAAAATGGATGCGCACGAGGAGCTATATCTCGATACGCGAAGACGCATACCCCATTGAGTTCGACAGGCTGGCGCTGTACACAGATCCCGATCGCACGGACACCGACTTCTTTTTGACCGATGATAGCCTACGCAGGCTCAAGATGGCATACTCGACAGCCAGAGAATACAGGATGTCGCTCCCTAGGCCGAATGCTGAATCTGCGTGAAGTGGCTCGCATGGTTGCAGGAATGTTGCGGTGTGGTGGTCGGAGACGTGAAGGGATGCTGGTATGCGCGAGGTAGGTGGGTGAAGCGCAGAGAAAGCGATCCTTCCAAAAGCAGAAGGACCGCGGGCGCCTGCCTTCCACAGCGAGGGATGCCTGCAGCTTTTCGCCATTCCTCTTCCCTCGGTCTTCAGACCATTTCAACTCAAAGCTCGCGTAGGTTGTGACCATGGCCATTCTCGAGGTTCCTGACCATGCCTCAGGCAAATCGATCAGCCAAGTCAGCTCCCACAGCGTCAAACAGGATCCATATTCTACCGATCACAGTGTCCCTTCTGGTAAGCACCCCTGTGTTACCGCTGCAAGCTACCGTGAGATTCTGACTTTCCCGCGCTCAGGCCCGCTCACGCATCACACTTCCACTACCAAACAGCCTGGAAAACACTTGCCTGGCATGCAGTCCCGTCATCCGCCCTCAAAAAGCGGCTTCACTAGTCTCCCGCCTAGCTGCACACTCCACACGTCCCCAGAGCGTACTTCCGGCTCCCCCATCCTCGGTTCACCCACACCAACCCCATCACGGTCACGGCTACCGCCGCAGTCGCAGTCGCAGCCGACACCACCAGCAGCTCCAACCACTTCAATTGCCAAGCTCACCGCTCTCCGAGCTGGGACCGTCAAACGACCTGTCACTTCCAAGCTCACCAGCCGCAGCAAGCGTTTCAAAGTACCAGAGCCATCCCAAAACACTCAATCTAGGGAGGACATCTACGTCAGCCACCCGGCCACACTACCAGCTGCCGCACGTACCCCTCGCGAGCCAACTGTCGCGCTTAGCGGGCGAAGGACCACTACTTCTGACGTCTGGGCGCCGCTGTCCTCCTCGCATGACTCCCAATCTGGCGATTGGTACCATTGGCAGCCTGGGTACTCTCCGCGGCCAGGGTATCAGCCGCTAGACGTCAGAAAGCCAGAGACTGTACTACGAGGCGAGCAGGAGCAACAACAGCGGCCTTATGAGGAAGAAACAAGTACTCCACAACAGCTTCGCAACAATGGCGCTCACACCAAGCCGGGGCCAGAGGAGCAGGGACACAAAGAGGACCAAAGTCAAGACTACTCCCAAGAGGACGTCACTACTCCATATACTGCTCGCCAGACCGCTCTGCAGCAGCCTTCGTCATCCAAACAGGTGGTCTCATCACCGCCCAGCCAGCCGGATATGCCGCAACTCATAACCGTTTCACTAGACAAAGCGCTCATGTCAAGGGTACGCAAGGTCAGCGTCACAACGATAGTGTACGAGCTCGAGCCCGCTAGCAACACTGCCGTCCACAAGAATATGGCCAATAGCGTTGCTGCGCTGGAAAAGGGACCGAGGAAGCGACGTGATGTATGAGCGAGTTGGGTGTTAAGAAAGCCAGAGTGTGAAAGGCGCTTTGCTTTAACAGCCGTTTTGATATGATCACCAGGTTTCAGCATTCTCTCAGACTTCAAGAGCGACTGAAAAAGATTGTATCACTTCCAAACATCGCTGAATTTACTGGCTATGAACAGAGCATCTCCAATCGCAGATAGCTTCACAGTTGTATATACACGCAAGTAGCTCCAATCCAAGCCTACTTTTGACCCTCCGTCTCCTTTTCGCCTTCGCCTTCTTCTTCCCTCTCCCTCTCCCTCCTCCTCTCTTCCAACCCATCTACTCCCTTTCCCCACGCACCAGCCTTCTTCCCCCATTGCACCGTCCCCCAGACATGCGTCCATCCGATCTTGGGCGGCGGGCCCGGGAACGTCCTGAACGGACTCGTCCCACCATGCCTGAACAACGGCTCGTCCTTCTTCTCGTCGATCTCGCTCGTAGCCCCCATGCCCTCCCCGCCAAGGCCTGCCGCCTGCTGCTGCTGCTGCCGCTCCAGCGCCGCCCGCTCCGCGACAGGCACCTCCCACCGCCGGACCTCCTTGGCGACGGGCGTCCACCACGACCGCTGCGGGCAGTCGCGCGCCCACCACCGCGCGCCGCACATCTCCCACAGCCGCGAGCGCGCGCGCTTGTACGCGAAGCGCTCGTCCTCGCCCGTGAAGGCGCCCGCCTGGCCGAAGTCCGGCGTCGTCGGCGCCACCCGCCATCCGTTCGCTCCGGGACTGCTGCTGCCCCCCGCACGGGCTGCTGCTGCGCCACCACCACCGTAGTCGCGGTCCAGGCCGAAGGAGCCGGTGAAGGTGCCGCGGCGCACGCGGTTCGGCGGGTCGTCTTCGAGCGCGTCGGGCGAGAGCATGCCCTGCAGGCGGGCGTGCGTGTAGTCGGGCTCTTCGCGCGGCTGGGGTAACGACGGGTCATACGAGGAGATGTTGGGGCGGAAGGGCGCGGTGGCGTCCTGGTAGATGTCGGAGAAGGTTTCCGAGTAGACCGAGTCGCTGTCTTGTTGTTGGTTCGAAGGAGAGTCGCCTACAGATGACGACGACGACGAGGATGGCTTTAATGCCTTGGATTCTGGGAAGAAGACATCGTCGGGCCCCGCCGCGGCGGTGATGAGGAGTTTGCAGCGAGCTTCGTAGAGGGCGTCGAGGAGGGTGATGAAGCGCCGCGCTTCGTTCTTTTGGAGGAGGGAGAGGACGGGAACGTCGGTGAGGATGAGAGTGTGGTATGTAGAAGCCAGCGTGATGTAGTCAGCGGGGCCGAGCTGGCTGGCGCAAAGCTCAGAGAAGGTCCAGGATGTAGCGCCGTTGTACTGACGCGGAACCTGCACTTGACGGCCGTAGACGCGCATTGTGCTTGGCGACCAGGGGATTTCGGGAGAGGTGACGCCTGATGCTACGGATTCCGCGTCTTTCAGCTTCAAGAGCCATTCCTCGTGCTTGGATGTTGGTTCCTCGGTGGAAGGTTTGACAAAGTAGTTCTTGGGCATTGATGCCATCTTCGGGACCGAGTCCTCGGCCTGGGAGTCGGGTGATAGTTGTGCGGTTGGAGTGCTTTCGGCTGCCGTGGACTTTTGCGCAGAAGCTTCCGAATCCGTCTCAGTCTTGGGCACTGCAGCCTCAGACTCGCTTCTCCTGTAGTCTTTCCCGCCTTCCATTTCCCACACCTCGCATCTGGCCTTTAGCACTTCAAGAAAAGGAGCAAAGTCACCACGTCCAGTAAACATGTTTTCGCTCCGGCCTCTCACGCCAAATCTCCATTTTAGGGAATCCATTCGGGTGGGCGGTGGAGTGAACTCCATGCCCGCAGCTTTCGCCAGTTCCTCAGGCATGCGATTACTTGTTGCAATCAAAACGCCACCCAGGTGGAAGAAACTGGTCATGAGGTTCGACATTATTTTCGACGCCGCACGATCCGGGAGCTGAAACTCGTCGAGGAAGAGAATGGGCGACGTCTCAATCATGTCACGTGCGAGGATGAGCAACGAATGCTCGTCGTCAAAAACCGAACTGCCGAAGAAAGTCGAGCTCCGCGTGCGTCTCAGCGCCTCAAGCTTGGCCAGAGTGTCGAGCATGAAGGTGTTGAAGTGCCAGCGACGCTTCTTGCGGTTGGGGAGGCAGTCGGCGAACAGGTCGATCAGCATGCTCTTCCCCGTGCCGACTTCGCCATGCAACATCAGGCCACGCGGCGAGTCGAGCTGCATGGCCTGTTCGTGGCTGGTCAACACGCGCGCCAGGGCCGTACTCTCGCGCTTCTCCTTCTGGACGAGCAGCGAAGACCAGAAGCCGCGTGGGCGGACATCTTGGGTCTCCTCCTCAGAGGTCTTGGCGCGACCATTGGCACCGACAGCGCGGCTTATTTGGTGCAGACGGTGGCTGTATTCGGCGGTAGGCTCATAGTCCTTCAGGCGCTCATAGAGTTTCTGCAGATGGAGGGCTGCGCATGTGTCAGCTGCGGGCGGCCCAGCGGCGTGGAAGCTCTGTGAGATGTGAGCTATGACGTACCGAGTCGATGCTGGGCTGGATCAGGGCGTATGTGGTTCGTAGCCAACAACGCGCGGTAGAGGACGAGAGGATTGGTGATGGCGACCCCAGTCGAGTACTTGCGGACCAACATGGAGCCGGGTATATTATGCAGACTCGCGCAACTGCAGGGCGAAGAACGCTGTTCCGAACTCGGCGGGGATGGTGGAAATGGAGCAGATGTGCGCCTCAGGCGCCCAGCGCCCGCTGTACTAGCCGGTTACGGCGCGCGCAGCGGACAGGCAGCGCAAAAGCGGAAATGCGTCGGCTCCAACTCCGCTGTCGGGTTGCTGCTCCGCACGCCAAACCCGTCTCAACACCAGCTTGACTCTCGTGTCGGGCTAGGGAACCAGCTAATCCAGCCAGATTAGGCAGCTGTGATAGTTGCCGGCCGGGTCTCGATGCTGACGGCCCTCCCTGCCGCTTCCCCCAGACCCGGCGTCATCAGGCGTCCGCCACGTGCGCATCGCCCCACTCGCAGTCCGACACACAAGCTTCTCGTCTCCGGCCGTCGGTGCGAAGCCAAATTGCCTGGACGTTGGAAGTTGCGGCAAAACGGCTCTCAAAGTCATCCAACTGCAGCCGCTCCTCACGCCTCACGCAAACAAAGTTGGCAGCCAGAAAACTATCACAAATCCGGGAAACACTGCGGAAGCTTCCTGCCCGCCGCGACACGCTGACCACCCCATCCCCATCCCCACCAGCGCGCGGGAATCTCATAGTGCGAAACTTAATCGACCCGCCTCTCTGACTCCTGAATGGACAGTCCCGCGTGGGTAGACGTTCGACGCTCGACTCTGCCTCGCCCAAAACCGCCTGCTTATTGCCGGTTTCGCTCACTTGCAGCTTCACAGCGAATGGTGCTCTTTATTGGTTACCCCTGGTAGTTGGAGATTGATACCTGCCCGCTCGGCCTCGTTCGTCTGTAGTTGCGGCTGCGTTCTGGCGATTTTCAACCTGATGATCCCCACGATCACCGTTGGCACACGGACTTCCTCCTTACGCACTACTGTTAAAGAAGGTAGGAAGATTGACGGGCGGCTATTGTTTCCCGGAGGGTGGCTTAGTTGACCTCCTTGCCCCATATTCAGTCTTAGCGGCATCATCTATGCCCGTTGTGGCTGTGTCCCTGTTCACTTGGATACGAGACGATGCTGCTAAGCTCCTGAAATCGACGCCGGACTCTGCGCGAGAACTTCCTGTGGCTATTCCCTCCTTTATGAGTGTCTTGAGGCTTGCCGCTTTCTTGATCCCAGCTCGGATTCGATCGCTTCGCCTGGTGCAGTGGTCTCCTGTGCGCGGAACTTGGTTCTGTCAGAGCTTGCAAGGATCGGTTCACAGATCTCTCGTTTTGTTCTAGTTTCGAGGTGTCCCTGAAGAGCATACTCGTGTCGTTCCACGAAGGATTTGTGGCTCAAGTGACAACACCTTCTGTTGCCCTCTCCACTGTATTCCATAGCAGCGCGGGATGATTCTCAATCAAATTTACGACGCGAACTTTTTAGGAAGTAGGAGGCCTGCCCCAAGAATGGATCTCAAATATTCTTCTAAGCCCACTGTAGACTGTATCAACACAATCGACAACACTGCCTCATCCGTTGGCCATAGCTTCTCAAAGGAAACGGCGATTGCATGTGATGATCACGCATAAGAATGCAAGATTCGTTCTCTTCGAACGAATTTAAAGAGGCATGAGGATAGAAAGAACGTAATTGAAAGGTATATGTTAAGACTTGGTACAACTTACAGGTTGCTTCAATGGCTACTACAGCAAGTTCCATGAAAACCGAATAAGCAGTCGCCGAGGCTTTGGTGATCAGCACAAATTCTCCCCAACAGCTGCTGTATGAAGGGCCATTGGTCTACCAGAAGTGGTAGCAGCTTGCTTGCCTGATTCCGTTGTAGATCAATGCGGTGAGGCCTCTTCAGAATGGTGCATAGCCGTAATCCAGAATGCGGATCGCTTCAGCCGTTAGAGCCATTAGTACCAGAAGGGTAATTTGCATCCTTCAATGTTAATTCTGCGGGATGTGACTTTCGCAGTCTTCATCAGCGATGTCAACTTCTCAGAAACTAAAATAGTGCTTCCATATGCTCTTTTCCAGTGCCAATTTTTCATGCGCTGCTCAGCTCCATTCTCTCCTCGATCACGCCCACGATCTCCTTCCACTCCTTCATTCCACCACTCCCAGTATCTCCGCACGCAATCGTCTTTTCAATCGGCCTCAGCACTTCCACCCACCCACCATTCGCGATGCCCCACTCCTCTTCTAAGACTCTAATCTGCTTACTCGTAACGGGATGCTCCCACATCGCTGTATTCATCGCCGGCGCAACAATGATCCTCTTTTTCCTCGCCCCCGGCACCTTGTCAGCATCACCCGCACCATCCGCCGCCGGCAGCCTCACGGGGTCCAGCGCGCCGTTCGTATCCCACGCCCTGATGGTGGACAGGAGCAAGTTATCGCAAATACCACCCACCATCTTCGCCATCGTGTTCGCGCTCAGCGGCGCGACGACCAGCAGATCGGCCCAACGCCTCAGCTCGATGTGCAGGATCGAGTTGCCGCGCACCCACGGCTCGCGCCACTCGTCCTCGTCCAGGTACACGGCGTCGACGTTGGGCAGTGAGGCGACGGATGCCAGCGTCGGCTGCTCCGGCGACTGGCCCGCCAGGAAGGCGGCCGCCGACGCCGTCAGGACGACACGGATGGACAGGCGCGGGTGGCGCGCGAGCGCAGTGATGATGGCTGGGATCTTGATGGTGGCGACGGAGCCCGAGGCGGCGAGAAGGAGGTGCTTTTTGCTGTCGTTGAGCTGCGACGGGGGGAGAGGCAGCGCGGCGGGGCGCAGCTGCATGGAGGTGGGCGTGAAGCTGGACATGATCGCTGGCGACGAAACCGCGTGTCGCGGCGGAGCTGTATTCTCGGAGCTGTGAGTCTTCAAGCGGTCACCAGTCGGCGGAGAGCATGGTTATCAGCGGATTTCTTCGGGCGAGTCAAAGTCGGGCGATATGTCAGCCGCGGAAGGGACGATGTCATGACGGGATCAGCGCGGCGAACTTTCTGTGTGACAAACGCGCCGCGGTCTCCACCGAACGACCTTTGCTCTCCGCAGACATCCTCCGCCCAACACCAATACTCCAAATCCACCATGTTCTCGCGGACTGCATTCTCCAGCGTACGGACTCCGCCGTTTCCTCCATCAATTCCCTCCGCATTTCGCTGACAATCGACCTTCTTCAGGCCTTCCGCGCCGTCGCGCGACCAGCGCGCAACCCGCTCACCCACGCCCGCTTCGCGCCCCTCCAGATCCGCCTACTGTCGCAGGAGACCCGCGCAGCGATAGACCAGGCTGTGGCTAGTGCGCCCGTCGTTCTTTTCATGAAGGGTACTCCGGAGATGCCGCAGTGCGGCTTCTCGCGTGCCAGCATCCAGATCCTCGGCATGCAGGGCGTTGACCCAAACAAGTTCACCGCCTTCAACGTTCTGGAGGATAACGAACTGAGAGAAGGTTGGCGGGCCCTTAGATCAGTGCTAGGACGGGTAATATGTGGTTCGACCTCTGGTTACTAACGGGCGTGCAGGCATCAAGGAATACTCGGAGTGGCCGACCATCCCGCAATTGTACGTTGACAAGGAGTTTGTGGGCGGCTGTGACATCCTGATGTCGATGCACCAGGATGGCTCGTTGGCCAAGATGCTGGAGGAGAAGGGCGTGCTAGTGCCCGCCGAGGAGGAGGGCTCGCAGTAGACGTGTTCGGTGGGACGAATGAAAATAAAGTAATTGAACGAGTGTAGAGCTTATACTCCTAGGGCCGTTCCCCCTATACAGACTGTTTTCTGTAGCATTAGCATGTATCAGTGATACAGCGGCAATTTCTCTTGTCACGTTCTCCTCTCACCTTTTTCCCGCTCTCATCAACCTGGTTGTGGCACGCCCGCTCGCGCCTTCCCCTCTTATTTTCAACCTCACCATCATATTCACTCACTCACTGAATGCGTTTTCCCGCCTAATTCACGCAATATGGCACCGCGCATAGTGCAAGGCAACGCGGCGGCACGCCCTCGCCCTCACTTCAGTACGAAGCCGGAATCCACCGTCCACGCATCCGACATGTTCAAGAATTTCACTCAGCGCGCAACAACCACACGCAGCAAGGCAGCGCCGCCTACCAAATACGATCTCACGTCCAAACCGCAGGGAATCACCAAGAACAGGTCACAAGGACGTAACTCAATCCTCCGAGAACGTGAGAAGAGGCGCAGCAAGCCAAAGCACCCACTTTCCATGCTGTTCACCGGTACGCACCCACCTCTCCACCTTCATTCTGAGAGTTTCCCTTCATCCACTGCCTGAGCAATTCCCCGCCGCGCACCGCAGCCCACTGCCTAACCTCCCACAGAAACAGCAAGCTCCTACCGCAACACTGTGATCGAAAACGCGCAAGACGCCCTCTTCGCGACCCGCCGCTCTCTCCTGCACCGCCTAACCAGCATCAACGGCCCCGGCAACCCTCCAAACCCCTCTCCCGCGAGTCCCACGAACCACATCCATCCTTCACCGACTCCCAACCGTCTCCCCACGACCACCGAGCTGCAAGCCGCGCACAACGCCCTCGTAGCCAAAGTCATCGCTCCGTTCGGCGAGACGAAGGTCGTCCGTGGCGGCAAGGGCAAGCTCAACGCAAATGAGGAGAAGGGCAAGAATGGAGACGCCACCGCGGCGCAGCACGAGCAGCCTCTGTCCGAGCGGATGGCGGCCTTCGCGGCGGTGGTGGCGAGGGAGGAGAAGAATCTGCGCCAGCTCGGCGAAAAGTGGATGCAGACGAGGGCGGAGATACGGTTGCTGGCGGAGGGCATCTTTGGACAGGGTGCTGTGAAGGATATGATGCGGGGGAAGAAGATGGGCGAGGAGGTGAAGGAGGTGGGAAGGGGATTGGGAGAGGGGGCGATGGAAGCGTTGAAGAGGGCGGCGGAAGAGCTCGTGAAACAAGGTGAGGCAGAGGCAGAGGCGGTTAGGGAGGAGGAGAAGAGAGTGAGGCGGGAGCAGAAGAAGGCGATATCGGCGGCGTTGAAGAAGATTCAGGATCTGTAAGTGGATGTTGACCGTGGCTGGTGGAAGTAGGAGTGAGGGCCCGGCTAGGTGATGGTGGAAATTGCTTACAAGAAATCTTTTTACGGCGTGGGAAATAGACTTTATGGCTGGCGTTTCGGGGAAACATAGCACATACGACAAAAGGAACAGACTGGCGCTCTGCTGAGCAAGACATCCACATGCAATGAACGAGAGGGACTATCTGGCTGGGTGGGATAGGCATCACTGACACCCAATGTATTTGTAGAGGCAGTCACATGTATCTGCAACTTGCGGCGCGGCTGAGGTACACATGTGCATCTTCTAAACCGCCAACACGGGACATGCGTTGGTCTGTATATTAATATCTCGTTCTTCGCTATTTTGATCCATATCCCCACAAGTAATCCTCCATTTGACAGTGTGTGGAATTTGAGTACCACTTGTTTCCCTTTTGGATTTCTTGGACGCATAGCTTCCCCAGTAAACCAACCTATTCGAAGAAGGCGTGCTGGACTTGTGGAAGCAGCTAAATAGAAAGCATGATGAGGACATAGTGAGTTTCTATACTTTGTCATACTGATGATGGATCGCCAACAGATTACACTGATGAAGAGGGACAAAGACGAAGAAGTCTGTTGCTGGCTCGGTTTATCATGCTTAGAGCGAGAATAGAACGAGACGTTACTAGACAGCAGCGCGGCCGAGGGAAGAGCAGTGAGATCTTGTCCGTGTTGAAATATGGAGTTCCACAAATGATGTGAGACTCAGACCCGGTCAAGGCTTGCTGACAATCGGCACCGTCATTTTGTTCAAATCCAAACAGCTCCTCGTGATCACATGAAGGTCCCGTCACATGTGGATTTTGGCTAGCATCTGCGCCCGGTCTGGAGCCTATGGTCATTGGACTGCCGCAAGGGTTTTTAGTAGCGCCATGTGCTTCTGAGCGGTCAAACCGGAGTTGCTGTTTTAAAGGCCCTACCATTGTCACTCACCTCCCTCACATTTCCCAGCAAATAGCAGTGGATCCTCCAGTCTCACATTGGCCATCAACCCACTTGGTTCTGGGCGGGATATTGACCTAGCCACATCATGAAACTTCTGCTGCCCTGGCTGTACCACTTCTTTCCATTTGAACAAGTTTCAGCTGGCAGTATTGTTATCCATAAATCCAAATTGAACAATCCTACATGAAACTCATAATCATCTTTTATCGACGCGTCTCAGCAGATTCCGAAAGTAATGCATCGTCAATTTTGATGCTGATTTATGAGTAGAGGAGCACATTTCTCTCGATCGAGCAACCGAGCCGCAAGACAAAAGTGGCCATAGCGTGGTTAAGTCGGAGAAATCTCTCTTAAGTGCCACCATTCAGGAGAGCATATGCTATTTTTTTCTCACAAAAGCGAGTGGAATCTACATTTTTAAACACACCACTACTCAGTCCTTCGCGCACACAGATGTAACGCAAGAAGCGCCACGTGGAATGGAATAGATTTCATAGTGGTATTTGATCCCAATCAAGGCCCCCGTAGGCCCAGATTAGACAACGACATAGAAGAAAAGAAATCTAAGGCGTATTTGTTGGATTATTCCTCCACTAGGAATACCACCATCTAGGGGTGACATGAATGTAGGCATTGCTCCCGAGATCGGAAACCCGAAATATGAGGGCGTCTTAACACTGCTCGTCCGCAATATTGGAATATGTAGCAATGCGAAGGTTCATCAATTGATTGGTAGAAGCTGACACTTCCACGTTTGGAAAATAAAGCAACATGAGCACTGTTATTCACACTCTGGCCTACAGCAAGACTTATTTGAAAATTAATTATTCCATTCGTTGATCATACAGTGCAGGGTGTTAGTCACCTCGCGGCAACAATCATCCACTGCTTCGTATCCCGTTCATCTTCCATATCAGACCCCCAATGATCAAGAGAGAAGAAAAGGATCATCACTTCGTGTCCGCAATCTCAGCCATGGTAAGAACGCGCACTAAAGACCCGCCCGTCCTTTATTCAAAAGGGTTGGTGCGGGTGCCCCACCAGGTGAGGGTCAAGCTGAGACCAACAGTCTCCAGGAGCCTGGCGACTGCGCCAACGGCAACCTGTTCGAGAGGACGCTTCTCGGTGATGATGTGGGCAACGAGCTACAATCCACCATGTTAGCAACAGGGTCCCATCCGTACAAATCAGCCAAAATGTCCAAGGTATGCAAAACTTACCGAAGGTGCTGAGCTGGCGAAGAAGATAAGACCGCCCAGGTACGCGGCGCCCTTGTAGCTGAGGGTGCCGGTGGCGTTGAGAAGCGCGCCCACACCGTACGCCTGCACAGCGCTGCCTACCAAGCTCGAACCGTAGCTAGCCGCTGCCGTCGCGGCCTCCTTGGACTTGAAGAACTCCTCCTTGGAGTTGGCTGCCTGCGCTTGCCGATACGTGTCGCCAAAGACGGGGCCGAGGACGGCCAGCGAGACCGCGTGCGTGTAGATGGTGCCGAGGGCGATAGCCGAGGGCTTAACAGGAGGGAGGTCTAGGGATGGGGTAGGGGTTTTGTCAGTAGGGTGACGCGCGAAGAAGTTGTGAAGTCGTGGGTATGGAGAACGTACAGTGGAGAGTGGCCATTGTTGCGGTAGTAAAGTCGAATGGGATCTGTTGAGATGAGAGAGTCGTGAGGAAGGGATGGGATTGTGTAGTGAGAGAGTGTGACAAGAGACGCGATTCTCTCTCTTTATGGGGAGCTGCGCGCTGCTGTGATGATGACGAAACCCGGCACGCTTTGGGACGCGCTTCCTTTTCCAAGGAGTAAGAGCGATGCTCGGGAGGACAAGGCCAGAAGCGCCACACTAAGGGCCAGAACGCCCATCCAACCAGTCAATTGCCGGTGAAATGAGACCTTGCGCGAGGGGCGACAGCAGCCAGTCAAATGTAGCCAGGAGCCATAACAATTGCCATCCTCAGCAAAGCCCATCGTCGGCCTGCAGCATTTGCAGCATCTCTCTCTGCAGCTGCCCGCATCCCCTCCCGCCCAGAACCGCTCATTTCCGAGGCTCCGCAACGTGAAGAGCAGAGAGAGGTTGCGCCATGGACCATTATGCCGGATCGACGTCATGACAGCTTGGCGCCCGAACTGTGGCTGGTGACGCAGAAGCCGGCCTAGCTGCGAGGAGCTATGACCTTCTTTCTCTTCCCCGCGCTATCCAATCGGCAATCGATGGAAGCTGCTCCATCGTGAATTGACATCGAGATCACGTATTTTCGGTCACGAGTTGCGTGGCCTCGTGCGACAAGCTAGCGTCTCTTCTGTCATCTTCTGGCCCTTTCGGCACTGGGGCTGCCGAACCCCTGTCGCGTCCGAGGTCATGGCTCTGGCAACATGCAAATCATCCATGCGATGCGCGCTGCCGCAAAAACGCTTTGCTGCGAAGCTGAAGCGCTGCTGTCTCGTACTTGCATGGCCTGGGCGAATCTCAGCACGAACTGAACGTGGTCGCTGACGTTTTCCTTCCCTTTCCATCGATGACGCCACGCGCGACGCCAGCAACGCCCCGCGCCGTGCCTGGTTCGCGCTTGATGACAGGCAGCTTGCGCCTCGCGCTATTTTGCGGGGGATCCGCCCCGAGAAAGATCAGAGCCGCCCCCGCTGCTGCCCCACACATGCAAACATCAGCCTCCCGAGCCCAGCCCGTGACGTAGAATCCAATTCTTCATCTCGTTTCTTGAAACGGTGAGAATGGTAAATCGTATGTCCATCTATTATTCCCGTGGGATCAAGATTCAAGCAAGAAAATATGACGTGAAGGTGCTTGCTCCGCCTTGCAGCTCCGACGCCACTACCCATAGTTCCCGGTTGCTGGTTGACATCTACGTTGCTGACGGGGACAAGCAAGGAGAAGCATTAGTATTAGTCCATCACTCCGTCTCCTCCCGATTACTTGCATATAGCCATCCCAGACTAGACCTCAACCGTAGTTCTATCAGAAACACTTATCACGAAAGCATTTACTTGAGCCCTTGGTGGCAGCGAAAAGAAAATAGTGTATCAATTTGATTTCGCCCAATCAACAATCGCTAGCTGCCGGATTTCGACTAACCTGTCTCCTGAGAGCAGTCGGGTATAAATATTTTTCCCTTGCTTGAAGTTGCTCCTTTCAACTTTTTTGTTCTTTCTTTTCCTTGATTGATCCCGCAACAAAGCGCACATTCCGCGAATTCCGAAGCCAGAAAGCTTCTGTCCCTACCCTTTGCCCAAAGACAAAGAAAAAAAAAACGCCAAACCCGCTCTGTTCCATCTGAGTATACCCTTTCCCAAAGTACTCATGCGCATTATAGCACGATAATGATAGCAAGAAAGCATCGTGAAATACGGCTCGCAAAAAAAAAAATACAACATTAGGACGACTTTGACGGTACGGTGGACTCAAGCGCCGAAGTGAAACTCACATCCTCATGGTCATCAACTTCAACCTCTTGGCCTCATCGCTAATTCATCTAGAGCCGCTCCCTTTCGCGCTGCTCCCTCCTGGGCATGCCTTCAAACACCGGAGGGACCAGACCAGCACTGGTCCAAAACTCGTCAGGCACATCGTCGCGCCGCGCCAATCGTCCCAGTATGTCGCGCATCGATTCCAGCTCCGCGTCCAATGGGGCCTGGCCCTCGGCAGCTCTGTCCAAGATACCTGCGATGTCTGTAACGGCCGGTAGGCCAACGCGATTGCTTCCGCTGCCACTACTGTTGGCGGCATCGCTACCGACACCGCTGTCGCGCCTGTTGTTGAAGCTTCGTTCAACACCGCTGCTGTTCTCTCGACGCAGACGCGGAACACGGGGGAGATATTCGACCCTAAATTGAGAAGGCGGCGGCGGCGAACGGGAAGAAGCCGAGGGGCTGGACCTGTCAGAGGACGATGCACGCTCAGCGAATGCGAAGTAGTTCCGGACAAGCTGCGTTGCGTCGTGGGAGCGCGACCGAACGGAAGGTGGGTAAGCGGCCGGGTTGCGCGTAGGCGGGCCATCCCGATGGGAGTGCGACCCGAACTCGTACGACCTATTTCTGCGAGAGCGTGCCGCTGAGCCGTGTGTATCGAGTCTCTCCTCGCCCTCCGTATCATTCCCAGATATGTCATCGTCGGTCTCACAGCCACGCTGTGGCAACAAAGAGGACGACTCGTCCGGGCTCTGACGGCGAGAAGGAACGGTGAGCTGGGTGTTCGGAGAGGCTGCAGAGGCAGCGCGACCCGACTCGGAGCCATCTTGAGAGTTGTTCGAGGCGGAGAAGGAAGCGGAAGCGGCTGCGGAGGTGAACGATGAGTCTGCGCTAGGGAGCTGCGCATCGGGCGTGATGGTGGTGAGCATCGTCTCCCAGGGGTCTGCGGGAGGGCTCAAACTGCGCTCGCGGTCTCCGAGTCCATCGACAGTGCCAGGAGGGCTCCAAGTATGCCGCAGAGAGCTGGCTGGCAGAAGTCCGTCCGTGACCTGTCGCCGACCCATGCGCCGGAGGGGAGGCAGATCGCGGGTGGCATCCCTCAAGTCGCGGCCGGCGTCCGTTGGAGCAGGTTCCTCGTCACCGTCGGCAGAATCGTTGGAGAAAGGCCAGTTGCTTGGTGCGCGGCGATAGGTGTGTCTTGGCAGCTCTCCAAGCGGCTCTTGAGCCCTGCTCGACCACACCCGGCGCCGTCTGTTGGACGTCCTGGAGATCAGATCGAGCGCGCGCTCCCTCATGTGCCGTGGACGAGGACGATCCGGATCACTACTCGACTCCCGTTCTTGGGACCCGGAACGAAATCTGAGGAGTTGTGGGTTACGATCATCGTCGGGCTGGCTGTGATCGAAGCGGCTAGCGCGCAGAGTGGGGCCATCGGTGCTGATATACAGATGGACGCGCTCTTCAGGGCTGCGGGTTGATGCGCGCAACTCGGATGTGATGGACTCCAGCCGGTCAAGGTCAGAGAGCCAGTCGTCAGCCATGCCGGTCAGGTCCGTGTTCCGGCGCTCCTGGTTGCGTCTCTCGGCCTCCCACTCATTTGCACGGCGCGTGATAAGCTCCGCGACGTTGATGTAGCGGCGAGTGTAGCCGTTTGCATCGCTGCGCGCCGATGTGCGCCCCGGACGCGACGAGGTTGGCGAAGAGCGGCGTATAGGAGAGCGCGTCGCGGCAGACGCGTCGTTTTTGACTGCCTGGGCGCGCTGGTCGGCAGGAGACGGCGCGCGCCAGATTCTGCGGGGTGCGTTAGTGATGCTAGAGGCGTTGCGCCTGTGAGGCTGAAAGGCACGCGCGCGTTGGTTGCGCATAAACAGTTGTGGCGTGAGGAGACATACGGGAGGCCCATGATGCGGGGAGGGTGCGGAGGCGATGCGCGACTGGTTGGTAACGAGCGACGGTTGATGGATGTGGGCGGTGGGATGTGCGCGCGCGAGAGTGGAGGATGGATGCGGAGTGAGGCAGTGTAGAGAGCATGCAGAGATCTGGGGTCGCGCGGATGGCGAGCCGGGTGAGGCGGGCCTGCCTCAGCCAATAAGCGGTCCCTGCGTCTCGCGTTCAACAGTCGCCCTGCAGGTCCGCCTCGCGCGACGCACCGCCCCCGAGCGCGTTTGCCCGGCCGTCCTCCAACGTCACCCAAGTCGCCGCCATGATTGAGCTCGGCCTGGCCCGCGTCGGCCAGCTGCTCAAGCAGACGCCGCTTCCATGGCGCGCCATCCACGTTGCCGGCACTAACGGCAAAGGCTCCATCTGCACGGCAGCCTCTGCCATGCTGCACAGGGCCGGCATCTCGCACGGCCGCTTCACCTCGCCGCACCTGATCGACCGCTGGGATTGCATCAGCATCAACGAGGAGCCTGTCGCCGAGTCCGTTTTCCGCGAGGTCGAGCATCTGGTCCAGGGCCGCAATGAGCGCGAAGGCATAAACGCCACCGAGTTCGAGCTGCTGACCGCCACCGCCTTCGAGCTCTTCACCCGCGCGAAGATTGAGATTGGCGTTATCGAGACTGGCATGGGCGGTCGCTTGGATGCTACAAACGTATTGCAGCAGCCCCTGGTGACTGTCATCTGCAAGATCGGCATCGATCATCAGGCGTTTTTAGGCGACACTATCGAAAAGATCGCCTTCGAGAAAGCCGGGATCATGAAGCCAGGCGTGCCTGTTGTCGTCGAAGGTACCAACAGACCGTCCGTCGTTGAGGTGATCCAACAGCGCGCCAAAGAAATATCCGCAGGCCCGGTATACATGGTTAACGGTCTGCCGGATTTGCCGGAATCAAATTCAGAGTACAAGAACTTCCTAAAGGCCAAGGACTTCCAACCCCATGAGATTCTCAACACGGCATGTGCTCACAAAGCTACCCTGTTGGCTTTGGAGGCCCTTGGTCGGAAGCCTGACGATGAGTTGAGTCTTTTCAACGGTTTGGCAGACGTCAAGTTGCCCGGACGCCTTCAGACTTTGGACCTCGGGCGTATCACCGAGCGCAAGAGCCCGGCCGTATTGGACGGAGCACACAACGTTGATTCGGCTGAAGCTCTTGGCTGTTTTGTAGAGTCATTACGCAAGAAGTCCAAGAGTGGTGTTGTTTGGGTGTTATCAGTCAGCTACGGCAAGGCCATGATTGAGATGCTGAAACCGCTTCTGAGAAACGGGGATTCCGTCGTAGCTGCGGAGTTCGGCCCGGTTGATGGAATGCCCTGGGTGAAACCAACACCCGCTGGAGAAATAGTCGCAGCTGCAAATGCCACTGCAACGTTGCATGAAACCGCCGAGTGTGGCCCAGACGTCCCAGCTGCTTTAAAGAAAGCTGCGGCCTTAGCGTCCACTGACGGTAGTGAAGCTCCCCTTGTCATTGCTGGTAGTCTTTACCTGGTGTCGGACGTCTTGCGTCTTTTGAGGAGTGGCTGACAGCGTGAAAAGCGTGGACAGAGATAAAAAAAAATTTCAGACGATTGAATCTCACAGCCAAAGCGCATGTGAATTGCGTACAAGAAGTGAGATACCATGTAGGAAATAGATCGAAAGCCAACAGCATAGCGTGCCTAGCATCAGTAGGCAGGCATGCATAGTTATCTAAGAAAATTCAGAAGAAACATAAGAATACAGCAGTATACCACTCCACCCGGCCGTAAACATGAGCCTAGCTACTGCTTTGAAAGAAGACAATATTGAGAGCCAGGCTTCAACAGTTCACCACGCCCGTCAATCCAATTTCAGTCTACCTCCGTCACCACCCGCCTCCAATCTTCCAACTCGGCCCTATCAGCGGAATTCCACACTGCACCGTCCCCGCCCACTCATCCTCACGACACCAGCTCGGCTTCCACATGCACCGCCTGTTACCACTCGACACTATGAACTCCATCAGCTCATCCCACGCATTTTTCCTTGTCACACGCCGTGGCGTGCACGACCACTCCTGGCTAATCCCCGCCAACCAAGCCGGCCAGTCCCAGCGCCTCTGCTCCTTCCCAACTATACCCCACATGGACCGCATTGATGATACTAAGGAAGCGATCGGAGGACGGCGGAGCGGCGGGAAGATGCTCAGGTAGACCTCGTGCAACATTTTCGGCAGGGTGTTGGCAACCGCCTGCGCGAGGAAGAGGAAGAAAGCGATATACAAGACGATCCACACCGGCGTGACAATGAAGACATAGACGAGCAGGTAAACGATGCGAAGAATCATTGAGAATGCGTAGAAGAAGAGCGCAAAGGCGAAGACGACGAGGCGAGTAAGAATGTTTCCGTTGGCAGGGCCACGTATGTTTCCAAGTTTTCGGAACTGGCGCAGTATGAACTCTGTGGTATTAACAATGATTTTAAGTGCGATGTCGCAAATGATGATGATGGCAATGACGGTGAAGGGACTGTCGTGTGTTGAGACCCAATACAGAATTGTATCAATGGCGTCCGTGGGATACAGAATTATAGCAATGGCGTCCATGGGAGTGAGTGTCATGATGATTCTGAGGTCTGAATTGCAAGAAGTGCAGTATGAGTTGACAGAATGGCCAGGTGGAAGAATGGTGCCGAACACTCTTTTAAGGTGTCATGTAAAGTCGAAGCAGAGGGTGGTGATGAGAAGTGAAGTCTGTTAATAAACTTCAAGGAGCATCAGCTTCTCTTTGTTCCAGCCGAAACCTTCAGGTGGGTAACCATAATGTCTTGATTAACAAAGGAATTCTTTGTTCGTAGCTGAAAAAGGAACGAGACGATCCAAAACGCTGAAAGGTAGCATCTACTAGCAAACAGCAGACTTCGTAGCAAACAACAAACGGAAGAGCGATGAACATCATGGAATTCACTCGATGTCTGCCAGCAGGCGTCAATACTGCTCGAGTAAATAATCCGACATCTCAGTATTTACACTTGCAATATAGATGTAGAATTTCTGCGTGTGCGCACAACGAAGCTGTCATCTTTGAGTGAGTGCGCAGTGTGTTGTAGAAGATTCCACCCCCCCTTCCTGTCTCGTGTTAGATACTGTAGCCTCCCTCTATAAAGTTGAGGCAGCTTTTTGGATACAGCTGTTAGGTTCAAAGGCATACTGAAGCACCTAGACATGGAGTTCAATCAATATCTCATGCTTCATGTTGAGGAGCTCAAGCTCTTTTAAAACAGGCTATGAGTGGTCGATATCTTTCATTCCAGCTTTACAATGTGCATTAAATTGATCATAGGAGAAGGGGAATCTCATCCGTCATTCATGCCTTCACAGCCTGGCCTTTCTCATCAACGAGGTGCTCCGTAACACTAATGGGGCCCTCTCCAACTCCAGTCAGGATAACCCTGCTGACTCCCTCCTTGAGCTGGGCGGCGGTCTTCTCATCGACCTTGGACAGCGCCTCGGCGTTTGCCTGAACAGCGCCACCCCTCTTGCCATCCCAGCCGTCCTTATCCCCGAGGAGAGCCTTGAACAGGCCGGCAACCTCCTTCTCATGCTCCTCCAAATAGTAGACCACAGCGTTTGGTCCGGCATCGAACGTGTACGCTGCGATCGTCTTGCCTGCAGCGTCGTTGATGTACTCGACCGCCTTGATCGCCGCGCGAGACACGTCGTTCATGTAGAAGATCGGAGGCTCGGTGTCGAGGCAGGTAGCGTGGAAGCTGTTGCTGTCCTTCATCGTGACCTTTCCGAAGGTCTCGAAATCACGCGCCTTGATCGCGTCCTCCATCTGCTTCATGCGCAGGGGGACCGTCTCGTTGGCACGGGCAGGGAAAAGACTGCTGGTGGCGACAGTCGTCTGCATGCCAGTCGTGCTGCTAACGCCCTTCTTCGCCGCGCTGACGACGAGGATTACGGCGCGCATGTTGGGCCAGTGTGCGGCAGGAGCGACCTCGTAGGCCAGGCTGTCGCTACCATCGGCGGCGGTGCCCTTCTCCCACGCGACGTAGCCGCCAAACAGACTGCGGCAGGCCGAGCCGGAGCCCTGGCGCGCGATGCGCGAAAGCTCCGTCGGGGTGGCGGGGAGCTGGTACAGGTCGGCGATGGCGCGCACCAAGGCAGCGAAGCCGGCGGCGCTGCTAGCCAGGCCGGCGGCGGTGGGGAAGTTGTTCTCGCTGACGACGCGCAGAGGGTACGACGACAGCTTGGGCAGGGTGGGGTCGGCAGCCTCGAGGGCGGCGCGCAGGGCCCTCAGCTCGCGGAAGCAGGCCTGGGTGCGGGCACCCGATACGTCCTGGTCCTGGCCATTGAGGAGAAGCGAGTCGGTGGTGGTGTAGGAGGAAGAGCAGGAGGCGGTGGTGTGGGTGCGGAGGTCGGACTGGGCGAGGGTGACAGACAGCGACGAGTTGGTGGGTAGGTTAAGCTTAGGGTCGCGCTTGCCCCAGTACCTGTGAGTTGCGAGGATCGGTTTAGTCAATGGCGCGGGCAGCGGAATGTGAGGCGGACTTGATGACGGCGATGTTCACCGGGGCGGTGGTGCTCGCTCTGTAGACTTGAGAATCGGCCATTTTGGTGGGATAGATATGTTTGTGAAAGAGCTGAGCGGTGTGGAGGAGCAGTTGAGGGGCACCTGCTCTGGCATCCAGGAACGCCAGCCAGGGTCCGCGCTCGGACCGACGACCGACGGCGCGCTCCAAATTATCTACAAGATTTCCTTCTCGACCAGCTTCGGCCCCTCGATCAGCTTGACCTTCCGTCCTTCCCACCAGCACATGAGGCCTGCGAACAAGCTGACGCCACAGCCCAACCCAATGAACAGGCCCGCGCCCCACGTCGGCCGGTCGATGCGGTTGTAGTGCCACATCATGAACGCCATGCCAACCTGGAATAGCGTGTTGAGCACGTACATCCAGACGACAAAATCCAATTTCCAGTACTGCGTCGCGGGCGCACATGCGCCTGACGTCGTAATTCTCTCGTCGCTCGCCGCATCCATGTCTTCCTGGCGGAGTCGGAACCAGCTCGCGTTCTGCTGAGCAAGCCTGCGCAACCCGACTCTTCCCTTTTCTGGCCCGAGTCCGAGACGGAAGGCTGCAATGAACCACAGGTCTCGGAACCTCCACGGCGCAAGGCCCCAGGCGGTAAGGCAGAAGAGCGCGTTCAGGATCTGCGAGTCGATCTCGATCCAGATTTTTCGCGGAGATGAGTCTGCGTCGCCGTTGTCCGGATGGTTCATGGCAGGCGCCGCCTTGAGAAGCAGAAAGAACAGCATCGCTCCCCATGCTACCACGTTGAGTCCGTAGACGGTGATGAGGAAGCCGGTTGGGGTGATGACGAACTTGCCGGCTGCGACCAGCCCGCGTTTGATTACCGTCGTCCACGGTGCTTTCGGTTCGGCATTCGCCTGTTCGGCCTCGGTCGCTGTGGGAGCTGTACGCAGAGTGGCCGTGTCGGCTTCACGTGCGCTGTGGCCGTGGGCGTCGAATCCAATGTCGTCTTGCTTCAAGTCGGTAATGTTCGGTGCGTGGGCGATAGCAGTTCCTGTGGCAGCCCACATGCCCAGCTGCGGATTGTACTGCAACAGCTCTTTGGCTGCCGACACCGACCCAGAGCGCAGCCTGCCCATGACATTTTCGGATATTCCCCCATTTTCGGATTTCTGTTTGCCTTCCGCAATTGGGGACGACATTTTTCTCACGGTGATGAAGAAGCGAGTGGCTCGAGGGCGTTTTACATACTGCAAGGTTCAGCCTCAGCAAGGGCGGACCTCGCTCGAGTCAATAGCCGGCGATCGATCTTTTGAATCTTGTGTACGCGCGAAACCGATAATTCTACGCCCTCTTCGGCTAGGTCGGTGCACATCCGTGCCAATCGGACAATCTGGATACGCCTGCTCTCGTCAAGCTTTGCCCGACCTGGTCAATGTTGCGGCGGACACCTGCGGCTGCAAGGTTCCTCTTAGGCCCCACGCTAGTCTTCAGCCCATCCCGCCGTGATATCCACCCTTCGTCAGTCCGCTTTTTACTACTGACATGGTATCAAACGGCCGTCTTCGCTGTTTTTCACTACTCAGGTGCATCAGATCATTCGTCGTTTTCTGAGCTGGTCGTACCTTCACTGCATCATGCCTCGACCCGGCGCTCCGCGCCGCGCTTCCGCAGTGACCGTTCTCCAAGATGATGGCCGAGTAAACATCAACGTGCTGGACAAACTGCCCTTTTCGTTCAGATCCGATCGTTCGTTCAAAAAGAGAAGGGGGACGACATGGAAGAAAGAGAAACGGGGAAAACTCTTTGACGAGAAAGTATTGCAGGACTTCGCCCATGTCCCGCGCATGAACATCGCCGTTCTCATCACCGGATCCCGCGGAGACGTTCAGCCTTTCATCGCTCTATCCAAGGTCCTCCAAGGCCCGCCGTATCATCACAGGGTCAGAATCGTCACCCACCCAAACTTCAAAGGGTTTGTCGAGGAGAACGGCATCGAGTTCTACTCTATGGGCGGAGACCCGGAAAAGTTGATGGCGTACATGGTCCGAAATCCTTCGATTCTACCTTCGTTGGCGTCGATGAAAGCTGGCGACGTGGGGATGAGAAGGAAAGAGATCGCAGAAATGCTGTACGGTGCATGGAGAGGATGCACCGAGGCTGGAGATGGAATAGAGGATCTGACGGACAACGACATCCCGTTTGTCGCTGATGCTATCATCGCCAATCCTCCAAGCTACGCTCATATTCACATTGCCGAGAAGCTTTCAGTCCCACTCCACATAATGTTTACAATGCCCTGGTCCCCGACTACAGCCTTCCCGCACCCACTGGCCAACGTACATGCAAGCAAAGCAACCAGCAAGGTGGCCAATTGGACTTCCTATTACGAAATGGATCTCTTGACATGGGAGGGCCTCGCTGATCTTATCAACCGCTTCCGCGTACGAACTCTTGACCTCGATCCGCTGAGTCCTCTCTGGGCTCATCTGCTATTTACGCGCCTTGAGGTCCCCTTTACGTATTGCTGGAGCGAAGCCTTGATCCCAAAGCCAGCCGATTGGGGGCCACATATCAGCATCAGCGGCTTCTTTTTCCTATCCCTGGCATCATCCTACACGCCATCGCCGGAGCTTCAGGCGTTCCTTGATGCAGGCCCGCCACCCGTGTACATTGGTTTTGGTTCGATCGTCGTCGACGATGCGCAGCGTCTCACAGACATTGTTTTGGAAGCGGTTAAAAAGTCAGGTGGTGAGTGGGCCGCACAAATTCTGACCCTTTAGAAACTCATTCAATGCAGTGCGAGCACTCGTCTCCAGAGGATGGGGCAACATGGGCGGTTCTGACGTGCCCGACAACGTCTTTCTCCTTGGAAATGTGCCACATGACTGGCTCTTTCCGCGCGTATCCGCCGTGGTCCATCACGGCGGTGCCGGCACAACGGCCATTGGCATCGCGCTTGGCAAGCCTACCGTAATTGTCCCTTTCTTCGGCGATCAGCCATGGTGGGCGAGTATGGTGTACCGTGCAGGCGCAGGTCCTGAGGCAGTTCATTTCAAGAAGCTTACGGCCGACAAGCTCGCCCAAAACATTACCGAAGCATTGAAGCCAGAGATGCAGATTCGGGCAAATGAGCTGGCAGCCAAAATTCACGGAGAAAAGGGAGCAGAGAAAGCAGCGGAGATTTTCCAATCCATGCCACAGATGCGAGGCACGGCTTGTGCACTATGTCCGGACAGAGTGGCGGTATGGAAGGTCCGACCAACGGGAATCCAGCTGAGTGCTGTAGCTACGACCATTCTCGTAAGCAGAGGGCTCATTGATCCACATGACCTCACGCTGTAAGTCATAGGAATCGACCCCTCTCAAGCAGCGAACGTAAGCCTAATAAGCACTACCAGTTGCGAACATAAGCGCTGGTTTGTCGAAGAGGGCCCACCCGACCCCATTGGCGCCCTCATTGGCACCACTGTCGGGTGGGTGCGCGCCTACCAAACGATCTTCAGCGACTTCAAAAACGACCTCTCCCAGTCTCCTTTCCCAACATCCCACCACCACACTCGCTCGTCAAAAGGCACGCCAACCCCACCATCACCAGCTGGTGGTCTCTCCTCCATCGACCGCCCCATCCACCCTTCCGCCCTCAGAATCTCCGCCTTCCACCGTCCCCACCACAGAAAACACAACCACAACCACAAGCTCGCTCCCGCTCTCGGGGCCCTCGCCTCTCGCACGCTGCAGATTACCCTGCTGCGCGGCCCCGTGGCCCTTTTGTACAACCTAGCCAACGGTCTGCACAACGCGCCGTCCGTCCTCTTCCACGACCCGACAGTGCGCAGCCCGCGCCCCCGCATCGACGACATCGCGTCTGGCGCAAAGGTGGGCGGCAAAGAGCTGGTATATGGGCTATATGACGCGGTTGCAGGGATTGTGGTGCTACCGTATCTAGGGTACAAGGATGCTGGTGCGGCGGCCGAGGCGGAGGGTGCAGGGTTTGCGGACGGGAAGGGCGAGGATGGAGATGGGAAGAAAAGTAAGACGCATAGGAAGGGTAGGAAGAGGGACAGGGCGCTTGGTGTTGCAAAGGGCGTCGCGCAGGCGCTTGCTGGCGCGCCGTTCAAGGTCTGCGCGGCGGTCGCGGGGCCGATGGGGTACGGGGCGAAGGGCGTAGAGAGGCAGGTGGCTGGGTGGATTGCGGAGGTGGAGAGGAAGAAGGGACAGAAGGGGCAGCAGTTGAGGCTGCCGGATTGCTTGGGAAGCGAGGACACCAAGATGAAGATTATGAGTGCGTGCGAGAAGGTGGGTGGACATGAGAGCGTTAGGTGGGTGGTGGAGAGGAGGGTGTTGCAGGGGTGTTGGGAAATGTCAAGATTGGAGGAGGAGATGGATGATGGCGCTCATGCATTTTCCGAAGAGGTCATCAGGAAGTGGGAGGCACTGGATAGGGGGAGGAGGGCTAGCAGAGTTAGCATAGTTGCGTAAGTGGTGGGATTAGAGTGGCGGAGGAGAATGGAGCCCTTGGCTAGAACTAACCTAAGATATCATGCTTGCTAATATTGAGATTAGATAATTCCTAAATAGACAGCCAAGTATTTCGTTGTTGACCGGTTAAGTGTACAGCCAGCATCCGTCGGCATCACCACAGTTCCGCGCCGACGTCAAATTCCTGACAAGCTACAAACTAAATTTCATGATCGACAGGACTACCCGCATTAAGCATTCGGCCAACCTAATAGGCCATGATTCATCACACTACGCCTCCGCCCAAGCACAGCCGCTATAGGTTCTTTGTTCCGGGGCCAACCGCTTAGCCACTACCGGTAGTATCCGGCGGTACCCCGCCTTCACTATTCACTCCTGCCGGGATGAGATCATAGCCCCTGCATGCAGCGAATCGGTATCAACCGTCGTACGAGATGCGGGTCGTCTATCTCGTGCCCGTCCAATCTTGGCAAGATGATAGGAGACGTTTCTGGTGTTTTGATGCTCGGGGCTCGGTCTTCTCCCAGCCCAGTGGATCCGAACAAGGCAGCTGCGAGCTTAAACAAAAGGCGGGAGTGATGCACACCACAAGAGGCAATAGACAGCTTCACCGCAAGCACTTGGGCCACCTGCTCTTTATCTATCTCTATTCCTAACCTTCTTCCCTAAAGCTTTTTTTCACATCATGGCTCCGGACAAACGATCCAGCAACGCTTCATCCTCATCCAACGCTGCAACCATGGTCACCGACAAGGAATTCTGGCATGGCCGCAAGAAGCAATTCGGCGTCACCGTCGGCTCATCTTTCATGCTGATCCAGCTACTCTTCCTCACTGTCATCTCCTACCTCTTCGGCTCCATGTACCGCCAAAGCACCCGTATCCACAGCCTCAAGGTTCTCGGCGTCGACTACGACGGTGGGATTATCGGTCAAAGTGTTCAGCGCGCCTACGAGAGCCTCGCCGCACCTTCTTTCCCCAGTATCGAGTTCAAGGACGCAACCGACGGCTACACCGACGTGTCGGATGTTGTTGAGGCTGTGCGGCGCGGCGACTACTGGGGCGCCGTATACACGCATGCAGGAGCATCTAACCGCCTGGCTGACGCTCTCACCGGCGGCGAGGCCGCTTGGACCTACAACTCATCTGCAGCCGTCACCTACGTCTGGAATGAGATCCGCTACCCGTCGGTTGCATCGGGCTCTATCAAAGGCAACATGGAAACCCTCATCGCCGTCTCCCGCGTCATGTACACTCACATCAACGGCACCGCTGCTCTCTCAACCCTTGACCAGACGGACCAGGACGCCATATCCGCCTACCTCAACCCAATCCAGGCTTCTTCCATCAACATCAAGCCATCTCCGCAAGCCGCCAAGATGGTCTACAACACGATCCCGTTGGTCATGGCCATCGTCATGCAATTCTTCTTCCTCATGGCCGTCAACGGCGTCGCCTCGTCGCTCCAGCTCTACTCGCACATCCCCTTCTTCCAAAACCTGGTCGTGCGCGGCGTCCTCTCGCTCGCCTACACGTTCGTCGGCTCGCTCTGCCAGTCGGGCTACTTCTGGGCCTTCAAGGAGTCCTGGGAGCAGCCGGCGTCCGTCTTCGTCCTCGTCTGGCTCTGCATGTGGCTCTACCAGTACGTGCAGTTCCTCATCTTCGACGTGGCCACGACCTTCATCCCCATGAGCTTCGTGCCCTTCTTCATGCTGTCCTGGATCATCGCCAACATGGCGAGCACCATCGCCCCCTTCGAGCTCAGCCCGGGCTTCTACCGCTGGGGCTACGCCCTGCCCGCCCACGAGACGTGGCAGGTGCTCATCACCATCTGGTCCAACGGCGCCGTCAACAGGCTCTACCGCGCCCTGCCCATCATGTTCGCCTGGATCGTCGTCATGTTGCCGTGCGCCTTCTTCGCCCTGAAGTGGCGGTGCAGGAAGGCCGCCGAGGCTGCGGCCGCCGAGGCCGAGAGGAAGGAGAAGGAGAAGGACGAGATCAAGAAGGAAGTGGGCGGCTCGCTGGCGGAGAAGATGAGGGGTAATGGCGCAGCTGGTCGCCCTGCGGTCGACGGTGCTGGTGCCGAGAGGAATGCCTGGACGGAGTCTGAGTACTTCCCGAGCGTGCCGACGCCATTTGAGAACACGCTGAGGAGGGTGTTTTCTGCTTAAGGAATTTATTGAGTGATGGTGTTACGGGGGAGGTTGCATGTGTCGTAGTTTGCTCGTTTTTATTTGCAGCGTGATATCCCATGTAATAGACTATATGAGGCTGAGCGGAAATTTGCTTTCATGAATCAATCACAATACCAGCTAGAGTGTTCTAGATAGACATTTTGTTTAATATTATCATTTGTACCTCCTTTTCCCACAGAATCTGCCGTACTGATCTTGCTGCACCAGTGCCGGGGGCCCAAGAGATTCACACGCATGCCATCCACCCCCATTCCTTGAAACTTCGCTCCGATTACCTTTTCCAAGTCTCCGCTCGCATTCCCCCATCTCTGTCAACTCAGCAGCCAGAGCAGTATATCCTCGACGCAAAATCGTCCCGCATTCGCCTCCCTTTGAAGACCGCAGCACCGCGACATCAGCGTCACCTCGACTTCACCAATCCAAACGCAGCAGCCGTCGCTAACATGCCCGCAATTTTCGCAACTGTAGTAGCTCTTTGAGCAATTATCCGCCTTGCAAACGCAGCATTCGATGACAGCCATCGGAACTCCGTTATTTCCGCGAGAGGATTCGCAATGGTAGTGGAGTGATGGAGGCCGTGTGTGGACGTTGAGTAGGGGAAGATTGCGCGTTGTGGGTGGATGGGGTAGGTATGAGGGAAACGAGTGGACGGCTCGCTTCAACCTTCGGTGGGAAGCGATGCCCTCTTTGATGTTATATCGTGTCCGGTATATGTGGTGATGATGATGCTGGGCGGTGGTTCGACGCAAGTGTCAATGAGTGACGTATGATCTCCGCCGCGCCGTTCCAGAATCTTCCCGAATCAGGTAATTATCTCGGCTTCGATTTTTTGGGGTAGGTAATGCTCCAGGAACATACTACTACCCCATACGTAGAGTGTAATTTTTTTTGTCTGCGTGTTGTTGTTTTTTTTGTCTTCGTGTTGTGAGAGGGATGGCTGTTTGGTCAGCACCACAACCGCCCATCAATGATAAAGTGGTAATGATCATAAAGACACATGCGTGCTTCAAGCAGCGGACCTGTGGTTCTATGACTATTTATTTCGCTTTTTTGTTGCCCTGCTTGGAGTGTTGCTGTCCGCATCCACAGCCAAAAGTCATTTCAGCATTGTCCATCACTATGATCAGTACGTACCCACTATACTCCATTTCGGGGTTCCTACAAGATGGTTTATCTTTCTATGCGATTCTTCTTTCAAAAAGTAAATACCCTAGCAAATCAGTAATTGTGAAATATGCCATCTTCTATCACTAACCCTTCCTAAAGTTCGGCACCATATCCTCACTATGATGCAGATCATCGTCAAGCGATGGTCAGTGGTGCCCAAATGAAGTATATTCGAATTATTTGACAAAGCAGCCTCCTGCCAACGACAAGAAAGAAACGCGACCGAGTTTGGCTTCGGAAATCCGCTCAAGTAATCAGTAATCCTTGTGACTGAAAGCAACTTTGAAAAGGCTGCTCGGGGTGACGACTGTAGCATTGGTAGAAGTGCCAATAGAATAGGATTCCCTCAAACTGGACTCGAGTTGCCTTGTGACGTGCTAATGGCTAGTGACTATGCTCAACTGATAAACTAAATTAATACCGTAGGGCGGCACATGCGTCGTCACCTGCATTACTTGATCTTTCACGAGCCATAGAATGGAATGATCACAACGCCAAGGTTATTCGGAAAGATAACTGCCTGGTACCAACCTGACAAAGCAAAGGCGAAATTTCGTGAATGAGCCCATTTTGTTGGAATAAGAGATCTGTACAGTTGATTACCTTATAATCCAATCCAAAACAACCCTCATCTTCCCTCCTAAGCCAAGCTTGAAAACGCTCCGTCCCTGCTCATTCTCTCTCAAAACTTTCCGCTCTGTTACGCCACCGGCCGGTCAACCCACGCTACATTTTAGCAACCCGGCCGTCTCACAAGCTCCACTCACCGACAAATGGAGAGATAGAACTGAGAAGATGTGCACGACGACCAAAAAGTAAGCGAGAAAGGCTTAATATCAACGACGTCAGTCCATGCATTCCATCAACTTTCGCACCATACAAAAGCAGTAGGAAAAACAAGGAAGACGGACGCACATCGCACCAACGTTCCGCTCGCCAGTTCGCATCCACCAACCAAGAAATCCACGCAGAGAAAAGAGTTTTGGACAGCATTCGCAATACTCGCGATATCTTAATAGACAGCACTCCGAAGGGAGAGGTAAACAAGGAAAACCCCGACCCATGTTCTCTTGACCAACCAAGGAATACAGAAAGGAGAGGAAAGGAAAATAAATGCCATATCATGCTCGTACTCGTACCCAACCTTATAGTCTCTTTATTATTACGTGATTCTCCTTGTCTCTTTCAGCTCCTCGTTCACCGTCCATAACCCAACTCCCTGAGCCTGGTACAGCTAGGCTTCGGCATCTTCCTTGCCTCCTTCATCTTCTGCTCGTCGACGAAGAACCAGCCCTGTGCGTCTTGCATCATCCGCGCTTGGCGCTGCTGCTCGATGTCGCATTCGACGTTCAGGTGGCTCATGTACCGCACTTCGGCCGTGCGGTCCAGCTCCTTCAGTTTACGCGTACTCAAGTCATCCACATCGGCCGGGTTGACCCAGTAAGGGATGTTCAGGCGGGCCGACGTGCGTTGCTGCGTGTGCGGCGGCACTGCCCCGTCGAAGCGTACAGATGGCCCCGCCGGGGTCGAGCCCGAGCCGGAGAAGAGCGATGAGAGGAGCGGCAGGATGAAGAGGAAAAGCAGTGGCAGCAGCGACGACAGCGTGCTGCCAATGCTGGGTTGCTGGGCCGCTTGTTCCGCTGCCGTTGGCCTTCTGCGTGGTCTCGCACCGCCGAATTGGTGCACGCGGATTCCTGGACCTCCACCGAGGTTGAATACAAAGCCGGGACCAGTGTCAAAACCGCCCATACCGCCTATGAGAAAGGAAATCATGTCAGCCACGACAACAGTCCCTGTAGCCTACCCATACGCCACCTCCGAAGGCTTTTGATTGGGACGACTCACCAAAAGGTCCTCCAAATCCTCCGCCGCCAAAGAACTGTCTGAACAACTCCTCTGGCGACATTTCCTCTTGATAGAACCCTCCACCGGGCGCTCCGCCTGGTGATCTCGCAAAGCCGCTGAACGGCGACGCACCGGCCGCAGATGAGCCACCGCCGAACCTGTTATCCGGGTCGCCGCCAAATTTGTCGAATTTGGCCTTCTTGTCGGGATCCGACAGGACTTGGAAAGCCCTCGACACCACTAACATAAAACAGTCAGCTCTCTGCCCGTTTCGATTATCCCCTTCTCATAGAACCTCCATCCCCTAATCCCCATGCTCAATTCTCTCCCCTCCTCTCCCCGCAAAACAACATAACCGGGAGCATCCAACTTACACTTGAACGCCTCGTCCGCACCGTCGTACCCGTTCTTATCCGGATGCGTCAGCAAGCTGAGCTTGCGGTACGCCTTCTTGATCTCCGCGTCCGAGCACACTGCGCGCTTCTCCTCCAGGCCCAGGATCTCGTAGTACGCCGTCGGCGAGCACTTGCGGATGCGCAGCACCGCCGCCTTCTGCTCCACCGTGTACGCGCGCCCCTCCGACCCATCGTGGTGCTGCCGGTGCCGCGCCTCGCCGCCGGAACCGGCGTCCGCGCCGCTGGCTTTGGCCGACATCTGTGTGTTGGAAGGTTTTGCGGCTGCGGTGGTGCTTGCTGAGCCGATACGGGTTGTACGACAGTGGTGGGGGGGATGCTGTAGACTTGGATGGACTTGTCGAGGTTCTTGCGCGTCGTGCGGTCGAAAGTGGCGAGATCCGAGTGTGTCGGCGGATTTGGCGTCCCGAGATGATGCGTACGGCGGGGGAAAGTCGCTGTTGTTGTCGGGGTGGGTGGTGTGTTGCTGAGAGCTTCCCGGCGCAAGGCGCGAGAAAAAGCAGTCGTTGCAGGCGATCCAAGTCCCAAATGCCGCACTCGCTCCTCAGTCGTCGCGCTGCAGCCGTCGGGGAGGCGTGCGCGTGGATTTGTTGTTGTGTGTTGGGCTATTTTCCCCGGTATCTTTCTAAGATGCCACAGTATCGACGTCTGCAGGTGCCTCTTCCGTCGGCGGGTCGGCCAAGGCCGGGGGATGCCAGGAAAAGGCGGCGGCGGCGGACGAGGGCCGGGCTTTCTTGGGGTTTCCCTAAGCGCGGGCGGACTCCTGCTGCTTGCCGCGACGGAAAGAAGCTCAGACCTTTTCCTCTTCAGTGAGCAGCAACCCGGCCCTGTCCTTGCTGCAGGTGGCCGCTCTCGCCTCTCGTGCGCCGGCGCTGCGGCCGCGGCAACGCCCGCCAAACTGCTGGCCTGACGCCAATCCTTTGCCCTACTGCTGTATGACGAAAGTGCTTTTTGCGGGTTGCGCGCAACACCACCTCCAACCAAACTGCTCCAAACCACATTTCCCCTCAACCAACCCTCGTGAACGGAACAATGGCTGGCGAACCTGAAGAACAAAGCCCCTCCACCAGCCTCGCGCACAAGTTGCAAGCATGGGGAAGTACGTACAGATGCACAAACCAACAAGCACCATCTCGGCGGTTGCACACCTCAAAGCACAACCAAAGCTAACAGTCGAATGCAATTGAAACAGACAATCCCCTGCCACCGACGCTTCTCGCGACGCTCATCACGGCCCAGCACATGCGCCCATTCCAGCCACTGCCCATGCTCTTCCCGCCCGTTCTGCTGCTTTCCAGCTATATCAACCTTAACGGCTACAAGAAGGATGCGGCCGGTATGTCTGCTGCCTGGAGCGGGCTGTACGTGTTGCTGGCCGGGAGGAGGAAGCAGGTTAGTCACCTTCTGTTCCAAAGCTTCGCGCTGCGGCAGAAAGCAAGAGAGAGACGATGGATTATGCAGGCTGACGCGCAATGATTCATTTACGGCAGAAAATATACTCGAAATTTGGCGCTAGAGGCCTCACCCGTGGAGCGACAATGGTTATGTGCGCAGCCAATGTCGTTAGTGGCGGATTAGCATACACATTCGGAAAGAGGGAGCAAGAAGAAGATTCTTGATGGAGACTGGTGGGCTAGAATCGAAGGACAAGTCATCACGAATTCACGATAATAAGTGTATCATAGAATGTAACAATATGAACATCAGGCGAGCATTTTGAGCTACAGAGCAGCTTAACATCGGCACAAGAATCAAGCAATATCTAAAGCCACACCAGATAATTGAATTTTTCTATTTACCACCTACTTTCTGTTGCACTTCATCATTCGTGGATGGCTCTCAAACCATCTAAATCCCCAATACCGTATTGAACGCCCTTAATGCAATCGCTCCCATGAGACCGAGCCGTCATTGCTACATGAGCTCTAAGACATGTCCATAGGCTCGCCACCGGAAGCCTGAGCTCGTTCGGCCTGCTTCGCGGCTTTCTTCTCGGCCTTGAAGCTTTCGATCTTTTGCTTCAGCTCGGTGTTGGGAATGACATCTTCGATCTTCAGTGGGGCACGGTTGAAAGGGTCGTGAGGATCACTGAGAAGGTGGCTCTGGATGACGGCACGGTCGATCGTCATCTTGCTCTGGGGAAGGATAACCGGGTCCTTCATGATGTCGAAGATGAGCGGGTCCAGGAACTCATCCGGAATTTCGCCCAAGTCGGCTTCTTCCTGCTCATCGGCTTCCTTCGCTTCCTGGACCTGACCCGCCAATCGCTCCCATCTGCCAATCTCTTCATCGGATTTCAGAGCAAACCGCCTCATAATGCTAGTAGCCTTGTTGAAGTTGTCCGGCTTGTAGGAGCGACCATCGCGCGCGATAGCAAGACGGAAATTCTCCTTTTCCTGGAGATTGAGGTAGACGTCGACGATCTCCGACAGCATCGACTTCGCATTGAAACCATACTCCTGTGGGTTCTCTACCTTGAGGTTCGTCTGCTTGGGACCCACCAATGCATCGAGATTGTAGTCCAGCATGTCGGCGAGACGCTGCACTATCTCCGGCATGGTGAATGAATCGCTAAGAGCCTCTGTGAAAAGCTTCAACATGGCTACCGTCTCGTTGGTGAGACCCATGTAGCTCTTGGCCCTCCCCTTGGCCGCCTCGAGCGCCTCTTCTTTCTCCTTTCTGAGAGTCTCATCTGAGATGGCGTTTGGATCGCGAAGTTGTCTCGTAATTTCGTGGATCTGGGTGAAAGCCGAAAACGACTCATCAAGGACAAAGGTAACGTCGTTGAGAAGCAAGTTCACGAAACGGACGAAGAAGTCCAGGTTGACCCTGCTCGAAGTTCAGTATAGCAACGACACGAGTTCGCATGAATCGAAAATAACGTACTTAGCCTCAGTTCCCAGGTGGTCGCGGTACACAGGGTTGCCCCAAACGCACTTGAACACCTGGAAGATTTCGAATCTGATGTTGAACTTATCATAGAACTGAGTGTGTGCGCCCGTGCTTTCACACTCGATGTAGAACTGCATCAAAGCATGGAGGAGGTTGTCAGTCGCAAACTTAGTCGCAAACAAAAGGTCTCCAAGCACGCCTTTAGACCTGCCCTGGAAAGGCAGAGTTCCATAGTAGAGGATGGTAACGAGACCAGACTTGAGATAAGGGTTCTTGATGTAGGCCGAGCTTCGCAAGAAGGTCAGGCAAATCGTGATTAGTTCCTCGCACTGTGTCGAAGTGGCGATTTGAGGCATCATGCGAGTGATGAACTTGAAGTTGTCCACAATGTCCTCGAGGAAATACTCAGGCAGACACTTGAAGGCTTCTGGCTGTTGCGCGGGAAGAGGAAGCTTGAGCGGCTTCTGGGGGTAACCGGGGCTGACAATACGCAGCAACCAGACAATGACGTATCGCATGAATTGCATGGCCCGTCCCTGGATCGTCTCATCAAGCAAAACTCCCTGGGTTGCCAAGATAGTGCAGTGGCTACGCTCGATGGCGTCCTTATATTTCTTCAAGGCGTTTTCGAAGACTTGTAGCTGTGCCGGGTTCTGGAAGAAGGTGAGTAAAGCGCCACGCTCAGGGGGGTTCTGCCGACTTACATGGGCGTACTTATGCCTCTCCGTTTCGAACTTCTCAAGCTCGCGCTCCATCCATTTGAGGTCTTTCTGAAGTTGAGTCAACTTGCTCTGAGCAGCCTCGGTGCCGTAGTGATGAGCAGCTACAGTGAGAAAGAAACATTCTGAAATGAAGTTATTCTCTCCGCCGACTTTCGTGGAATAAAACTCGTCGGATGCGTTCTGATCCGCGTTCATCTTGGTTTCATCCTTGATATCAACGCGCGGGCTTCTGCGCAAGTAATCGATATCGATACGGTCAATTTTAGAGAAGGTCGAATCCATGAATGGGTCACAGAGGCGGTCGAGTATCACCGTGATATTGTTCATGAAGCCATCGGATGAGACCTGCTTCGAATCGACACGCATGGCGCGTCGCTTGTGGTTCAGGTTGACCGTCGCCGCGAACCAATCCAGCATGTTCGAGCGGGAGTCCTTTGCCCGAATGAAGCGGTTTGCCACGTCGAAGAGCTCATCCTGGTGTGTCGCCAAGGTCATGCGGAGAGCTCTCTGCGCATTCATGATGACAGACCTATCCCTGGTTCGTGATCCGGCGAAGTAGTTTAGCGCGACTTCGGACTGTAACGGAGAGAGCTTGAAGAAAGGGCCCAGAAGAGTGTCATTCTCCAAGGCGGGAGCATTAATACCCGATGGTAAGAATCGGGGCGACTGTGACAGGGCCACTACAAGTGGAGGATACTGGCAGACATTGCGCAGGGCCTGCCAAAGAGTCACTATCTGTATTGAGGCGGAGGGAGTTGTTACATACCATCATGTAGGGTTTGAACTGATCGTTCATGCTCTTCTTGCTCAGGTCCTGACTGAGCTGCTCCACCGCACCAACCAATGCGTCCTTGACAGACTCGTCTTCCTCGAACCGGGACACGGCTTCGTTCAAGAAGTCATGGCATATGCCATGCTCGTCTTCCGGGTCATTCAGCATGTGCTGAGCCAGAGGGTTCACGGGCCAAGCGTCTAAGCCGAACATGTCTGGCACGTTGACCGCGAGCATTGTGTAGTTCAAGGTGAGCCTACGGGCCTCCTTCATCACCTCAGCTCTTGCCGGGTCGCTCTTGTCTGCCGTGGTTGCACCCCTCGAAACTCTAGCCGCACGCTTCCAGCATGACAGCAACCAGTTCAGCGGCTTGCCATCAGGTCGGTTGGACGCGCCCTCAAAGAGCACTCCTTCCAGCACAGTTGTGTTCAACAGCAGCGGGCTCCCAGCATCCTCCAGGTCTCCCTTCACACCCGGCACATAAGTCAAGCGGTTTCCGTGCGCATCCTGGGTCTGTGCCTCGTCTAACGACACTCTGAAGATGTTGCTAAGTATCCTATGCTGCCACGTCTCGAAATTCTCAGGCGTCGCGGCGGGGCGGGGTCGCGGCCGTGACTCGTTCTCATTATCACGCTTCTGGGGCAGCGAGGTCGGGGCCTTCTTCGTAATGCTGATCTTTGGCGCGGGGGCCTGGCTCTCCGTCACGGCAGCAGGCGTGGAGCTCGGACTGGGCGACGGCGCGGTGGCGGGTATCGGACTTGGGGCATTGGCCGGCTGCGGCGTCGAGGCGGAAGGCGAGGCGGCTCCCGATGCGCTGTTCGAATCGCCTGGAGCAGGAGACGCTGGAGCGGAAGATTGACCACCGAGCTTCGCGAGACGCTTGTTGCGGATCTGCTCAGAAGTATCAGTGCGATACGGCTTGAGTGGCCAGGTGGGTGGGGCAACGGACCTTATCCGCGTCGGACAGCGCGTCAGACATGGCGGGTTGGATCTGCCTGCAAGATCTAGGGGACGATCGTGCGCGGGGTGCGGCGTGCGCAGCAGATGAGAAAGGTTTGCAGGTGGTGGAGGTTGAGGGGTGGCCGTTGAAGCTGGAGCTGCGATGAGCTAGACGCGATGATGTACCCACGGCACCAGGCACCCGCTCCCTGGATCCCCCACCGCCCGCTAAACTCCGCGCCTAACGTTCGATGCGGCAAGTCTGGGCAGGACAGCAGTGATGTCTAAACAGCATTTGCTTGTCCACCGTCACAAGTCAAGCCACATGCAAGGCTAGGAAAGACGTCTTTGAGCGGCGTGTCACGGGGAATTTGCCGTGCGCTGCGCGCCACAGGCTGTAGTCAGCACCGTTTGAGAGTAGAAAGAGCTCGAATAATGCAGAAGTCATGATTGTTCGTCCGCTGACTCAACTACTGCCATGCTGTTCCATAAAGAGGTTGGCGATGTAGAGAGAAGCTGCCCGACGAGCCTAACTACGCTTTCGGGCAATTCTGGGGCACGGTAGCCCCTCGTACACCGCATGTACATACAGAGGAAAGTAACGGGAGCATACGCTCACCGATCTACCAGCATCAAACGCAGCGGCAGGCGATCCGGCTCGCCAAACGCCTGGTGAGCGCGGCCGGGCCTGCAAATCGAGAGTGATTACCTGAGCGTGCGGAAAACTGGGGAAGGCAATAGCAGCGGTGGGGCTTCAGCCCTGCAGATTGCACCGGTGACGGCCGTGATATTCGGTGCGTCGGGCTGGCGCCGCCGAAAAGGCGTCGTATCCCTTAGAGTCGACTGCCGAATGGGGCAGGATTGTGTGCCAGAGGCCGTCCTCATCCACGCCCACGCAGCGGCGGCGCGGGCGATCGGCGCGCAGCTCGTGCATAAGGCTGCCACCCAGCTTGTGCGCGCGGTCGTCAGCACCGCGTTGATCCGGCGTCCAGGACCTACGAGCGCAGGCAGCCGGCGGCGGCCGGTGGCATGGAAATGAGCCCAAGGCCGTAAGGGAAGGGGAGCAGCCCCGAAACGGAGGCTCGCCACGGACGTCAGGACTGGCCTGGTGTGCTGGGCGTGCACAAAGGCGTGCTGCCAGTGCGCGCTGGTCGTAGCCAAGCGGGGAGGGAGGGCTGCAACTGCCCCAGGCAACGCCCGCTCTGGCCTGCGACGTGGACTGCGTCGGGCGGTGATGTCAAGAGTCCCGCGCGGTCGCACCTGGAAACATGGCCGCAGAGCGCGCCACGTGAGGCGCGAGGGCGGTGTTGCTGTTCTGGTATCGCGCTGGGGCGTGATTCATCGTTATCTGCTGGGCCGATGCACGCGGGCCTAGCCGAAAGGGGGCGGTGGTAGTGAGGACGTTGCCTGCCCAGCAACAGCCAGCGGCAGCTCTGCGTCTCGCTCCTCTCGCTCCAAACTCACTCTCTCCTGCACCTGCTCCGTCCTCACGCGCGCATCCCGCCGCTCTGCACCGCCATCGCCAAAGCCACCGCCCGGAGCAGCTTTGACCGCCCCCTTAGTCCAGAAGACGTATTTGCGGCTGTGCTGTTTGTTAGCCCCAGAAAGTCAGTACGCCTCGCTCCGACCTTTACCTCCCGCGACACTCAACCACTTCCTCCCCCGACATACCGTCCTCCACCCACCCGCGCCATCTCCACCGACCCGACCACACGCCTTCCTAACAACTCGCACAGATGGCTGAGATCCGTCGTAAGCTCGTCATCGTCGGAGACGGTGCGTGCGGCAAGACCTGCTTGCTCATGTGAGTGCCTCCCCGTTGTCCGTCGCGCTGCAGCCCGCGCCCGGCAGCCTCCTGATGCTCTGCTAACGCCCGCCGTCCGCCAGCGTCTTCTCCAAGGGCACCTTCCCTGAGGTCAGCACCTCCTCTCCCTCGCGGCCGCGGAGCCCGCCGCCGGGCGTCAGCTCCGCCGAGCGCCCTCCGATCGTCGCCTGGCCCGACGCGTGAGCGCATCGATGCTGATAGTGCGAGCAGGTCTATGTGCCCACCGTTTTCGAGAACTACGTTGCCGATGTCGAGGTCGATGGAAAGCACGTCGAACTAGCGCTATGGGATACCGCCGGTCAGGAGGATTACGACCGTCTCCGCCCGCTGTCCTACCCCGACTCGCACGTCATCCTCATCTGCTTCGCCGTCGACTCACCCGATTCGCTCGACAACGTCCAGGAGAAGGTTTGCCACGCTGCCGCTGACCGCTCGCTGCCTGCTTGCTGACGGAGCCCGATTGCAGTGGATTTCCGAGGTTCTGCACTTCTGCCAGGGCCTGCCCATCATCCTCGTCGGATGCAAGAAGGATCTGCGTCACGACCAGAAGACGATCGAGGAGCTGCACAAGACTTCGCAGAAGCCCGTCACTCCTGAGCAGGTAAGCCCGCCGTGCCGCCGCCGCCGGCAGTGGTTGGTATGCTGACGCCCCCGCTCGCACAGGCCGAAGACGTCCGCAAGAAGATCGGCGCGCTCAAGTACCTCGAGTGCTCGGCCAAGACCAACGAGGGTGTGCGCGAGGTGTTTGAGCACGCAACGCGCGCCGCACTGCTCACCCGCAAGAAGGAGAAGAAGAAGTGCAGCATCTTGTAAATTACCCACGCGAACCAACCGCCACGGCTGCTTCGTTGGGTGCCTGCGCATGGCCGACACATCCGTGGCTTGTGACACTGGGCTCATAACCTCGAACGAAGCTCAATGCGAATGATGGAGTACGGTGAATGAAGACAAGCGTGGACGCTTTTCTGAGTTACATGGTCCATTCCACATACTAGAGCTTCTCATTCTCGGCAACCTGAGGCGTTCATCTTGCGCAGGGCTTTCGGATTCAATTACACCGGCAGGAGTCTTCAGTGTGGAAGTCAGATCTCAGGTTGACGAGTAGCGGGTTTGATGGTCACGGAATGAGATAGGATTATGCGCGTTCCCACTACCCCAGTACATCCGTCATCCCGAACCATTTCACTCGTGCCTGGTCGCTTACTTGGTCTGGGAATTGGAGGCACCTTTCTTTTTTCTCTGGCAAAAACGCTGGAAACCCCTTTCGATTGTTGGTGTGCTTTGCTGGTTTCCTTTCTGGTCTTGTCCTGTCATCTTGCGCATAGGAGGTGTAATAGTTTCTAAATAGGCGTCTCAAATCGATCCTTTGAACCCAGCGTGCGAAGACGCTCTGGATCGACGCAATCTGCACCAACTCAGGCTGTGACCTTGTCTGCTGCTCCCCATGTTCGCGAGTCAGGATACCGAGACTGTTGCTCCCCCCCTATTCTGAGAGGGGAAGGGACTCTACGGAGACGGGACCTTCCAAGACAAAAGATAGCCAATTTTTGCCTCGGCGCCACCGGGACCTCTCTGTTTTATTGAATGTCTCGCCGCTCGCAACCTGGACGGTTTCCCCCAAGCGCAAGGTCTGTGTGCGCCGTTGGTTTTGTTCGGCGTCTTTTTATATTATGCACGGGACGCTCATCAAACCGGCTTCCCTCTTTTTTTTTTCTCTGGCGGCAAACGCTCACGATGTGACCAATTACCGCAGACCATTTCGTTCACGATGGCCGAGAAGGTGGTCAAAGGGGCGGAGTGCGAATCCGCGCTTGCCGTTATCCGAATGTCGAGACGGACGCTTTCCCTCGAGCACAAACTAATGACTACCGGCGCCGCGGTTAGCCGCGTGAGATGATGGTAAGGAAAGAGAGGCCCCACAAGCCGAAGCAGGACGCCTGACGCGCGTCTGCCTGCGCAGCACAGCTGAAGCCTAAGTCTACGATGCGCAAGCGAACGAAGCAAAGCAGAGCAATTCTGCCGCAGGGTACCTTGATCGGCTGAACAGGAAAAACCCGGGGCAACGGTCGAGGAGTCAGCCTTGACAGTCAACCTCGCTGCCTACTACTTTCGCTCACTATGACGATGAATGGTGAGGCTGGCTAGCTGTCTTGGCTGATGATTGCCTGCACTACGCTTTCGGACCGTCCCTCAGGACTTCATGCAGTCCCGCTGCACTCTAGAGGTGTGTTTTTTTTTTTCTTTGCAAGCCGTTGGTTTTAATTACCCTCTGCCTTGGCTCGAAGAGGTAAACAGGCTATTTTTAAATTTGGTGATCATGCAAAGCAGCGAGTACGAGCAGCCACAGTAGGAACGTGCGGTCTTTCTGCTCTCCAATAACGCCCATCACGGGAGTGCACCTTTTAACGAACGGGGGAGAGTGGAGAGTCAAAAGCTTGGCTCCTGGCTGTGGGACCCACGCTGCCCCCTTCCCGGGCACGTCCAACGGCAGCCAGACACCCCTGTCAGCCTCCATGGCATTAGACGAGCGGCTTCATTCCTACCTTTGCCTTTGGCATTGAATCCCTGAGCCGCCGTCCAATCAGGCCGCTCCGATGGCAGGCAGTCATTCTTCGAGCAACCACAGCCGGGCTCCGCCTCCGCCTCCACCTCGCCTCGGCTGTCCTTCTCAGCCCGGTTGACCACCAATCGATGGAGGGAGTCGGAAGTGCCTTGGTCTTCCGCAAAGCGGCTCCGCTTCAACCGCCCCACTGGGAGCTTTCTGATATCCGACCTGAGATAATGTCGGGGCGCCGTTACACTTACTTACACGTGCGAATCAGAGACGGCGCACCCTTACACATGCTACCCAACCCTTACATATAAACAATCAACCACAGCGGGGTGAATCACAAAAGGACGCCCCCCGTCGATCAGCGGTGCAAATGTGGAACCACCACATCGTCCCATGGCTTCGTTCTGCGCTCGGATTCCTGCGCGCGCGCACCCTCGGATTTAAGGGCGAAAAATAAAGAGGAAACAGCAAGTTGCCCGATTACGCGCGCCGCAGCTCCCAGGTCCATGGTAGATCGACGCCCGGGGCAGGGGTGGGCGGAGCTGCGGGAAAAGCGTGAGGCGGATTCTCGACGGGCGACGACAGCCATTCAACCGGTGGACTTAACGGACGTAGGTCGCGTGTCTGCTTCTCTTTCTTTTTGCTTTTGCTCTCTTCTTCTCCCGAGTTCAAAGTACCAGCGGTCCGCAACCTTGCCTGGCTGAGTAAGGCGAGCTAATTGGCTGTGCTTTTTCCCCAACCACGGAACTTGTCCCAGTCAGAAGCCGCCACAGCTTGCCCCCAAAGCCAATCAAAATTCGAGGAATTTCGGTCATGCATATGCTGCACTACTCCGGTCTCTTCCCCAATAAAGTGCCACCAGAAGTATGTAGGCAATTGCACAAGCGAAACCGCCCGAGCTTTGAGACATTGAAGGTTTCCCCGGAGAAGCTTGGGACGATGTGCCACTGCATTAGCTGCATAAATACCATACACTGAGCCATTTTGTTCCTGATCTCTCTTTCGCTGGCTGGCCTCCCTGCAGGGACGGCGGCCAAATTTCCCCCCGTGCTTATCGTGAGCCGTTTGCTTCGCTGCACTTCTGTGACCAACTCATCACGCATCCACCGCCCTTTGTTTCCCTCGTGAAAACCCCTCAACCGCCGATAAGAAACTAGGCTAATCACGTCGGAGAGAAGTACATGCCACCTTTACTAACTGCATGCATTCCGCCTTTTGCAAGCGTGTTGGACAAATAGGAAGAGGCGCTATTAGGTATGTATGTGTGAATGTGAGCCAATCAGACGACGGCCGAGAATGTACGAAAACTGGAGCAGCTGACACTAGTTTTACAGTCCAACCAACGCGTTTCACATATGAGCGCCTCACATGCCCAGCAGCCAAGTCACAAAGATGAATGAGCAAAATGCCGCTGCCATACTCACGGACCATGCGTTGTTGTGTCTTTCCTTGGCCTTGCGGCAAGGCACTAGGTTCCAGAGCGGTCTACGCTCAGAGCAACAACGTGCAACTGCAATCTAAAATTTACGGAGACGCCGGCAACCTTGAAAATCTTGCGACGAGATCAAGGAACCAAAGGGAGGTGTGAGCCAAGCAAGAAAAATTGCTATAAGTGAAACGCGCCGCCCTCATCCGTTCCTCATAAAATAACCAACGAGGATTCCAAGGATTTCTCGAAACAGGGAGTTTCGGAGCAGTGAAATTCCTGATACGATATGTTCTGATGTCTAGCTGATGTCTATCTAAACTCACAGCTGTGGGACGCCTCGCTAACATGGGGGTTATGTAATGCCAAAAAAAAAAAAAAACAAGGCAGTACCTATACCGCTCAACAGCCGCTAAACACCAACCTCAGTCATGACCAACACCTCTACAGACCATCTCGCCCCCAGTCTCCAAGGTTAAGACAGGAGAAAATATAAAATAAAAACGAACCTCTCTCTTACTCCTCCCCAACCTCCCTCCTCCGCTTCCGTTCCGCCCAAGTCCTCAAGCTCTCCTGCACGCCCCAGCCGTCGGCGAGCAGGCCGCCGACGTCCTCGAGCCCGAGCCCGGCCGTCTCCGGGTAGATGCGGTAGACGGTGGCCCAGCAGGCGGCGCAGACGAGGGCGTAGAAGGCGAAAGTGCCTTGGGGGCTGAGCGTCTCCATCATGGGTAAGAAGGTCAGGCCGATGAGGAAGTTGCTGCCCCAGTTGGTCGCCGTGGCCGTGGCGGAGCCGAGCGAGCGGACCGAGAGGGGGAAGAGTCTGCGGACAACTTGTTAACTTTCGGCGTTCATATGTTTTCGGTCCGGGGATAGGGGGAGTGATGGAAGGGAAGTAGGTGTATAGGGAGGGGGAGAGTGGATGAGGTAGGAGAGAAAATACGTACTCAGACTGCTGCCACGGAACATTGCCCATGCCTACAGCGTAGCTAGCCACGTACACGATCATAGCCAGCAGGATCATCACAGCCCACACACTACCACTACCACCCGCCTCCTCTTCCGCGGCTCTCGTCATGACCATAGCCATGGCCGCAACAGACGAGGCGCTTTCTTCCTGGTCCGGCAAGTCCAAGAAGTTGAAGGCGACGCTGCACATTGCCAGGCCGACGACCATGACGGGCACCGACAGCAGCAGGATCCGGCGGCGGCCGATGCGGTCGATGGAGTGGAAGGCGACGAGGGTGAAGGCGAAGTTGGTCAGGGCGATGGACAGGCTGGTCAGGGTGGGGTTGCGGAAGCCGACGAGGGCGAAGATGGTGGCCGAGAAGTACATGAGCGAGTTGAAGCCGCACAGCTGCTGGTAGCCCTGCAGCATGCACGCGATCACCAGCGCCCGCCGGTGCGCCCCGACGTTGACCAGCTCGCTGAAGCCGTCGCTGATGGCCGCGACCTTGGCTGCGATTCCTGTTTTCGGTGCGGAGCCGGGATTGGAGTGGTGGCGGCGCGAGTTGGCGGCCTCTTCTTCCTCCAGCACCTCTTTTTCTACGCGGCGCAGCAGCGCCTCGACCAGTTTGTCCATGCGGACGTCTGCGGCGTCGGCGGCGTAGACCTTCCTGAGCACACGGCGGGCGCTCTCTTTGCGGTTGGCTTTCACCAGCCAGCGAGGCGTCTCAGGCATGAATCCGAGTGTAAGGAACTGGAGGACTGCGGGCAGCGCGCCCAGACCGACCATCCACTTCCAGCCGTGCGGCATCGAGGAGAATAGCCAGCCAATGATGTAGGCGACAACCTGGCCGCCAGTGATGAACAGACTGGACACGGTAACCAGCCGGCCGCGGAAGGGAGAGGGAGACAGCTCAGAAATGTATCTGTACACTCCTGTCACGTTAGTACACGGCGTTCTTCACACATGCATGCTCTTCTCTGCCCTGTGCTCTTTGCTTCTGCCGAGGGGATGCAGCAGCAAGCAGTGGCGGCCCTCCTATCCCAGATGATGGCGACATAGACAGAGAAGAAAAGGAAGAGACGTACAAAGGCACGACGAAGCTCGCGCTCCCCACAGCCAACCCCACGATGCTCCTCCCCACAATCATGCCCCACACGCTGGTCGCCCAGGCCTGGCCCAGCGAACCCACCAAAAATAGCACGTCGGCGACGAGGATGACCCGCTTGCGGCCCCACGCGTCCGCCAGCACGCCCGTGACCGGGCTGGCCACCAGCGCGAACAGGCTCGTCGCCGACGTTATGAGCGACTTGTCGAGCGTCGTCAGCGAACGGCCCGACAGATCCGTCCCTATGCTGACCAGGGTGCTGGATATAACGCCAGTGCTGAGAGAGAGACATATCTCATAAGCCCAGATGCACAGGGGAAAAAAAAAACACGCATACACACACACACACACACACATCACGTCTTTCTGCATAGACTTCCGCGTATCTTCCTGTGGGGGTGGTCCTACTCACTCGTAGCCAAAGAGCAGTCCGCTCACGCCCGCCGCGAAAGTCAGCGCCCATATGAACAGCCCCGGCGAGGCGATCTTGCTCTCGTCCACATCCTCGCCGTGCTGCTCGTCGGCGCCGGCGCCGATGTCTGTGGCGTTCTCATCGTATTCGTACGCGGTCGGCGAGGGTAGCTCCCGCGAGCTGCGGCCGCCGATCAGCGGCTCGTGGGCCGTCGAGTCGTCGGGAGCGCCGAGGTCCCGCATCTCGACGTCGTGGTCGTCGGGGTCGTCGTGTGCGCTGGCGGGTCGTCCCCTGTTCGAGGTATAGGAGGTATCGGAGGCCTGAGCGGTCGATGCGCCGCGCGAGATGGGAGCGCGGAAGTGATCGGAGGTGGTGCGGGAGTGCTGCGGAGGAGATGCGACGGTGGAGCCGGTCAGCGGCGGCTGCGATCAAGGGAAGAAGAGCGAGAGACAACGAGAAGGAGGAGCGAGTCGTCGGTGGTGGGGGACCGGTGAAAAGAAAAAGGAGTGTGCTGGCGGTGGTGCTGTGTTGTCACCTTTTGGGGAAACCATCGTGAATTCCTGCCCCGCGGGATCTTGAACTTGCCCCCCATGTCGCGCGCGCCCCCCCCCCCCCCCCCCCCCCCCCCCCCCCGATCATCGCAGATACCTGGCTAAGAGCGATGGGCGCGTTTCGTCAGCAAAGAGGGACATGATTCTCGAGTTTTACACAGAGTTAGAAAACCGACTCTGGGGATTGCCGAACCTGGACGATCCCATCGAATACCCTCTCTTCTACTTTGGCTGGTCTGCAAATCTCCAGCAACGGATCAACCAGCACACCAACCATCAAAGCTCCAATAAGACCATGGTTCTCTTCCACGCGGCTCTGATGCTGTTCTTCAAGAGCAGAGGATCCCGCATTTTGGACTTCCCTCTGTGCTTCCTCACCAAGCCCGCTCAATCAGCCATCGCAGAAGTCCTCTCCACTATTCTCGGAAACGGCTACCGGCCGTACGGCTTCAACAGCAGACCAACCTACCTGAACAATGATAGTGCCAATACCATCCACTCACACGTGTGGGCCTTAAACGCGGCATATATTCAACATGCGACGCCATTCGTATTGAACGTGCAGAACGAAGAACGTTACATCAAAATATCGACACAAGTGATCGGTGAAACAATGTGGGCCGAGCTCGAAAGAGCCGTACAGCCGGTTAAGATGGACTACTCCAAGTGCGATGCTGCACTAGATAGGCTCAATGCCACTTTTGCCAGACTGGATAAGATGGAGGCGAGAATTAATGAGCTATCCAACTTTTCGCTGCTTGACGAGATCCACGCGGAGTACGCTGACATGTCTGCGTGGGAGTTACCACCTACGGACAGGCACAGCTTTTACAGAGATCAGAATTCGAAAAGGCAAAGGAATTCGCATGGATGTACACGATTCGAAGTGGATGAACACAGTATGGCGAGGCTTTGCTTTTGCAGTGTATGTACTTGCTCATGGACAGCACAATTTGAAAATACTTTCAAGTCTCGAAGTCAGCTCGATACCCTTTAGGATCCAGTGTATGAATGATGTGTCAGTTGTCCACTAACTGCTGTAGTAGATCTTAGCAAGTCTCACTTGCGAGAATGCATCAGTGCGCCATTCGAGGCTAGAGATCCAAAATTGGAAGCTCTCGCACTCCCAAGAAAACCATCGGATGACCTTCTGGTCACAACCCCGCTTATTGTTTCTACAAATGACATTCAGGCCGGAGATCGCAACCTTAATCCGCACCGTTAAATCCAGCATCACTCAGATATAGTGACTACTCAACATCAGGCTAAATTCAAAAGTTCGGCAAATCATTCGCCAAGCCCACGTGTCGAATAGCCTATTATACAATGATTTGAACGTCTCTACTACACGCTTCGTATATGTCCTTTGTGTTACAATGTCGCACCGTGAAGTCTCTTCTAGATCAAACGGCATTTTCGTCCCGGCGGATGTGCATGTCTCGTTCCCAGTCAGGCTGAATCTTGACGGCCCGTTTCCCGCAAGCTTTGGGGTTGTACCGGCCTACATAAAGGCTCTAATGAGTCTAAGAACAGAGCCAAACACCAGCGCACAGCCATTACTCACAGCCAGAAATCTACAATTATGTCTGTCATTTTGATTCTCGCACTATTCGTCCTTGGCAGTCTCTCATCGGTGTTGCCGCGTCAAGCTACTTCATGCGGTACGCTTCCTGCCGGGTTCTCTCCACAGGAATATGCCAAACTTCCAGACCCTTTCACATTCGTCAACGGATCCGAAGTCACGACTTTGGATCAATGGGTCTGCCGCCAGCAGGAAATCAGTCAGCTTTTCCAGACCTTTGAACTGGGGACCAAACCGCCAAAACCAGCCTCCGTCACTTCAACACTGTCCTCCAACACTTTGTCCATCACGGCCCAGGACAGCGGAAAGTCAATCTCCTTCTCGGTGTCTATCTCATATCCGTCTTCAGGGACTGCTCCCTACCCAGCCATCATCGCATACGGCTATCCGAGCATCCCGGTTCCCGCTGGTGTGGCCACCATCACCTTCAACAACGACGACATTGCTGCTCAGCAGAGCACTGGAAGCCGAGGCCAAGGCAAATTCTACACCTTGTACGGCAGCAGCCACAGTGCAGGTGCCATGACGGCTTGGGCTTGGGGTGTCAGTCGCATCATTGACGCATTAGAGGCCAACAGCGATGCCAGGATCGATGCTACCAGAGTCGGCGTGACGGGGTGCTCTCGCAATGGCAAAGGCGCTTTCGTTGCCGGCGCCTTAGATGACCGTGTCGCTTTGACGATCCCACAGGAGTCCGGTGCCGGCGGAGCAGCATGCTGGCGCATCTCCGACCAGCAAAAGGCGGCGGGTAAAAACATCCAGACGGCATCGCAGATTGTCGGCGAGAACGTCTGGTTCTCCACGGCATTCGAGCAATACAGCAACCGCGTTCCTACGCTTCCCGAAGACCACCACATGCTTGCCGCCCTGGTGGCACCGCGCGGCCTCCTTGCCATCGAGAACGACATCGACTGGCTCGGTCCGGTCAGCACCACGGGGTGCATGAAGGTGGGCCGTCTCATCTATCGAGCTGCTGGTGCTCCCGACGCCATGGGATTCTCTCTTGTCGGCGGGCATGACCACTGCTCTTTCCCGTCATCGCAACAGCCGGAGCTCTCGGCGTTCATCGACAAATTTCTACTGAAAGGATCCTCCAGCACGGCCGACATCGAAAAAAGCAATCAAAACGTAAACGTTGCGGATTGGGTGGACTGGACAATCCCTACATTGTCTTGAGGTGTTTTCTTGTCGGGTTTAGTTCATTGTGTGATGGCTCTATCAAGATCTCGCCCACTAAAATTCGCTAGCACTCAATCGGTCCCATACGGATCCTGATAGACATACAACCACATGAAGAGCGCAAGTAGGCCAGGTAGCCATTCCCGACATAGACTACATAGCTATAGAAATCAAGAAGGACTCCAGAGAATGGAACACTTCAGCGATTCGTTCCATATGACCTTACCGGTTGAGCATCCACAAAACAAATCGCTAATACCGACGTTTAACTCATGTCTAGTATCTAGGTCTTATACCATTCCGATAACAGTTACAACCTCTCCTACGTCGTCACTGTCAGTCTGTGTGCCTCTTCAGGTGTGTACATAATCTTCATCGCACAACAGTCATCAGACTGTTATTAGTTGAATGATAAGTTGTATCTACACCAATGCAATACAAAAGTGGTCTAGATACTAATAGCACGATTTCGTTATTGCGGAATCTAAATGCCGAAGTCCAGAAAAAGGCCTCTGTCATCGCTACCACGGTGACATGATACTAGCGCCGCAAGATACAGAATGCGAAGAGCCTTTTCATTCTTTTTTTTTTTCATAAAAGGACACCCTGTCGGCGCTGTCTTTTTTACTTTCCGTCCGCTTGCCACCCCACTTCTCTGCACACCAGAGAATTGTCCCTCACGCCACTCCGTACCTTCTTTATTCACCGTCACCGTCGTCGAAACCGCCCCCTCCGAGAAAAAACCTCACTCCGCTGGCCTCTAAAGTGCCGCCAATCTTGACATCCTCACCATGCGTGTCGCATTCATCTATGATCCGCCGGAACAATTCCCGGCAGACACTCTTATCAACCATCCACACCGCGCCTTCGGCGACGGCCATCTGCGCTACGAGCCACACCTGCTCTACGGGGAATGAAGAATAGGCTGAGATCCTCCTTTCGACCGCCGCGTTTCCCGTGTTAACGTTCGGTATGATTCGGCCGTGCATCTGGGAACACAGACCATCGGCGGCGATAATCATGTGACGCCGCTTGAAAATAGGTGTCGTTCGTTCTTCATTTTCCTGACAATCTAGTCTGTTGAGGATTTGGCCGTTGCTGTCAGTCGGGAGGTGGTAGCCGGGGAGGACCCCGACCTTGTATTGTTTGCCCTGCGGGGTGGCGGCGGTGTAGAATGGGCCTTCCTGCGGGGCAGCGTTGGTGGGGAATGGGGTGAGGATGAGGAGGAAGAAGAAAGGGAGTAGCAAGGTGGTGAGGTTGCTGAGGAGCATTGCTGGCTGCATTTTCGGTTTTGAGGATTTTTGAGGCTCAGGAGGAGTGGTCGCTGTCGGAGAAAGAAGGTCAAGTACGTTGGAGCTTGAGAAGCCTGAAGTTTGTTGGATGTACTGTGGAAGATCATGGAGAGTGGAAGGCGAGCGCTTCTATACTTATGGCTGGCCAGGTGAAAGATTTGAATATGTTGGGAGGTCACGACCCAAGCACTTTCCCAACTTCAGCGAATTCGTTTGCCCATATTAGCGAGTGACTGAATGTTAATGGCACACTTGGCTTGCTATTCTACTATAGTGGGTTGGGTGCCCCATAGTTCAACTAATTTTAAAGGAAGACCCTGTATATTATATATGGATATACGCTATGCCCGTTAAAGTAAAACAGAGCCTAACCTGAGCGACCACGTCACCAATGAAGAGTTCACGACCGACAAGCTCAGCCCCGTCTCAGCTACCACGGATATGGGTCAAAATTATCACATGCTCTTGGTACAATCTTACAAAAAACAACCCGTCTATCAATAGTTTCCCCAAAGTTCACCGGCCTTGGATGGCAGTAGGATCCATTCACAAAAACACACTCAAAATCCCGCAATCCAATAGCACTTCTCCCACTGACCTGTCAAACCAGTATGCTATGCATAACCAAAATAAAGAAATCGGTTTGGGGGGTATATTCCAGTCTGCTTGTGCAACTACCGCACCTTGTAAATCTAAGAGTTCTTCATGCTGAGACGAAAGAACATTGTTCGAGTAAGTAAGACAGAAGAACGAAAACAACAAAAAGAACAAAGTCAAGTCTTGTGTTCTCGGCCAGGAGGGAGGAAAGATGAAGAAACGATAAAGAAAAAGATCAGCGACCATCACCACCACCATCGCCATCTCCATTCCGTCTCTCTGGTGGTGATTCGTCCTGGCTATCGTTTTTTGGATAATTCCTGCTCCACCAACTCATTCTGAACGGCCCCCTGCTCCCCTGCCTGTCCGACGCGCTTCTCGTCCGCGGAATGCGTATGGTTCGAAACCATCCGGGGTTCCTCTGCGGAGGGCTGGGGCTCATCAAGGGTGCTGCAGGGTCGTCGTCCTCGTAGTCGCTGGTACCCGCTCCCGACCTCGTTCTTGGGCTAGGCACCGCTTCGGGTTTCTTGCCGCTTCCGAGAGTGAATTTATCCCACCACGAGTCCCTCCGGCCGCTCTCGTGGAGAATCGGTAACGTCCCTGACCTTGCTCTCGCGTGGGCCCTTGCTCGTCCACGCCCTCTGCTGTCAAGTGGAGAGCGCAGGCTGTTCCCAGGACTAGTCCGGTCATTCAGCTCATCCCAAATTTCCCCTGCTTCTTCCGAAATGGTCATGCGACGCAGCTTGCTGAGGTTCGCCGGCCGGGGTCGCCCTTCTCTTCCCTGACTGAAAGTACCAGCATCCCCGGTTCTGAAGGGGGCGGTGTTCGCACGCGTCAACAATGGAGTCTGTTCGTCCGGTCCTACACCAGCCGCATGACTGCTCTTGCGCTTCTTGTTCCCGCTGGAAATGCCTAGCGGCGATTCTTCGTCAAAGTGGGTGGGTCCCAAAAAGGGGGATTGCTCGTCAGATTCGGAGCCTCCTGTGTCGATGAAGCCCAGACCAGGAGTAAGAGCGGTGCGAGGAGGCGGCACGCCAGTAAAGGAATGCCGTGAAGCCTTTCTTTGGTGGCCGGCGGCCGCGGGGACCTTATCCTCCAAGCGCCAGCTAAGGCAGGCTACGCCGCCCAATAAGATAACGACGCCGACGGCGATCAGGCAAGCGTCGCGCACGGGCAATCGTGAGGCCTGGCGGAAGTAGATGAGGCCGTCCAGAATGGCAATGATGTTGTAGATGCAGAAAACGAAAGGGTAAAGAACGCTAGTGGAGGTAAGCTTGAGGCCCCGGTGCAGAAAGTAAAGTTGCGACAGCGCCAAGGCCACGAGACCGAGGAGGATGACCCATGACTGCCAGCGATTAAACTGGTTGTGTCTGTCAACGATAGTCCGTACCAACAACTCGACGGCAGACTTGGCGACTAGGAGGGAGTGGGCGGATAGAATGCCGCTCATAGCGCCAAAACACATTCCCCGCAGGAGGCGCACTAGGGGCGAAGGGCGGTGAAATAGTCGTTTCATGAACCATTGCGCGATGAAAAGGAGTATGCTGATGAAAAAAGTGGCGAAGAGCCATACGAGGAACTCGGGGCGCGCGAGGAGGGCGAGGAGTTGATCGAGAGTATGAGAGGGTTCCGTCAGGGCGCCGAACGTGCCTATCAGAACCGCGCCGACTGCGACGAGGATTGTGCCGAAGAGGGAGTATCTGGTGAAAGGTTCGCTCAAAATGAGGCTTGCGCATATCGAATTGAAGACCAAGCCGGACTGTTGCTGTCAGCGGGGTTGTTTTGTTTGCTGCGGGTCGGGGAAAGCGTACCGCCTGCAACGTCGACAGCACGGGTAGCGGGAGAGTAGTGATTTGAATGGTGCTGCCGACCAGGTTTGCGATAATGAACATGAGCATGCCCAGCTATGTCGCGGGATCAGCGAGTGGCGGTAGGGTATGGTCGAAGCTGTATATCATACCTGCCACCGGCGGCGTCTGTAGGGCGGGCGGCGGACATGGTGCTCTTCCTTCTCCTCTTCGAGCAGATGGGACTTGCGCTGTAGGGTCAGGCCGACGCTCTGGATGCTGGTGGACAGCAGTCCGACGAAGACACCTAGCTGTTGCGCGTGTCAGCGCGCTTTCTTCTCGCACCGTTCTCGGAGGCGGGCACTCACAGCAACGCTCCCGCCAGCGGAAAGCCCGACCATGGCTGCGCGGAGTGCGGACTGTGGATTGGGCTACCGGATGGGCACAGGCATGCTGTATTGTATGCGATCGATCAGAGGCGCTGCGCCGGGCGGAGGCGCATGCAGCAGGCTTGATGCTGGGAGCTGGCTGGAGGCGCAAGAGCTGGCGCGCTCACGAGACGAAGGGCTGGGATGGGTCGACGTCAAGCGATCGGCGGCGGCGGCGACGGGCGCGAGGGCGGCTGCACGACGGGGGCGGAGAGAGCGTGCGGGCTGGACGACTGCGAGACTGAGAACGAGCGAAGGCGAAGGAGAGGATGCGACGTGCGCGGGCTTTTGGGCTAACGCCGGGTGTATGAGACGTTGCAGGGGTGCAGCCGCATGCGTGGTCGAGTCTGCGGACAGGTGCCCAAGCTCGGACGCCTGGGCGCATCACCGCCCGCAGCTCCAGCGCCCAGCATCGCTATCAACATCACCTCAAACCCGCCATCCCACCCGCCCACCACCGTCCCCGTCTCCAACCAGCTCCATCTGTGCCCGCCCGCTCGACGCAGCTCCCACCGCCGCCATGTCGCAGATCCACGCCATGTCCGACGACCAGGTACGTCGCTGCCCAGCTCACCGCACCCGCAGCCATGCCCGCCCGCCGAGCTCAAGCTGACTGCCCCGCCCTGCAGGTCGCCGGTGAGCTCAAGAAGATGACGGCCTTCATCCGCCAGGAGGCGCTGGAGAAGGCCAAGGAGATCCAGATCAAGGCCGACGAGGAGTTTGCCATTGAGAAGAGCAAGCTGGTGCGCGAGGAGACGCAGTCCATCGACCAGAGCTACGAGAAGAAGTTCAAGCAGGCCGCCATGTCGCAGCAGATCACCCGCTCCACCGTGGCCAACAAGACACGCCTGCGCGTGCTCGGCGCCCGCCAGGAGCTGCTCGACGACCTGTTCGAGCAGGCTCGCTCCAAGCTCACCAACGCCTCCAGCGATGCGTCCAAATACCAGAACACCCTCAAGAACCTGATCCTCGAGGGCCTCTACGACCTGAACGAGCCCAAGGTCCAGGTCCGCGCCCGCAAGGCCGACTCGGACGCCGTGCGCAAGGCCATCACCGAGGCCGAGAAGGAATACAAGGAAAAGACGGGCAAGGAGACCAAGGTCGAGGTTGATGAGAGCAACCCTCTGCCCGAGGAATCGTGAGTGCTGCTGCTCGAGCATGACAGGCTCTTGACTAACGCTAGTGCAGCACCGGCGGTGTGTCGATCGTGGGCGGCAACGGCAAGATCGAGATCAACAACACGTTTGAGGAGCGGTTACGGCTGCTGGAGCACGATGCTCTGCCGTCGATCAGGACGACGCTGTTTGGCGAGAACAAGAACCGCAGGTTCAAGGACTGAGCGATTGTTTGCTAGAATCCACGGGCGGAAACATGTTGCGCCAAGTACGGTCGACGGTGAAACTTGGATGCGCGTGCAACGTGGGGAGGGCACTTCTGTCCACATGACATCAAGCGGGCTGTTCTCAGGTGTACCATATTGTGCAACCTTCACGTATACTCAATGACAGGCCCAGGCCAGCGACGTGGTTTTCTTTTGTTTTTTCGACGTCAATATTAGGAATAGAAGATGCACATAAGCCGGGGAGCGGGCTGCAGGACGCAGGGACGCCGACATGGGCGTGGGCGTGCTATTTTTGCGGCACGGCGGTCTCGACGTACGGCGACGCGCGGGCCAGCGGCCGTGGCTGGTGCTCGTCACTTCCCAGCGCGCCGGTGCTATCTCCAGGTAGCCATCCTCCGCATCACCACAACCCCATTCGCCTCCCACGCGCCCACCCACCCACGATGCTGGTCTCGTTGACGGTCGGCAAGGTCGATGCCGGTGTCGCTGTCCTGCTGACCGAGGACAAGCGCCTGGTAAGCCTCCCTCCTACCGCAATTGCGCCCGCGTTCCGCTCGTTCTCCTTGCAACGTTGCTGTCCGCACTCCCAGCCAAGGCTGACGCATGTTCCAGATCGAATTCCCCTCGATCCTCCTGCCGCCAGACATCTCCTCGGGCAGCATTGTCGACATCACCGTCGCCCGCAATCACCAGTCTGAGCAAGCCGCCCAGCAGGCCTTCCAGCAGCTGCAGTCCAAAATCTACCAGACCTTCGGCACGCGCACCCCCGAGCCGCCCGTCCTCCGCTGCCGCAATGCCACGCAGACGTCGCTCGTGCTGGAGTGGGACCCCATCCAGCTGGCCACGGCTGAGCTGCGCAGCCTGAGTCTGTACCGCAACGGCAGCAAGGCCGGCAGCATCCCGCGGCCCAAGGGCATGCAGAGCACAAAGATTTCTGGTCTGGCTGTCGACACTGAGTACGTCTTCCACCTGGTCCTGCGCACCTCGGCTGGCACCTACAGCAGCGAGCGTCTGGCCGTGCGCACCCACAAGATGACGGATCTCTCGGGCATCACCGTCACCACGGGCATCATGCCTGCCCAGCTCAAGGAGAGCCTCACCCAGACCATCGAGCGCATCGGCGCGAAGATGATCGACCAGGTGCGCATCGACACGACCCACTTCGTCTGCACAGAAGGCCGCGGTCCGGCATGGGAGAAGGCTGTCGAGATGAACATCCCCGTGGTCGTGCCGGACTGGGTGAAGGGCTGCGAGCGTGAGGGCCGCATCGTCGGTGTGCGCCAGTACTACATCAACGCCGACCCGCGCCTGCGCCAGATGGGCCCGTCTTCTGGCCAGCAGAACCTGCCCAGCCACGGCCGAAGTCAGAGTATGGTGCAGGCCGGCTCGAGACCCTCGCCCATGCCCAGCCCGCGCACCGAGATCACGCCTCCAACGCCCGAGCAAGTCCGCAAAGAACCCCCGAATGGTACAAACAACACTCACGCAGCAGTTTCGTCGCCATCGCAACTACAACAACAAGCACAACCGCCCCCCGAAGACTCGGCTCAAGAAGAGCAGCCTCCACCCCCGCCGCCAAAGGAAGACAGTAAGAATCCTTCACCCAAGCCCAATGGTGACGCCGCAGCGGAGGCGGAAGAGTCAGCGGACAGGGAAGGGGAGCTCACGCCCGAGGCTCCTCGTCATGCTGAGGCGAGTGGAGACGAATCGGATGCCAACACGGAGACGCCTGCCGACGAGGGCGATGAGAAGAGGCTTGAGGCCGGAGCTCCCGAAAGCGAGGCTGGTGCGAGTCCAAGCGTAGCCAGTTTTCAGGATGTCGCGTTGTAGAAGCTGACGACGAGCGGAGACGACAACAACATCATACCCAACATTGACGCGGTGACCCGGACAAGCTTTTCACGGCTGTGCGATCTTATGATTCAGAGGCAGGATCAGGACCTGGATGTGCAGAACGAAAGGGGTGTCATGATTTCAGTTCTTACGGCGGGGTTGTTTGGGGGAGAGGCTTCTCGTTCATCATCAGAGGGATTCGTGCATCCTAGAGGCACCTTCGTCATTTTTACTCAGCGCCGGAGCAGGGGGTCTTGGACGAAGTTTACGCTATACCACATCTCACGCCTGTAGTTTCTTCCTCCTCCTATTCACCTTGTTGAGACGCTCTTGGAACTGGTTAAGAAAAGATTATAATGACTGCTACACCTTGCTTTATTATGCTTTTGCTGCTGCACCATGCTGACTGAGAACGTGTTTGATTTATCTTCCGTCGAATCAACTGGCCACTTTATACCTTGGTTTGTCATGGTTTTTGACGACTGCAATCTTGCAAAGAATCTTTTAGCTATGTTTGGCACTGGGAGACTGAACACATAGGTAAGTTTGTATGAGCTAGAACGACGATCACACAGGCTCTGCTATGGTGAACTAGACATTCCTGTCTGCAATCAGGGAAGAATTAAACGCTTTAAAAATTCATTCAATGTGATATCTCTCTAATCGTAAGATACTGCTCTGTCCTTGACACGCCAATGGAATAGCTGCGGAGAAGCAAAATCCACCATCAGCCGTAAAAAAAAAAAAAAGATGAGCGTACCAGCAGGTCCGCCGGAGCTTGCGCGCGTGCCTCGAAATATTCCCCCAAGGCCGACTGCAAATCTCACCCTTTAATCTCTTGTTGTTTTTCCCCAAACCCCCCTTCCTGTCGCACCCCGCCTGCCACAGAACCATGCGCGGACACCTGGATGATTTACGCACCGCCCTCCTTCCTCTGGCCGACGAAGAAGCCCAGGCCGAAGTCGTCGGTGGTGAAGGTGATCTTGGAGCCCTTGGGGAAGTAGAAGACGTCGCCGGCGACGGCGTGCACCTTGTTGCCGGCCTCGTCGGAGATGTCGAACGAGCCGTCGACGATGATCTTCATCTCGTGGTACGTGTACTCGTACACCAGCGGCGTGCCCTTCTCCAGACGGTAGAAGCCCGCCGAGATGGGCGCGGTGGGGTCGTTCTTCTCGCTGTGGTGTTGTTAGTCTCGCTAACTTTTTTTTTTTTTTTGTTTTGGTTTGGTTTTGTTGTGGTGTATGTGATGAGAGGGCGGGTTGGAAGCTTACGAGGTGGCAATGTCGCCGAGGAAGGCGTTCTCGTTGGCGATGAGCGGGGGCTTGAAGGTGCTCTGCGCCTTGGCGAAGTGGGTCATGGCGATGGGAGACATGGTTGCGGTGGTTTTGTTGTTGCGGGTATATGGCTCTGTTGATGGCGGCGACGTTAGTTCCTGTATTCTTTTTTTTTTTTTTGGCAACTGCTCTAGCGGTTCCAATCGACTTCCAGGATATCCAATGTGATCAATACTCAAGGAAGAGGGGTATAGAATAAGGGCTGAGTGCGAGAGGGTATAGGAAAGGGTGTTGAATCAACACCACCAAGGCCACAACTTACTTTCGTAGACTCAGACAGCACTAAGGCTCAAAATTAAGACAGCGGACGGATGACAGTATGACAGGACCCAAGCACGGCAAGCTCATTCTTATACCAAGCCTTACAACAGCCCACCGTTGAGTGAGGGAGAGGGGTAGAAGGAGGGGCAGACCTCCACCATGATTCGGAAACCGCACAAGCGCATACTCTATCCGCAAACCGCTAAAATACTCACTGCATAGTTTGGTAACAGCTGGGGACAAGCACCAATCAGGCCGAAGCAGGCGCTACAGGACCCATATCTCGACGCTTACAGCTTCGATAAAAGCACCCCGCCGGCGGGCGCTGCGGAAGGTGTGCAACATGTGCTGCCCCGCATTCGTCATCATTCGGCTGCTGCCCCATTCACGTCAGAAACGTAAGCGCCTCGATACCCTTATCGAAGCATTCGCGCCGGTTTGCTCGTGGCTGGCAAGACGGACCGTTAAGTTGGGAGCGGAGTTAACTCGAGGAGAGTGGAATATTTTTCTAAATGCAGCAATTTTGCAGCAGGGGGGAAGGGATGCTGTTGGCCCGGGATGTGGAGCTTGTTAGCCGCCGCCCGACGAGGTGGGGACTGTCCCAGGTACGGGTAGATCGATACATAAAGCACTGATAAGGATTCGCTTGATTTCTCAAGATCCAGGGTCCTCGGGGGAGCAGGGTCGACGAGGACAGAGAGGAAGGATCGGGGCTGATCAACGGGGGGCCGTGTGCGATAGAGAAACAGCGGATAACAGCGGCTTTTGCTGCGGTGAGGACAGATATGACCATGTGGCCATGGTTGGTAATGTGAGACCAACGCATGCATTTCGGCACCGTGCCTTTTACGTGGCCTGCATCGTTATTCTGCAGCCGAAGCCATCCTAGAGTTTACGGCAACTCTTCAATCCTTGCCAAAGTGGTCACGAAAGTGCTGCTGTTCAGTGCCAAGAATCCCATCTCCACGGCGGGCGCAATCGCAACAAGCGATGAGGGGCAAGGCAGGCTAGACATGGATTTGCGAGAGGAGCCCGTCCCAAGAGGCCGGGGTGTGGAGCCCTCATCCCGATTAGGAAATTTGATCCCTTCCAAAGTTCTGCCGCTTCCGACCGCCCGCACACCCCAAACCAACTCCGCGCCCAACCTTCACGTGCGATAGCATCCGGCTTCCTGTGCCGTAGCGAATAGGGCTCAAAAGATGTGCTGTATTGCTGATCTGGAGGCTGTGCCTGGTGATTGGGCGAGTTTGAGAGCCCCAACACATACCTGGTTGTAGAAACAGCAGACAACAGGTTGGAAGACAATCCCGAGAAAAAAAAAAGTCCTCTCGTCAGACCTTGGCCTCAAGGTATTGTAGTCTGTACTCCCATATTAATCCAATACAATCTCAATCCAATCAAACCAACCACCACTGTGAAACGGCCCGCGACGGAGTCAATCCCATCTTGGCACCGTCATTTCTCATCTCTTTAGCTCCAACCAAACCAACTGACTGACCTGACTCCCGCAAACGCTGGGTTTTATATCTGTATCTGCTCTTATAAGCCGGAGACATTAAAAATTGTGTGCAGCCTGGCTGTTGTTCCAGCCAGGCTGCACGTCGTTGCATCTCGTCGTCTGTTCGCCCCCTCCCTCGCTCCCTCCTCCGCGTTTTCCAGCTCAGAACGTGCCTTTTCGAAGGAGGGGAAAAAAGAATTGAATCGAGTTTATCGCTTCCCGTTCAAGCATTCTTCCTTCGGCCGTCATCCGCCCGCTCTTCTTCCCCTATCCTGCCGCCCATTTCCGTGTCTCTTTCCCCCGCATCCCGAAGAAGAATGTTCGGATTCGGGGACGTGCTCCAACCTTGGCTTGGCTTCTGATCGATTGCGGACCTGCCCGACGCCCGGGGCACCTGTTGTAACGAACGGGGTGGAAGTCTGGAAGGGGAACCGTGCGGAGAACAGACCAAGATACGGGACTGGGGGCGGGGAGGAGGGGGCGAAAGAGAAGATCTAGAAGGTATGCGGGAAGATATTGCAAGATTCGGTGGTCGTGGTGGCGTGGGCGCGGAGATATGCGCGCGCGCGGTCTGCAGCGCGGTTCGTGGTGTGACATTTGTTCTTTCTCCTCTCCTGGGGCGGTCGTGCGAGGGAATAAGGTGATACTTGCTCAAGATGGGGTCATTCCCCGCGGGCTTTCTTGATTTTAGCGTTGGGCCTGGCCTGCAGAAGAAGGTGTGACGGAATGCAAGAACAAAAAGGGCGCGAGTCCCTCTCTCCTCCTCCCTCTTTCTCTCTTCCTTTCAGAGTTGTTTTACACATACACGCATTACACCCGCACGCGCCCAAGTAGCTAGCTGGCTGGCTCGCTGGCTGGCGGAGCTCCGGAGGAACCCACGGCTGTTGCTGCCAACGACAAGAAGCTAGCCTGCCTACCGGCTGGAAGACAACAAGAAAAGTGCAGTAAGGTACCCAGAAAAAACAATCCATGTTCTCGCGACTCATCATGTCTCTTCTCTCGTACCAGAGTCATTCTCTCTTGAAACCCGTTTCCCGAAATATTTTCCCAAACACTCACGCCCTTGCACGCCGGTCAACCCAACTCCCATAAATACCGATTCCCAAATAACAACAGAAATGCTGAGATCATAGACACACCAGGTGGCCTCTGGCAGCCAGACGTAGCTGTACCCGCAAGCGAAACCCCGTACAAAACACCGCGTGTTTCCCCAAAATAACAATGGCGCCGTATACGATGATATATCCCCCCGTCTCTCTGTCCAAAAGCAACGTTTTCCTGAAAGTCGAGTTTCCGTCATGTCATCTTGCGCAGACAAAACACTCGGGAGCGAATCCGCAAGAAAGAAGCGCAAAATCAATCCTATCAAGACAATTCGGGGGAAGAATGCAACAAATCATGCACGCCATATGCTGAGAGGTTCCAGAAACGATGGTGACCCGGTGAAACTATTCACGAACCCAGAAGAAGATGTTCCAAAGGAAAATACCCCAAAGCGCGCCATATGGCAGACAAGTCATCTGCAAATTTTTCGACATTTCCCAAAGACGACCAACAACCATAGTCACGCTGTGGTTTCGCTGTGAGATATTATAGTGTGTAAGAAGATTCGATAGCGGCACTCGACCGCTATCTGTGGCGTGAAAGAAGACACGATGAAAGGACAACATCAAGTCCCCAAGAAATGCCGCCATCAGCCAAGAAGAACTGCAACATCGTTAGCCACTGTTCCAGGATGCATGTTTGAGAGAGCAAAGCTAACCTTCCCAACCCCAGTCCTTCATCACGCTCAGCCAATGGAGCCTACCTCGTACAGTGAACTCGCGGTCGACGACACCGGTGCCGAAATCAGTTGAGCCCCGCCTTTGCTCCAGGAAACTGGCTGCAGCTGGCATGTCGAACGGGCCGATGGTTGCACGCCTTTTGTTTGCGCCGACGTAGTTTTCGTTCCATCGCACCGGCTCGTCGGCCATCTCGTCGTTCGGGCTTGCTCCCCGCTTGTGAGGATTGCTGCTCTTCGTTGCAACCTTGATTTTCGGTCGGATCCTCGCAGCGTACACGTCGCGTCGTGTCCACACCTCTTTCGTGATGTCAAGGCAGCGATCGATGATGCCGATCACCATGCGACTGCTCATCGCCTCCCATCGCTGACGCACCCATTCGCGGTCCTCCCCTGTAGCTGCTTCACAGCCCGCAGCCATCAGCGGGTAGATGTGGACGATAACGGCGCGAGAGCTTAATGGAACCGTCGCAAGATAGATGAGAACTTTCTTTGCGAGCTCGGCTGAAGAAAGAGACGGAATCTCGGGAACTGCCTGATGGAGATACAGCAGCGTTGCCCACCGGTAGGCCTCGGCTGTCTGGAGGCTGTGCTGGATCTGGGAGGTGGGGTCTTCGGGCACTTCGAAGAAGGCTTGCGGGACCCAATCTTCCAGCTGCGTCTTGAGCTCCATGGCCTGCGAAATGACGGCCGGCGAATTGCTCTCGCTTCGGCGAACCCGGCGAACCAGATTTGCCACATGACCTACAATGGGGAAAAGCGTTGTGGCGCACCCCATCAATGGATCCAGCTGAGCCTCGTACTCGAAAGGTCCTGAAAACATTGACGCAACGGCATCGAAATCATTCGACTCGTCCTCATCCACGGACGTCAGTCGAGCTATCACATCCATGTACACCCAGGTGTTGCAGAGGAACTTCAACCTGGCGAGCTCGTCTCCGTGAACCGGCGACCGCTGATGCCTGATGAGAGCCTGATGAACAAGGATCTTCGCACCCTTGATGTGGTCAATGCCGGTTGACGTGTGCTGATCCCACGACTCAGAAAATGCAAGAGCAAGGGTGGTGGCAATCGCGGTGTCGACACGCATGTTCTGGATACCGGTGGCCAGGGATTCGATGCTCGTGCGCATGTGCTCGATGCCTTGGACCCTGAGCTGCGGTTCGTGCTTGGACGTGTGGAAATTGGTCATGGCTGCAATGGCATGATACAGGGCAGGAGAATCTTTGGCAAGTGGCCATATCAGAGTCCGCCAGGGGTTCTCGGTCGGGCCGTCCTTTACCGAGAGGATACCGCAGGTTTGCTGATCGAAACGCCACGTCATGAGCTCCGGGCTGTCCATGGCCAAGCTTGGCTCACGGAGCAGCATGTTGAACGGGTCCGAGCGAGGTGTCGCGCCTCCCGATGAGCTGGAAGAGTCGGAGGGAACTGGCGACGGCAATCGCATAACCCAGGCTTCATGGTCCGGGTTCACGATGGGCTGGCGGGAAACTTCTTCAACGTCGTCCTCATCCATGGGGTCGGGAGGGGGCGGGTCGAAGCTGGTGGGCTGGTAGAGCGAGTCGGGATACTGCGCTCGCCAGCTGAGGTACTCGGGCGAGGGCGCGTGCAAATCTGTCCCTGGTAAGAGCAGGTCCACAAGGCGTGGAGACCGTCCTGATGACAGACTGGATGGTGCCGTAGTCGCCGACTGCATCGTGTCTACGGTCTCTGCATCGTTGAACATACTCGCTGTGCTTGCGGTCGACCCATTTGGCTCAAATGGGTCGGGCATGGGCATGCCGTCCGGGGGAAGCAGGAAGGGCGAGGGCGGCGGGGCGGGGAAGAAGGAGGTCGGCACGTCCATGAAGGCGGGCGGCATCGAAACTGCAGGGAAAGATGATGATGCGGGAAACTGGACATCGTTGGGGCTGGTGGTGAGTGCGGGAGCGGCCGGCGGGCGCTCCTGGGCTGGCGGGGTGCGGTTCGCTGGCGCTGGGCGCGCCTGGTCAGCGAGCGGGGGTGTTTCTGCGCGCGGTTAGCAACACGTTCAATCTCATCGCCACGGGCATCACGACGGCACCTTTACGTTGTTTTGCAGGCTGCGGCTTCGAGCCGGTGAAGTTGGCCTCCTCGAAGGGGCGCCATTTGAAGTCCTTTTTGTAGCCGCCGCACGTCACGCTACGGCGGGCGCACTGTTGGCAGGTGGGTTTCGTCTCGTCGCACTTCAGCCGTTTGGCCTTGCAGGTGATGCAGCCTGCGCTCGCGGTCAGCTCGTGGTGCCTGAGGCCGGGCCATTGCTCGGCTGGATGGGCCGAAGCTTATCGGGCGGGAGATAAGCGTCGCATACCATTCCTGCTCTTCGACTGCTTGCGCTTGGTGATGCCGGCTTGGGTGGTCGACGGATTTTGCGGCGCGTCGCCGTCTGGTTGCTTCGCCCTAGGCGTCTTGGAGGGGCGGCGCTGTTTGGGAGAGCTCTGCGGCGGGTTGGCGTCGTCGCGATGGTGGTGTTTCTGAGGCGCGGCCTCCACTGGGGAGCTGAGGAACACGGACGGGGAAGGGATGGTGATCGCTTCTGCCATTAGCCTGCGGCTCCGCCGTCGGTGGGCTGTTATCTGAAGATGGATCGGGGATGCAGCAGGAGGCTCTGGGCGTGCCTGGAGACTGCAGTCGAGGGCGGAGTCGCGCAAGGCATGGGCGATGGAGTAGTGGTGTCGCTCGTTGCATAAACCGCCTTGTTGAAGTCCAGCGCGGAGCCCGCATCCGCTAGGCCCGAAACAAAATAGGCCCCGCGATCGCCGTTCATGTTATCTGGGCCTAGACTGCACCGACGCTGATTGGTGCTCCCGCGACCACCACGCCTGCTCCACCATGATATCAGTGCCGACGAAGCCTCACGCATCCACGCTGCAGCTCCCGAAACCCGCCGCTATCTACTCGCTGGCCATCCTGCGCTTGCGCCCGTTCCTGCTCTGCTCGTGTCACCGCTGCTGCTGGTTATTCCCGTGCTGCTCCGCCCGACATGCTCGTCATCCGAACTTCCCCGTGTCAGAGCTTCGGACCGCGGACTCGTGTGTAGCCGCTCGCCTCGTGGAAAAAAAAAAGAAAAAATTTCGCCGTGCGCTATCAGGGACCGCGCTCAGTGGGGATCCCACGCGCAGAGCGCTGATGCTGACTTGGTGCTTCCTGGCTCGGCCGGTCGAGAACGGGCCGGGTGCCAGTCACACGCGCGGCAACCATCGTGGTGGGATATCGTGGCGGTGAACAAAGCTTTTGAAGATATTGCTGTGGCATTGCTCAGCGATTCATGGTGTTCTGTCGTCTGGCACGCGCCGGCTTTAGAGCGGCGCCGTGCCGTCGTCAAGCGGGGGAGTATGCCGCCACGCCTCGCAGTAGCCGTCAACCGGTCAGTCATCCTGTTGGCTGTTGTGTCCGCCCGTTTCAGGTGCGACGGAAGGTTGTGCAACCCACGTGCAGCCACCTCCTTATCATTCCTGGCGCGCGTTGAAAATCAGCACGTATGAATGAACAAGTCACTGGGGACGCGTGGGATGGGGTCAATGGCTGCCCGATGCCGGCGGCGACAGCTTGTGGGCGGGGCAAAAGCCATCCAGAAGCGGCACGGTGAAGGAGCGCCTCCGTATTCTGGTGCTGGTATATATCCGTGGGCCATCTCATGACCGGCAGAGGGTCCGCGACATGGCGCCAGAGCGCTGCGGTGAGTGGCGCCAGTCGCGTGGACGCGGCGCGATCGGTTCAAGGGGGAGGATGCGGCTCCTTGGGCTTGTGGGAGCGCTGCGGATGGCCCCTGATGCGGCAGCCACAGTGCTGGGCTGCAAAATGGCGATAACAGGACAAGGGCAGACGTGGAGACGAGACGATCTAATCTCGTCCGAGTTGTGCCCGCACCATCTCCACCCCCTTCCCCATGTTTCTGCGGAAGGCACGGTCCGACCGAGGCTACTTATCCTTAGGCATCCCGGGGCCGCAAGAGTCGTTGCCGCGCTGCCGCGGCACCGCTCGGTGCCCCCAAACACGAGCTTCCGGGGAAAAAAAGAGGTACACGATGATCTTAATGCAGCCGGGTGCGGAGGTCAGGCAGATAAATCTGACAGCCTGCAAGACAAGCACTGTGTATCGCAATGTTTCCCCTGTTCCGCTGGAGCTCGGGCCAGGCACTGGAGTAACTGAGCCGAGGAACCCCGCCATTGCGGGTCAGCGAGGCCGACGCTGGCCGCCAGCTTGTTGACTTCATTCTTCAACTCCGACGAAACTTTCTTCCTCCCGGTTCGTCGTGCTCTTCAATTGTTCTCAGGTCAATTGGAAGCCGTGCTGATTCGTCATGTCCGCCCTCGCCAGCACCTTCTGCCGTCAAGCAGCTCGCTCTCTCCGCCCCCGCCCAGCTCTCGCAAGCTCTGCTAGAGCTCTCCGTCCCGTCGCTCTTCAAGCCGCTCGTCTGCCCGTCGTCTCGTCCATCTCGAGAGCCTCCTTTGCCACCACCATGCCCACCAAGAGCGGCAGTGCCGTGCCCGCCGGCAATAAAGAGTTCGACCCTGAGATTGTCGACATTGCGAGCTATGTCCACAATTCTAAAATTGACTCCGCCCTCGCCGTAAGCATACCCAAGCCCCCGCCCTACGCATACTCTCTCTGACCCAACCCATCGGCAGTTTGATACGGCCCGCTTGGTCTTTCTTGACACCCTAGGCTGCGGTCTGAAAGCTCTCGAGTTTCCAGAGTGCACCAAGCTCCTCGGTCCGGTCGTCGAGGGCACCACTGTCCCCAATGGCACTCGCGTGCCCGGTACCCCGTACCAGCTCGACCCTGTGCGCGGTGCCTTCAACATTGGTGCAATGATCCGCTGGCTTGACTTTAACGACTGCTGGCTCGCAGCCGAATGGGGCCACCCTTCGGATAACCTGGGCGCCATCCTCGCCGTGGCTGACTGGATCTCGCGCACGAACCGCGCCGGTGGCAAATTGGGCAATGGCAAGGTCTTGAAGATCAAGGACGTGCTGGAGGCCATGATCAAAGCTCATGAGATCCAAGGCGTCATGGCTCTAGAGAATTCGTTCAACAAGGTTGGTCTGGATCACGTCGTGCTGGTCAAGCTTGCGTCAACTGCCGTCGTCTCCAAGATGCTCGGCCTCAACGAGGCGCAGACCCGTGACGCCATCACTCAGGCCTGGGTTGACGGCCAGTCCATGCGTACCTACCGCCACTCACCCAACACCATGTCTCGCAAGTCGTGGGCTGCTGGTGATGCCTGCGAGAGGGCCGTTAATCTCGTCTTGAAGGTTCTCAAGGGCGAGGGCGGAATGCCCACCGTGCTTTCCGCTCCCACCTGGGGCTTCTACGATGTCATGTTCAAGGGTGGTAAATTCCAATTCCAGCGGCCCTACGGCAGCTACATTATGGAGAACGTCCTGTTCAAGGTTTCCTACCCTGGTAAGCCGCTCCTGCAGAAAGTATCACACCCCAGTTACTGACCCGACCAGCCGAGTTCCACTCTCAGACCGCCGTTGAGGCCGCTCAGCGTTTGAACAAGAAGCTGGCCGCTATGGGAAAGACTGCCGAGGACATTGAGTCCGTGACCAACCGGACCCATGAAGCCTGCATTCGCATCATCGACAAGCAGCTGAAGCCCATGGACAACTTTGCCGACCGTGACCACTGCGTCCAGGTACGTCGCTATCCGTAGCCGCCCACAACCTCGCTCACACGTTTTCTAGTACATGGTTGCAACCATGTTTGTCTTCAACCGTCTTGAGGCCAGCGATTACACCGATGGCAGCGAGGCTGCTACATCGCAGCTGGTCGAGTCTCTTCGCAAGCGCATCTCTTGCGTCGAGGACCCACAGTTCACCAAGGACTACCATGACCCGGCGAAGCGCACCATCTCCAACGCCCTGACGGTCCGCCTCAAGGATGGCACTACCCTCGAGGAGGAGGTTGTGGAGGCTCCGCTGGGCCACAGGTTGAGAAGAGAGGAGGCTAAGCCTCACATTTTGGCCAAGTACAAGGCTCACTTGGCTCCGCACTACTCGGAGCAGAAGGTTAATGAGCTGCTTGAGCTCGGTCAGGATCAGAGCAAGTTGGAGCAGACTGACGTCGACAAGTATGTCGATCTCTATGTAAAGAACTAATTTTGGAAACGGATGGAATCCCGGCGCGGACCGAAATAGTCGAAAGTTAAAACGACGACAAATAAAGAAATTTACGCAGCTAAAACAATTTCCATGATGAATTGGGCCGAGACAACCTTTGGGCGGCAAACTCACACCTAACTCTATCCAAATATGCCCCTTATCTCAGCTTTTTCTAGAGGTGTTGGTACCGCCAATGACGGGTTGTCCTGAAACGCGAGCAAGATAAGCCATGCGCAACCCTGACTGAAGCTTTGATGATTCTGACAAAATGAAGAAAGCCAATTACTCCTCGTTTTAAATGTGTCGCAGCCGTCCGGCCATCCGGGTAGACTCGTTTGCAGCTTAGCTCGATTTGCATCACACCAGGTACTACACAACCAGATCCAGAGAATCTCCCTCTCGGTCACCTTGGCCATCTTGGCTCTCTTGGCCTGTGGCTTGACTCTTGGTGTATAAAGTTGTCGATTCAAGCATTCGAAGCGAATTACGAGTTTCGCAGCTGCAGATACGGGAAAGTATCGACGCTGGCATTCACATGCAAGGCACCTAGTACCTGACTGCCTATCTTGAACGATAACGGGCTTCCATCTTCAGCCTCACGGCATCCCATGGTTATGGTAACCAGCCGTTTTGATAGGTCGGCTCACCCTCTAAGCCAAATATAGCTCCGTGCATGCCCAAAAAGGCAAAAATGCTGCCCCTGGCGTTTGACAGTTCTCCGCAAAATGATTTACCCCGCGGATTTCGCCATCTGCATTCATATTATCGCGTGTTTTCTTGTGTGGTTAACGGGCGAACCGCGATCCATTATCCAGTCATCATTCTAGGAGTTTCAGGTTGAAGCCTGAGTGTTGCATCATCAATACGTGTGCGCGTCGCCCCGGGTTTCTTACTCTGATGTTGCTGCGTATTGCTCATGTTCCGCTGATCAAAAGCTAGAAGCAGCCTCGTTCCACGAGCTTATTTTGCAACTGCCGTTGACTGCCGTGTGACAGTCACCATCTCCCCTGGCAACGCCACCACGTTCAGCAAACGGCACCGTTAGACGCCACGACGTGGCAATAGGTCCGTGTGGCTACTTAGCTCAAGGTAGAACTGCGGGTAAGATGGTACGTACCAGGGCAAACCTCGACAACGAGCTGAAATGGTCCGATACCCAACAGAACCAAGCAAGCAATGGTACTTTGGCGCATGCGTGGCACGACCGTATGGTGTCTGGAATCTTGATGGACTTCGGTAGTCGCGGATGGGCGGGCTTATATCTACGGCCGCGTCTCCAGCTTCCACAATCCAGTGTGCCCCTTTTGTAATTCACCTCATTCACTCTTTTCCATCTCTCGCTCAACCATGGCTCCCAATCGCTGGCCGAATGCTCCCATGCCGAGCGGTGTCTCCTACGCCGACCTTCCTATCACTGATCCGAACTGTATGAACATGTCATGCAAGGCCTTCGCTGCTGGATGGAACGAATCACAGGACGAGATCCCTCTTATGACGTTAGTCAACTATTCCTACTGGACCATGACCTACTACATGACCTGGATCATCATCTTTGTGGTGGCACACATGGTCCACGTCCTCAGCGACCGGTTCACAAGAGCCCGGACGCCGGGTAGCCCGCCACGAGCTGGATGGACGCACAAGCTTGCCGCGAGCTACCGATCGATAGCATACCGGAGATTCGGCGGATGGTGGACGAAGCTTGGCATGCCCTCTCTCGGACTTTTTGCTTTGTTGGCCCTGTCAACCATCTTCTTCATTTGCTTGTTGTTTCCTGGACCGGCATACCTTCGCTCTCGTTTCCGCTTCGGATCTCCCCCATTGTCCGTCCGGTGTGCCATGACCATCTCCGCCCTGCTACCGCTCCTGATTGCGCTGGCTGGCAAGGTCAATATGTTCACTTGGGTAACTGGGGCATCCTACGCGGAGCTCAACATCTTCCACAGATACATTGGCGGCGTTCTGTTCGCTCTCGCTACCATGCACACGGTAAGTTCTCTCTTGCTGGGCGAACACCTTGAGTAGTTCGGGTATTGACGGATATTACAGGTACCACATCTCGTGGCCCCTATCCAAGATGGCGGGTACGACATGCTCGCTCAGTTGTTCATCTGGAAGAGACGCGAGGTAAGCAAGTCCTTTCTTTTTATTACACGCTTGGCTTACTCACCTCATGTAGCTATCCGGAGTCATCCTGTATTTCGTTTTCATCTGCCTGATGCTGCTTTCCATCCCAGCCGTGCGTCGCCGTTTCTACGAATTCTTCGTCTTCACCCACATTTTCCTCGGCGTCTCATTCTTTGGCTTGCTTTGGTGGCATATCAAGGGCGAATACGCATCGGTAAGTAACCAAACACTCTCGCTACCAAACCAGCGCTAACAAGCTCAACAGCCAATCTACATCTATACCACTGTTGGCATCTTCATCTTGTCCAACCTCCTCCGCATCCTTCAGCGGAACAAGTCCGTTCTGCATGGCAAGCTCGGCGGCTTCCCCACACGCATTGAGCGCCTCCCCGGGAAAATCACCAAGCTCACCGTCGAGGTTCCGGCCGCTCTGCGTTGGAAGGCCGGCCAGCACAGCTACGTTCGCATGCCGCGCGGCGTCAGCAACATCTTCGACAACCATCCTTTTACTATTGCCTCCATCCCGTCGACGTCTGGTCCATCGCAGCAGCAGCAGTCCAACAAGATGGTCTTCCTCATCCGTGCCCACCGTGGCTTCACCGGCGCTCTCGAACGGCGGGCGATTCTTTGTGAAGAAGAACAGAAGATCGCCCGGCCGGGCCTCCCTTCTTCCCCTTCCTTCGCGTCCGCCACCACTACCACCACCGCCGCATCCAGCATCCGCTCGGTGGTCACCGAAAAGCCCAACAAGAACGCTTCCACCTACACCGTCGACGACGTCGAACGGTCCACCACGGCAGCCACGGCCACCACCATGACCGAGATCTTCGCAACCCCCACCCGTGCACTCGGCACCATCATCGACGGGCCTTACGGCACGTACGTCCCGCCCCTCCACCGCACCTTCGACACCGTCGTCCTCGTCGCCGCCGGTACGGGCATCACGGCCGCGCTGCCGTACGCGCTCGACCTGTCGAGGCAGCTGCGCGACGGCGGTGCGGACGGATGCAGCAGCACAACAGTGCAAGAGGTGCGGCTCGTGTGGACGATCCGCGACGACGCGTGGATCGAGTGGGTGCGCAGCGAGTTCGAGAGCATCGTGCGCACGGCGGGCGCCGGCAAGATCATCGTGGACGTGTACGTGACGGGCAAGAAGAAGGCGGAGCTGCCGATGCTGCAACAGCAACAGCAGTACATTCCTGCGCTGCCTACTGCGCCGCCGCCGCCGGCGGCCTTCGTTCCTCACCACCACCACGACGAGATGATGATGATGCAGCCCTTGGCCATCAGCGGGACCGCCGCCGGCCGCCGCGCCGCCCTGTCGCTTTTCCCGCCGGCGGGCATGTCGCAGTGCTCGTCGTCCGCGACCTTGGCGCCGCCGCTGCCGCGGCCGTCGGAGGATGTCATCCTCGAGGACGTCGACGTCGACGAAATCAAGCCCAGCTCTCCCATCCACGTCACCACCACGACCACCACTTCCATCTCCACCTCTGCCACTTCCTCGTCGCGCCAGCTGAACATCAAGTACGAGGGCCGCCCGCGCATGGCGAGCCTCGTGCCGCAGCTCGTGGGCGAGGCGCAGGGCGCAAGGGCGTTCGTGGTCGGGTGTGGCCCGGAGGCCTTGAAGGTGGAGCTGGGGAATGCGGTGGCCGGGATGCAGAAGGATGTGTTTAGGGGCGAGATGGAGAAGGTTGTGTTGCATATGGAGACGTTTGGGTGGTGAGAGAGTCTTTTCATTTTCGTGGTTGAGTGTTTTCTTCTATTTCTTCTTCTTCCTCCTCTTCTTCTTCTCCTCCTTTTTGAGTGTTTTTTTTTTGGTTTTTGGTTTTTGGTTTTGTTGCGTTTTAGCGATTTGTATCAGAGTATAGGGGACTCCAGAATGTTTTTCTCTTAATAACGACGGTTATGATGATAGAATACCAGACTGAGAGGTAGAGTAGAGTAGAGTAGACTGACTAAGATATCAAATTGGAGAGCGGCTTTTCGTATGGCACTTCGATTCACCTACCTGCTTGAACCCTAGTTGAAATGATTGTGATTGGTGGTAGGTCTTTTTCCATTGACGCATTCGCCTTCGATGAACAAAGATACCAAGTTGGACAATTTTGCACTAGTCTCCTTATGGCTTGGTATTTTGAACACTAAGAGAGTATAGAACGGAGATATCGCCGAGAGCGAGATCACCAGATGGCATATCCAACAAGCTCCGGGAAACGGGAAGGACTGGATCGAAGCCATCTTCGGCCCACGAACCGCCGGTGGGGGCCAAGGGAGCCTCGTCCTCCTCGAAAAACCCTCGGAAGTTTTCGGAAATGAGGCCTGCAGTATACGTACAGGAGCAAGGGTATCAACATGGTTGATATTGACGTCTGCTGATACGGAGGAGAGTTCCAGTGTGGCCGAACGCGGCAATCCAATTCGAGATGGTGTTTTAGAAGAGGTAAAGGTAACACAAAACCATAATCTCAACGGTGATGGTGCGGACAGCTCCACAGGTCGGATCATCGGACTCGCCGACGGACTCTCCTGAGGTGCTTCGGCTCGAGCTGGCTAGTTCCTCACTTCTGGTACCGGATCTTGAGCCTATGGGCATCCAAGGGATCTTACCCGCATGTTGCCGAATGTAAATCTGTCGGATCAGGCCATCGACTCGACCGTCTGGGAAATCCAGGGTTATCCGAACTGCATCCTGTCGGCCGAGACGCACACCAATAGAATACCGACTCCCGAGCCTTTGTAATCACCCTGGCTTCACGTCGTGCAATCCAACACGCCATAAAACAGAGTTGCGGATGTCTCGATGCGAAACCGAGGAAGTTTTATCTGAAGCCCTTTGTTCGTCCTCGTGTAAGGTGTTCTGACAACGACGGCCGCTTACTCCGAATCCTGTGAGAGAACTGATAGGGATACTCGGCGAGCATTCTATGGAGATGGTACACAAGCCCGTCTCTACATAGTCGTAGTGGGCTCCAAGCAAGGAGAGATTTGTTATCGGAAACTTTCATAGTTTCCTCTTGCAGTATCTGAAACGCCTTGTATCAGAGCAGGGGCATGTTGACACCAATGATTCTCAGTAGACAGTAGGCGATGTCTTCTAATCGGGTTGTTTGTCTCTTGGGCACCCAGGAAAACCTGCAGGATATGCCGATGAAACAGTTGCCTTCTTCAAAGTGAATGAAGCTCCCCGCATCAATGCCCGTGGTCCGGGCAATGATTTCCGTGTGGTCCGTCTTCGCGTCTATCTGGACCCAGTTTGTTGTGTAGAAAATGTTTTTTTAGGAGCGATGAACCATCGACTTTCGGAGGAATTCGGAATCCGGAGCAATTGTGGGATCCGACACGTCACTGAGGTAAACAAAGCACTCTAATGACGATCCGTACCAGCGGAAAATGGAGTTGATGGACTCGGAAAGCTCGGAGCTGTTGGTTTTGTTGATATCAGCCCATGCATATTCGTATCCCGCCGCAGCAGCCATTCGACGGAAACTTTCAACCTTCTGGAATCCATCTTTTGCTCGGAGTAAAGGGTCTAAGTCTCTCGCGTTCCATTCCTAGAAGCTCACCTCTTCGTCGGCCCAAGTATGGGAGAGAACGGCACAGGTAAGATCTCACCTATGATGTAATGTAGCTCAAGAATTGGCGTGTTCAATAGTCGCATTGTGATGGAAAGAATCGGTGAGATGTGGTTGGCGACGAAGGTGGGGCAAGGCTGAGAGCGTGCGCACGACCTAGCCCCCAAACCTCGCCACACAGAACCGAGCTAATAATATCCTGCTAATCAGGAAAAAAATATCGCGAGTGATGGTGGTGAGAATACGTGGTGATGGCCGGCTGAGATTCAAATTGAATGACGATTCGAAGCATTTTCCAGTGCTCGAGGCAGTGACGTGGCCCGAGTGATTAATAGAGTTCTGCCGGACCTCAACATGCTTTTCTTCATTGCCGCATTCATGTGCCGTGTCTCTTAGCTTTTTCTCAACACCAAAGGATAAACCCAGTATATTTACTTCTCTTGAAAACTTACAAAGAAAGACTGTATCAGAAGGCTAGCGTTAATTTGTTTTTCGCTCATGTCATGGGCAGTTGAAGCCATCGGCTGGACGAGAACGTCAAATTACGAAGTCTACATACACTTCCGGACGATAATTTCAACTACCCATGTGTTTTTCTACTTTTTTCGTTCTTATGAAAAATATGAGGCACAGCTACGCCCGTGTTCGAGGATCCCACTAGCCTTCAGCTGAAATATCCCTCCGTAACCACGCAATCAGCCCATCTTTTCACACCACGAGCTCAACTTTCACGTATTCAAACAGGGAGCTTTGCTGCTCCCCGTGGGTGAGCAGCACTCAATGCATTCATTCGCACTGTTCAACAAGCCCTCGGAGACATGATACCGCAAAGTAAATGAACACTCAAAAGCCCACCCGCTCACTTTGACACAGGCTCCAAAGACATACAAAAATAACCCACAATAACCAACCCTCCCCACAAACCATCCCAAACCACGAACCCCTTCTTCACACCCACGCCGCCCTCCCAGCATCAAGCCCGAACCACCTCGCACTCCCTCCGCCCATCCCCTGCTCCTCACCACCACCATCATCCCTCCGCCCCATACTAAACACCCCCCTCCCTCTTCGCCAACTCCCGGTCACCCAGCCACTCCGCACCCTGCGGCACCACCTCCTCTCTCAGCAGCGACCCCTGCGCGCCGCCGCCCGCCAGCAGGCTCACCACCGCCACCACCGCGATGCCACCACATAGATCCTTGGGCAGCTGATCTCGCGCGCGTATTCATGCCCCAGAAGCTGGCCGTCGCAATGCACAGCGCGATGGCAGCGTGCAGGGCTTCCAAGATACGCGTCGAGGTGGCGTCTTGGCGGAGACGGGGCGACGTGAACGGGTAGGTGGGGGTGCCGGTGGAGGTCGTGATAGTCGGGGCGGGGGTGAAGGTGGTGGTGGTGGTGTTGAATTCCTGAGCGGGTATATATAGTGTGGCCGCTGAGGGTAGCCGTGAAGCCGGTCGCGGCGGAAGAAAAGTAATCGGGAGATTTGGGCTGATTCGGTAATGGCGTAAGATACCGTTGTGGAAATCAAAGACACTGTCGATTGAAGCGGTTGTGCCGGGGGTTATCAACGCTGGATCAGTGGTGTGCAGCCCGCTTGCTACAATAGTGAGGAACGGGGCCAGCAGCATTGCTGTTGCTGTTGCGGTAATGGTCCAATAGCCCCCCATTATAGAATCGGCAAGAGAATGGATCGTTAGCCGGGAGAGCTGGTTGTTGAGGAACGTTAGTTGTGCCCGCGATGACCAATGGCGCAATTCGTGGTAAGGCAGAAAAACAGTGGACGTGAAAGATACCATGCCCACCAGGAGTTGAATCACTAACATGACGAGACCGGGCAAGTAGACCCAAGCAGATCTTACGTAGTCTGACGTTTCCACAGTAGTCAGACCTTGTTGCTTCCCTGATGTTTGGAACAGGACTCCCAGAACCGCGATCAAAATGATTATTACTATGATAAACGTTGACTGCGTTGACTGCGTTGACTGCGTTGACTGCGTTGACTTAGTTGATGCTGAAATTGAAAACGGTCGCCACCAGGCTGTAGGCTCATCAATGTGGAGCCCAGCAGGCTTGCGCTCTTGGCCGGTAATTATGATACCGATTCTGGATTCGGGGCCGGCGTCGGTATGCTCCATACAGCTCTTGGAGAGGCAGTTCTGTAATACCTGTCGAATAGTGGGTATTCCACATGCTCCCTGTGCTGACAGAGTATTGGCCACAGAGGGGCTGCGGGCCAAAATAGCTGTCAGTCCACCAATGGAACCAGGGTCGAGCGAGACTACGCGCTCAGGAATATAGAAAAGCAGAAGGCCAGTAAGCAACAGTAGAGCGGAAACTGTTGCCAGCATCCAATATAAAGAGAGCCCTCTGATATGAAGCCAATGTTCTGACACTGAATAGGTCCCGCTCTGCGCTCTCTGATCTGGCACCATGAGGTATTCTTTGGCAATTTGCGCTCACACGGAGCTAAATAGTAGCTACTATTTGCGATGAACCGTTGAAGTATCCATCAAGGAACTGGTGTCGACTCCAAACAAGGAAGCGTACAGTGTAAAGAACCTATCGAGAGCCAGCTGATAGAAATGTCCGTTCACTTCGACGACAATCTATTCTCGATCGTTTCTTAATACATCCAAGGTAAGGGAATCCAAAGTGTTTACAGCGTCCTTCAACACGATCTCGAAGCGTGTAAACAAATCCCAGCCACTCATTGATGGAAGCTGACGCCCATCAGAGGTATTGGCAGGCAGGTCGGAGATGATGTCAAGGACATTTCCGAACTGATCACGATTTGGTCGATTGAGCACTTCGGGGTGGAGACAAGAACTGTTGCATTATTTTGCTCCAGGAGTACACCAGGCTTTTTTTCATCGTAGTCCAGAAAGCCAGCAGTAATAACGAAGTCATCCCTTGCAAGAGTCGTACATGATGCTCGAAATTTGACACCATAGATCATGTCTGTTCCGTCGGGAAGGAGAATGGTGTTCACAAAGTCGTCCGGTGCTGGGAACTCGCCAGTCTGGCATGACTGCGACTTTACTCGAATCACCCAGGAATTCAAGTACGCACAATCCTGATCACTGCTTGAGTTACATTGTGTGTTTTATGAAGGCCATCGGAAGTAGGGCGGGAAGGGAAGAGTTTTCGGTAATGTTCAGTGCAGACGCTTCAAACCGATCTGCAGCTGTCAGTGGTGCATCGACGTGCTGACGATCCTGGAATTGTGGCATGAATAGCCCAGTCGAGAGGACTGTAAGTAATCGGATCAAGAGAGACACAGCGACAACCAGGGTGACAGCCCAGTGCTTTGCTTGGAACGATGTCAACAAACACTTGAGCGGGTTCTGCGACACGTAATCCAAGAGAAGGGGTTCCGCAGCCGCAGTCTCTCTCTTTCTCAAGATCTCCCACGGCACCATCTGCTTGGCTCTATCATGCATGCTCCATAGGAAAGAGCCAATTCTTTGTCCATGATTTCTCAATCCAATCAGATATTCAAGGCCAGAGCGAAGCAATAAAGCACTGAGATTGATAAAAAGCCGCGCCTCAATCAAAGAAACCTTGTCCTCTACCTCTGTCATCAGAAACGCCTCTATACTGTCTAGCCCCTTCCCCTATCAATTTCACTTCCAATCAGCAGCCTCGCCACAGCGCTCCTCGCCCGCACGGCATCCCACCCCGACCACAGTCTCGAAACCAAAACAGCCCACCATCGTCACCCTTTAGCCCTCGCAAACCACCAGTTTGCGTCCCCCTCCCTTGAATGCCGCAGCTGTACCATCACTCGCTCCGCCGCCTCACTCATCTCACCGCGATCCCTCACGCCGCCCAGCTCCCGTCTCGTCTCCGGATCGAAGCCATGAAGAAGCAGCGCCACGGCCGACGATTTCCAATGCCGGGCCGTCCACTCACGGCCATCGCCGCGGGTATGTAGCGCCGTGGTGACAATAAACACGATCGTGAGTCCATACAGTGCAGCGGGCAGGCCGATCCAAGCCCAGCGCACATCCACGCATGTCTGCGACCCCATCACAGTGCCGTAGGCGAAGTTGGCGGGCGGCGGCGTGTTACCGTGGACGCGCATCGCTCCGCTGAGCGAGGTGGCGAGGCCGTTGACCCAGCGGTCGACAGTTGCCATGGTCGCGGTGTCGTTGTGCCACAGGTCTTGGAGGCAACAGATCGCGCCGGTGGACGAAGAAGATGCGGTCAGCGTCTGCCTGCTGAAGATGTCTTCGATGAACGACATGAAGGTTAAGAGTGCGTCGTATCCCACCATGTACACGCAGTCGGGGGGATACCACTGGGTGTCCTTGGAGACAATGGCCGGATCACCGCTGAAGTAAGTGGCGCTGATGGTCATATTGTTGGGTGAAACCGGCACGTAGTTGGTGGGGGTTTGCGTAGCGGATGGATTACAGTCGTTCCACGTGCCGTTTCTGAGCGTTTGATTTACGGCGAGGGACCAGGGTTCGTCGTTGTCAAGGACATTCTCAAAGTGTAGGTCATGCCTGAGAGATGAAATGCGTGACTCAGTGTACACAGAGTTCACGAATTTGGCACTGTACGTGGTCACACACGGGTACAGCGAGCAGCTGATAGCGAGATAATCATTCTTGCGGTGGATCACAGCATCAAAATCGTAGAATGATACAGTGTCGTTAGAATAATAATCTGATCCGACGAGGCTTACGAGGTCGGTGATGTTTCTGTTCTGAAGTGCTGCTCCGCTAGACTCCAGTGTTACGTTGTAGTAACTTTGATCTTCGGGATCTGTGATGTTGATTAAAAGTGCCGAAATGTCCTGACAGGAATGGCAAACGTCGAGTGATGAGAAAGCGGCGCCAGAATCATTTGGGAAGGTACAATTCCCCGTTGGGCAGTCGACCGTAATGCTGACAGATGTGTTTGCAGGAGGACCAAAGAGACCGGTGTACGTAGCCACTGCTATTACACTGTTGAGATTCGTGTCTCCGTAAAGCGCACCAAGCCCAGTGAAGTTATTTGTGATCGGTATCTTGGCTGCAGTGTCCGGAACTGGCTGAAGACAGTTGTAGTATTTGATTATTTGTTGCGAAAAGGGGTCAATAGCCAAAGCGAATATCGTAATGAAGGCACCGAGACTGGCGTGGAAACTTGAAGTGATTTTGTCAATTCTATCCATCCGCAGAATCAATTTTCGCCTAGGATCTTACTATGGCTTCATTCTCATCAATAAACACAACGCACCCCAAGGCCCTCTGCTGGCGCTATCCATCTTGTCTAGGTCCATCAAAGACCTTGGGTTGCGGAACCAAGACCATTTGAGCTCGCTAATCCCTGGAACCTCATAAATTTCTTTAGTCACTCTCTCTGGATTACAAAACATTTTGGAGACTTTACCCTCTGCTACAGGCATCATCATAGACGCCTTGAATATGGCTGTGAAAACGGCGATCAGAGAGTTGAGGGTGATGTAGTGCGGCCACTGCGGTATGGGCTGCCCATCATAGGCAATAAGCACCGCTATTACAGTGACCAAAGCTCCAGCAGACAAGGAACAGCTTAAGGCTTCCAAGGTCCAGGTTTGATCGGCTAGTGTTCGAACTGCGGTCAGCCTCGCGCGTTTCATAGGTTCTTTCACAAGGCTGCTCTCTTCACATGTCGAGAGCGGATAGTGCCCCGGCTGCTCCTGATAATCGTCTTGACTATGTTCCAGCAAGGAGCTTGTATCTCGAAACTCCCTGAGAGGGACACTTGTGAAGTTTTCCAAGGGTTGCTGCGTGCCGACCATGCCGGGAATGTAGGTAAGGTGTAGCAAGGCTTAGGAATCTGGGACCACGGTCTTGCAATCGTTTTAAAAGCAGGCCTTGACCTAGTCTGTGCTGAGCCTGTCAGCTGTGGTGGCGGTGAAATGACGCAACATACTATTGTTGCCTGATTCTGTCAAACAAAACGAATGAACGGTGCCGCAGAGCCTGCCTCTACTTCAGCAATGTAACTAAGAATCTACATCTTTAGAGGTTGAATAGCGTTTGCGAAGCCTCGGGTCAGAGTATACGGTCAGGCGGGTGGGGTAAGGCTGAGAGTACTTTCAGCTCAGTCTATTGGTAGCAGCTGAAAACCCTATTGCATCACTCTACGTAACGTCATGGCTGAAACACAAGCCAGTAATCATCTTCTCTTCGGAAATGGGAACATCGTGAGAAATGGTTGGTGGTGATGCTCAGGTACACGCAATGATGACCGCCGAGAAACGGACCGAGTGGAGATCTCCCGCAACCCTGTGATGCAACCGCGGAGCAGCTACCCTTGACTGCAATCTCTCCGACTGAAATGAGGCTATAGGGCTGACTAGCAAACCTTCATACCTCTAGCTAAACGTCGAGATTAAAAACCGTTTTTTAGTGTACGTTTTGAGGCTCTGCACGAAGTGCCGATTGGACAATGCGAGCAAAAAGCTAAAGTTATTTGGACTGCACTCTATTACCGAGATGCTGAGACCGTGCAACAACAGCGGTAGCTAGTGCGAGCGTTGACATTGGAAGGTAAAGATAGTAACGAAGTGTTCTAGAATACGCTATTCGCGGCACCTTGAGACAACGCCAGATCTCAGGAGCCGGATATGGTCAGGGATTAGACAGGCACGTCTCGGGAATAGCATGAGATGTTTCTACAGAAAGGGGGCCGGAAGTGAAGTACGCTTGCGTTATGTCGGCTCCCGCGCGATGGATGGCCAAAAGGGGGCCGGAGGTTGCGGAATCAAAGGGTAAGATGAAAGGGATGGGGGATGGAAGGAGAGATGGAAACGGCGAAGGACGCGGCGAGGGGAGACAGCGAACACGGGATCAGAGAGAGGGCCAGCTCGAATGACGACTGGCAAGAGATTGCTGTGCGGGACAAAACTCGGACCGCGAGGAATTCGCGCGCGCCATCACACGATGGAAGCGGGCTCGGTGTTGACGTTTCGAGCGGCTCCCCAAAAATACCAACCAAGCGCGCCGCGAACGGCTGGGGACAAACACAACGCCCCAGCACGGCAGCCAATAAGCACCGGCGAAGGCTCAAAAGCAAAAATGGCCCATCATACGAGCGTCAAAAAGACCGTTTTACGTCTGGCGGCAGCAGGGAGCCGGGATTGGGTAATTTCAGGGCGGTCGCAGGGCTGTCGTGGATGATTTGACCCCGAGTTAGCGCCGCCTCGACCTAGGAGCGCGCGCTGCGCGAGAATCGTTCACTAGCCACGTCAAAGACAGACCCTCAGGCCGCCTGCAGCACCCGCCGGCCTCATCTGCGCCTGAGGCAGCCCGTCCGCGCCTGACGAGGCTTGCTTGCTGCCGGTTCGGGCGGCGATTCTTTGTGTGCTGCGAGCAGCGGCTCGGAGCCCAGCTGCCCAGCGGCCCCGCCTGCGGTTCGCGCGCGGCGTGCGGGCGTGCGGACGATCTTGCACCGGCTGAGGGCGGGGGCGGGCGGTGTCGGCGTTGCTTCGAGGCGCAGCTTCTTGTCGCTGCTGAATTGATGCGGGGGCGGGAGCAGACGAGAGCGGCAGCGCGCGGCACCGACGCGGCATTTTGGCTGTGCCGGCCCCGAAGCAATTGACGCTGTCTTTCCTCAGCTGCCGCGCGCATCCGCCGTTCGCGACTCGCGGCGTGAGGTAAGCGCGCCGACCGAGAGTAAAAAAAGCTGCGCGGTTCCGTGGTTTCTTCGCGCGGTGTGGGTTCTTCGCTCGATCTGGCGCCAGGGTCTGGGTTTAGCGTCGCGCCGGCAGGCGTTTGGGAGCCCGAGGCCGCTGTGGCCATGCCATCTCAAACGGGCGCCTGCAGCCCGACTATGAAGGGCGGCGCACGGACAAGGGATCCTGCTCGCCCAGATGACGTGGGTCGTAGCCCCGGCCGAGTCAGCCTGCTGACCGCTACCCGTACGAGCAATCACAAGCCACTCCCGGAATCCGTGCTCGCGACTACGACTTTCGCATCACAAACACATAAGAATACCCATCCCCCCGACCACTGCCAATTCCGTTTGCAACAAGCCTGCTGGTTCCGGCACCCGCTCCACACACCAACTCCGCACGCTGGACTATTAACCGCAACTCACCCACACCCACCATATAAAGCACCCGCTGCTGCATCCGTCTCTGGCTTCACATTCCGCATTCCACCCACGATGAGGCAATCACCGCCCAGCATGGTGCTCAACCTTCCCGCCCACACCCAGAAGCAGCTGGCAAACATGGCCGCCTCGCCCGCTCCCACCGTCTCCACCGACGCCTCGCCCATGGACCAGTACCGCCTCACCATGGCCCAGCGCTACCGCCAGCAGATCCAGCAGATCATGACGGCCGACCTGCTCGCACAAGACCCGGACGCCATCACCCCCGCGCCGCCGCTCGTCCCCACCACCACGAGCCAGATCACCAACGCCATCCTCACCGAGGATTTCGAGGTCGCCGAGGACGAGGTTGACGAGGACGAGCTGCTGCCGCCCTACGAAGAGGAGGAGGGCAATGCCTCAGACTGCACCATCACCGTCCAGGAAATCGACTCGCCTGATACGCCCTCGGACAACAACGTGCTCGGTCCCAACAACGAGCCCCGCTTCTTCGCTGACTACTCGCCCAACCCCGTTGACGGCCGCCCCAACAGCGCCTCCTCGTCCGAGTCGATCGTGCAAGTTGAGTTCGAGCCGAAGCAGCTGGGCCGCGCGCGTGCCTTGACCCTCACCAAGAAGGGCGCCGTCAGCGTCGTCGAGAAGCCCCGCGAGCACCATTTCCTAAGGCCGCGCAGCCGCAGCAACAGTGCCGGCAAGGACGCCGCTCCAACCGCCCACTGCGCACGCCCCAGGCTACCCACTTCGCGCAACTCCAAGATGCGCAAGCAGTTGGCCTCTATTTTCAGCACAAAGGCGCACGACCACGGCCACGCCGCCGCCTCAGCAACAAAGCCCACCACCTTTGTCCGCTCGAGCGCCGTCCTATGACTCGGTTGCGGGAGCTACTTTTGCAACCTTGTGACGGCCGGATTGGGCAGGCTATTCTGCGTGCCTGGCGCCACTACCACGATCACTCCCGCCAAGAGCGGTTGAAGTGGTCGACACCAAAAAAGTCTACCAGCTTTTTATTTTTTTTTTCGTTATTCCCGCTCCACGCTACTACCTTTTCGAGAGCGTCATCATCATCGACGTTGCATGCACCACCGCCAGTGGCCGGCCCAGTCAGGGATGTGCTTCCTATTTTTAGGAACACATTTTTGGTCGGACTGTGCGGTGCGGCGCATTGCACAACAACGGCTACGGGAAAGGATGCCGCCGCCACGGGCGGTTGTTTGCGCTCCGCCGCCGCCGCCCCCTTTGTGTGGGACGTGTTGTTTGAGAGGGAATGGAGGGGGCTGAGGCTTACTCTTACCGCTCCACTCACAACGCACACACACCTCCCTTGCGAGACGCCAGCCAGTCAGAACATGGACCCTGGAGATGCCAAGGTGGAGACTTTTTCGCGACGCCGCGAGGAGGGGGAAGAAGGCAGATTTCGAGATGTGTTGGGGAGGAGCTTGAGACTGGAACTGTGTACAGCTCAACCACGACTGAAACGTTTCCTTAGTGTACAGTATACGCGCGTTATGCATGATGCCAGGCGGGCTGGGGGATACATTTGCATGGGACGGGGTTCGGGATTGGACACGGAGTTTTGCTTTTTGGGATTTTGATTTTGCAACTAGAGGAACTACACTTGTGCGCAAGCGGGAGATGGGAGGGAGGAATATACAGACACATCGCATAGATACCCCGAGAAACTAAGGCTGTTACTATCTACTACCTCCTACTACCTCTTGCGATGCTGTGACACCTCAACGCAAAACGCGCATCTTCATGTCGTGTTCGTTTTTTGCTTTTAGCCGACAATGAGACGGACGGACGGACAATGCTATCCCACCCTTGCTCAAGACGGAAGGTCAGCCATCATCATCGTCAGCCTCGCTCATTACGACGCCGCCTCAGCATGCATATCGTGCGTGCGCGCGTCCACGACGACGAACAGCGCAGCGCAGCTCCTCGTATCACCACCACCCCCTCCCCCCTCTTCGCAGCGACGCGACAGCGAAGACGAAAACGCCGGGCGAATCATCATCATCTCGCTCCCTGAGTCATCACCATTGCGCTGTTGCCGTTGTCAGATGAAGAGATCTAGAACACGCAAACAAGAAATCGGCCGTGCGCTGCCTTGCTGACGGGCTGGCTGGGAAGGAGCCGATGAGCAAAGCAACAAGCCTTTTTCAATCTATCACACATCATCATCAGCCGCAAAAGCAGGATAATCAGCAGCGCAAAAACAGGCAAGCGAACAGAAAAAGCCCTGACGATCATCACCGCTTTTTCCGCTTTTCTCCGAGCCCGGACGACCATGCATGCACGCGCGCGCGCGCACACGCCCGCTGCCGGCGCGCACACACACTCAAAACCATGTACACAGCCGCACTCGCTCGCGGAAAGTCGCTGCCTACAGACAATAATCCAAATCTCTCATATCATCCTGCCGACGGGATGAAAAAAAGGCGACGACGCACCCCTTGGGGGGGCTGAGGGCGGTCAGCTGGACCGACAGGAGAGATCAAGAGAGCCAGCGAAGCTTCCGCGCCTTGCCATCACCCCATTGCGGTCATGGCTGCGAGAGCAACAACCATTCGGAAGCGCGTGGAAATGGGCAAATGCATGCACGCCTCGGCGCTGTGCAGTTCCCGCTCTCTGCCGGCTACCGGCCGAGGCATGCATGCTGCCCTTCGGACCCGTGGATCGAGCAAACGGAACAAGCATATCTTCACTCTTCTTCTCTTGTTCTCCATAAGGTGATGTTGACGTGATCGAAATGGTTCCAGACGGCGGGCGGGGTGGGATGCAGCTGCCGAACTCGGCAACAGCGCTACGAGAGACAGAGAGGAGCAGCGACTCCCTTGCCTCTTTTGCGATTGGGTGTGTGTGGAGGTGTGTGGAGCAACGATGGGGACAAAAAAAAATCCATTTTGCCGGACCACGTGCCGCTTAGAAAGCCAGAGAAATCTCACGATACTAGCATCGTCTGCTCGTCGCTTCTCGCCCGCCCGCCCTTGGTCGCACCTGGATGAGGAATTCTGCGCGACGTGTGGGTATGTGCGTGTGTGGGGAAGACTAATGCCGTCTGAGGCGGGGGGAAAACTGGAGACGAAGAAATCCTAAGCGTGGCTGTGCGCTGGCTGGCTGCCTCGCTCTTGTGTTCTGCACCTTTGCGCGTTGTGTGTTGTTTGCCACAATTGATTTGTATTGGAGTGTCTACGTGGGCGCGTAAATCATCACGTCTAAATTCCCACGCCTAACCGTATACACATCTTTTTGGCTTTGTGGCACTGCCTGTCTTGCACTGCCCAAATACCGAGAGATGATGGGCAGTAGCTAGAAGCCCGATCCTACGGCGCCAAGCTGTCTGCCCCATCCATCCGTCCCTTGGCAATTTTTCTATGTATGCCACTGTGACAGGGGGACCGGTGGGGAAGAGACGTGGCGGATTGCGAGAGATGGGGAAATTGATTGGGGGAAATGAAAGGTTCGACGAGTAATGGTTTGTGGCTACGTGGTCGGGCGCCACTTGCTTTTCGTCCTTTGATTGTTATCTCGTTTTTGCTCGTTGGGTTAGGTAGTAGCTTGGCTGGTATACCGGCCTCCGGCTTCTATGCCCGACGGATGGACCTTGGGCTTCCGCTGAAGATCACTGCATCGGACCAGGCGAGATACGCATCCGATGAGGCGTTGGAAACCCGTGGTACCTGGACGGCGGTCGGGCTCAATTGCCCGGCTGAGTTTAGCGTAATTGATCTCCCGGAACAGGCTTGCAAAAAGATGCCGAGGCGTTCGCAACCTGCTGTGGCACAACGGCCACTGAGAATCTTGCTTGGACCTCACTTCAGAAAACTTGAATGTGATGGCATTGCCGGTCTGGAACTGCTCTCGATGTGTTGGCAGCGCGACACGCGCAGAAAGCCAGCATTTCATTCCCACAAGACAATAGTAGCAGCGAAATATGGCTTTTGCTAGTCAGGCATTGCTCCATGGAAGAGGGGACGGATGCCAAAATCGCGGCCGAGACCACGACCCAGCAAAGTCCGGAATGATGATGATGATGAATGCACCATCTCCGCCTTTTTCGCCCACACGGCTGGGTCTTGTGTCGCTGTGATGGGGCCACTTCTTGGGTGGTGCGCATTGCTCGCACATGACGTCGCACGCGGGGTAAAAGGTAACTCGGCCCTTGCAGTTTAAACTCCACAAGCCTTCCCGTCTGGACCAAACTTCCTGACCAACCGCACTGCTTCTCGCCCTCTTCGCCTACTGCCAACTTTCCGTTGACTCATGTGGTGCTCGTTCGCTGGGTCGATACGCGCATCGTGATGCGGTGACTTGCTGCTCCATTGCCCCATTCCGCAACAACCATCACGAACGAGCGAGCCGCGGGTTTAGTGACACACAACACCCCGGTCGCGCATCTGACGACCCGCCGCGCAATCGAGCAGCGTACATATGCAAGCTGCAAACAAGCTCGGGATTGCCTTTCTCGTCGCCGCATCGGTGGGGATGCGCTGACAAAAAGAGTAACCCTGCAGATCTCAAAAAGGTGCGAAAGCACGCAAGTCGCGGCGATGAAAAATGCTTGTCGCCTCACTCCCTCGTTCCTCTGGGAGAGGGCTGCAACAGAGTGATCGGCGCTGTGCTTACAAACGTTAGCGTCGACGCGGATCCGCGATGCAGACGGCCCGGTGCGGTGTGCGCCAATAATTTTCTTTCGAGGTGTGTGATGGCTGTCTGCCTGTCTGCCCTCTCTCCGTTGTCGGAGGGAACCCGGTCGTGCGGCGACGGGATTAAGGAGCTTTTTGTTTTTTTGGCGCGGGGAAGTGGCGGCAGCGGGGGGAAGGAACAGGAGAACTTTGAATAGCGTCGGTTCTTCTTTTTTCTCGTTTCGCCTTTTGACTCACGATAGCTGAACCGTAAGAATAGGCGGATGCTTATCAAGCTTCCCTGGGCTAGCAGCCAGTTAGCTGGCGGCGGAGATAGAGGCGGAGAAGATAGTGGGAGGATGAGTGATTCACGATGAGGCTAGTGCTGCCATTGGCCGAGCATTGGTGCGCATCCTCACCCAAGTGGGCTCTTTAACACTGCTAGTATTATGCGCATCGTCAGCCAACGCACGCCACACGCCATTCACAGAACGTGAAGTCGGACCCTTTCTCCCTCTCGTCACCGCTGATCTGCGAAAAGGCGGATGGCTTCTGCTGCGAGGTCATAGCTGGAGACCTGACACTACGGGTGGGTCACGCGCACACCTCGCTGGTTTCCCTTTAACGCGTGAGCTATGGCGCTATCAGGATCGTGAATTCCTCAAAAATTCAATAATCCCAGCGCTCTGGTCGCCGCGCACAGGCATAACGTTATCAGGCCAAGCTCGCAGATCAGTAACGGCTTGTGATTGCCGGTGACTCTTTCACGCGGCACACTTGACTTACAATTCACACCTCAGCTGAGTACATGCCTGGCTAATCCGGGCCGTCTGCCCCTTGCATTGATAAGAAAGTTTCAGCCGCCGCATTCCCACCTCCAAGAAGCCACGGATCCTGGTACATTCAATCTCGAGATGGGAAACATAATGCTTGTTGACCGCTCAGGTGGTTTCGCTCCATTAGGTAGTGACTAGGAAAAAAGGAGACAAGGATTATCCTAAAACTACATACAAGCCCAGTCCTCCGAGCGCCCAGTACCCGAAACCAGCTACCTCTTGACGCTTCCCGCTAGTCGCACCTCCTGTAGACATCGTCGATGCCGATATTGATGTCGCAGGGCTGTCTGTTCCACTACCGCTGCGTAGGGCAGACATTGTTGTAGTAGTCGCCTGACCGGTGGTCCCGCCATGGGCGCCTTCGCCATGTGCTCCAGAAGAGCCGCTGGTGACGGTCTGCCCGGGG